AAGCGATTCAATCCGCAGCGCCATTACTGCAACATTAAAGAATCGTCCCAATTTAAACTCGAGGCTCAAGTATACCTGGAAATTCATGACCACCGAAAAAAAAAAAAAAAAAGGGGACACTTTTTCTCACTCCCTAATTTCTTCGACCACCCTTTAGCCACCAACCTCAAACGACAAATTCCCCAAAACGTACCTTCAAACCCACGGAAAGAAAGGACCCAATATATTACACAACTGTCTCTCTCTCCCCCTCTCCCCCCCCCCCCCCAAAAAAAAAGGAAGTGGAGAAACGTTGATATCAAAACGATCATCAAAAAAAAAAAAAAAAAAAACTGCCGGCAATCGTCCGAAAGAGTGCTCGAGTAAATTGGTCGGTCCCAAAAAATAAAAAAGATGTTATTTCAACCGATCTCCGCTTATACATATATATATGTACATGTATATATACACGTCTTATCACGAACAACAATTGGGGCAACCCCAAGTGCATCAGAAGCGACAGAGTACAGCCCCTTCGAACAGTAATTACCGAGTTGGTCAACCTGTTCGATAGGAGTTTACGTTATCTAACGTTTAGCGCCAGATGTCCATGCGGCCAATTTCCTTTGTGACATGGTGTGCGGTGTGTAGTGTGATGTGGCACGCACACGAAAGACACACGGCTGGGTCGCCAGGAGCCGCCATAGTCAGTCGGGGCCACTCAAGGGTACAACGCGCCGAGAGGGTAGGCATTAGGACACCGGTATATCGTGGGCCGGGGTAATTGTGGCAATGACGACGGAAGTGTCAGATTAGAATCTGAGATGCTCCCGGGACGCACGCGATGCTTGTCCTAACCCCTGAAACTATTAGGCGGACGGACGGGGAGACGGCTGCCCCCTTAAACGTTCTGCCTACCAGCGGTGCTCCCATATCGGTCCCATTCAATGCACACACACACACACACACACACACACACACACACACACACACACACACACACACACACACACACACACACACACACACACCCACACACACACACACACACACACACACACACACACACACACACACACACACACACACACACACACACGCTCGCTCTTGCTCGGAAAAGATAATTGACCAGTCTATCGCAATATTGGAACATTGTCAACTTGTAATTTGAATTCATTTGGGTTTTGGGAAGCTCTTGGGAATTTTTGGATATTTTGATCAATGATTTTTCGTAGATTACGTAGATTTCTTTTTTTTTTCAATTTTTGGATATTTTAAAATCTTTGAACATTTTATAATTCGTTCTACCGTTACACGTTGAAATGGATTTCGTTACACATTGAAACACTGGAAATTTGCTTATTTCTTTTAATATTCACTATCTATTTAATAATCGTGGAATTTTCTCTTGATTGTTCATTGTTCAGTGTCCAGCAATTTGTTTCTTTGAAATTTCTTTTAATTTTGTTCCACCTCGAGTATTTAGTAATTTTTAATGAACTTGATAATTTCTTATATTTGATGTTTGATCATTTGAATAATTAAATATCATTAAATGATTAGATAATTAAATAATTAATAGTATTAAATATTGAACAACTAAATGCAACTCTTTTGATCATCGTCGAATATGATTTGATATTCTTTATTCGAACTAACTTTCGTTAGATACTTATTGCGAAGGTATTCTCTGCAGGTCATTAAAGTCATTTGATAGGTCATCTCGAAACGAGTCGAGAATTATTACAACACTCTTGCGTTACATGCTTTAGGTAATTTACTAGATAACGAAAGGTATAATTTGGCAACTAACAGATAATATCTCCCAGTTGCTTTTCCTGAAATGCAACAACGGCCACATAATGCAACAAGCGATACCTTACACTTACGCCATTTTTTCTTTATCAATGAAAATTAACATTAATAATTATCATTAAACGAGCCGCAATGAAATGTTACGAAGAAACACATACGAAAGTAGAACTTGTAATCCAAATATGTAATATCAATTACTTTATTACTATTGATACATGATCTAGAGATTTGAAAAAGTTCGCATAGAGAATGAAAAAGGGAGGCGGACCAGTTCATAAAACACATAGTGTAAAATTACGTTACGATCTGCGAGAACGTTCCACCGGCATTTAACTCAATGTTATAAAATAATTAAATAACGAAACCTTCCTAATTGGAACAATCGAGTAACAAAATATGAGATTGAAAGTTGAAACTGTATTGGAACAACGGAACAATTGGAATTCAAACAATCGAAGGTAGACAAAATTAATCACACACTAATAACTAAACTAAATTAAACTAACAAACAAAATTAATCACACGCTAACAATTAAACTGTATTAACCACTTGCGCTGGCAACTGATTGCGGACCATAACGAGTGACCAAACCATATACTACAAATAATTCGTCTTTCTTTTTGAAAATACTCGTCGGTATGATATCACTGGATAGAAATTATATTATTTATTTTGCCCGGAATTTTTTCGTCCCAAAATTGCAATATTTATAAATATACTTAAAACTGAGGAAATATTGCAATTTTGGGACGAAAAATTCTCGACGTGCGTCTCACGTCATTCCAGCGCAAGAGGTTAAAACCAATTGAAATGATAAATTGAGGTGACAATCGACGAAACGATTAAATAAAATAATAACCAAGAAAAAGTTTACGATCGCAGAAAAAAAGGAAATACTAGGTTGCCCCCTGCGCAGAGAGTCTCGCGAGGAACAATCCCTCACCATCTTGATGGTACCGTTTCTCCCCGGGTGTCGGTGGCGTGGCCGCCCCAGAGGAATCGACGATCTCGAAAATCTGTGTACGACGAATAACATTTCCATCGCGTTAGCATAAAATTATCGAGAGCCCGGGCGCCTGGCCAACCTTATTAGCAAGTCAAATGAGGGAACGGTGGCCAGATTTGAGCACCACTGGGGCCCACTCGAAGGAATGGGGCCCCAAGTCGAAAAGAAACGGGACGCGTGGTCTGCGATGAGAGCAGATGAGCCCGCCTCCATGGTAAACCGGGGCTAAACTGTAATAAAGTGCTGTACGCATTACCCACCTACCTTCGGGACCTTATCCGTTATCTGATCCGCCGGCTCGGTGGTGCCAACGTGCTTCACCTGTGAACGACATATGGCCGCTGCTTTCGCTGCCCCTTTCGACGACAGTGTGACCACTTTCGTGTTAATTTGTCGATGAGATAGCGGCCGGCTACCCGGCCGGAAGGAAAAATGACCAGGCTAATGATCGACAACGGTCGCCGCCATCAAACCGTTGCCAATGTCCCCCGTTGGGATACCTCTCTCCATTAATAATGGATCGTCGTTCCGTGGACCGGAGCTCGGTATTTTTATTTCAATTTAGAATTGAATATTCGAATTTTCGAATATTTAATAATATGATAAATAATAATTTAATAATATAGAATTCGAATTTACGAATATTTAATAATATAGGATTGAATATTTAATAATATATGTTAAATAATAATTTATAAATATAATAATTTAATAATGTAGAATTAAATATTTGAATTTTCGAATATTTAATAATATAGAATTGAATATTTAATAATAATAATTTAATAATTTATAAATATAATAATTTAATAATATGGAATAGATTATTCGAATTTTCGAATATTTAATACTATGATAAATAATAATTTAATAATTTATAAATATAATAATTTAATAATATAGAATTGAATATTCGAATTTTCGAATGTTTAATAATATTCGAAATATTCGAACATTCGATTCGGTTTATTGATAGATACTTATTTACTCGATCGAAAGTTTTAACAAAAGTGAAAATGATGTTTGGAAATTCGAATTCTTGGAAAAATATAGAACTTTCATAGGTACATAAAACGTGTGTAAAATATTTAGACTTGTCACGATTGTGTATGCTGAAATTTGAAAATGTATGTAGAAACTACAAGATATTTATTATAAAGATATTTATTATAAACGTGTATTTGACAAAGAATTGGTTTACAGCATAGCAATGCAAGATATTATCTCTGCAAAATATAAACTTCTTATTTAGTTTTTCTGTAAAGTAAATTTCTATAATTTCTATATTTAGGTTTATTTCGAACTTTAATCTGTAATTATGATACTCGTGTCTCGTTGCAATTAATTTCCAAATGTTTCAGGCAACACACTTAATACGTGTCTGTTCATAAAAATTTCCTGTGGGCGTTTTTTCTGAACATCTGTACGCATTATATACCAATACTTTTTATCCACAAGAATACATATATAACGCAAAATCGAACCACGATTGAGAAAGTGTGTCTGAGAAAAGATAATTACGTGCACATCTCTCTGCGACGTGTGTCCTTGCAGGTGTTACATTTACATTTGTTTTCGGCGCAAAGTGATTCTTCATCGAGCAAAAAAAAAAAAAAAAAAGAATCAAACACGCTCGTATGTTAAGCCACGAGCACCTTATCGCCGTTCCATCATCGATAAAAATTGTCCGTCTAAAAAGTGGAAGAAATTGTGGTGGGATAGAATCGATATTAAATCGATAACATCGTGTTATATCTCAACACTTATCGCGAGCAACAAACGTTCAAGTTTGGAGAGCGTGATATAAATCGCCCCTTTTCAAAGTATCAGGTGCTACCTGGCAACACATCGATACAGTAGCCCTCTTTCTTCGCTTATCTCTCTCTTTCTACATTTTACGTTAAATTTCCAAATTTAGCCCTCCTAATTGGCATTTGTGTGACCCTCACACCACAATTGTGTCGCTGAACTTTAAGCACAGTTTAATAAAATTGACAAACTTCGAAAAGAGGCTAATTAATCCTGTGACACATTGTCGATTCATCTTTTACGCGCTGATTTCTCAGAATTGAATTTTTCTTTCAACGATGAATGCAAATATAGCGCGATATGTTAAAGAACTGGAACGAATCTAGAAAAAAAGGGGGATTCTTCGTAGTTTCTTCTTGAATCTAGTTTGTAACTTTTGTTTCGTTGCAGCAAGTGGCCACCCCCACAGTTGTGAAGAAGATTTTACGAATGAAGCAAGAACAACCGACGATGTTCGCTTGGGAGATTCGAGAACAACTGGCGCGGCAAGGAGCTTGCGATCCTCAGAGCTTGCCCTCGGTTTCCTCGGTGAATCGAATTCTACGAGGCGGTGGACTTCATACAGACCACACGGGGATCGAGGGTGGTTCGCCGAGCACGTACGCCTCACAGGTTTCCTCAAACGTCGCCAACAGAGGTATAAAATAATCGCTGGATACTAAATTTGTACTAAAAGTACTTGAAAGTACGTTCCAGTTCACATGTAGAGTTTCTATCTGACTTTCATTGTTTGAAGTGATGTCCGAGGATAAATTTGCACAATCTTTCTTCAAAATCAAAAGAATATAAACACAAAGTGGCAAAGACAATAACTATCGTAATTCGTTAATGAATCGTTTAATCGCTTCTTATAATTTTCCAATATCATTATACTATGTAAAAGTCTCTCAATTCAGTTACATAAATACAAGATTCGTCACAATTCTTAAAAAGAAATTACAGAACTTCCGCGAGCATATTTGTTGCGAGACAGTAATAATTACGAGTACCGAGGTAAATTTGAGAAATAGTGTTTGAGACGAATGAAAAAAAAAAAGAAACTTCTTGAATGAAAAAAATAATTTCGTGCACGAAGAAAGAAATCGTGTCGTTTCTCAAACATTCAACGAGCCAATTGCGAAATCTCGAAATTGAACCGTGCGAAGTTTTGAGAAACAATTCGCGACAATCGTACGAATAATCGCACTACAAGTGTCAGCTGATCGTCCAGCCCGAACGAAAGTAAAAATTGGCTCGTGGTTCCCGTACGTCAAAATCGGCTCATTATGCGAATGAAAGCTGGATCGCGAGTGCGCCATTACCCCGGCTAATGATCCCCTAAACATCTGTCCGTATCTCGAAATCACTGTCCGAATGTTTTTCCATTGTTTCCTTTTTTTCCTTTTTACGATTCGGCTCCGCCGTAGATGAAGAAAGGAAAGAAGGAAGGGAGAGCAAACGTTGCAGAGATGCGGACGATTAGAGTGAAAAGAAATGAATTGGGAAGTAGAGGAAGAGGGATAGAAAGACAAAGAAAAAGAATTCATAAAATACCCTGTGGCCGATTGACTCGTCAGCATGCTGCAGCGTGATGACCGACACGCAACCCCTTAAAAGAAACTCGAAATTCACCTCGTTTAAATTGTCTATAACGTTGCAGTCTTCTTTTTCCACCTTTCGTGGACGAAGCTGCCTCACGAAATTTGCGTCGATCAAACGTGATGCCTGTTCGCCGATGTTCTTTCGATATCCTCGATAGTTCATTATTCATAAAAATACTGAAAGATAATAGGAAATATATTTAACAAGAAAAAAATACTTTTAGAACTATTTCGCTCTCCTGGCAGAGTTAATACCAATTTTACTCAAGGGGGCAGGACAGTTTGACGGGCCTAAAAATTACGAATACTTTGGAAAGCTAGTAGAACAAAAGTACATGTTTGATTGACATGAACTTTTGTGGTTTATTTGAACACATTATGAACTATAAAAAGCGACATTAAAAGAGAAAAAAGAGACGGCTCTTATTTAGCTTTTTAACGGCATCCTTTTACATAACTTTGTTTTTACATTGCCTATCGGTGTGCATGATTCCAGCCAAGCAGGATTAGTTGCAACAAAAAGGCGAAAAAAGTTCAAAAGTAAATAATATTCTCTAGGGATTGAAGATCCAACATTTTCATTTCTGTGAAAATTATGAAAATAGCAGCTGTTTGTTTTTGATGTATCGAATTTATGCCAAAAATTTCTTTCTTTTTTCTTATGTCAGAAACGTTTTTTGTTTATATTTTTCGAAATTGTTAAAAATGTCCGATCGTCAATATCTCAATGGTAAATGTTACACTAAAGATACGTACCAAGTTTCACAGTAATCGGTTGGTTAGATTCCGAGGTATCTTGCACACCGTTTCTAAAAATCTAGTTTCGACAAAAACGCGTTCAAAGTTTCATATGTGTCCTTTACTTACTCTTTTTACTTATATATCGCGGCTCACAGTTCTTACAATTCACAACTAAATTGAATCCAAGTCCCCTAATATTCGATTCACCAAAAGTAATATTTGAAATCGCATGATTTACACTTTATAATACTGCTTAAAATTTTAAACAGTGATACAAATTCAATTGTTCTGTATCCGTGAATTTATTATTATACCCCAAAATCAGTCGTTTTAGAGGCTAGGACCTTTTATATCTTTTCTCTAAGACTTCAAACTGCTATTCAAAACGAAACAAAAAAAATCGATTTTTTGACAATTTCAAACTGTCCCGACCCCTTAATACATCGATTTTATACGCTGAATCTTTCTTCTCGGCAAAATATTTAAAATGAAAGAAGAACAAGAAACGACTATGAAATAGATTTTCACTAATTAGCTATAAAGGAGAATAAATCATCTTCGTATCCTCCTTGTTCCTGCCAAACGATATCGTACGCCGATATAATTTGAGATGACGCGAAGATATAAACATTAAGATAGCAATAAACCTTGTACCAGGTTTCGTTTCATCGAACGTAATGGCCGCCTCTGCATAAAGTAATGGAATACAGAACTCCAACTTAATTTTTAATGGATACTACGTTACAGAAAAGCGTTAAATATTAATGAGACGTAATTGCAATTTGCACATTTGTTGGTTTTTACCATTGTGTGTTTTATCTTCGTCCTTAGACGCGCTCATGAGAACGGATTACCAATTATTTTATCCGGGATCACTGGGACCACTGCACATCTCCACGACTTCCGGTAATACCAGCGCGCCATCTTGGAATCCAAGTTTCTACTCGTCTCTTTATCAAGCAACCACGCTGCACTTGCATCACGGGATGCAGTCATTCACGTAAGTCTGATTCATTTAATCAATTTCTTTTTCCTCCTTGCCCTAATTGGATCTCTTCATTAAATCCCGGAGAACTAACCGGTAATAAAAAAAAAAAACCGATCGTTTACGATCTTGGGCTGTTCGTGATCGATCCCTTCAACGTGCATCTGGAATTTTGCAAAGCAAGAGAATAACTACATACAATTAAGGATTTGTGTTCCTGTTACACATTTTCTTTCTTTCAGCCAACGCTTTTTACATGCAAATTCGTATTTTTGAGGATTTATGATTCGAAAAGTAAATTTTTGATAAAAAGTTGTAAGTAGAGTACTAACAATAAAACTAAATTATGGGTATGGTGCTAAATGTTATAGACACCATACATTGGTCGTATACTTTTTTCACATTATGTGCACTTTTAAAATTTCCCACGAATACATAAAAATCCATATATAAATATAACAGTTATAAAATATTTATGTAGTGCCTAATTTATAAAATATTATATAATATATAATATTATTATATATTATTATATTATAATTTATATTATATTATATATTATAATATTATAATTTATATAGTGTCTAATTTATAAAATATTTATATAATATATAATAATTATATATTTATTTATGTAAGAATTATAAAATATTTATATTTACGTAGTGCCTAATTTCAAAGTACATACAGTGAAAACTTATCCTGTCGCTGTTTGCGTTCAGCTTCTCGAGTAAACGAGAAGCGTGTTTATTAAAACAAATGTTCGAATAAATGTGTCTTGCAGATCGTTAGACGTGGAACGTTTGTCGGAGCAGAGCGGGCCAACGAACCAGGTCGATTTGAAGTCTAACTCGAGCTCGATGGCGGGCAGTGACGATTCTCTGGACAAGAGCGACCTAGACGAGAACACGGAGTCGCAGGATCACTACAAACCGTTCCAGAACTCGCCTATAATCCTAGAACTCGGCCAGAAGATCGGTAGCGACCGTAGCGCGTTCGTGAGACACAGTACGTCCGGCTCATCCGGGAGCTTAGAAAATCGGCAGAGCCCGTCGCCGACAAGCGGCGACAAGCAGAAAGTAGCGTCGTCGCGAGTCTTGGAAACCGGGAACGAGCAGAGCACCATGGCCAAAGATGCGGCGGTCGAAGGAAGACCGGCGCAACCTCAGAGGAAAAGGAATCCCTACTCGATAGAGGAGCTTCTGAAGAAAGACGAGGGCAAGAGTACCTCGAAGAGGCCGAAATTGACGAATCTCGGCGTGGTTCAACCCTGTGGAATTATCCTGAACAAAGAAATCTAAAGGGGTCGCGAGAACCGGACGACGATAGAAGTGAAGGGGAAGCAAAGATAATTTCGAGATCTGAAGGATAGAGGCTAAGATGATCGTCTGGATTTGGGAGAATTTTCGATAAGGTGGATTTGAGAATTGGAGGATTGTAGAACCTGTCGAAGGTAGAAAGATGAGATTAATTTAAGATGTGATGAACAGAGGCTAGAGGAGAAAGGAAGCTGTGTAATTGGATGATTATGATACCAAGACGGAGGAATTGAACCTAGGTTTATATTAGATATTTATGGCTCTATGTTTTTGGGATTTATTGATACAAGCGATATACAACGTCAGAAATTAAGCTGTACCAATTTGTTGTGACTTTCGAGTATATCGTTTAATAATAATGAGGATAATGCTTTCTACACTTCTTAGTCGCGTTGTGCATTATCAGTTGAATAGTCTTTAGGATATTTTGGTAAAACACAAACGCTGAAAATGTTTGCACAACTGAGATACTGAATAAAGAAGTATTAGCAAGGCTAAATATACCTTTTGTAATATGCAGTAAATTTCTTGATTTTATTTTCTCAACACATCTCATCTATTGGATGTACAATATCAATAAGACGCTGAAAATATAGTTTCACTGTAAATATCAAATATAAACTCGCTAATCAATAGGGAACATCCGTACATTTTTAATAATAATTCTTTGTCTTCTGAATTATATTGAAAAGTATATTTTTAAAAAATATAGCAAACAGTGTCCTCTTCCGAAAGCACGAACTTGAGGAATAAACAAAGGAATTCGAAATAGTTTATTTAGAAAAATACTTTCTTCTCAGAATAATTGTTTAAAAACCACTCGATCTTCGAAAAAAAAACGCTAGTCTATTTTTTAACTAATCTTCTTAGAAAATTTATTTATTAAACTTTGAAAATATTGTTTCGCAAGGATTGAAGTGCGTTCATTGAAGAAAAGTCCGCAAAGATGGGTGCAAAGCAAAATGGAAATGTAACATAATTTACCAAAAAAAGGAGAAGTAGCAAAAAGTCCAATACTTTAAAAAACTACTTTGTAAAGGAATAAAAGCAAAAAGAAAAAAAAACAGACAATGATAAAATTAGTACAGCTTTTATCGATGTGCGAAAATCTCGAAAATTAAAGCGATCGTCGTTGTACTACCGACACAGAGGGAAAAAAGTATAAATTATATGTAACATTAGTATGAACCGTCGATTATGTATTGTTGACTGCAATATCGTAGGTTAAACGTAAGTCTGTTAAGCTAATTTATAATTAAATTATTTTCATTCATTCTTCTGCGTTCGACAAATACAATCTAAAAAAAAAAAAACATATCGATGTAAGTGTTTTGCGAGTTTTGATGATTTTCAGCAGGATCAGTTTCGTAGATCTTTGAATACTGAGGTTTTTCTGTCGTGTAATTTGTGTGTGGTAACGATTGCGTTTTGCGAGCGGGACGATGCCATATTATTATGTACGATATTTAACTTTAATTTAGTCAAATGAGTTTTGACGTATTCTAATAAAGTGATATGGCTAGTAACCTTGACAATTTCCTTTATAATTCACAGATTGCATCAACTCGGTATACAGATATTTATTACAATACAATATAATTACATTTTCTGTTACAATTTCATAAGAGAGAATTTCTTTTTATTATTCATCGCAATTGTTCAAAGATCTATCTAGCCAAAAAGTAAACACCAAACTCCTCTTTCCTTTGTGCCATTCGTCAACAAAAAAACCCATTCATTTTCGCAGTAATCTAACTGTTTGAATCAGCGAACATCTTCAACAACGTGAATTGAAAAGGACGTCAATTCGATCAAGAATGATCCATCAGAAAGAAGAATCTCACCTACCAAAATCTTACATCGTAAATTGATTCTGATCTCGAATAAAAAAAAAGAATAAATCAATAGACCTATAACTGAGGAAAGTATGCGAGGACCGATAGAACAGAGCAGTTAAAGGAAAGCCTAATAAAGCGTCGGCGATAAAGTACGCATCGGTAACGCGAAACTGCGGATGTGCCAGGATGTGGTAAAGCCATAAACGGCTCTGTGAGTGTCACACGTGGATACCTTGTAAAATACGACGTGGACGCTCACTGTAAAAAGAAAGTGAAATTAAATGGCAGATCGTCTCTTGGCGAACGAATCCTATACCCATTTTGCATTTACAACGTTGTAAAAACTTCTTATCCTTCTCATCGCGGACTAATTAATGCACTATAAAACGCCTCGATTTTACCGCCTTCCTACGAACTGCACGAGTCTCCAAGCTTTGCAGCCCTGTTTACTCCTGGATCGAGTCATCGTCAAATTAAACAACAACTGGAAGGAAGTTGTGGAGATTCGACTCTAGCAATAAATATCGCTTGGCGATTGTTTTTTGATTCTTTCAAACTTTCAACTATCATTTCAAGCCATTTTGATGAGCAACGGGGAACATTTTGAGAAAAGGGTAGATTTGATTTATTAACTTAATTTTCAAATGATTGCTTTCAGACCTGAATAATTATAAAATTATTGAACTATATATAACATAATATATATATTAAACTATATATTATAAAATATTTCGTATAATATTTAGAGAATTGTATTGCTCACCTACAACTCCATCCTACGCTATATCTGTTAGTCATACAGTCACACACTAGTTGCCAAGCAACCATCTAATGCAACACAAAGTTCAGCTAGATTGTAAGACATGTGCACTGTAATTGGTGATATGTTTTATTTGTAATTAACAATGGCAGAGGACGTGAAACCGGAAACAATTAAAAGGACTCAAGATTTACTTGGGAAGTATTTCAAAAAACCACCCCTCACAGAGAAATTATTAAGGAAACCACCGTTTCGGTTTCTCCATGATATTGTTTCGACGGTGATGTATCATTCGCTCATGTTTCTAACTGTAAATAAAACGCGAATGTAATCAATGCTTCTACAATTGATAAACGAAATTTATGATATCGTAGGTCATAAATGAAACTGGTTTCCTAGATGGTTTGTACACGGAGGAAGAACTGAATTCAGAAAATATAAAAAACAAGGAGGCGAAACTTGCTTATTTGACAAAACTGATCGACGTCGTGAGTAGGTTTCCAATTTTCTTTATTATTATAAAAAATATAATATTCTTCGTACTCAAGTGAATCGCACAATAATTTTAGAATTGGCCACTGGCATTAATTTAACTGTACGAGCCAGTAAGATAATCTCAGGCCAGGAACCGACTAAAACAAATGAACTGTTACAAGCAATTGGAAAGGCTTTAGACAAAAAGGTAATATCAATGAGGTATTTACAAATCAGCGAGAAAAAGATTAGCACAGCTAAAATTATAATATTTTATGAATTGAACAGATAAATAGTGCAGAAGCTATTGAACAATATAAGAAAAATTTAGGAAAAGGTAAGTCTAGTTCAAGAAGTAAATTGTCTGTAGCAAAAGATGAGAAAAGATCATCGTCAAAAGAAACATCCCAAAAGAGAGCTTCAACATCAAAGGAGAAGTCGACAGAGCAAAAAAAGAAAGTTATTAATGAAAATCCAACGATAAACGAAGAAACGCGAAAAAATGAAAATCAAGAATCTCAAAAAAGTGTTGAAGCTACAAAAGCACCACAAACTGAGGTAATTTAATATGTTTTAATATATCTTAAATTATGGACATAAAAGAATTTAAAATAAATCTGTATCTTTTAGTTAACCCAAGAGAAAATTCCTTCATCTGCACATAGGAAAAGATCTTCGTCTGCTAAACCGAAACAAAATACATCTTTCACAGCCTTGTCTGAAATTCCCTTGCAGTCAGATAAGAAAACGGATGAAAATAAAAAACAAAAAGAATCTGAAAACAGACTAAAGAATACAGCAAATGCTGAAAATAATGAGGCACAAAATCAAATACTTAATCAATCATCAAATCTTATTAATTTAGAATCTGTATCAAACGCCAAAGATAATAAGGTAGACGAAAACACAGACAAAGTGGGATACAAGGAAAATACTATAATAAATAATGAAATTCCTTTAAAAAACATAGAAAAATCTGATCAGTCAATATCAGAGATACAAAAGTTGCAGTCAGAAAATAATGATGCTAGGTATTATTCACTTAAAATTTGTTACAGTTGTTGAAAGTTACTTCTAATATTTAATAACTTAGTAAAACATTTTCAGTATTCCACAATCAAATTCTAGACCAAAAACTTCTTTACGTCCACCTACTGCAAGACCAATTAGTGCCAGACCTGCAGCACCTAGGATACGAGGCAAAGCAGAATTAATAGTTAATGAAGAAATACTGTTAGATCATTTTTGAATAATTGAATGCAAAGCATTTTATGGAAAATATAAAATATTTCTACTTTGTGTTCTAGAACACCCATGGGACATATTAGTGTCATTGTAGAAAATTCTGATCTTAAGGATGATGATGATGCTGAAGACATGGTGGTTATGGAAACAAAAGGAAGTGGCAGTGATTTTTTAGAAACCAATGACCATTATAAAGCTGATGACCAATTAACGCAGGAACATGGACATCTTGTTGCTCAAATATTAGAAACACAAAAGGAATTGATTAATAATGATAATGTTGACGTGATACCCAAAAAAACAAATATTGTAAGTACAATTTAATAATAATTTATTGTTTTTAAGATATTACACTGCTGTTGTATATATAAACATAAAATGATTATTAAATGTTCATTATTAGACATGGGATACAAATTCGAAACGTGACATGGTAACGAAAGAAATTGATAAATTACGAAATACGATACAAACGTTAACACGTGCAACAAATCCACTTGGAAAGTTATTAGATTATTTTCAGGTAATTTATTAATTTATTATATTTCATTATGCTATATACATCACTCATATTTTTTTTATAGGAGGATGTAGAGATTATGCAAAAAGAATTATTAGAATGGAAAAATCAATATCAACAAGTAAATGAACAATTAAAAGTAGAAAAAATGTAAGTCATATAAGTTTATTTGCATCATTTAAAATTATATATTCTGTATATAATCCTTTTCTCAGGAAAACGCAAGAATTAATAGAACCTATGAAAGAAACGTTAAAAGAAATTGATCATAATATGAAACTACAATTGGATAAAATATGTCAAGCAAAATCACAGATTATGAAGAATGATCAAAGGATACAAACGTTATTAAATGGTCGTGTTTAAATTTCGTTTTATTATGATGTACAAAGTGATATTTTTCCATTATCTTTAATTGTAATTAATGTAATTAATGTAGATGTTTAATTTTCTTTAAATTTAGAGTTAAATATTGTACATATGGAAACACTAAAATGTGTAATGCAAAATGTAATATAGTATAAATAATTAAAAGATAGCTCTAATAATTCTTATTTCTTTATTCATACTTATTCAAATAGGAACATTTGTACAAAAAATATATATATAACTTAAGTATCATATTATTTAAAAATATAAATTATAAATTTATTTCTAAATTTCATATTTATCTTTCAGAGTTGAAATTTCATCTTGAGACACATTTTCGACTGTTTTGCAATATTCAAAAAGTGTTTTTAAATCTAAAAATTAAAAAGAAATTAATATTTTACATTATTTTTAATTTTCTACAATAATACTTACTTTTTTTGTCACTATTAGTAATAAACATAATAAGTGCTCTAAATCGCTTAACTTGACTGAGATCTTTCAAGTAACGGAATATCTGATCTTTCCTTTTTATGAATTCTATGCTCAAAATTTCTATTATTTGACTGAAAATATCCGATTCCATTGAATCTTGAAATATTTTAGGTAAACTGTTCTCTGGTAATTGCTGAAGTTTAATTTTAAATTAAATTATATACATTTAAAAATTCTAATTTTCAAACATCATTCTTACCTTCAAATATTCATATCTGAATTCCAATGAGTTATTTTTTCTCCAATTCATTAGAAACTGTACAGCTGTTTTAGGTATTGGTGTAAACTTGATATCTTTCGAAGGTTGAGAAACTTTGACACAATTATTTTCTTTACGAGGTTCTAGTACTGGGTCTTTACAAAGTTCTTCTTTCTGTCCTTCCATCTGTATAAATTTTTTATTAAATTCTTCTATCTGTACAGATTCTTTATTAGGTTCTTTTTCCTCTACACGACCTTCTTTCTGTACAAGATTATCTTCGTTGCTTATTATTTTGTTATTAGTATATTTGTACTGATCTATACCAAATTCCAATTCTTGGATAGGTATTTTTGTCAATGATTTCTGTAATTAATAAATACTCCAGATTCAGGAACATGGTACATATTTAATGTTGTAATCTTACCTTTGAACGCAAATGAGGAGGTTTCTCTATTGGTTCTATTACAGTAACTTCATCCTTCTCTGGCAACCAATCTGGAATACGCAAGTCTCTCTTCTTTTTAATATTGGTACCAGCATCATCTTTTTTATTTTCTATATTATCTTTAACATTCGTGATAACTTGATTTTCCTTCATATGTTTAGGCTTTATAATATCTTTAGTTCCCGTGCTTTGTACTTTTGGTGCACTATTGTTCCACATTTTATCAGCAATCTTTTTTTCAATTGTAGTCTCCTTAGTACTTTCTTTTTCAATCGTTGACTGCTGCACATCATCTTTTTTCACTGTAGTGCTTGCCTGTACAAAGTACCACTGTTAAATAATATTTTAATTAAATAATAAACATCGTTTCTCAATTATTCATTACCTCTGAACATTTCAGCTTGTTCTCGATTTGATTTAGCAACAACTTGGCCTCCTTATTAGAAGCTTCTAATTTCAAAATTTTCTCCAAATCTCGTTTAGCTTCTTTATATTGTTTTATATTCATTCTTGCTGTGGCTCTTCTGAGGTAAGCTTTCACATAACTGTCATCTAACTGAATCGCAGCAGAAGAATCAGATTCAGCAGCATAGAAGCTAAAAAAAGTCAATGTTGTAATCTTAAATTGAATATACATATATAATTAAGAAACATGTATATATACTTCTCTAGTTTTAACTGACACAGTGCACGATTTGCATAAAAGACCGCATCATATGGAAATAGTTTTATAGCATTACTGTAGCAGCCAATTGCCTTTGACCAATTTTGTTGCTGCACAAAAATATTGCCCTCATTTTTATGCTTCGTCGCTTGTTCATGTGCCCTCTTCAATTCTTCCTTGGACATATGTTCATCCTCAGATTCATCCGACTGTTCCTCTTTATCCACTTCTTTACAAGCTTTGTCCTTATGGAGTAACATTACAAATAAAACATCAAAATTTTACAAACACATTCAATAGAACTTACTGCATCAAATTTATCCCAAGCGGTATAATCATACGATTTAATTCTTTTCATTTCAGTATTGCTTTCATCTTTTTTCGTAACAGCGTTCTCCGTTTTGTTTTTGTGCTTTCTTCTAATCGGCGGTAAGACAATCTACAAAAATAATCAGCTTGTGAATTTCAACGATCCATTAAGTGCATAATATGATTATAATCAGTACCTGACCACCTGCTTCTTTCCGCAGTTGCTCATCCTTGTGTTTCATTTGTTCTTCCCAATTTTTCATATCCAGGAATTCCTTTTGCAAGTCCTCTGCATTGTCCCTCACTTGCTTTTGCATCAAAACTGACTTATCCATCTCGTGTAACTCGAGTCAATAACAACGGTGATAAAATTTAGGTTAAGTTATAAGAAAGAATATAATTTAAACGTGCGTTAATTTAAAGAAGATATCAGAATTGTGTGTTATTTGTAAAAACGTGAACGATGTAAACCATTCGTGTCATTCGTTGTACCTATCGCATTCTGCCACACGAAGAGAATTTTCGAGAATGAACTCCTAGATACTAAGATACTTTTTGATTCAGTTGGAACTTTTACTATTGTAAGTCTCTTAATCTAATTATACAGGCACAGAACACTTTGAACAAATTTTGAAAATCTGTTTCTTAAAGCTGCTGCCTCGTCCCAGAGAATCTTTAAACTAATCTTGATAAGAAATTCAAACTACGGGCGGAACGAGAAACAAATATTACATTTCGTAAAATCCTACATTTCATTCTTATCCTACATTTTAAAACAAAGATAGAGTCTTATATCGTACTCGTCGTAATATATTTTAATAATATTTATTCTTTAGTATTTAATTATTATAATGTTATATTCGCGCGATATATATGTATCTGTCCTTGTCTATAGATGGTACTGCCATCTAAGTCACTCTATCGGTAATTGTAGTTTCCCCTGTTACCGATGGCAAAACGATCCGTAGACAAGGAGAGCAGCAGTATCCAACAAGGATAGATACATACCGTATATCAAACAAGGAGAGCAACAGTGTGCAACAAAGACATTTTTCGATCTATTGAAAAAAAAAATTCAACTTTTTGCACACATATTTTTTTAGGACAAAACACACATAGAAAGAAAGCGGGGAGCCTACTTTTAAGGAAGCATAAAAAAGTTCGCAAATTATTCCTCTTAATTGGGTTTTTTTCGTAATTAGTGCAGATATATAGATTATGATAATTTATATTTATATCACAATACTAGAAATAAATAATAACTCCGTAATTAATTTTAGTTGTTTATATAAAAATATTATCAATATCACAAAATATACAATTACTAATAATTTAATGAAGATTACATAATGGAAGTTAAATGACGAAATAACGAANAATATATATAAGTGTCAGTAAACATTTCTATGGTGATAATAAAATTAATAGCTATTTTTAAATATTCTATTGTTTATATTAAATACACATCTCGACGAAACATAGATGTCGTTGATCTAAAGTCTTCGAAGTAGAGGTCGCTACACAGATAGGTATGGTAGCGCCATCTACGGTAACACAGTGGTACTAATTATTTATAAAAAATACTTATTTCTGTATTTTACGGGTCAAATGGGGTATGAAAAGAAAGCTCAGGGTCTAATTAGGATGATACAGTCACAAAAGTTCACAATTCATTTCGCTAAATTAGGTTTTTTCGCAAATGAAAATTTCTTTGCTTTACGGGGTTGTAGCGACCTCTACTTTGAAGTATTTAGATCAACATCTATGTTCATTAAATCGTTCCGTCGAGATGTGTATTTAATATAAACAATAGAATATTTAAAAATTGTTAGTAACTTTATTATCACCATGGAAATGTTTACAGAAACTTATATATATTGCAATTTATATATATTGCAATAGTAGAAATTCTTCATTCGTTATTTAACTTCCATTATGTAATCTTCATTAAATTATTAGTAATTGTATATTTTGTTATATTGATAATATTTTTGTATAAACAACTAAAATTAATTACGGAGTTATTATTTATTTGTAGTATTGTGATATAAATTTAAATTATCATAATCACTACAGGGTAAGAAACACTAGCGCCGGGGTGTGGCAGACCGCTGGAACTAAACGTTCTATAACCATAATTAATTTTAATTTTTCACACTAGTAATTTGCACTTCACGAGTACATTTCAAAAATAATGTTATCAGTTACGTTCGCAAATAAATCTAAATCTAATATTCACTATAATATTCACTACAGTTTGCGCGAAATCATGCACTCACTACCGGCACTATGACTAAGGTAAACGAAATCGAAATCGAAACATTCTTTATATACTATACTTAAACTATACTTAAACAAAAGATAAAACGCAAGCTTAGGTCTCTAAACTCGAAGATGCAACCATAACAGTTCACAAATGATTTTTGAAATAATTTCTTCTTGTAATTTGTGGAAAAACTGTCACCTATTGTTTCGAGGAAATGGTGGCGCCATCTATTGATGACTTGGTGGTACTAAAAACAGAAAATCCTGTTTTTAGTACCACCGAGTTATCAATAGATGGCGCCACCGTTTCCTCTAAACATTGACATACAGCTTTTAGTTTCACCGGACTGCCATAACGCGGCGCTAGTGTTTCTTACCCCGTAAAATTGAGAAATTTTCATTTGCGAAAAAACCTAATGTAGCGGAATGAATTGTGAACTTTTGTGATTGTATTATCCTAATTAGACCCTGAGCTTTCTTTTCATACCTCATTTGATCCGTAAAATACAGAAATAAGTATTTTTATAAATAATTAGTACCACTGAGTTGTCGCTAGATGGCGCCACCATGTCCATTTTGTGACAGTTCGCACTAATTACGAAAAAAACCTAATTAAGAGGAATAATTTGCGAACTTTTTTATATGCTTCCTTAAAAGTAGGCTCCCCGCTTTCTTTCTATGTGTGTTTTGTCCTAGAAAAACGTGTGTGTAAAAAGTTGAATTTTTTTTCAATAGATCGAAAGATGTCCTTGTCGCACACTATTGCTTTCCTTGTCTAGTGTCATTAGACAAGGAGAGCACTAGCGTGCGACAAGGACAGATATATATGCGCGTTAGACAAGGAGAGCAACAGAGTGCGACAAGGATAGACATATGCGTGCGATAGACAAGGAGAACTACAGCGTACGACAAGGACAACAATATAAATTATATGTTTATATATATATATATATATATATATATATATATATATATATATATATATATAGCGTTTCACCGCTATGCGACGCTAGTATTTTAATGTCTCTAGCGGGTAGCACGTAAAGTCTTTCCTTAGTATACCAGTTCCAAAGACACGAATATTACAAATTGTAAGTGGATGCCGCTTAACTACGGAATGCGATCCTTAGGTTAAGCGTGCAGCATGCGGAACACCTCTATGATGGATGCCATTTCTTGACCCAAGCTAGATTTTCCTAATAAACCAAGCGTCTGAGGTTAGGCATCAGCCCTATTGATGAATCTGGTGGTGACTCTGAGACGAAATACACTCCACCTTCTATATCTTTTTATAACCTTACATTATACATAAAATCATCATTTCACCTTTAGTACCATCTACTGACGAATTGCAAATTATATATTTTCATTTATATACAGCTGTATCTATGTACAGAAATGAAAAATTCCATGCAAGAGCAAAGGAAGCAGTTCCTTCTCTCAGTAATAACCAATAGGTATTCTTAAATTTAAGAATGGATTGGATTAAGAAACAACCAACCAGACCGACATTCTTTTCGGGGAACTTCTCGTCTCTGCACGACACGTGTTGATGCAAATATAAGTCATCGTTTTGAATCTTGAGATTATTGAGTTATTACAGTTGAATTCGGTAAGAATATATTTAATTTTATACAAAATATAAAAATAATAATATATCAATTTTACAATTTGTTTTACTTTGGGGATTACGAAAGAAATGATTGTAATTATAAAAGATGAGAAACTAATTTTTTTATAGAAATAATCATTTATGGTAATTCACTTGATTGCTATTTTATGTCTAAACGAGTTTAAATATGTTTCATTGCGTTTGTATTATATATCCCCGAGCATGACACAATAATGCACAATAATCCGAGATTATGTTTGTTCTGTATCTCGTTTATTAGCATTTTTTTAAAGAAATGGATTGAAACATAACTTTCTTTGTTTTTAACTTTCAAGAAATTATTTTATACAAATGAATAATGAATTGTAAATTTTACGCTACAGTTCCATAATTAATATATATTTAAAAATATGAGAAATGTTGATTACATATGTATCTATCAATTATAACTATGGATCCACTCTATTCTCATTATATATCTCATTTATAATTACAACAAATTACTTTATCATTAGGATAATTTGGCAATTCAGATTTTAATTCCACTTCGTTGCTATAAATATATTTCATCGTATGTCTTATATAAATTGAAAAAATATTCTAAAATTTAGTAAAATTTCCTGCTCTTTGTATTTATGCATGTAAGGTATTAATTAGTAATACAGTTTAAAGAAACTTCAAGAAAAATAAAATCTATTAATAATTGTCGATATATTTGACGAAATATTTTTACATAATTTGTATTTTTCAAAATCTTTTAAAAAAAGCAGAAATTAGCGAGTTATAATAAATCTCTAATACGATAGCTAAGTATTAATGCACCGATGGCCAGAGCTTGACATTCGACCCCTTTTAGATTTGGGCATTTGCCATTGAATCAGAAATGACCAGCTTCAATGTTAACATTCGCAATGACGATGCGGATTTTCTTAGCGAATCAGTTTACTGCTAACTAGCCTTGAGTGCGTACCTAATCTTGCAGCCGATAAACTATTGTTTATATCAAAAATATTTCTTCAATTGAAACTTCTTTTTTTCTTCACACCAATAATGTAATACTAAATCACATTCTACGATACAAGTATAAAATTCTACGTTATGTATGTTGATATAAAATTGTTTAAAAACTTTGATTAAATAAATTCTTTAAATATTTATTAAATACTCATATGCAGTTGTAACTCTGTGCAATACATATGTGAGATACAGATGTTCATTGGACATGATTAAAAAATGAACTTATTTTTCATGTATAACGAGTGCATAAAATTCAAAATTTCATCATAAAGTGTTGAGAATAGATTTATAAAATTTTCTGATGAGGTTGAAAAAATAATAATTATTGGCGGTAAACTGGATTAAAATTTTTATGGTAATTATCTTAAATTAAAGCGTAAAACGTTGAATGTGTTCGAATGTAATATTTAATACGCGTAACATATAATAAATTTTGATTAACAAGCCGTTTGAATTACGTAAATTTAAATGGAGCTTTACAAGGTGAGATATAGTTGATGTTAATACATTTTATTAAATATAAAGTAAAAAACAGTGATCGTTTTTAATATTGAAATATATCGTGACAAATATTAATATAAATTCAAATATTGTAATCGCAATTTTTACGGAAAAGTTCAGAGATATCAAAAAATTTAAATAAGTAATCACAATAGATCAGTTTATAGAGAAAATCTTTACACACATAATACGAATTATTAACTAATAATGCTGATGCTATTTTTATATTAAATAACATCGTCCCACGTTAAGACTAAAATATTATAAATTCTGATAAAATTAGTTCCATTATTCATTAACATGCATTTCCTTGTATTTCTTTCGTCATATATATGTACATATCTTCAAGTTCTATCTTTGTAAAGTTCATCAATTACATGTCTCTTCCCAGTTGCTTGAATACACATACGTACTTGGTTAGTATAAAATAAACCGCTTCTAGTTAGTTTTAACCGACTTAAGTCCATATCATTAAATTATAATCTACTTTTCATAGTTTGGCCAATGCCGCATACTTCTTTCAAACACACGCATTTCTAAAAATAAATCGGTGCAACGAAGCGGGTCTCATTGTCAGACGATCTGACAGACACTATGATGACGTTTCGCGCACGTGTCATTCAAAACAACATAAAACTGGCAGACAAATTACATGATACGTATATACGTTCATTACCATATTGATCTATCTAGATCCCAATCTTCCATCATTATCAATCTAATTATACGGTCAATTGTTTCTACCGTATTAATACACTCTCATTCTAATCTACAATTCTAAATCACTATTCGCTAATGATAATTCTAAGCTGTAAGTAAATTTGACGGTAATTTACGAAATTAATCCAAGAACAACTTTCGTGAATCAACAACTTGTCAGTAGATAATATCTACATAATCTAATCCTGAGATCACAATTGTAGCATATCGTGAAGACTCGTATAAATTGTATATTTACTCACAAGTCAGACAGCAGCTATTCCGACGTGCAAAGTTATATTTAACGATGTCGCTGCACATTGGCGCAAGTCCCAAAGCTACTCGACATTATTTACAATGCATAGACCAAAAAAGCAGACACTTCTCAATGATGACTCTTGTGCATTAACAATAATGAACTGTTTATGGTGTAACAACAACACCATTTTCCTCCATTGACGTATTTCTTTATACAATATCCACATTTACATTTTTTTTTTTTTTTGCTATACTCAACAAATAAACCTTTATTTTTTAAGTTTTAAAGAGAAATTGTTAAACTTGCAATTTTACTTCATTAAACTCTCGTATTTTTATTTAAGCTTGTAATTAAATATCTTGTTAATATTATCCTACTGATACTATTTACATACGTATGTATTTCATATTCTGTTCACAGTGGTCCACAATGGATTTTATATTAACAGTTCTTCCATCGAAAGATTGTAAACTATTTATCAATTGAAATTGTTATAAACAAGTTCTTACAAGTCGGAAAGATGTTTTATTCCATTGTACATTTGTTTCACAATGCCCGAGGTAATTTTCTTGCCTACAATAAGAATAATTGCCAAATTATACGAATTAGAAAACTCGTAGGAATAAAAATTTGTCTTTATTAACTGTGCCTGTTATTTCACACGTTATGCAGTATAGTAGCTTACAGCGAAACTTACAGTAAAATGAAAAGAAAGAAATTACTATACAAAACTGACAAATACTGAACGAAGAAAAGATGACGGTCTCGTACCAGTATCAAGTCGCAAACTCTACCAAAGGTGGATTCACCAGGCTTCTTTTTATGTGGCGAGGATCACTCTACAAGCTCATCTATAGAGAACTACTTTTATTTCTAATTCTCTTTGCAGCACTTTCCACTATTTACCGTCATATGCTTAATTCCAAACAGAAAAGGTTCGTGACAAACCATTCTTGATTTCTGGTGTACATTAATAATTTAAAAATATTAATTATTATATTAATTATTAAAAATATTATTTTACTTTTAGAGACTTCGAACAAATTGTTATTTATTGCGATAATTTTATTAATTTAATTCCATTAAGCTTCGTTCTCGGATTCTACGTGTCTTACGTTGCTCAAAGATGGTGGCAACAATATCAAGCGATACCTTGGCCTGATAAGTAAGTTTAGAAAATAAATATTCGACGCGCGTAATAAAATGTTTAATAATGACAATTACAATCGATAGGGTGATGCATTTAATTGCTTTGTACGTTACTGGAAATGACGAATATGCTCGTATGCTTCGGAGAGCGATGATGCGCTACTTGAACCTTTCGTTGATACTCGTTTTACGTTCGATCAGTTCGGCAGTGAAAAAACGATTCCCGACGCTCGATCACGTCGTTGATTCTGGTAAAGTTTTCGTTTTAATACGTGAACTAATACTAATTTTAACCCGTAGTATGTATCCCCCCGAAAGTATATACATATACATTTACTCACTCTGAGGAAAGACTAACAAGGTACAAACCACCGATGAAATGACGGAAATCAATAACAGAAAATCATTACGAACGAGAATAGAAATCATTATTATTGAGTTTGGATTAAAAAAATTATTCGATCGCAGGTGAATCTTTTTTTTGATTAAATATATGTATTTACAATTATTTAAAAATATATGTATTTACAATTATTTAAAAATTATTTTTTATAAAAGATTAACTACAAAATTTCGCATTTCCTGTAAATTATGACAATTTAGAATGATTTTCAATTTTAGAGTAAATTTTTATTAATCACTAATATCATGCTAATAGTGCAAATGTCACATCGTAGGTTTTATGACGGCGCTTGAATTGGATTTGTTTTTGGCAGTGCCGAGCATAGAATTTAACACTTATTGGATCCCTTGCACATGGTTTATCAATCTTCTAAAAGAAGCACGCCAAAATCACAAAATTCCCGATTCTCAAGGATTAAAATTAATTATGGAGGTATCATATTGTTGCATAAAAGAAAATCATTCACTTCGTGCAGCTCTTGTCAATAAATCAAATAGCATTGTTGAAGATCTATTTAACCACCTGAAGAGCATATTATTAAAAGATAATAATCATTATAGGAATTTAATGAATTTCGTACAAAATGTGGCCTTTTATGGAGCTACGATTGGATATCAATTCCGTTAGTTTACACACAAGTAGTAACATTGGCAACGTACAGTTTCTTCGCAGTAGCTTTAATAGCTCGCCAGTACATCGATGGTAAAGAAAAACAATTCCAGTTGCAGATTGACGTTTACATACCTATTTTTACGATCCTACAATTTTTCTTTTTTATGGGCTTGTTAAAGGTGGCGTATTAAAATGTGATCTTTGCTACAATATGAAAAATATAAAATTGTTAAAATATTTTATCAATTATATTTTAATAGGTGGCAGAACAATTAATTAATCCTTTTGGTGATGATGATGAAGACTTCGAACTAAATTGGATAATTGATCGTCACACAAAAGTAATTAGAATCTGTATATATATTTAATATTTATTTTAACAAGCCTAAAATAATTAATATCGAATATTTATTTCATACATTTTAGGTATCATATCTTGGAGTAGATACTCTTATGAATCGATGTCCACCATTGGTCAAAGATATTTATTTTGAAGCTGAAAACTTGATTTTACCATACACTGAAGCAGCTGCTGCTTATAAAAAAAAAACTTATCGTGGTAGCGTTGCAAACATGACGTTAGTATTCTTAAATGATTTTAAATTCATATATCCAAATCATTATGCTAACAAGTAATTTCGAAATCCATATTCATGTTTTTAGGGTTCCTGAAGAAAAACAAACCATGTTTCTGCCAGAAGTTATAGAAGAGGAAGCAGAAGATATAAAGCCATCATATCACGCATCAACAATGAGTTTAGCTGGTCATCCAAATGATAGCCCATCATGTGAAAGACGGTAAGATTATGATGCATACGTTTACTTACTTTTCATACCTTTTTAAAATATCATTTTAGAATCTTAAAAAAGAAATAAAGAAATTGACAGATAAATAATCAATGAATCAACAAAATACTATTCCTGCTGTAAAAATTATATTAATACATAAATTAAATAAAGTTTTGTTAAATTAGATGCATTTGTTTCAGCCAGATCAATCCATATCATGAAATATCTAAGACTAATCAAACTTCTCCTGAGACAATTTTACAATTTGATATTCAGGAACCTCCGGTCCCAACGGACCAAACAGGACAAAAATCAACAAGAATAATAGAGACTGTTAAGAAATTTTCGTCTTTGGGGAAACATTCGTTGTCACGGATCGATACAAATCGAAGACCATTTTTCACATTAGCAAAAAGCCCTAAGGTAGTTATACAACCTTGGTCGAGTACGTCAAATTTATCAAAACCTTCGATACAAATGATAGATACACCTTTTGTGTACACGGATAATGTAAACCCACGGAAAGACGACAGTTCAAGAGCTGACAAACGACTCTCATTTGATGATAGTTCAAAATACCCTTCACAAATGAGGGAAGGACAATATGACCTTGAAAATGTACACCCACCGGACGATGCCAATGAAAACCCAAATGAAAGTCCTCATTCAGATACATGCCAATTACAGTGCCATCACAGTATGTACTATTTAACACTGCCACCTTTGTCAACTCCAGTAAAAGCAATAATGCCGGAAGACAGAAAATCCAAGTTTCTTATAAAAAGACATAAATCAATGGGGACAAGTAAAAAAAAAGGTATTCATTGGAAGCAGATTATAAAAACGGATATGCCGGTAACAGAGCAAAGATTACCTTACTCGAGAAGTTCGCCAAATTTGAAATTAAGAGAAAGTCCATTAGATGTGAGGAGAGACATATCTGACACAGATTCTTCAGGCAAAGAAGAATAAATTATAGAATTGCAATTATATATCTATGTGATAATTGTTAAATAATGTAAATAACATGTTATATAAAAGTATTTATAACGACAGTATCATAAAAATTTTATTAGATATATTTTGAATATTATAATATTGAATATATTTTTTAGAAGAAATTAGAGAGTTGTTTGTAGAAATATAATTAAATCCATTAATATTAACTCTCTCGATAAAAATTAAATTATTTTTAAATTAAATTAAATTCTTAAATGCTATTACCAAATCTTAGTTATTTATTAATTTTCACAGTTACAGATATTAGACTAAAAAGTCTTCTAAAGATGTTAACTTTTATATTTTTATTTTTCAATACTTACCTTATCTTGCCTTACCTTTGATATCTCCTTACATCTTTTTGTATTTATTAACTTCTCAGAAAACCTTTGATACCTCCTTACATCTTCACATTTGTATTAACTTCTTAGAAAACGATAGAAAACACAGAAATAGCTCTAAAAAAGGCATTCTTTAATCAATCTCCCGCAAACATTATTATTTTACATATTTGGATAAATTGTATAATAGGGGTTCTTAAATGGCTTCGTATAAACATTTGGATCATCCACTGGAAATGACTGTATAATATTTGATCCCAAATTCTTTTGATTATGTACGTTTGCGATCATATACTGTGGCGTGGGCGTAACTTGCCCAACAGTTGCATCCTCTACTAGTTTCCTGTGTGAATAAATCAAAACTTGCGGAACATCTACTTCTTGTTGTGATACAGTATTTTCCACAGAAACAGCAAATCCAGGATTAGATAGCTGCTGTGCCTTGCACTTCTTTCTATGTGCATAAAGTGATCCAGCATTATTGTATCTCTTTGTACAAATTTTACACGCATATGGTCTTTGTCCAGTATGTGTGTAAGTATGTTCATTTAACGAAGTCAGTCTTCTAAATGATTTTGTACAAATCTGACAATGATATTTTGCTTCTCCTGTATGCATTGTTATGTGCCTTGCTAATGTATTAGCACGCGCAAAGGCCCTACTACAATACTGACAAATATAAGGTTTTTCTCCGCTATGAGTGCGCAAATGTAATTGTAAATAAGTGCTCTTTGTAAAAGCTCTACTACATACGTTACAAACGTATGGTTTAACTCCAGTATGTGTACGCATATGAGCAACCAAAGAACCACTCTGTGCAAAACACTTACTGCAGACTTCACAAAGAAATCTTTTTTGAGTTTCTTTCACCCGTTTATGACGTTCTATGTGATTCGCTAGTGATTGAGCTTGTGCAAATGATTTAGGGCAAATTGCACATTTATGAGGTCTGTTGTGACGATCCTAAAATAACATTCATATTTTAAACAGAGAAATTTTTAAATTTTAAACAGAAAAATTGTTTAATTTAAAGTTTTATAACTTACTTTCTTTTTTCCTTCTAAACAGTCTCCTTTATTTATATTGTCCATATCTTCTTTATCGTCCAAATCAGAATTTTCAAATAATTCAGCCTTATGTTTTGATTGTTCATGATCTTTCAATTTATCCACTCTTGAAAATCCTTTGCCACACGTTTCACACGTATACTTTAATCCACTATGTGTAGAAACATGCCTCTTGAGATTTCTTTTTGTTGCAAATAATTTTCCACATTGAGTGCATTGTAAACTTTCAGCTGGAAGATTCTCATCTTCCTCATCCTCTTCATCTTCCTCTTCTTCATTTTCTTCTTCTTCTTCAATAGTTTCTGTAGATCTTTCTTTTGTTGAACATTCGGAAGAATCATCCAATTCTTCAAACTTATACTCTGGATGACTTTTAGCGTGTGTAATAAAAGATTTTTGATATGTAAATTGCTTTGAACAAACTTCACAAGTAAATTTTAGGCTTTTTCGTTGTTCTTTAGAAGAATCATCAGTTTTCTGAATTTTTATTTTCTTGTCCTGAAATATAACAATATAATTTATATTGGGTAATGCAATATAATTGCAATGATCTACAAAAACATAATATATAAAAAATTTTTTATTTCTTATTTCTTTTACTTACTTGAACATTACTAATTCTTTTATCTTGTACACTCGTTATTGCTTTATTTTGCTCATAATTAATTCTCTTATGTTGAATATTTTCTTTTCTATCATGAGCTTCATGACAGATTGCAACATGATTTTTTACTTTTGCAAGAGTAGAATATTGTTTATCACAAACATAACAAACATAACGTAATTTAGTTTTACGTTTATGTACAATGGCATGTCTCTGCAAGGCCACTTTTGTACGAAAAGACTTAATACATTGTGTACAACGTAATCTAGTTGTGCGTGAAATTAATGGTTTTTCTTCATCATCTTGAATATTATCTATCTTTGATGTCTCTTCTATTTGTTGATTTTCTTCAATACTTTCTTCTTCCTTTAATGAAATATCTTTAGTTTGTATCATATGATCATCCAATAAAGCAAACTCTTGTTTCATTGAACTGATTTGCCTTACAGAATCATCCTCTAATAAACTTTTATAAACATTTGCATCTTCTAGGTTCTTTCTTTGTTCTATATCATTTAATTCACTCTGTGATTCTTTTTCATAACAAAATAAATTTTTCTCTGAATTGAGACAGAAAGAAGTTTCATCTTTCGTGAAACAAAAATTATCAGGACAAAAATTTGTAGAACAAACTTCTTGTTTTTCTGTATTTTCTTTCTCAGAAGATATTACACTAGATATCACATCAGCAATTATTGCTGTAACTATACTGGCGCTGGTAACAGAATCATTGGAAGATGATTTCAGCTTTAGAATTTGACGAAGTTTTTCATCTGAATTTTGTATTTGACATTTAAAATCATAGGATGCATCTAAACGCTGATTACAAGGCAAACAGATCACTGGTGGTAAACCATCTCCTTCTACAACCTAAAACAACATACATATGTTACTTTAATATTAACAACTAATATCTATGAATATGTGCGTTTATAATGCTAAATTATAATACTAATATAAATTACATAATACTAAATTAAGTCTATAAAAAAAATAAATAAACACTGTTGACAAAAAAACTTCTTTATTAATATATAAACAATCGGGTAAAGCAAAACAATCGAGAAATACAAAATGGTAAATTTAGTAAAAACATAGTAAAGTTCTAATTACTTCACATTTCTTAGAATTTCAAAATTGTTTTTAAATGTTGTTGGTTTCAATTACTTGTTGTTGATACAGATCATGTCCTAAAAATTTCTTTAAATGACACGAAAAATATACAATATTAATATTAAAAATATATAAATAGAAGAAAGCAATAAAATTCAAAGAAATTTTTTAATATCATTGCAATTATTATTGCAAAAAATGATACAAACTAACCTGTACAGAAGCAACGGCCATAAGTTTTCGAGGAATAGTGTCCCCATTTCTAAAAAGTTCACAAATTTCAACAGCCCTTTTCAAACAGATTCGACATTCGTCTCCATAAATTTTCTCATATGTATCAACTAATTGCTCGTTTTTTGAAACTTCCATCTTAATGCATTTGGGAATCAAGCTGCGACTCGAACTCCCCTCCTAAAGAACCGAGGATGTTTTTAACATTTTTATTCTTTGTAATTGCATTTGTAATTAGGAGATGTTTAAAGTTAATAATGAATATCGTATAAAATTTTAGCAACTATGTAAAATAAAAATTATAAACGTTTAACATCATAAGACGTTGAAGCATCATAAAATGTAAATAAAGATATGATAACAGACATAATTCATACAATAATATAATACTATAACCCAAGCATATAATACTATAGTTTATAGTAACTTACATTAAAATATTAAATTAAATTTCGGAAGGAAACAAATAGGTAATTATGATAAGATTATTAAAAAAGCGATTGTAATATTATACTTTGAAAAATAGAAAGAAAAGCTAATAATAAAGAATAAATTATTGAAACAACTTTGTTGTTTATTGCATTCTATTTTATTACTGCAATAACTCATTGTATTGCCTATTTTTAACGTTTTAATTTTTCTTCTTAACCTCTACAAAAATTCAATATGAAAAACATTTTATTAAACGTTAAAAATATATTTCATTTTTTATGTTATTCACTGGACGACATACTTATTTATTTATTATACAGATAAACACATATTGTTTGATAATTATTTACGATTATTAAAAATATATAAAAATACGTATATACATATTTAGATTATATTTTAAATAAATGTCAATTTAGATATCGTACACACACGCACATGCGCAATATATTGATAAATCCATGTAAATATATGTACATGTACGTTTAATTAAAATTTTTTTTTAAAGTAAAATAATCAAATAAAAAAGCGTGCAAAGAATGAAGAAGAAACGAAAAGGATAGGAAAATAATTATAATTTCAAATACTTTCTGCCATGTTGTTCGAATTTATTTTTCAAATTCAATCAACTTTACAATAGAGCATTTTAAATATAGACTTGTTTCAACAAAACATACAAATATACTATCTGTACACGTATCACAGAGTAAATACACTTGCATTTATTCATAGATTTTCTGACGACAATTGTAATACACTTCTCACAGAAACAAAATTTAATTACATGTCAATTACATTAATTTTCTTTCCCTTTTTTTTCTCTAAGCTTTTCAATATGTGTTTTTTTTTAATTTGAGATTAAAATAAGAAATCACATTTGACAAACAAATTATATTTTGCTAGTTATATTTTATGCGCTAATTTTACGCGCCTATTTTACTTTAATATCATTTAATGTTATTTGTATTTTGTTAAAACGTAATTTAAAAACACATATTTTTTTTATTAAAATAATATTTCATTACATATAAATTGTGTTAAATTAAACACAATAAGAAAGATTAAGTTCTCAATTTTACGCGGCTGAAAAAACTGTATACAAAATTTTTATCGAATTCATCACTTTCTTTCAGTTCTATTAAATAATTTTTAAAAACAAACTTAATCAATTTCCTACATTTCCATATAATATGATACAAATACAATTTCATTTTGAAGCAGATAATGCTTAAAGTTTATTACTACTAACCAATTGTTTATTCAATTTTTCAGCATCGTATCTGTCGCTGATTACATGTTCTGGTTTCAATGGAAGTTTCCATTTTCTCAATGATAAACAATCCGTAACGAATTATAAAACAATCTTAGGTATGTTATTAACATCGTTTGTAACCCGTTAGATTACAATATATCTATATATCATAGACACACAATAATAAATCTCTGTTTGTTGCTTTAAAAAATAAAGCTTTGAAAAGTCGCCGCTATTTCTCTCAAGGAAAAATACACACATTCTAGAGAAGAAATATTCTATATCTAACGGGTTATAGATCATAATCAATTATTGCACTATATCCTCACACATGTCAGCAAAAAGAATATATCGGCTATATACAATATACTTGACGAAATCTTTTTTGTTTTGTGCATTCTTTAGGCCATTAAAAAATATTGAGACATTAAAAAAAAGGAACTCTTTTGGAAGAAATAGTGATAGTTTTAAAAAACGAACACGTGCAATGATAGAATAATTGCATTAATCAATGAAAATATTTTAATCGATTGGGAAGTACTTCGTTCAAAATAGACTTCTTTCTTGTTCTTTTTTTTCTTTTTTAATAGATAGCTGGATTAGATAGTTTAAATTTAATTACAGTACAAACAAGTGATTGAAAAATAGTTGGCGCATGTAAAAATTTGCTTGTTTCTTTCCATGCAAGTAGCAATCATGTTTAAAAAATGTTTAATCGTAAACGAAAAACTGCCATTAACAAGAGAATTAGGAACCTGTTAATTTTCTTTTTGCAGTATTTTTCCCTATATGTTCTTTACGAAATCCATTTAGTGAGTTCAAATTATCGTTTCTTGTTTCACGTCTCTCCCTTATAATTGTTGGTCTGTAATGTGAGATTGTCAATAATGACTACTTCTTTTGTTGTTGTTACACGTTGCACATATTACTCAATTTATAATTTTATATATTTTTGATTTTATATATTTTTTGACATAAAAAAAATACCGAGTGTCCGTAGAATATATTTTAGTTTCTTGTGCATTATATAACTTCTTTTGTTATCAGTGAGTTGGCTATCTAATGAGTATTACATTTTTAATTACAGCATTTACTTTTTTATATATCCTATTTTACCAAAATTAATAGATTTTTTTTAATTTTGAGAAATTATTTAAAGCTAAAGAAATCCGACTTCCATGAAAGGTAAATGAAAGAATAATAAAAAATAGAGAGTAATTTGTTACGAAATTCTACATTCATTAAAATTATCACCTTTTTCAAATGAAAAGAATTTGAAGAATTTTTTCGAATTTTGTTTTCTGTATAATTTTTGACAGATACATAAGAACTACAAATTTTAACGAGTTTACTTATTAAAAGGCTATCCAGAAGTTAAGTCAGATTCAAGAATTTCTAAATGTTGTATAAATCTTTTAATTCTTGAAACTTTAGTTCCTTAAAATATTTATGGTTTCCTAAAGTTTTATATAGACTTTCATTGGTATATAAGTAAGTCTATTCGTAGAGTTAATAAAAACTGGAAAATCTTAGTTTAAGAACAATTCTATTTATCAGAATGATGTAAAAAGTTCGTGTAGAATCACGATCGAAAAAATTGTCGTTGACGTTAGCTCATTTTCAAAATACATGTTGGCATAAATGAAAGTATTATATTTTTTCTGAGAATTTTTTACTATAAGAAAAAGAAAAGAGAAGTACAACCGATTTATTTTCCATATTCCGTAATAGATATATTTCATTAAAAAGAGTAGAAATCTGGAGATCACAATGAAAAATAATATAGAAAATTTGAATAATGTTATTTTTTTTAGGAAAATATAATACTTTCGTTTGTATTATAATACTTTGTTGGATGTATAGATAGACATAAAGATACACATATGTAAATACACACATATACAGGTTATATACAAATTTACGGACACCCGGTAAATTTTGCGCGAACTCTTTACAATGCTATAAAGTTTTCAACTAGAGCGTAATTTAAATAATTAAATTCCTTATCAGTTTTCATTAAATACTTTCTTTATCGTGGTCTTTGATTGTTTTATATCTCCTCTATGCGAATTAGCTTTCATATATATCAATTATAATACTTATTAGGCCTAATACATTGTACTTCTTAGGATCTAATGCAACTGAAAAATCAAATATTCTAAAACAAAATAATTGTTTATAAATTTCATTACGTAAATTGACTTTATTTTTTTTTGTAATATATTTGTTCTGTATTATAAGAATAATGTTTATTTTATTTTACTTACAACGAAAATAGTACATTTATTGAATAAGTATATTGCAAATACAAAGGAAAATGAAATTGCTAAGAAATCCAGAAAATTACCTAGTTTCAGATTTTCAACATCTATTTTTTTTAATTGCATTAATCCTACGAAATATTTTGTATATTACATCTGTTACATCTAAGTTCTTTCAAAAAGCAAATAGTTTGATTTCGTATTAAAAAAAAAAAAAAAAAAAAAGGAGGAAGGCATTTACAAATTCGGAAATATTAACGATAAAAGTAAATTATAAAATAGTAGAGTAACTATATAAAAAAGGAAAAACTAAATTATTGAACAGTGTGCAATTAAACAAATTCATTCACGATATAATATACTTTCAATATAATATCAAATAAAGAAACTATTGTGTCATATCATTTTTTTTTTTTAATACAAAATCTTGGTATGCTACCCTTTGTTTCACAATATACCCCTATGATAAAGATTCGAAAAATAGTGTCGTAACAGCTTAATATTATTTATTTAGTTATAATGAGTATTGTTCTTACCATAAACAATATATTCAGTTACATCGAGTTGATATTTAATGGAAATAATATTTTTCCTCGATATTACATGGCTAGTTCCATTATTTTATATATCAACCCATCGTCGAAAAGGAAGAGTATTAGAATACTTTTCACATCGCTTAATTCATCATCGTCCTCATGCTTTCATCATTTCTTTATCTCTTTATTAAATTTCTATCTTCTTCTTCTTCTCTCTATCTTCTTTATTAAATTTCTTTAATCTTTCGTCTCATCAAAATAGGTTTTTTTTATCAATATCTCTCATCATAATGAAATTAACCAATCGAAAGTATTTTTGTGGCGCTATGTAAATAGTAATTTATTGGCAGCTATATTTATCAATAAATACTATATGCTTTTTTTTAAGTAGAAAATCTATCCCTGCCGTCGATCAAACAACTTGTTTCATCGCAAGTAATCAAATATAGCATTTGCAATTAATTTGTCCCAATAGCTTTCGATAGGTTTCGAGATAATTATATGTATTTTGTTTTGAAACGAAAGGATTACGAGTTAAGTAAATAATTTCCCACGCGTTCAATTCCTGATTGCAATTAAATGCAACACTGCCATTTATAATGCTACTTATATATTCGTCAGATCAATTGTACGTATTTATATATCCAGGTACATATATGTACATCCCAGTTAATTTCGCAAATCAACGATTTAATAATTACAAATCAGACATTTTTATCGACCAAAAAATTCAGAAAAATTATGACCTCTTTTCACTGGGTGTCGCTAAATCGAGAAACTAAATATTTATGCTAAATGTTAAAAATATTACAAACTGAACAGCAACAAAAAATATTTTAGGCCGTAAAGAAATGTTACACGTAAGATTTTATATGATTAAGAAATTTAAATGACCGCTCAAGCATTTCAATTCACTTAATTCACTCGATCCGTATCATAAAATATTAAAGTTAATTAAAGGAAGTTAGTTAATGACGGATTCCAATTAATCTTCTTGCAGTACCAAAAGCAATCTTCGCAACGTAAAGTCATATATTACAAGTCATATATTGTCTATACTCTTTGATTTTAAAAATATTTAAATTCACGCGCTTAACAAGATAAAGTGCTGAAAAATTTAACAAATAGTTGCCTCTTTAATCTTCAAGGTACATCGTGTATTACAACATATATTTAAACTTTCAACGTGTTCTCGCTTGTCCTCAACAAAGAATATATTCTCTCTTAATTTCTCAGTGTTTTCGTTACTACAGTATATACGGTATACGTACGTAAGTTTCAGAAGTATAAGATAAAATTTTTGATTTTCGTCTCTTAATTTAATCAAACAGAATCCTACTTTTTCCGTTTCGAGGTATAATTAGAAAATGTTTCCTTCATGTTTCAATGCCTCGCCAATATTAAAAGATAATCTATTATAAATTGCGGATTTTTATGTGTTTACAGCAAATTTAAAAATACAAGGAAGTAAACGGTATGTAACAACGATTTTAGTATAATATTTAATAAGTTAATTAATTAGTTCATAAAAACATGAATTCGCATAAATATCCACAATCTGATTATAAATTAACTTATTTCAGTTGACGATCGCATGGAAAAAATATAAGTCAATCTTTTTAATTTCCTGATTTTTATGTAATTTAAAAAGTAGTATTTTAATATGAAATAATTGAGAAAGGAAGTAACCAGACAGGCTCGAAGATACAAGCCTTTTGAAAATATATGAGAAATCAATTTAGTAATACCAACCTGTGTACTTAATGAACGTTTAAAAGGGTAATAAAAAACACGCACTTAATTCAAAAATTGAACGAAAAAAATAGATTTCAGTTAGTGACTTATCATTCTTCTCATCTGTTTCCTTTAATTGCAAGAAAGAAAAATCAAAAGAAAAAGAAAACATAAAAAATTCAAAATGTCCCTTAACAAACTTCAAACCCCGATTTCGAGCATTAGAAAGGTACCTGTGTTCCGAATAGGAACACTTGAAAAATCTCGACCAGTTTAAAAGTTCTCGAGTTATATCGGATTGGTAATAGTTTTCATACTCGAATTGAAACCCGTGCTGTTCGAACCCTCGATACAATACGGCATTACCTTTCCGTGCACGCAGGAACCGGAAGTGTCGTTGTTCAGGATCAACAACAGCAGGCCAGAGACCGCGGCGAACACACCAGCGGACATCAATCCCAGCGCCGGGAGCTTCTTCGAGGAGAGAACTGGTCCATCTTCGAGTTTGAGGTAACACAGCCCAGGAAGAACATAGGCTAAAGGTACAGCAGCGAGGATTCCGTTCAGTTCGAGAACCACGCCGAGACAATCCGTGGACATCGAGATCAGGTATGCAACCACCACTATCGTCAGCGTAATTATCAAGTACTTCCGATCGGAGTTAGGAACATATGCCGTATGATCTTCGAGCTCGTCGGTTCCTTTGATCGCTGTCATTATTACCTAGAAAAAATTTTTGAAAGATCTTTGAAAGATAACGTGTGTATAGAATCTTTTCACGAAATTAGAAAAAAGATCAAGTACACGATCGAACAGTACACGATCCTATTTAATTGAGATTTGGAGGAAAACAGTTATTTACGTTGAAAAGATTCGAGAAAACTTTACAATTATGCCAGAAGAAAGGTCAATTATAAGTAACAAGTTGAATTGTAGATGTTTCACGAAACTCCATTCAATTTTATTATTTGTCATTAATGTTTGACGGCGGAGGAAAGTTTATAGTTTGTCGTTTTGGTTCGTTAACATCTCTCGTCGCAGGTGTTATTGAATTATGAATTTTGTATTGTTTGTGGAGGAAACTTGGAAATGTTACTTTAGCGTGAAATTCGATTAAGCGACTTTTTCCCCTAAGATGAACCTTCCTCTCCGAGGAAGAGTTATCATTGATTTTTGCGAGGAATTATTAATGGTTAAATAAATAGACCTTTATTAGCAGAACAAATGCGTTGGCTGTTTTTGGAAAAATTCAATAAAATTTATTTTTAAATTAAAATTAAAATTTAAAAATTCCAATTGAAAAATTGAGCTTTGGGTTCATTTTTCCCCTGATGATAAGTTAAATATTAATGAGATAAATTTCAGTCGTTGTCAAACATCTTCAATATATTTTACTCCGTCTGTTATTCTCGCTGCGCGCATTTCAATTTATCTAGTTTCTTCATTTCCTTTCCACAATTCACTTTCTACTATTCAGGACATTCCAATATTACCTTATCTTCCTTATACCCCTACCATACTTTCATTCACAGTAATTTTCATGTCTATCATCTTATCTCGTTGTGAATTTAAAAGAGAGAAAATTCAATTGTTCCAGTCAATAAAATTCATTGGACGTTGCAAATAAATATCTCTTAACACTCGAATACGCACGAAGCAAATGCTCCTTCTAATTTCCAAATAGAATAAGTAAATCTTACAAATGTTTCAATATCAAAAAGGAGAATGCAAATAACTGTTAAAAAAAGATTCGACACTGGAAAAGATATTATCAAGATTGAAATATAGCTTACCTCTCTCGTGACGAAGCATTCGATAGGAAAAGTAAGTAAAATAGTCCCGCTGAACATAACTCTGGCGAAGTTCATCAGATCATCGTCCCAACAATAATTCTCCATAAGATCACCCTGGACGTACGCAGTAAACGTGGCATATCCGATGATTCCAAAAGCTGCCGCAATCAGGAAGGAAGTGAAAAGTGACCAATGGGTGACGATGTCCCATTTTTGTTGAGTAGCCCTTTCTATAGACTCGTAGATAAGGAATGTATTATGATGGCACATAAAGGCGAATGCCATAATTCCAACGGATGGAACTATGCCGGGGAAATTTGCGAATCGCCAACTATCTTCCTGGCTTGGCCTGAAAATCAAATCGATTTACCTCGTTAATTATTTTCTACCATTGAAGGGAAAGAAAAGAAGAACGAAATAAAAATGAAATGATAATATTACACGATATTGGATTATTTTATCATGCACTGCCACTAGTTTATACTTTAATATTAATTGTTTAAGAAGAAAGCAAAAAAGAAAAAAGTGAGAGACTGCACTTACACAATCGCTGACATCGTACCCATCCGGATTAAAATCGTTAGGAGAATGAAACCAACGCAGACCAACGAAAGGAATGAGATCTTGGCCAAACGAGCAACATTTCTATAAAGACACAGCGGTATAGTGATGCAAACCGTCGCGAATAAGACGACCACTTGACGATGAGCAAAAATGTTCGTCTCGCTTATCCCTGTTACCCTTATTAACACTTTCGTCACCGTGTCGCCAACGACAACGTTATAAGAGACCATTGCTGAAAAAAGGTAAAGACGTTACAGCATGAATGGTGCCTCTCATAAATAGGTAAGAGCTGTTGCACTCGAAGTTCTTCAAACAAACTTCAGCGATACGCGAGAGTAAGCATTTTCCGATACGTTGCTTTGATTCAAACATCTACTTCGAAGGTTTCATCGAACAATTTTCCTTTTTACTCAAACTTTTTCGTTTTACACAATTTCCTTCGTTTATCTCAATACTAGAATATTATATAACATTTAATACGAAACTTTAATTAGTTAATACGAAGAGAAAGATAAATAATAAATGACATGCAATTTCAATTTTGAATTTTTATTTCTTGTTAACGATTTTAATCTTGCTATTCTCCACGAGTCTACATAGCCTGGAAATGAAGATCGTGTTTTAGTAGATATTATTAATTCTACTAGCTTCTTTATTTTTTATGTATTTTACATGTTGAATATATTCTTACAATTAGATTTACTAACGTAAAGAGCAAGAGTGAAGAACAGCAAGATTAATCGTTACTACGATTATCTCGCGGTTATAAAAGATGCATGTACCTATGAATGGATAAATAAATTGTAGTGTCGTGAGAATATAAAATCCTGTACGACCGAAACTGGCTCTCATTAAACCCTGGTAGCTCATTTCACCGCAAATGTTTCCACTCCTAATCATTAAAATTAAAGAGTAATCAGTGAGTCCAGCTACCAGTATTAATAATACTATCCCGAGGCCGAATCCAGCCTGATGAAGAGCATAGGGTATACCTGAAAAGTATTAATTAACATTTCCTCCTTCTCTTGAACGACTCGAAATAATTGTTAGTCCTTAAACACCAAAATAATTTTTACTTTGTTTGTTTAAAAAATAAAATTTGCAACTACTAGAATATACACGAATATTACGAATACTTTTCGTAATTATTAATGTTATTTACAAAGAATTTTGTTACCGGGATATTATTTTGTATAATTGAATGAATATTATTAATTATATTTTACGAGTCGAAGTTATCAATACCAATAAATGAAATATTGACGAGAAATTTTATAACTTAAATTTGTAACTTATTAAAATTATTAATTGAAAAATTACTGTGCAATAGGATCCAGATAATTTCATCACAGAAAAAAAAATCACTTCCATAATATAATCTATTAACTGAATGAACATGATGGTTACGTAAATGGGAGATCCCTGATGAATCATTCGTCAAACGAAATGATCAGAAGGGAATAGGCATCGAGCCAGTTTTTCCTTGAAAAAATAAAACTGATAGGAATTCCTAAATCTAAAGAAGGCCAAGGTTTCTGAAATCAGTTACAAAGCTACAATCTTTCATGTATAAATATATATATATATATATACATACATCCATACATTTTTATTTTTAATTTACAAATGAAGACAACTCGGGACGTTATAATGAAAAAGCTGAAAATACGTGAGATACTAAATAAAAATGAAAAGATCATTAAAATTTTTTAAGAAGAAATTAGTAATTAAATGTAATTAATTCAGTAATTAAACAGTTTTTAAGATATTTAGTATTTGACAACCGCTTTTTATTGATATAAATTAATGTACATAGATGAAACTGACATTTTGTATGTAATTATATTATATTCAATTAGAACAATGAATTTTTATTAATCATATATTATTTAAGATTAATATATCCGTAATTCGGTGTTTAAGGATCTTTCTTTTTAAATAATATCACATGTTCGAATTACCAATAACACCACTGCCAATAATGGAATTGATGAAATTAAAACTGGCCAGGGGTAGGCTACTGAATTTTCCAGATTCTTCCTTCTTTTCCTATAAAATTATATTTTATTTATGCCGATAAAAATGAAAGCAAATTAGAAGAAGAAAGAAAAATAATCAGAATAAAAAATGATGACTGAAACAGGAAGTTCTTAGTAATAAATAAAGAAGTAGGAAAATCTTATTACAGTGTTCATATTAAAGCATATAAATCTACAAGTATTAATTTAATCTAATTTTATAAGATTCTCACATCAATTCGAAGCATCATAAAGACAATTTTCTATTTATAAAAATTCCTAATTTATGAAATTTGAAATAAATTTCTATCACATTCAAACTCTCAACTATATAACTATATATAATCCTACATTATTAAATTATATATTGATACTAACAACTAAAATCAAGTTTGTATAGAATATCTGCGCTTTGAAAATGGGTATGAATAAACACTTGAATAATAACTTGAATAAAGTATTATATTAGCACGATGTTCGATGGATAGAATTTCTGTATAATAGAAATTCATATAGAAATATTATTACAGTCTGATCTTATTCAAATTGGAAATTTCCACGCTTTAATTTAAATTAATAATCATTGTAGTTAACGAAATTCATTAAATTCTCATTCTTTGCACCATATGTTTAATTTCATAATCATACAGTGTTAATCCCAAATGTTGATCTAAAAGAAAGAGAAATAACATAACAGATTCATGCAAAATTCATGCAAACATTTGTATAACTCTGACTCTAAACTAATGTTGATTGAACATAAATTCTAGTTAACTAATTGTATTTCTTACCCCGACAAGTTGTCTCATGTCATCGTAAGATTCTTCTGAACCCAGACTGCCACCCTATTTAAAGCCAATATTAATAGCAAAGTTGGCTTCCGAATACTAATCACGATAAAGTCATCAGGCGTAAAATTTCTCGTTAATTACATTTTTCTGCACAGTATTCTTAAGCAGAGAGCATTTTATAGCTATTTTTTTCTTGATTCTACCCATTATAAATTCTCAATTACAATTCTCAATTAGACGAGATTGTATTTGATATAAAATTTATTTTGTAAAATTATTTGTTACATTTACAAATAAAAGAAATTTTCAAATCAAGCGATAGACAAATTTCAATTTTATTTATATTAGACAATATTATCGAAAATATATGTATACAAATATTAAAATTGTCCTATTTATGAGCCCCACCCTGTAAATGTTTTCGTAGATCTACAAATAAGATTAGTGCAGTCGATGACTTTTCCAATAGGATTGAAGTTAACAAGATATTCATAGTGGTATGAATTGGATCATTAGTTCAGTAATTAATGATTAATTATTACTAGTTAAATCAATAATTCTAATTGTATTATTAAAGGAGTTACAAGATAAATAGATTAGTAAATACATAAATCAAACTATTATAATTTATTGCAAACAAATTCTATACATATAAATATTGAGGATGGAATGACGATATTAAATAAAATTTATTATTTGTATCCATACAGTTCTTCATCTATCTACACATTCTCAATTGTTATATAAATTCGAACAGAATAATAATCCGAGGCATTCAGAAAATACTGTCGCGGAATAATTGAAAGCAATAAAAAATAATAATTTTTATGGAAAAGAAAGTAATTCTAACATAATACAAAGAGACAATAAAAGAAACTATAATAAGGAAATATGTATGAAAAGAATACGTAGATGTGATATACGTATGTATACATCCGATGAGTTATGGATTTTTCCTTTTGTCATAATACTATGAATATCTTTGAATAAAAGAGCACGTCTCTCTTCTCTCTCCCCTTTCTTCCTTTTTTTTAAATAATTATAATTTCAGGAAATAAATTCGTCTTTATTTTTTTTTCCATTTTTATTTCAAATAAAAATCTTTATTTCAGATTGAGTTAACTTCAACAATTTCTAACTAACAAGAAAATCGCAAAATTTCATTCAAATTGAAGTAATAAGTCCAAGTTTTTAATCACTCTTTCAATAGTCTGAAAGCTAACAATAAATATCACGATCATAACGAGGCAAATACCAAACACCACAAAAACAATTGTTCACAATTCTAATCACTTCGATCATACGAAACGATAGAAATTATATTCAAAATCTAATTTGCACAAATTCACCAATAATCAACCATCTAATAAATTCAAAATTGGTCGCACAAGCCACTTCAAACAGACCGGATTACGCGAAATCTTACGTTCTCTGTAATCAAGTTATTCCTCTCTAATTTCCCTCTCTCCGCCGTTCATAATCATTTAATTGCAGTGTTCGTAACGATGAAACACTTCTCGTCACGTATTTTACTACGTACGTCATCATATTCCCCGAATAAGGATTAAAAAGAGAACAACAGTGATTCATAGCGAGATGGACAGGAGGAATCATGATTTTTACTTACATCCTCGTAGTTGTTCCTTGCGTCCAGGATGTAACTCTTCTCGTTCGCGTCCAAAGCCATCGCGGGAGGTCGTTGAAAGGGGAAGAATCGAAGGTGGAAACGAGAATAAACGGAAAGCTTAAAGGGAAGGTTCGACGTGAGAGTAGGATCGAGCAGACGTCTGAGGCGACTGCACCCTTCCTATCTAACAGAGCTTCCGCTTTCACCCCCCGTTTCACAACCCCTCCAGCGGCATATACGTACGGTGGTTGCGATGGCTGCGTGCGCATTGTACACGCTCCTGTTTTTCTGCGTTATCGAGATCCGTCGTTGTCTTCATTATCGTCCGTCCGCCTCTTCCTCGATTTTTCCACGACCTCGATGCACAATTTTCTTCGACCAATCCTTCAGGACCGTAAACTCGTCAACGATCAGGAATCAGGTTGTCAAATAAAGAACGCCGTACCATTTTATCGATGATAACACCAGATAGATTTTCGTGTAATTTGCATTAAAATGAATTAACGCTACAATTAAGAAATATATATATATATATTTTTATTGGATTAAAGGTCGTTGACTAGAATGGAAAGATACATTTTCAGCGATGCTAACCGAAGGTTTGTATTAATTAGATTATATTAATCGGACTGCTGACGATGTGTTGGTTTTATGCTTGATAAGAGACAGAGGTGATTCATGTAATTATATGTATTTTCTACATTTCCATATAAATGGAAATAAACTTGATGATAATGTCTCTGCTTGACGAAGACATATAAATCTCTGTGCTGTATTGTTCAAAAGGATGTTTAGTGACCAATGCTTACGTAATCTTCGTGTTTGTTTAGGAGTTAAATGTCGAGGAGATATAAAGAAATCTTTGTAAGTAGATGATGTTGTTTGTACTCAGACTCGTACTAAACTACGTAAAAACACAACGCGGAGCATCGTGGAGATAAAATAAAATCTGTAAATACAAAATCTTTAAATATAAAATGCAGTTACAGTTAATAATTAAAAATCGTTAATAATATTATCTAATAATTTCATGGTTAAAAATCATAGTTATAGCTATTCATTAAAGACAGAAAGTAAGAAAAAAGTATCGCATATATTTAGTAAAATGAATACATAAGCATTTTACACAAAAATATTTAATAATTTTAAAAAAACATCTTGCACTGAAAAATTGGTTATTTTGTTTTTATATATCTTTTATTGGACTACGTTAACTCGATGTCTAAACAAATCTTAACAACGTTATCGTAAAAAATGAAAATTTCATAATGAATAATTACCAGTGTACAATTAAATACAATATTTAATATTTGACAATGATGCTAGTTATTGAATATTTTACTGACTGTATAAATTAACTGTAATGACAAATAAGTATACATGAAGACAAATTAGATAACAAAATAATGATACAATGCCTTAATTATTACTTAATGTTAATTCTTATATAACAATATAATAACGTAATAACAATATATCACGCAGACAATTAAGTAATTATTGATTTTTCGATCGATAATCATCAATTATATCAATCATATTGGTCGAAACAACCTTTTCACTTCAACATCTTATCACTTTGCAAATCACAATTTAAACATTCTATCCTAAAATTTAAGTGAAGATTAAAATATTACGATAATTTGTTATTGCATTTTTTCAATGTATTTTTATATTTTAAAGCACGATAATAAAACACGATAAAAGCAAAAAATAATTTAAAACTATTTTGATAGTTTCCCTGTAACATTCACTTGAAAGATATACATACATAAATATACATATATATTAATAACCAAATTTTTACATAGTTTTGTTCATCAGAAAATGGAGAAACAAATTTAATAAAAGTTCTCGGAATAAAAATGCAAATGAAAAGGTTCAAGAAAAAATCGTTACTGCTCATGTTTCATTCGCTACAAAGAATGCAAGAGAAATTTATAAGACATGATGTAAAAAAAAAAAACCTTGTCTAACTCTTGTAACTCTTGTCTAATTTTGATATTCAAGAATGTCTCGAAGGATTTTGACAAGGTACCACGAACCACCCGCTGTTTCCAGAAACTGTCGGGCCAATTTGAGGATTATTTAAAAGGGGATTGTTCATCCTCTGGTTCTTCATGATTTCTAACTGGCGCTTCAAATTTCGATACAGCTTTATAAGAGACTCCTGTAAACCAGAAAGTAACATAGTATAAAAAGAAGAGAACTTTGAAGAAATGTAAAACAAACTAAAAGATTAATTTATAAAATTTTAATTAGTAAATTTTTCATCAAATTTTAAAATATTGAAATATTTTATATCATTTAAAAATTATTTTTTTATAACATCTCTATAAAGATAAATTATAAAATAAATTTCTTTCAACTAATAGCTTTTAACTACATCAGTTTACCTTTTCATCTTCAAGTTTTTTGAGTTCCTCTTGCTGTCTCAAACTGTCTATGGTCAAATTTTTAAGCATTTCATTTTTGTGTTGACCCAAGAGCGCTATCTCCGTTTGTACTTTCAAATATTCTTGAGCTAGCTGTTTGTGCTCTTCGAAAATTTCTTTGGATCTTTCACAAGTCTGATCGGGCGTCAATGGCCTTAGATCAGCATCCAAAAGGCGATAAACATTGTCTAAATCTTTGTCGGTCGTACTGTTACCTGTCAATTAATAATTATAACTGAAGTTAATCTCTAAATTAATGCAAGATCAATAGCTTCTAAATTTGGGCTTAAAATCAATTATATAAAAGTTAGCTGTACGTATTATACGTAATACGTATTTATATATTTAAATATATAATATACAATATATATAATTATATATTATATTTTTATATATTTTTTACATAAGTATATAAAAAGTTAACTTTGATTATAATAAAATTATAAAAAACATAAATTAGTTATTAAAAAAAAAGTCGATATATATAAAGATGTAGAAAGAAATGTAGAAACGAATATTTACGGTTTATTTTATTTTTCAAACATCCGTAAAATAAAAAGAAACGTAATTTTAAAATAGTAAACTCTGCTATTTCTTTCATAAACATTAAATTTGATTTAAATTTCTGAGTCCAATTCAGGAAGATAAGCATTGTTATGTTGGTTGAACACATTCTTAAATGATCACAGCAAAGTTATTGACTCTCTTACTTACATTAAATCTATTTTGAATTTAAATTAATTTTAGAATTTCTCAATTTATTTTAAGGAAAACAATACTATACAAGCATCTTAGTTTACTTAAAATACCTTCCTATTGTGTGTGCTAAATGTGATTAATTTAATATTTTTAATCCTGATTTCTTCAAAAAAAAAATGTGTGTTATGCAATAACAAACTTCAAATTTTTATTTAGTCGGCATATTCTAAAAATATAAATAAAATAAGTAAATAATTAGAAACATAAAGAAACATACAAATACAAAGAAATTTTTAAACAGAATTTGAATTTCCCATCAATTTAAAATCTAAAGTTTTCAACTTTAAATTTTTTATTACATTTGGTGGGTTCAGCTTCATGTTTCTTCTACATGATTATTCAATATTTGATCCTCTAATTTTGAATATCATGTAAAACAAATGATAAAAACTCTATCGGTCCACTTAAAGCTCTCCTAATCCCAAGCATTTCATCTTTTTATCAATGATGAGGAAGAAAAGAAATACAGAGAAAAGTACTAACGTAGCAAAACCCAGCACCGCTTTAGGGTATCCGTGGTGACGATGTTTGGGTATTCTTCGCACATTTCCAAATACTAGAGCCTGTCGAGGCTTCGTTCATAATAGAATCAAATAATCGTTCACATGAAAGATGTCACTCTCTGATTAAAATTTACCACGAACCACTCTTTGATCCAGAAGATGGAGATCGATCGTTCGTAAAAAATGAAAAGAAGACAGGTAGGAGGATAGGGAATGGGAAAATAATATTTCGAAGAAACGAAAAATTTCTTTTCAATAACGAGGATAAGAGAAAAAGAAGAAAGAAGAAAGACCGTCGTTCTTGGTGATGTGTCGGGAGAGCACTAAACAAACGTGCATCTATATTGGGCCTGGTGAGTCAGCTACACCTGCTTCGAGGTATCCCCCACCAGACAGGACAAGCAAGCACGAGCCAAGAAGAAAATACGGTTCTTCGGCTCTTAATTCATCTTCAGGGCTGGATTAAGTCGAAACTCTTTTTCCATATTGATACCACAATGAACAATTAAGATTCACTCAAGGAAAAGAACACCTACTCTGGATCGTTTTTCTTTAAAAAGTCTATGCTTTTGAGAGTTGGAAGCTATATGAAGAAGAAGTACATTTAATAATAGAAAATATATAATTTTGTCTAATCAAAAATATCAAAATGAAATATATAATGTTTTTACGACGTAATATATTTTGTTCTTCATATTACTATTCAAATCATTCAGCTTTTGCAAAATTAATTGATTTCTTTTACTGTGTTACTTTATAGTTTTATATGCATCCAGTCTAATAGAAAGTGCATGGTCTGTTTTTATTTACTTGGACCTTTTAGAGTAGAGCTTTTATTGTCATCGATAGGTATCAATCAAGAATAAATTCTTCTGATTAGTTGTTCATTAAATTTAGTATACTCGTACAATGTGACTGTTTTCGCGGGCCCTTTGCCAGGGTAGATTTCGTCGATCGACGAACTCCCAAGGTATTTGTCACAGTGAAATCACAACGTGCCAAGGTGCAATGTTTTAACTTCTTTCTATGATTTCGTTCTCATACAATTTTATATTGAAAGAAAGCAATATTTCTTCTCATTTATAACATATATATATTAACAGCAACATAAATTTAGAAAAAAATTATAAATAATTATAAGTACAAATAATAAAAAATAAAACAAAAATCTAGTAATAATTTAAAAAAAATTTTTTTTAATAAATTACTAGATTTTTAAAAATTTTAATTAATTTCTTACATTTCCAAATTATATTTTACGTGTTAAATGAGAATAGTTAAACAAAAATAAAACAGCATTTTGTAGAAATAAAATCAAAGTGTATACATAAATATAAATGTTAATTATTCAAAAAAGCAATCAAGTGATGACAATAAATTGCCTGAGCACATCACATTCCGCACTAAAAGGAAGATTTTGTGGAACATACGGAGAACGTTATTTTGGGATTAGAGTACTATCGCGGTGAGTCACAAATTCAAAGCTCTCGCCCCAAACGAATTCCCTTCCTCCGCAATTATAGAACAACGGCGAAGTTGTCAGTAAATAGCAATTATTTTGTTATATGCACATGATAAAAGAAAAAAAAAAAAGGATGTGTTCTACAAAATAAAATGATGATGATGAATATTAACAAAAATAAAAATGAGAGAAAGAAAACTTCAAATATTTCATCAAAATAATAAACTTACTTTGTGCAGTATTTTTTATCTTTAAAATAGGAGATTCCAATGATGGGTCAGAACTTGGTAATTCCCAAGCATTCTAAAATATAAAAATATGTTTGTATTAAAAATATAAATATAAATAAATGTATGATACAAACTTTAAAAGATATTTATACTTTCTTAAATATTAATTAATTTTTAAAAATTTGTAAATATATTAAAAATAATCGTTTTTAAAATACATAAAGAATCATTATATTTAAATTAAAAGATACTAACTGGATTACACTCGACATAAAGTTCAGAGAAATCTTTACTCTGAAATTTTTTAGTGGACGAATTGTTTGCTGAAATATTATTTTTCGGAGATGGATCTCTTAAATTGTAGAAAGGATTCGGTGAACTGTTTTTTTCATTAAAATTTTCCAACTTGTCTTTGGAAACGGGTACATCAGCTTTAATAGTACCATTGGCAGGATATCTGTTTATTTCGGAATCTATGGTATCAGTCACGTCCAAAGTATTATCTTTAGAAACCTGGTTGTCATTAACTTCCTCTGACTCAATATCTACAATATAATAACTATTGTATAATAATCACTGTGAATGTTTACATACATTTATAAATTTAATTTAAAATTATTAGTTATTATTAATACATGTACGAACTTTGGGAATATTCCACAGGTTCCAAATATCCACTAAAAAATTGTGATAAAGTTGTCATTATTTCTACAACTTCATCCATTGATGGTCTTTCTTCAGGAGATTTGTGCCAACATCTGAAATAATTATTTACTTATAAATATTTATTTAGAACGTAAAAAGACAACTAAAAAAACATAAAGGAAAATGCTGGCCAAAATCATATATATAAAAAAATTTATCAGACTCGTAGTAGACATAACAAAAAAATAAATTTTATTTCCTAAATATATCTCTTAATGAAAAAATTGTTTTCAAATCCATTGATTATATTTTTATAAATAATGTACCAGAACAAATAGGTTTAATTTTATATTAATTGCAAATCCTATTTCCTATGAAAAAATATGATTAAAATATGATTTTAAGTTTCTGTTTTTTTTTTTATTACTCAATTTTATTTTATTTTATTCAATAATTTATAAGACAAATTCGAATAATATTTTCCATCCTCTTTCCTGAATTCAACACTTTCCCTTCCACAATCTACTATCAATAAAGTTTATGATGAAAATAACTGGGAGCATTCTTAAATTTCTTGCAAGAAAATCCACTGAAACTGCCATAGGCAGTGATTTGAAAAACAGATCCTTCGAATGTTGAATCATCAAGTGAAACACGAAAGGGAAAGTAATCTCGCCATCTGGCACAGTGGAATCAATTTGTGGACAAATATCATTGAAGACAATTTCACTTACCACTAAAATTTGCTCCCAGTGCCTAACCATTGAAGGGGATGAAAGAGTGTATTGTTGTCCCAAAGGAGAATCCATAGTCGCTAAAAGACCTTAATTTCTTTAAAGAAAATTTTATGATGAACTATGTGCCCCAATCTTCACCCTCACCTAGGATAAAACCTAAAATTCATAAGAAGAAATTTAGAAAAGCCCTAATTAGAAGCACAGAACAATCTCAGAATGAAGAATTATGAAACTGTTAAAGTTATCCTAGCACCAAATAGATTGACCACCATCTTACATATACCTCCACTATTCTAAAATACCAACAATCAACCCAATATTCATATCCTTCAACAATTCTATATTCCCTCCTCAATTAAATTCCAGCTGCTTATTGATCAAATAACTGATGATTATTAATTTATCATTCCCTAGTTTCCTTAAGCTTAGACGTAATTATAAAACTTAGAATAATCAACCACATATTAGGATATATCAGAAATATTAATGATATATTAAATACTTATAAATTGAACTGTTCTCATTATATTTTATTTTTTTAATAATTAAATTTAAATTCATTTATTCAACTTATAGGATAGATGATTTAAGAAATAAAGTTTTAGAACAATTTTAACTAATATGTACACTTTCCTATCAAGAAAATTGAATATTTAAGAAGAAGAATAACAGATAGTACAAATAATCATTTAAATACTTTTAAAGAAATGTTCTATTCCAAAAAGGAAAAGGAAAAGACACTTGAAGACACTATATATAAGTGTAAAATTTCAACCTGTAAGGTAGTAATTTTTCACAATTTAAATTGTGAATGAATAGAAAATTCATTGCAGATTGTCATAATAATAGTGAAATTACACAATAAAATAATATCAACTCTTCAAAGAAGAATATTATACATGTACAATGTTTATACTGTGAAGAAAAGTTCATTTTATCGAAATTTAACAAAATGTTCCATTAGAAATGATTTGGGCACAGCATATTGAAATGTTATAAAAATATTATATCCAAAATATAATTAATGTAAAATATAAAATGGAAAATTGTTTAAAAAATTTGAAATAACAGTTAATCTACTTAAATATTTTTTTCACCTGAAAAGAAATTTCTTTAGTTACAAACAAGTATAATCATTGATTACTGATTAGCAAGAATTTTTAAAATTAAATGTTCAATATTATTTTTTAATAAAACTTTTTTAAACATAATAAAGTTATAATTATTTCAAATAAAATATGTTAAAATACATAGAATATATTAAATATAAATAAATGTATTACATTTTACATTTTAACAATTATAAAAAGCATTAATATTTGTTACATTTTTTTTATAATATATATATCTTCAAATCAATATTTTTCATCAATTAAAGTTATTTCTACTGCACAATTAGTAATACATATCACTATCAAAAAACGAATTCATAAAAAAAAAAATTATTTTAACTCTTTTAGATGAATTATTAGAACATGCTTTATTAACATTCACAGTAGAATAATTATAAATATTAATAGATACCTAGTCATGAGATCTTCAATTGGTTTAGGGCAATTTTCAATCAAAGGAGGTCTTTGTCCTACATGTACTGCCCACATTATTCTGTAAGCTGAACCACCAATCTCATCAAATGGTTTTTTCCTTGACAATATTTCCCATAAAATAACACCCCAACTAAACACATCACATTTCTCAGTATATCTAGAACCTTCAAACACTTCTGGAGCCATCCAAGCAGCAGAACCTTTGTTATTAGTCATATAAGTATTTAAATCACAAGCTGTACCAAAATCACAAATTTTAAGAGTTTGTCCACCCATAACCAACAACAAATTTGGTGGTTTTAAATCTCTGTAAATATAAATAAAATTTGTTTAATGTAATAAATATCTATAAATATAAATAAAATTTAATCATTTGAAAAAGTAAATTTTCAATTTGTTACATCATATTTTCAATAGGAAAAAGAATATATTTAACTTATTTACCTATGAATTAAAGGTTTTGGTTTCATATTGTGAAGATATGCAACACCACGAGCACATTGCAAAGCCCAACTCATTGCGTGTCCTGCAGTATACTGTGGCTGAGGATTACAATGTAAAACTGCAACATATTAATAAAACCAAAAAAAATTTTTTTAATTATTAGTCAATAACACTAGGAATATGAAACAAAGAAAAGCATTTAATATTTTGTTAAATTAATGAAATCTTGCATTATCAAAATAATAAAAAATAATTTAGAAATATACTTTATTAAAAATATAAAAGAGCTTCATAAAATCAAGTTAATACCATTATATAAAGAACCGCCTTCTGCATATTCCATAACCAGACAAACTGGATTTTTAGTACAGGCACCATAAAGTTTTACAATATTGGGATGCACAACTCTAGATAATTGTCTAACTTCTATAGTAAAGGCCTTTTTTTCACCTTCTGAGTTTATGTATTTTATAGCAACATATTGTCCTCTCCATTTTCCTTTCCATACTACTCCAAAAGAACCTTTTCCTACTACCTACACAAAAGTGGTTTGATATAATTTAATATTTTTAAAATTCAAAGACAATTAATATCTTTCTAAAAAATGACATCACGAATAAAGTATATTAAGAATGTTAGAAACTGCATAACCTCAACAAAATGAAAAAAAAATACAATAGTAGAAAAATTCAATATTTTAATTAATTTTTAAAAGTATACCTTGTACTCTACTGAAAAGTATTATTAATTTTTACTTTTACAAATTAAGAAAATGACATATATTTATATTTTATTAAAATAAAAAAATATATTCTAATTAATTCTTAATGATATTTTGAACGAAGATTTTTCACGTTGCGTAAATTAAAATTCCTAATATCAAAGTATAGAGTATAAAGTATCAACCTAAGCTTCGATATCAACTTGCTTAAAAAATATTGCGATCGCCGAGATATGATCGTTATTAAGGTTATATTTCAAACAAAATCAACCGATCAATAAGGATAAATTGTGAAAATCAAACGGAACTAGATGTGAGCGTTTGAAAAACGTTTTATTAAACAACAATAAAGATGTGAAAATCTGACTTGTCCGAACAATAAAGGAAAGTCACTAGATAACTTTTTAATACCTGCTCGGTTTCAATCTCATCGTAATTAATTTCTTCTACAAACTGCTGCTGATGGCTTACTAACTCTTTACCCGCCATCACACACAGTCGACATTACATTAGTTTCAGAGCACATTTAATTACCGGACATGTTTATCATAAGTAGATATTTGTTTAAACTCTGAGATCAAGCTCCTTTGATATTTTCCATTTTATTAACATTCAGAAGGCATGTGTAGCGAGAAAATTGTATCGATAGATGTCCATCATTCGATAGATCGATTTGTTGAAATACGATCCATCGTTAAACATAAAAAATATAATTGAATTTATATCTTGACGAAAACAGGAATATGAAATTATTTTGTTTAACCAAAACATAGCGGTTACAACATGAAACGGGAGTATATAGAAAAATATTTATACATACGTACAAAGTGAATGCTACGTATTTATTACTCAAAAGTTTACTGAATATGTGCTGAATATAATTTAATTGCTTGTTTTCGATGTTATGCGTGTCCCATATACATGTTTATATATATTCCAACTTGTAAATTTATTTATTACGTCATAAATTTATTAAGTTATTTTATCAAGAATATTAAAAATTGTTGTTATATAAATTATTAAGAAATGAACCTAGTTTTTACTTCTGCATGAATTTCAATTAAATATAATAATTAAAATATTAATATAGATAAAAATCAAAAACTATATCTATCACTCTTACATACATATTCCCGCGCTGCAATCTGATTTGCTTATATTAAATAAACAAGTAATTATATGTCATGTATAATTACATGTCAAATAATTTGACGCATAATCACATATTGCGGCATATATTAATTCACAGTGAAAACACTGTATCTAGATATATCATTTTATTGTTTGATTGCAATTCATTTAAAGTTACTACAACCTATGTACAAAATTTTAACACATTGTATATAACATAATAATAATAATATTAATGTATGATAATAATATTATTAGTACATTTGTTAAACACAAATAAAAATTAGTAAAAAAAATGTAGAGAAATTTTCATTATTTCACTGTGACCAATCGAAACGGCAATTTAATGTTTTGTTATGTAAAATCTCTTATGTTATTATAAACTTCTAATTTTATTAATGACTTATTGCATAATAGGGAACTATAACTTTGCTTACAAAAAATTTCGATGCTTCAGCAATCTATTCGAAAACGACAGTGTACTACAAAATATGCACATACTATGTAATATACCCTGCCCTGTATACGGTTTTGTGTAACATGGCACCAATCAGCGCTCGTGATTTTTTGATTTAAAACTTGAAATTGTTAAGGTGGTAATTTGTCATCGTCGGTAAACAACTGTCCAGTTCCTTCCATTTTCTGTGAAAATAAATCTGAAAAGAATTTGACTTTACAAAGGTTCGTCATGTTTTATAATTATCAACTGTGAATCAATCTCTTTTCAAAATGGCAGAAAATCTTTCGAAACGGCCTCCCAAGGGAATTTTAAAGTCATCTAGCAGTTTCGATAATCCAGATGTACCCAGGTAAATGATTTTCTGAATTTGTCTAAATTTATTTTATATTAAAGCCGTGATTCCATTCATACGTCATCAGTTTCTTTAAAAATCGAATGATATCGTTTTATAACTAAAAATTATATGAGAGAGAGAGATGACGATAGTTTTAATCTGTACTTTAAGGTTATGTTAATTAAATCATTCATATATATATATGAATGATTTATATATATATATATATTTTTTAATTGTTTTTACCTTTACGAAATTAATCATAATTTAATCTTGTAACTATGAAGAATAAATTTTTAATTTTTAATACAGTAACTTTTATCGCAGACCAAGTAAAGAAACAAAATGGGATGAGATGAATATAATTGCAACATTGCACCCACCAGAAAAAGATTATGGTCATATGAAGATCGATGAACCAAAAACCCCATACAATTATGAAGGCCTGCAAGCTGAATTTGATTTTGATCAATTAGATTCTACTGCAGTTGCTGCCAAGTAAGTATTTATGTTAATCCATTAAACCTAGCGTTTTATTTTATATTTTTAGTTATTTTCATGTATATATTGCATATTATCACATATTCTAAAGAAAATTAAAAATTATCAATAGTTTTCCATGAACTTTAATTATAGGATACATAATTTTATAACATACAAAATATACAGGAATACCAAGTATATTAGGAATAGTAATTAAATTTAAAATTATTTTAATATTAATATTAAAATTTATATTAAATTTATGTTTATATCTAGTTTATGTAAATAGCAAATGTCAAAATATATGTAATACTGTTATAATTAATGTCTGTAATATATGTTATACTACTTTATTTAACAAAAATATACACATTCTTATCTTATAATATATATATAATACAACAATAATGAAATGTATAATATTCATAAACTTATTATCTTATTTGAAAAAAAGATTAAACTTTACATATTGATTGCTCAAAAAACTCAATAAAACATTCTGTAATCTCAGTATCAATGAATTTATTGTAAGGAATTTGTAGCTATTAACGCCATTTTTTTTTTTTTTTTTTTTTTTTTTTTTTGTTACATCTATTAAAGATTTAAAAAATAGTTCTGATTGTTGTTTGTAATTTAATTTTTCTTAAAAATAGCATTGCACACAGATTTTAATCTGAAATATATTTGTTTTTATCAGCTTTAGTTTTCCAATCAGTCTAATTTATGTTATCTGTTTAGACTTTTATACCAGGATTGGCTTAAATGGAAACTCTCAAATTTAAGTTATGCTACTATTCTCTACTAAGCAGCAGTATCACCATGTAGGGTATAACATTGTTACTTACATAATGCTGAAGTATTGATATTGATGTTGGAGTTGAATATTAAAAATAGATTGAATGTATGCAAATGTGTGTAGAAATTTCATGTTGATTTATTCTTTTTATTGGAATAAATCTTCATTGGTAAGTTTCAATGTTCTTCAAAATGTACATTTGCTATTTTTACTTCTTAGAGTTGTATTCCTTTATTATTTTCAGTAATTCTACACAAAAAGAGGTACTTGTGTGAAAAACTACTTGAATTCTTCAGAAAAATATTATTTAAATTTCCAAAATTTGAGTAAACAGGATCAGTTTTTAAGATGGTTTACTATATTTTCAAATACTATGATCAAACAATTTTAATTGAATATACATGCATCAAGAAACATACAAAGTGTTTCAGAAGGTATGTAACATCCCGAAGTCGAAAATTATGACATATAGTTATAATTTTTTAAATGTTATTAATTGTCAAAATTGAATGCACATACATTTACAAAATACTTTTACAAAATACCACTACTATTATAAATATACATACTATTATAAATTAATTTTTGTATGTCATACATTTTTGGCATTCATTTTTAAAATACATAACATAAAAAATTAAATGAACAATTGAATCAAAATTAAATGAATATGTAAATTATTATATATTATGTTATTTATATTATTATTTAAAAATCATCAAAATTTTCAATTAAGCATCCAATTTTTACAATGAATAATATAAAAAATTTCTATGAATATGTTATGCAAAAATTGTGTAACTTAACTAATACGCACAATGTTACACATTTTCCAAAAGTCTCTTTCACATTTATACTTTTTTCAGAAAAGTATTTCTACTATGTGAAATTTGAGCACTTGAATGGAGTTGACATGCACTCAAGAAAAGACGGAAAAGTAGTTAAGTAGCTTTAATTAGAATTTAAAGTATTATTCAAATATTAAGCATTTTGAAATATCAAAGAAATCCATTTGTACACACATGCATATACTTACAGAAACTTTTTTTATTAAATTGTTAGTCTTTTATTATTCAAAATAAATTCTAACTTGGTAAGATATAATAGGATTAATCAATATTTTTATTTATTTTTTATTAAAGTATTCCGTATACTATAAATAATTATTTATTTATTTCGTTCATTAAACAAAATTTTCATTGATAATTTAATATACTTAAAAAATTTAATATTTATATGATTATTATACTTTACCATGTGTTACCATTATATCTTACCAAAAATAAAGAAGAATCTGTGTAAGCAACAGTAATTTTTTTGGCAAGACATTAGGAAATTTCTAATATAAATGCATGTAATATTTCTTTACGTAAAATTTTTACTTAGCACTTTTATTTATTAAATATGTTATTTCTGCAATATTCTTTTAAAAAGTAGGTAACATAGAAAAATAATTTTTGCATAGACATTTACTGTGACACGAAAATCAAAATATAATTAAACAAATTTATATTTGGAATTGATATTCTCCTACGTTTACGAAATTTTTATTGTCATTTATTTATATTTGTTTCATTTTGTATCATTTAAATAATGCTATAAAATTATTTCCTAAATATGTTAAACTTGAATATTACAAATAATTAATAATAATAGATATTTTAAAGAAAATGTAACCATATGTCATGAAAATAATATAAATCAGTTATGTAATTACATTACATCCTTCGGAATGTTACATACCAAAAATACTGCTCATTAAGTATAAATATAAGGTTGTAAAATATTCATGATTTATTCTTAATGATTTTTAGAGAGATTAAAATAAAATGTAATTACAAATTTTATTACAAACATAAATTAGAATATTGTTATAAAAATATATATTTGTTATTAAATATGTATTAAAAAACAAACAAGTTTTTAAGTTTATTATACTTATTATATATTTATAATATTTAAATGTAGTTAGTAAATTAGAAGTCTTTTTATTTTGAGAACCATATATAAAATATTGGATAGTTATTCCATTTACTTGTTTATTAATAATTATATATATTTTATTTTTATATATTCTTCAATTATGTTTAAAAATACTAATAACAATTAAATAGAATTAAAGATTAATGAAAATTTATTTTATTGAAAAAATTTCTAAATTAAATATGTTCATAAGATAATATATAAGATACATTTATGTTTGTACAAATTCAATTTTTATGAATGTTTTATTTCATTAATAATTATAGGTTTGAATTTTAAAAATTCATAAATATTATATTTCTTTTCATTTCAATTTTGAAAAACAATTTTTTTAACGTTTACAGATTAGCAGAAGGTAGTAAACCAAAAATATTTGAAGAATCAAGCGAGGATGAAGATGAGAAAGAAACTCTGGAAGAAAGAGGTAGGAAATTACAATTTTTTTCATATAGAGATAATTTATTTATCAATTACATTTATATTTATATTTATATATTTATATTTTGTATTACATTTATATTTATATTTTCTAAAATGCATTTGTATATCTCATACTTTATCTGCTATTGAAACGATTGTTACTTTATCATTATTATTATTATTAAGATTATAATTATTAATGTGTTACTAAAAAACAAATAGTTTTAATCGATTATAGAGAAATAAAAAATATTATTAAAATGGTTATTGAATAAGACGGTTATAAATGGTTATTGAAAAAAAGTCAATGTATGTACAAAAATTTTAGAAAAACGTAAAGCATTTGAAGCAAAGAGAAAGAGGCATTATCAAGAGTGGCAAGTAGTTCAGATGGCTCGAAAACAGTTACTTGAACAAGATGAAGAGGATGAAGATGAGGAGGATAATGAAGAAAATGAAGAAGACATAGAAAAAGATGACAATAATACTCTTCCTTCAGAAGAACAAATTGATTTTGATGTTAAATTCAAATGCATGCCATCTTGTAATACAACAAAAGGAAAGTGATATGGTAGAAGATATTTATAAATGTTATTACTTGATTAAAATTTAGGTTTCAGTTATCTGATAATTTTAATTCATGTTAAATTTATTTACTATTATATCATAATTAACAGATGAATTAAATAACTAATAACAATATCTATTTTAGATCAGTTAAATGATCAATAAACTTTTGTAATTGACGGAATTACTATTTCCCAATATTTGACTTATACATTAATCAATGTAATTAATTACACAACGAATTTATAGCGGATTTATAATTAATTAATTGCGTAATTAATTGCAAATATATATAAATAAATAATTAATAATTAAACAAGTATTACTTATTTTCAGCAATTTAATTATTGGCTATCCACTACTTAATTACTAAATTCAAACAAGTACTTATATTTCTTCTCTTTCTATAATTCTGCAGAATAATGAACATTATTCTTAATTCTAAAATTACAATTATTTAATTTTTTTGTGACTTTTATTATAAAATTGCAGTAATTTTTTTAACTTTTATTGGTGCTGTAGTAAAGGAATAATTTAATTGTTAATTATTTAAGTGATATTAAATATAAATTTTAAACAATTATTGTTACTACTTTAATGCATAAGACAATTATTTATTTTCGTATAAATTTTCCTATTAATTTTTCTCACGAAGATTGTATAATTATTTGCATATTTTTCATAATATTTTAACCATTTTCTATACAGAAAATTATAATGTTTTCTTAACAATAAAATAATTGATTTTTAGTAGAATGTTTAACACGTTTAAATATTTAGTTTTATAAGTTGTGGGCAAATGATTTTTTAAATTCTTTAATTAATTACATTGCTTATTGAAATAATCAGTTAATCAGTGATATATATTTATAAAATTATCATAGAAATGATATGAAATGGTTTATAAGATATTAGGTGATTAGGAAATGAGTAATTCTTAATAAAAGATTTTTCCTTTTGCATAATTATTAGTATACATAAAAGATGAAAAGAATTTATAAATATAAAATACAAATATAAGTATACTCATTATCATATTAAATTTGTAATAAATTTCAGCTTAATACATTGAGAATTTCTCATTTTCTAATTATATGTTACAGTTTACAAAATATTATTAAAACAGGGTGTTCTGTAAGATGTATGCAATGAATAAGAGATAAATTAGAATCTTACATAGACATTTTTACATTGATATTATTTTTTGTTCATATTATATATTGCATTATATTTAAATATATCATATGGTTTCATTTATTTTTTTACAATAATTAATTTAATTTATGCATATTAAATGTCAAGAAAAATTGCTTTTATAAATAAAATAAATGAAAGTTTGGTAACAATAACTACAAAATTTTTGTACTAAAATATATTATTAAAAATAATTGAAAATTGAACAAAACTGTATTTTATCTGTTAATAATAAAGTTCAACTTTTAAATATTTTTGTATTTTTTTTAATACAAGTTCAATTTTTAAAATATATTATATATATATAACATAATATGATCAATGTGAATTTGTCTAAACATTAAACTATGTGAATCTTTCATTTATAAAACTACATTTTATATATTTTATTTAAACTATAATATATTCCTTATTATAAAGACCTCAAGTCTTTTAAATCTATGACTAAAAATTGATATTATTCTTACAATTAATTTATTGTTTTGTCCTAAATTAAAATTTAATTTTTTTTTTATTTTTATTATAATACAGAACAATTAAAATTTTAAATTCTTTATGTTAAATATTATACTTCATATTATCATAACATAAAAGTTTATTATTACAAGAGAGATTATCTAGACAATCGAATTTACTTTTCTTTTAAAAATATTTTAACATATAACAGATATTTTTGTAGATTACAAAAGAATGCTTATGTAAATTAGTTTTAGAAAAATAAATTTCCATCTGATGTATGCTGTTCCATTGTAAATATGTGTATTAACAACGAATTCAATGTATTCAAAAATTCAAAATGTAGAATGCAATAAAACTGTGAATTCGATACTGAATTAAATATTTTTCAGCAGTTAATTATAAATATTATGATTAGCCTCACTCTAAATAACTTGAACAAAATATTGAAATAAATAAATTTATTATATTTAAAAATATTCATAATTTTTGTTTTGCTTAAGTTTGAAAATAAAATATATTTTAATATGTAACAAATTATACAAATATATAACTGTGATATAAAGTTTCAAGACTTATTTTAAAAAAAGGAAATAACAAGATGGGTATTCAATTCTCAGTTTTTTTGCATTACTAAAAACTCCTACGCTTAACATAGATAGAATACTCAAATGTGCAGCTTTAAATTTAGATTAAGATAGAATAGAATAAAATAAAGATTAATGATTAAATAGATCAAGGATGAAGAGAAATGATTACCTTATTTTATTTTTAAAACATAAATATACAATGTAATGTAAGAAACTATCCAATTATTGCAATTTATGTGTGAACTATATATATCATTATTATAGAAGCTTAATATTTTTTTGGATATTTGATGTTTTTAAAGGAAATATTTTATGTAAATAGTTAATCATATTTGAAATATTAATCTAATATACAAATCATAAAACATACTAGTATAACGTTCAATTTTCATAATTTTTTTATCTTCTAATAAGCCTAGATATTTTTTAGTAAATATTTTATTTTTTAAATATGCTTTTCATGCTGTATCCTATATACTCATTATCATTAATGATATATACAACATAAACATATTTATATAAAAAATTTGCAATCGTTGTAATTTAGAAATATATAGGAAGTAGAAAATAATATTCTCCAAATCTAAAATATATTGAAAGATGATGTAATGTTAAAGTTTTTCAATTAATTTCAACCAAAATATTTCATTTTCCTTAAAAGAAATCTAATTCTTTTTTTAGTTATTTCATTATAAAATATATTATTTTGTTAATATATACCATTTGTAAATATACAATTACAAATGATTAAATTCTTTTATGCAAGAAATCAAATAAAATAACTACTTCGCATTAAAATTCTATTGTATTTCAACGATAAATTGTCGTAGATTTAATTGAATATATTATGCACACATACGATACATAATATGATGTTATATAAATATATACACTTAAAATTTAATAAGTTTAGTAAGCGTAATGTGTATTAATCACTGAAACTAATTCAGTATTACTTCGTCTGTCACACACAAGTACGTATTTGTTCCGTAAGTTTAAGAATAGCAACAGACTATCAAATGAAATTTTACATAAAAATCTATTGATTTTCTTGATTTGAGTTTCTTTTTATATTAACAATTATGATTATTTTTCTCGAATCAATAAATCGTATAGATATCGGTATTAGTAAACCTAATAAATTAGGATAAATGTATTACACTCGTCAATTACTAAATTTGTTACGTTTTATTAAATTACCTTCTTATTAACTTGTTAATATTTTTCAGACTATACATAAAATATAAAAAATTCTATACAATATCGATGTACATTATATTACAATTCGTTTGTGATTGAATGCTTAATGTTTATTGCATAGACAGTTCGTATACCTCGTCTGTGTTTCTCTTACGAGATTCCCAATCGGTATAGCAGTTTGTGTTCTAAGAAATATATTCTACTTTTCTATCTACAATATTGTATTTTTCATCTCTCTCATCTCTCAAATGATTAGTAATGATACCATGATCTTTACTTTGGTCTGCTGAATAAACTGAAATTAATCATAGTTAGTGTAGTAATGCCTGTTAAATGTTAATACATAATTGTCATGCCAGGTAAATTCAAATTTGAATGACAATTGACTTCATTAAATAACAACGCATATTGTCACTTGTTATATTTTCCCTAACAAAAGCAAAGTAATTTTATTGTTTGAACCGTTTATTTTTTATATTTCATCACAACGGGGGCTGAACAGTCAATCATGTCCGTCTCTCAGATGGAAAGTATCCTTTTATAAAAAGATTTATGTTTTACATATTTCTTAAATTGCTGATTTTAAGTCTTTCTTATTAATTTTATTTGAATTATATGAAATTAAAAACTGTTTTCATAAAAAGCTTCATCAATTCTTCGAGTGTAAATTCCATTTTATTATAAATTCTTCATACGAATTTATATTTAAAAAATTGTATATAATTTTCACTTCACACGTTCAGTTTTCTCTTTATTTTATTGATTAATAATTTCATTTGCATATATGTTTTAAAAGCAAATTGCAAATACAAATCTTTTTACATCTTTAACAAATGTTACCAGTTTTTGAAAGAGAAATTTATTTTTAAGGTTATATGGTTAAATTGTTTATACAGGCATTTAAAAATATTTTATACATTTAAACAAATGGATTTTCCTAAATTAATGTTTTTAATTAAGGAAATTTATTCAATCTCAAATTTGCTGTGAAGGAATTAGAAAGAAATTCGAAGAAATGCGAAAAAGAAGAAAAAGTAGAAAAGGCAAAAATAAAGAAAGCTATTCAAAAAGGTAATATGGAAGGTGCACGAATACACGCAGAAAATGCAATTCGTCAACGTAATCAAGCACTTAATTATTTGCGAATGAGTGCAAGAGTTGATGCCGTAGCCAGTAGAGTGCAAACTGCTTTGACTACGCGTAAAGTTACTCAGTCAATGGCTGGAGTAGTTAAAGCTATGGATGCAGCAATGAAGTCAATGAACTTAGAAAAAATTTCAGGTAATGAAATATTAATATCTGTATATTATCTGTATATATCTGTATATTACTGCTTGTAAATGTAATAAATAATAAATAAACATGTAATATAATAAATATATTGAAATTACTATATAATAACTTTAATCTTTAGGTTTAATGGATAAGTTCGAAAGTCAATTTGAAGATTTAGATGTACAAAGTTCATATATGGAGAATGCCATGTCTCAAACTACAACAACCAATATTCCACAGAATGATGTTGATTCTTTATTACAACAAGTTGCAGATGAAGCTGGGTAAGTACTTATTCTAACATTATTTTGTATGAAATTATATAATTTCAAAATAATAATATGAATCATGTATAATCTTTTTCAGTCTGGAGTTAAATATGGAATTGCCATCTGGACAGTTAGGTAGTATAGGTACCTCTACTGTCAGTCAAGAGCAAGATGAACTTACACAGCGATTAGCGAGACTTCGTGAATAGTAAAATCTAACCATAGATATATGAGAAAGATATGCAGTAACTTATTAACCCTTTGACTGCCAGATATTTTTACAAGAATTTAATGGAAATGATCACTGTATTATTGATGCCTAAATGCTTGCTAATCACTCACTGAATATTGAGAGCTTGTAATCGCACACATTTTTTTTTAATTTTGTTCTTAATTATTCTTACAAATCATGGTGATGCTGCGTTCGCAATTGATTCATTTTCAATTAAATGTGGACAAAGGGTTAAGAGAAAATTACTCTATTATCTTGAATATATGTACTTTTTTAAAAATTTCATTCATTTATTTCTAGCAAAATTAGTTAATAATAATATAAAGATAAAGATATAAAATTCGTTATTAGGGTCCTGAATTTGAATATGATAAATACATTATCCAGTAAATGTACATATTTATTTAATATTATAATTTAGAATTATAATTCCAAAATGATTTCAGAATTACAGCAGTAATATATTTGTTATATATATAGTTTTCTATGTACGATACAGTATATATCTCTTAGAAATGCACATATACTAATATCTATAAATACTAACTAAATATCTATAAATAATGAACATGTTAAAATTTGGCAAAATTTGCTTTAATAAAAAAGTTTGCTACATATTCATGAATAAAATAAGCATTTTGTTACATTCTGTGCACTAAAAATATTATTAAAACGACTAAGTAATATATTATTAATTGTGCAGAATACTATAAACATAATAAATACTAATTTCTATACTGTAAGCAAGAATATACTTTTATATAAAGACATTTCTATTAAAGAAAAGCTTTATTATCATCTATATTGGAAACATATGATAGAACAATTCAAGTAAATTCTATTTTAAAAACAATTTGTAGTAATAAATGCTTGTGTTATATGTATACCACATGTTAAATACATAATATTATACACAATTTATTGTATATTTGTTTTATAAAAATAAATTTATATGATAAATATTTTACTATGTGGCATCTTTTATATGATTAATTATAATTAATCATAATAAATAATTATTATGCTGTATCAATGTCACTGCCACTTTTTGAAATATAATAAGGATATTTCTCTATCCAAATTGTATCATAAGGTTCAGCTTGTTTCAGAATTAAAATTTTTTCTGCATGAAATTCTAAAAATATTTGAAATAAATATCAGTTATCATTGAAAATCTTTTGTGTATTTAAATTAAAAAAAATATAATTTACCTAAACAATATCGAAATGCGGTTGCAGCATCAAGTTTATTATAATTTTTTGACGAAATTAAAGTATAAAATTTTATTAATGTGCTATTACGCCAATGAATTTCTATTAATACTAACAATTCTTTTTTGGTTAAACACGTCTTTGACCTACAATAAAAAATAAATTTTTATGAAATTTTCAATCATCTGTTGTATTGGATATATTGGATTTATGAATTTGTAAAAATAAATATAACCGACTCTGAGGAAGAACTGGATTTTGTTTTCTTCTCGTCGGATGATTTTTCTATTTTTTCTTCAAAATCTGTAATTTCAGGAAGATCAGGTATTAAAGCTTCCTCAGACTCTTTCGTTTCTTTTTTTTTCTCTTCTAATTCTTTTCTTTCAAGATTTTCTGTTGAAAGTATCTGTTCTGACATTTTAGATGGATCAATCATTTCATACGTAGTAGTCATATTTTTTCTTATATAAGTTTTCTCTGTTAATTCGTCTGTTCTACTTAAAACGTCCACGCGAATGGTTTCTCCAGCTATAAAATAAAAATTGTAATTCTATGTAATTTTTACAGTTTAATAATACATTTATGAATTTGTTTGATTGTTTATCTTTTTATTATTTTATTAAAATAAGAAATATTTACCTATTGTTCGTTCTATTTCAAAAAAAATATCTTGAAATTCATCTTGAACCGTTTGCGCTAAAGGTTTGATAAAATATTGACTAAAAAATTTAGTTAACGTTTCTCCCCATAATTTATTGAAAATTTTTGTTGATGGTTGCCTTAGATATTCTTTTGCTGATGGTAAAGTAGGCATAAACCAAGGCTGTTCCTTCTGTGATCAAATATAAATCAAAACTAAATAAAAATAGGTATATTTATCTATAAATAATTAAATCGTATATCTAGTTAATGTAACTGACTATGGTATGAGCTGTAACATTCTGGATATACTTTCGCATAAGAGTATCAGATAATTTAATCTGTCTGTCGAAAAGTTTTCTTTTTTTTCTTGATCTTGTTACTTCTGGTAATTCTGTAACTTCAAGAACCTTAGATATACCTTCTTGTTGTAATTCAGATGGTAATTCAGGTGGAGGTAAAACTTCAGTCATTGGTGCTGGTTCAGCTAAAGGTTCAGCTAATGGCTCAATTGGAAGCATAGGTGGTAAATTTTCTTCTATCTATAAAAAAAAATTCTCAAATAAAATTTATATTAGTTAGTTTAAAATGATATTAAACTTTTTTAATATTGAAGTTCCCTTTTTTACGAAACACACCTTGCTTCTTTTTGTAGGAGTTTCTGTTGGAGAACTTAAAGTTCTTTTCCTAGAAACTGTAGGCTTTTTAATGTGAAAATCTGAAAAATAATATTTGCAGAGACAAGAGAAACTTATTTATAAGTAAAAATAATTAAATTCACCTTTAGAAACAACCAAAGATTTACGTTGATCACTTCCAGCGGATGCTACTCGTGTTTCCTTTTCAGTTTCAATTGTGTCAACTTCAAATTTGTTAACATCAACTAAAGGAACCTGTATCGATTCTCCAGGAATTTCTGCTGATTGATCCCAATGAAATCTTCGTATTTCGTCTCTAAATTATAAATATAAATAATCTTATAAACATTAATGATGAACATGTTCTTTTCATTTTATTCATTTTATTTTAATAATTTCACTAATTTTAAACGCATTTTATTTGTGTTTAAAGTATTAAAATTAAAAAATATAAAATTATTTAAAAAATACGTGAAACTAACAAGGGTAGATCTTCCACACCTAAGATGAATTTTTCTAAATCATGTTGAGGTAGTATTCCGAAATTCATTTCATCTTGCATCTATATTTAAACAATACAATATTATAAATTTCAGTGATGCAATATAAATCATACATAACACAGACACAAAGTAAAATTTTATTATCGTAAATAATATCCGCGTAGTTTGTCCCTCTGCTAAAAAAAATAATTCTTTCTTTTTACCAAATGTTCTATAGCAGAAGTATATGGTTCCTCTGTGATCAAATGTAAATTTGATGACATTTCTAAATTCCGAAAAACTTCGTTTATGGGAGGGACATCTGGCATTTCTAAAGTTGTTATCCCGTTAAATTCTGTTCCATACCTACGAGAAATAATATTTGAAATTTTCTACACTTTCTTTATCAATAATTTTTCGAGTTATTAATGCATTTTAGAGTTAAAATGGAATTTTTGAAAAAAAAAAAATGCTTCAAAACTCTAAACTTTACCTTTTGATTTCATATAGTTTCCACTTTATTTCAAATAAATAATCTGTTTAAAAAAAATAACAATAAAAAAGGTAGTACTTATTGCATTTCAAAAAAAATTGCGAGATACTAATTTCAAAATTTACGACCTTGAAAATATTTTGTCTGGTAAAAAAGTATTTTCGCAGCGCCGTACATTAATTGCGAAGAAAGATAGAGACTAAATCTGCCATAATTTCTTCCATTTCGTATTTCAATTGTTGTTAAAATTTCCTCGCTAAAAACATAACAATGAGTGAATAACACAATCATTTATTTAATAGATACACATAGAAATAATTATGTTATGTTAATATTACAATACTGAAATAAAAGAGATATTCAGGTAAAATAATTGAATTAATTGAGAGCAATTGTTAAAATAGAAAATGGCACCTTACCAAATAAGGGCTACGTTAATTTTTTTAATGAGCACTGGCTTACAAGTTCTTTTAAACATCTTTTCACTAAAGATTGCGGCTAACCAGCATCGTGCCAATTTGCCTTTTCTTCTGAGAGAAAGTAGTTCAGTTGAATAAAACATTGAACTACCGAATAATTAGACAACAATTTTAGATAACAAATAAAGTGCGAATCGTCGTAGCGTCGATTTTTGTTTCTATTAATTTTAACGGAAACGAGTGTCAAATGATCGATTAATCGATTTTTGTTGGAGCGCCCTCCATCTAAGAAATTGAATATCGCGCCTGCGTTTGTATACATATACATTCCCGTTCAATCCTCAGGACTCTTTTATTTTTAATATCTAGTATTTATCGTAGATTATCATGCATATATATTTTATAATATAATATATATACAATATATAATAATATAATATATAATACTAGGATTTACGATTATATTTAGCTCTTCGAATATGTATTCAGTAAGAGTTAAAATATTTAAAAGTAGCGCCCAATTTTATTTACGCGGAGGTATCTGAATATACATATGACTCATGAGATCGTGTAATATGTAAATAACTATCCTTTATTACCGAGTTTTATTTTATGTATTACAATTTGGGTTTGTCGTTTTCATTATAAATACTTTAAAAAAAAATCACTTTGAAAATTATTGCAACATATACAATCGGTTTAAATCATACGTTTCCTCAATATCTTTGAGCTGTCACCTTCTGTCAGCTTTCTGATAACCTCTATTATACACCTACGTGAAAATATGAAAGATTACATCAATTTTCTTCATTTGTGATAAGAACGATCGAGCAAAGATGTTTTCAAGCGGACCGAATTACACGAAATTAAAGACGCATCTGCGTCTGGCGATTAATCGGTTGAAATTGCTCGAGAAAAAGAAAACTGAACTTGCTCAAAAAGCACGGAAAGAAATAGCCGATTACATCGCTGCAGGTAAAGTTGAAAGAGCAAAAATACGAGTTGAACACATTATCAGAGAAGATTACATGGTCGAGGCAATGGAATTGCTTGAAATGTACTGTGATCTTTTACTTGCACGTTTCGGGCTTATTCAACAAATGAAGTAAGTGTATCACTTAAATGATCAAAAACAATCTTTCCTGATTCAACTTTATTATTTAAATTTTTAATATAACTTTAATTATATAAGATAGATATTGTTCTAATGGTAAAAAGTTATAAAAGTCATTAAATAAAAATTTCAAATATTGTTATATGCATTGTTACAGAAATTTAGATGAAGGTTTAGCAGAAGCCATTTCTACAATAATTTGGGCTGCTCCTAGAATACAAACTGATGTTCAGGAAATTAAAATAATTGCCGATATCTTAACATCGAAATATGGGAAACAGTACACGGAAGCATGTAGAGAAGAGGCAGTACAAACTATTTCTGAAAAGTTAAAACATAAGATGAGCGTGCAATCGCCATCTAAGCTTCTAGTAGAGAAGTACCTCATAGAGATTGCAAAAAATTATAATGTTGAATATGAACCAGATCCACAGGTAAAAACAGTGATAATTGTTCTAATTTTATTGTGACAATAAATATCTTAATTGCAATGTAATAGATAATGGCAGAAGGTCAAGATGCTTTATTGATAGATGTTGGAAATAACACAGAAAGGAACAATTTAGATACAGCTTCTGGAGGCTTACCACAACCAGTTGGATTTATTGGTTTTCCTCAACCTCCTCTATTACCAAATCCTGCATCTAATCTAATTGTGAGTAATGTTTTTTTTTTGTCTATCTACTTTTTAGTCACATTTTTATTTAAGTTATTTCTTTCAGAATTCAGAGAAAGGACCTATAGGATTTGTAACTCCACCAGGATCTTTGGAAAATAAAGATCAAAATATTCCTTACAATCCAAGTAATGTTTCATACAACATTCCCTTAGATAACTCGAATGGAAACAAACTTGTGAGTGACATAACTTAAAATTTTATAAATTAAATTATTGAATGATTAATGAATTCTTATTTATTTAGGAAAATGATCTGCCTCCACCATATGAATCATTTCCACCTGATTTAAATAAAGAGGTAATTCTATAATAAAAATCAATATAAATATATAAACAGAAATCAGTATTATAATTGGTTATATTAAATTCTTTAATATTTTCTTCAATTTTCTGTTTTTTGATTATAAAGGTATTTTTTATTATATTTGTTAGAGTTATTATTTATTATTATTATTATTTATTATTATCACTTCACAAGTTAGACATGTATATTTCTATATTATGCATTTTAAATTTGCATTAAATTATTATATGTTTGTGCAACTTCTTACGTTTATTTATAATTTTTTATTACAGTCCGACCAGAAACCAAAACCTCAACCGCGATCGAAAATGCCGATGAATGATTTTCAGCTTCCAGATTTACCAGCCGTGCCATCGGAGAATGATTTACCTTCGAATAATCCATCTACTAGTGAAGACATTGATTTTGATGATTTAATGAAACGCTTTGAAGATTTAAAAAAAAGAAAATAATTTCTTATTTAAGATGTATTACAAATTTGTATGTTGTAATACAACAAAAATATAATACAGTAGGTATAACAAAGAATAAGTATAGTTTTAATCCTATACGACATTGTAAAATTTAAGTAATAATACTAACAAAATATTATTTGCAATACATCTGAAATAGAAAACAATATATTAAAAGTAGATTCAATTTTAAGCGTAACATCAATATTACAGATTAACATTTTACAAATAATTAAAATTCACCGATTTCAGGTTCTTACACAATATGCATCCAGTATTTATGAAAAAGAATCGTATACAGAAATACGTAAAAATGCATTCTAGAATGAATTTATTTCGGCTATAAGAATAGATTATATTAAATATATTAAATATTATAATACATTAAACATATTGTGTAATATTTTAATATTTTTCAACAATGCTATAATATTTCATAGATATGAATTACAATATTGCTTCAATTGAATAAGTTTTTCAATTTGATGCAAATATTATCATTACTAAATTACAGTATTGAATAAAGAAAATTTGAAATAGCATTTTTATATATTGTAAAAGTGTGCAGATAAAACTTTGTATATTATCAATTGTAATTAAAATTGTAAAATACTTCTGCCCAATATGAATATAATATGAATATAATAATATTATCCTATAAAGATAACATTTTTTTATTATTTCGCAGTATTGTAATTCAAAAGATTAAGAAACTTTCTAAAAGATTATATAAAATAATAATTCACAATAGTTAATATTGTGATAAAATATTTATAAATTTCTTTTTAAATAGTTCTATTATTTTGTATGCATAAATAGATACACACAAATACAATATTATTATCATATATTATTATATTATCATTATTATCATATACATATCGTTATTATATTTTTAAAATAACTATAATGAAATTACATTTTTTTAATTTTCCCAATCTTCACATTTCTGGAACAAAATGTGCATTTATTGTAAAAAGTTACTTTTTATGGAATTGGAGAGTTAATGCAAGATTTAAAAAATTGAAACTTACTTGTTGTTCTTTTTCACCCAAACATATCAATAAATTCTGTGAGAATTCACATTTTTCTCGTTTATTTGAGTCAAGATAACGAAAACATTCAGTAATTGATTCTTCAATAAAATCTTTCAGTTCTGGATCTTGAATATTTTGAACCATCAATGAAACTACTAAATTTTTTTCTGGAAATCCTTTTTGATCTACCTATTATTTAATAATTATTTATGTAAAATGATTATTTCCTATTTTAATTCTTAAATTAAATTCATTAATACTTACAGAATCTAATTCATTGAAAAAACATTGCATTATACACTGTAACAAATTACAATATAGAATTATTAGATTAACATTATAAAAATATTGTGAATGATTACAAAATATTCAGTTTAAACAACTCGTGATTCTTACATCTTGTTGTTGATCATTATTATTATTATTATTATTATTATTATTAAAACGCGTATCTTCGTTATTCATATCTCCATTATCAAAATCACTTTTTCTATTTCGCGAATCTCCAGAATTCCATGAATTTCGATTATTGGTTCCACGAATATGTTTTATATTGCCTCTAGTCGAACGATCATCGGAATTTCTATACCCATAAATAACTTAATTAAAAGAAAGTAATTACAAGAACAATATATTGAATATACAGAATGTTAAAAACAAATTATGAAATGTGATTTGAAATATCATACATAATGTGCAAAATATTATTAATCTTATAATTTTAATCATATAAAAAAATTTTACCTGTATCTACGATTGTTCGTGGACTGATTGTATGAAGGTCCATCGTCATTTTTGTAAAAAAAATGTTTATCATATACCTCTTCTCCCGAGGCAGAATCACTCTCTGAACTATTGTCATCCGTAGATGCAGAATTTTCATTATCTGTGTTTGAATTAATATAGCGATCCCTACAAGTTTTTAATACTTTTTGAAATTGCATATTTACTTGTTGATTTCCAGAACGACATTTTAAAGACTGAAAAAAAATTTGTAATTTCCGAATGTAATTAAATTCCAGAAATTTGTACAAATATATATTTTTTCGAGAAATAGATCGAATAAGTTGAATTTTGGAAGAAGTATTTTTTGTCGTGATTATTGCAATGTTATTATATCTTTAACAACTTATAACTAATTTGTTATTAATAATATCAAATGTTATTTGAATTCTTTTTTAAAAAGTTTCATACACAAGTAACAAGTACAAGATAAAATAAATTCATCACTTACTACTCCTTCATGGAGAAAAAATATAAGTATGCAGCACAAAGCAAAGAAAATAAAATTTTTCATGATACACGATGTCAGTGTTTCACCGCTTTAACTAACAATTATTGAAACCACATTCACTTTCAGTCAAATATATAAACAAAATGAACAGGAAACAAGGTGATGACGATAATTACATGTCATTTTGTCTTTGTAAAGAATTTGAATTCAGTGAATGTTTCGGTTTGACAGATGTATCCTGAATTATTTCCTTCCGGTTAAATGTAAATTATGTAATATCGTTGACTAAGAATAGGAAATAATGCTATTTGGAAACGACAATTACACTATTGTTTTAAAATCTCTTTCATAGTCAGGAAAATATTTCATAATATTGAGTAATTAATAGTATTAATGAATTACATTTATGACAATGATATAATATTTTAAATTAACATAAAATGGTACAGTGTGTTAAAAAAGAAAAATTTTTTAAATAATGGAAATGATACAGTTTATTTATGTAGGTCATCCAATAGTATCTATTATAATCGTAAAAGAAAGTTAGAGGGGAGAATAAAAGGAGGGAGGATATATGAAAGCGATTGAAGAATAAAAACAATAAGTAAATCTACTAAGAATTTTAGCTAAGAGTAGAGAGTTGTCGTTCTTCTGCGTTGGGATAAAATGTATATTAAATTTCTTGTAAGTAAAAATCTTTTATTTATCAAAATTTACAAAATAAACAAATCATTTTTACTTATTTGTAATAATTCAATTTGATTTGAAGATAACATAAAGTCATTTAGATAATCAGCAATACGTACAAATTTTATGTATCAATCGTAGTAAATTTAATTATTATTAATTAATTTAAAGTCAATGCTTTGTAAATTATCAGAAAAAAATCATTATCAGTAAACTAAGGGACATAAATCATGAAGAAAATATATTTAAAAATTTTATATTTTTATTTCCTGCAAAATTTTAAATTAAAAATTTTTATAAATATTGTTTTTATCATTATCAAGATAGTAAAATTTTAGATAATTAAATTTTATTTAAGTCTTTTTTAATCATAGAAACTTGTTTAGCAAAAAACAATGGATCGCAAAAACATGTGAAAGCGAAATAAAGAGAACAAGTAGAAGATGAATGCTCTAATATGAAAATTAAATTCGTTGATGCATTAAACATATTCGAAACCATAAATTAAAATTTAGTGGCGAATTTTGTATTATTTAAAAACACCTTTTGACTTTCAATGTTTTTCTATTGTCTTTTCTATCAATTTAGCTTTTAACAAATGCAGTTCTTATGATCGCAATTGACGTTCCATGGCCCAACAATCACCGATTTTATAAAGGGAATTTTATAAACGAAACGAAGTCTACGATTCGAAGAAATAAAGAACAGTTACAACCACAGAAAACCAAAGAAACTAAAAATATAATGAACAAATATGTAAAAGTAAAAAAAAATGAAAATATAGATCCTTGGAATTTATCAGAAGATACTGATCGAATACAATTTCAAATTGAAGGCCATGAAGGACCAAAAACGTACATTTTCGGATTCGATACTGGAAATGGGTAAATAATTAAAATCTTAAAATTGAATTTTTTTCAAGAATGAGCTTTGAGTATATTAAACCAATTATATTTAAGTAATCAAAATTATAATTGGATAACATAATTGTCGAATAATGAGAATTTCAATTTTCATTTATAAAAATTAGATTTATTTATTATAAACATCTAATTCATGTATACACATACGTATACATATACATCATTAGAAAATATTACATATACTTACAGGTATTTAATTAACAATACACCACATTTATTTGTTCCAGAATGAATAGACAATATAGATTAGAAGAAAGACATCGCGATGGTACGATAAAAGGTCAATATGGTTATTATGATGCAACAGGAAAATTAAGGAAGATTCAATATGTAGCTAAACCTTTCGAAGGATATACTGAAATACATCACGAAAGTAATGCAGAAAAGATAGAAAATTAATCAAAAATTATACTTTATTTAAACATGTTACATTTTAAGAGTTTAAAATTCGTACAAATTATTTATATCAGAGTAATTAAAATATTAAACAAAAATGTAAAATGTCTCAAATCAAGCATCATAAAATTATAAATAATATAATATAAAATTTCAAAAATATTAAGAATGTTAAATTTTATCATTAGACTGATAAATTCTAAAAATTAAATGGTGTATACTTAAAAAGACGAATAACAATTATTAAAGAAAAGTAAAAACTAAACTGTTACACAAATTTGAAAATTTTAATAGCAAGAAGACTGTAAGAAGACATTATGTATGTAAGTATATATATATACATACATATATATGTATATATATATATTTTTTTTATATATGCACAGAGCCTTAGATTCCAAAGTCCACCGAAACTATTTAATCAAAACTAGTTTTCTCAAATATTCGTCATTATATCAATGTTTCTTTTAACAATGTAGGAATTACTTAAAAAACTTTTTGGTTAATATTCATTTTGATTTAAATCAATATTAACGAAGCGTCATTAAAATACCATTAAAACTTGACTTTTGCAAAACTAAGCATGTACTATTTTTATTTAAATAATATTTTCAAAACTTTAAATCAACGCTTATATTAACATTAACGCTTGTTTCAATATCAATTTTGATTAATAACGTACGAAATAATTAATCAAAACTAGTATTGAAAAAAGACATTTTAGAACTAGCATTAAATGTAAGATCGTAGTAGTAATTTGGATTTTAACTGTAACACCATACCCAACTTCAGATATTTATGCAAATGTATATTTTTATAAAAAATAAATACGGACATAATATACAAACAAAAATTTATTTTGTTAATAGAAACAAGAAAAAAAATTCTTTAGATGTTCTCCACGTGGATTAGTTGCATATCTTTTTGTATATTATGTATACACTTTATAAATTTTTGTATATGTTTTTCACTTTTTTCAATTTAACGGATCTTAACATGTATACATCTGCATGAATATCCACTGTCTACTTATAATCAATATACATTTCTTTTCGAAACCGTTTAAATAAAATTCTTAATGTAAAATGTGTACTTTCAAAAAATTCTCTTTTCTTCAATAATTAATATTTATATATTTTTATTTGTATATAGTCTTGAATTAATATTTTGTGCATAGTTGAACAATTATATATTAAAGTACTAAAGTAAAAACTAAATAAATAGCTTTAAAGTAGCATTTAATGTAGCAAAATTTAATCTTTTATGAAATGTTCTTAAAGATTTATATTCTTTTAGAATAATTATTTTTACATCCTAAAAATTTAAAAGTGTCTTAAATTGATCAAGTTCAAAATTTTCTATTAAACTTTTAATAAAAAAATTAAATTCCTACAATACTAAATATATATCTTTTAATTTTTTAAAATACTCAAACATTTTTGAACAAAAAAGATATTTTTCCAAGATATTGTATACCTGTGACGTTGATACTCATTACAACCATTTAACACAAGTAAAACGATAATAGAGTTCATATATTATCGTAATCTTCTCTGAATGCTTCATACAGATTTGTACACGTAGTCTCGGGAAATACGTTACGCGAAAATGATAATTTACAAACGCTCGTTTAACTTCTTACTTGTATTCCCTTTATAACTTCCTCGTTTTATTGAAGTTTCTTATCATTAGTCCCATATGATGAACTTTTGCTTATTTTTGACATTCCAATCATTCTTTGCATAAGCAGATAAACTGAAATGTTGAAATTAAAAATATATAGTCTTTAAGCGACAAATATAAGAAAAATGTATAAAACTGTATATCGCATTAAAATACTTGCTTAAGAGGATACTGCTTGCTCCTATTAAGAAATAAATTATCGATCCAGATAAGAGAAGATTGATCAAATAATAAAGCATTGGTGTTAGCACTACTACTGTCCAGCAAATTATATTAACAAGTGAATAATATCGTTTTTTTATTATAGACCTTTCTAATTTGGGTACCTCACTAATTGCAAAGAAGTCACCTGTTTCCTCAAAACTTTTTGCCATACGATCCTATGAAAAAAAGAAAAAAGATACGAACAACTTCGTGGCTAATTTTATTAATTTTAAATAAAATCGTACTTTTTTCTCATAAAGTTTATGTAACCATTCTTCAGCACCTTTCTCATCTTCTGGCACTTCGTCTAATGGTATCCTGGAAATACTTAGGTATGCTGTGACCTGTTTTCCCTGTAGTAAGTTTGTTAACGTTGGTTTTATAGGATCATCTGATTTAAACTGTAGTTGTATGTCATAAATATCAGTAATTTTGCCTCGCATATGCGGTAAACTTGCTATGAAACCCTTTGTTCGCGGTGTTAAATGATAATTTAATATTGGAAGACCCGCTTTTTGGGCAAACTTTTGACTGGCTTCTAGTTTTTGTGCTGTAACTCGTGTCCCTTCAGCACACAGAAGTAGCTGTGTAAAATAAATTAATAATTTAAAAATTATTTTTATAAAACAAATTTTACTACCTATAGTACGTTCTATAATTCTTACCGTTATACTATCTGGATAATTTACAAGTTCGTTAATTAGAGAAGTAATTATTTTTTTATCCTTCTCCCAATTTCTTTCCATAAATATAAATTCAGCAAATCTCCATGCCCAACCAAATGTTGGAACATACTGCAGTGATTTTTTCACATATGCTTTGCAATTCTGAAATATGCAAAATTAGTATTAGAATGTAATTGTAAATTATTCTCTCAAATGATTTTTTATATAGAATATTGAAACTAACACCAAGTACTCCAGTACGCTCACATAGGATCCATCCACATATCCAATCTATTTCATACCTGTGATTCATTATTACATATTTATGATCTTTTTTAAATTTCTCTAAATCATCTTTGTTCATATAAAGTACAAGTTCTAATCCAGCCCACCATTCTGCTACAAATACAAACTCTGAAAAAAAATTTCAATTACGCACAATTAGAAAAAAAATATTTTCTTTTTATTTAATTTGAATACTAGGAACTAGATTTCAAAAATACCATAATTACAACTTACGACTATATAAAGAATAACAAAGGTAGTAATTAATCTTGCGATAAAGATATCTGGAAAAAGGTCGAAGACCAAAGTACAAAAAACATTGGAAGAAATTGATAATCAACCCTGATGTAAGAAAAGTTATACCAAATATTATATAAATCACATTAGATTGCTTCAACAATGATAGCAATCCCATCTTTCACAATTTTTCTCATATGTGTTTGGAAAAAATAAAATATACATATATATCTCTTGGAGATTTTTAATTTTGATACCTGCAAAAAAAAAATTAAAAATGTTAAGTACATGTTAAATTAATATTAAAATGTTTGAGTTTTCTTAATCTTTAATCTCGAACTAAAAACTAAATTAACTAAATTAATACTCGACATATTAACTAGAGATTTCTATTTTACATATAGGGTGTCTCTCTTTATCTGTAACCCCCAAATATCTTTTTTACAATTGTAAGAACGCAAAAAATATTTTATACACAATTTGAATGATATTAAATGGCCAATATCCTATCCATTGTTTTTTTTCGAAATTTTCGAAGTCATCGATGTTTTTCTCAAACAACCACACATTTTTCATTTATTTATTTAAAAAATATATTTGAAATTCTTTTATATGTAATTGTAAAAACATGTTCAATGCATCAGAGATGTACTCACAGTTTACAATTTAGATATACGAGATTAAAGCGAAGTAATTATAAAAGCAATATAAGAATAACATAAAAATAAATAAACATAATATGATAATTATTGTTGATAACTAATTTGTGTTAATAGCCGCGATATATATACGAACATTCTCTGTATATAAAACTACATTGATAAAACAATTTGAATCTAAATATACAAAAGTTATAAACGAAACGTATTATTATTCGCATATTAAAACATAAATTTTGCATTTCCTAATGTAAGTTATATGTGCATAGTGTACACGTGTCATTTTATTATACGTTTAAAATTTATTTATTGAACTGCAAATACAAACTTGAAATAAAAATTAGGAAGAATATAATGTAATTAAATAAAATTTAATTAAATAAATAAAATTTGATATTTTTAAACCGGATAAATATCAAAAACACGAGATATTTTCTAGCCGTACATTATTATGTATTAATCAAACATAATTTATAAATTTTATATTTAAAAAAAGTTTCGGAAAATGAAATTATTTGCACGATTTCTTTGGAATGCATCACATAACCTTATTTGTTGTTTATAGCAATATACGGTTTAAACGATTATTATTGACTAAAAAGTGTAATGACAATTTTTTTAACAACCAAGAATGAAATGTTATATTATAAAAACAATAAAATAATATACGCGAAAGGAAAACCGATTGTCATTTGGTTGTAAAAAAGATTATCAGTAAACAGTATAAACATTGAGATTTACGTAATAGAATCACAAAAATCTGTTAAAATTTGAATCCAAGCAATGGGAAAATATGTTATATTAACGTTTTCGATTCAGAAACAAGAAACACTTAACAAATTTTCAAAATTCAACTCACCCAACTTAAATCTCTAAAGTCTCGACATAATCAACCGTTACTTGCGAAGTGCTGGAAGACACTAATTTATATTCACGTGATATTTAAATGTGATGAGAAAAATTAAAAGAACAATAGTTGAAATAATAACTCTCAAATATTGAAATAATAACTCTCAATCATTGACAAATTAGTATCGTTATCGATGATCAAATGATACAATTGTTCGATAACACGAATTATATAAAGGTATATTCCATATTTTACTACAGGTTTCTCTTACGTGAGTTGGTGCCCATGGCATACTAAACTAGCTTGTTTGATACAATGCACGAAAATAATTAAAAATAATTGTTAGAACATAAGGGCAAAACGAAAACAGCTATTTACGATAATACCGATTTGAAAAGCTCTCTTTTTTCTTTAAATATCCTCTTTAATTCTACTTTCTAAATTTCTTTTTTTTTAAATTTCTTAATCCAATACATAGTAAATGAAATTTTGTTCTATCGACCAGACTCCTTTCAAGTTTGTTGCATTTCTTAGCATTTCTTAAATTGTTGATAATAAAAATTCTTTATTGTACATGATAATTTGACGCACGTATACAAAAAAATATATATGTATATAGAATTCACTTATGACCTTATTATTAATGCGCAAATTGATATAAGTATAAGATTAAATGTTTCCAGAATTCGAAACATTTTTTATACTATGATTAATTGAAATCTTTAGAACGTAATTCACTTTCAAAATCACAGAATATAATATATACTGTTATTGTATGTATATAAAATTTTAATTTCAATCTCTTTCAGTAAACAAATACGTCACATTTATAATTTACATAAGATCAAACAAGTGCGATTTCATTTTCATTAATGAATCAAATATTTATAAAAAGTTGTTCTATTTCACATGAGAAGAAGATAAAAAGAGACAGAGTCCACAATTTACATATCGATTAACAAAAAATCAAATTTATATATTATATTGGAAATATAAATAATTAATCGCGATCGATTCTTCGTATCACAAGTTATAATGATTAATGTTGTATAACAAGTTGTTCTGATAATAATGTTGTATAATATTGCTCTTCCAAGAATTTTAAATTCTATCTTCGAATAAATTTTATTGATAAATTATAATTTATATTTTATTTCTTAATTAATGATACGAATGAAAAAAAAGCTGTTGCAAAATTAATATTAGACAGATTATTTATTGTTATTTTTGCTCTTAAGAATAATAATAATAATACAAATAGAATAACAATATAAAAAAAAATTATTTGTATTGTTATCTTGAAAGTATTCTAAAAATTCTAGTACTTGTGATAAAGAGATCTTGTAATGCGTTCTATACATATATATAATTTTTAACAGTTGTATGCAGAACAGTAATTTCTTCTATATTTGCTAGAGATCTACAACAGAGTGCATTCTTCGACGTATATCTTCTATTGTTTTCCTAAATAAAGTAATCTTTTTGATTACTTAAAAAAAAAAAGGTTTGATGAAATTCAAATATACTATTCAAATATATTTTTTATCTTTTATAGATATTATAGATAACGAGAATCACATTTAATACAAACGCATTTATCTAAAAATTGTCATTCACTATACATATACTTTTCAAAGAATGTTTGAACTATTGATTGATTTTAAATTAATTGAATGCTTGTGTTAAAAGTTAGCATTGGGTTAAAGGTTAATTCTATTGAATACTTCTGATACTTTCTACATGGTTTTTTATCAGCGATCAACTTCTCAATAAAATCTAAAAAATTAAATTATCTTGGCAAACATTTTTTCAGTTTTCGTCAGAAACTGTAAATAAACTGGCGTCCAAATTAAAGGATCACTAAATTTTCATTGAAAAATTGTTGGTATTTAAACCGACAATTAATTACTAAAGACTCACTAAATTTTTTCGAAAAAATGTCGTATAATAATTTGTCTATGCTCATTTTAAAATGTGAAACTTCTATTTTCAGAATCCGTTGTTCATTTTTTCGTATGATGTTTGTATATCATGTAATGAGTAAATTTTACAAATTCAAACATCTACAATGAAAATTATTTTTCGAGACTATATCTACTATGATCTTCAACACTAATCTCCCTTTTATAACAACTTGATATACAAGTCTTTTTTGCCATTTTATTCAGCTTTGAATAAAAAGTATGCCGTCAGCATTGAAATAACCCATGGTACGTTATCTGAAGTTACACGGTTGGATTTGTACCTCATGTATTAGTATATATACATGTTTAGTAAGTGTATGCGAGTGTGAGCATATGCATTTGTATATGCTTCATGATTAGTGATCCTGTAACATCAGATATAATGGAAGATATATGTAATTCGGTGATTCTAAAACGGCATTTTTCAACAAGTATGTAACACGACATTGTACCGATGTGAGAGAACGATGAGAAGGTAATTTTTAAACAATTGTTCTCTAAACTTAAGGCGAAGTGAATTATAAGAAACGACGCTTTCTTTCTAAATTGTAGAACGACTTGCATCAGTTTTTTTCTTTTTTTCAATTTTTTTAAACATCGCACTGTCGTGGTTTCAGATGTTCAATTAAAAGTTATTCTTATAGTATTCCTTAATAGCATTTGATAGTCGCAATAGAATGTCAAAAGTTGCGAGTGCAGCAAATTAAACTTATCGATCAAAAATTAAGGTCATCAATTAAATATAATGTACTGCGAACATAGAATCCTGTTCTGAATTGTGTACAGAATAATTTTAGATATAGAATTAAAATTGTAGATATGGAATAAGAAGATTGTGCAACAATAATTCAGTCTTATTAGATATAAAAATTTACCTTCAATCGATGATATTCGAAGTTTTCCTTAGACAAACTTGAACTCACAGTTTATTGAAATTTGTGAACAAATATATCAAGCTTCGCAGCTTTTCAACGAAAATATGTTGCGTCATAGATATAAATCAATGATCATGAATACTGACAATGACATTTCATAAATATCTTCCGAGATGATCGGAATTTACCAAGTTAGTTACTGTTAAAAGTAATTCCTCTAAATACAAAACGTTCTCGATGTGAACTCTCAATTGACTAATAATGAGTATCTACCGTGGAAGATTCTCGTTCAATAATATATAACAATATATTATAACAATATGTTATAACAATATTCTCTTTAATCTGAAAAGTAATGACAAGTGTAGAAAGACTATAAATAATATATATATATATGATACATATAAATAATATAAAATTGTAATAAATAGAATATTATTTAAATTTTTCTAAATATATTATATTTATATTTAATTCTCGGCATACATTTGTAATATTTAAATTAATTTTAAATATGAACGTGAAGTAGATAAAATTGTAATAGAGAATAGATAATAGGAATTCCTGTACTAAAGCTACTAAACACTGGCCTGTTACAGAAATCTAAAATAAAATAAATCACTTCGATCGTAAAAGCTTTAGAATTTTACAATTATACTAGTAAATAATTACGTTAATAAGAATCAATTAATTAATCCAAATAAACAAATTTATGCTACACATATAATTGTGTCACTCCATGTCAAGTTACGTACACTCATTTTGAAATTTTGCAATTTTTAACTTGAACGCAATTTGGTTACCGATAGGTACCAACTTATGTAAACTAGATCATTTGACAATTATATCACTATAAACCAATCTAGTTATAAATTTACATCAATTAATAAAATATTTAAATTAATATTATCATACTAATATAATTTTATAAAATCAAAAATTGTAGCATTTAGAAACTTTTATAAGAAATTTTTTCTGAAGTATTTCAAATTTCATATTAACATTAATTTCTAAAGTTCTTTATAGAACCAAAAATGTATTTCAGTAAAAAATAATTTTATTTTTTCAGATTAAAAAATATTTAATATTTAAAATTGCCACTTTATAAAATATATAAAATACATAGCTTCAATAACAAAAATACTTACTGAAATTGGAGATTTAATTTGAACATCATTTTCTATATTTTTTACAAATCCTAAAAAAGAACAATATTAACATTATTTTTGGTTTATAATTTAAACTTAAACAACACTAGTTATTTCTAATTTAATAAATTACATGCAGTAAATTTTATTATTACAATTAATTCTATGTAGAAAATTTTGCCTAAAATTAATTTTATCTAACTTTTTAATATTTATTCTTTCGAAAGTATTAGATGTATTGCATTTAATTCAAAATTTAGTCTCAATTATACGAAATACGAATAATAATTATTATTTCACGGGATAATTTATTGTAAATATTTTATTACTAGTTACATAAGAAATGTTCTGAAATTTTCATTCATATTAAGTTGATAGCATTGTACTGTCTATTGGCCAATCAGCGATATTCTTGACACGCCCCTTGAATATTCGTTTTTGGTGACTGAATGCGGGTCGGAGAGTAAACAGTTCCAATAAATTTTTCATTGATTTTGTAATTTTTATTAATTAATGGTCTGATTGACGTCCACCAAATTCTTCAATAATTTAAAATGGTGAGTTTAATGTTTTTAATTTGCTATTGTAATATTATATTTCTTCATTAATGACGTTAACCAATATCAACACTTTTACTGAATGATGTTCGTTATAGCAAAGTCCAATTTTGTAAACTTTTTATTTAAAGTAAAATTTTTAAAAATAATTGTTATGTAGAATATTTGTCTTTGTGGTATTAATATCTTAAGAAAAATTTTTATTTAACCTAAAATATAGCAAACGTCAAAATGGCGCTACCCAGTGACATAATGGGAATTTTGAGTTTTCAGTTATTTAAAGAATTGATTATTCGGTCATTTAAATGAATTTATATATTTTTTGTAAACTTGAATAATTTTTTGTTAACATACATGAATCTTATTTATACAGATTATATTAATAAATATCTTCTAACATTTTTTTCTTGTCTTTTTATTGAAATTAGTGGAAGTTAATTATTTATATTGAATTTTATGTAGTTTTTCGACTATTATATTATATTATATTTGATTAAAAATACGAAATTTTAAATCTAAAATGAACATATTAAATTTATTTATAATACTAATAAATATATAGTATATAGTATCTGACTTGTCAGTTTTATTACAAACATATAAAATTCTATTTACTAAGATGATTAAAGTTACAGAAAAATAATTCACCTGATTGTAAAATTAAAAATTTAATTTAATTTTAATTTTAAAGACGGAACAGCAAATGGATTGTGCATTAGATTTAATGAGAAGATTACCACCTCAGCAAATTGAAAAAAATTTAAGTGATTTAATAGATCTTGTGCCATCTCTTTGTGAAGATCTTTTATCCTCTGTCGATCAACCCTTAAAAATTGCAAAAGATAAAGAATCTGGAAAGGACTATTTACTTTGCGACTACAACAGAGATGGCGATTCCTATAGGTAACTGCGGAAAAGTATCGTGCCTTAATATTGCGTTGTTATATAGTTTTATTAATATTAAATAAATGTGTATTGCAATTAAAATATTTTATATTGTGAAATTATGTTCCAGATCTCCATGGAGTAATACATATGATCCACCATTAGAAGATGGCTCAATGCCTTCTGAAAGACTTAGAAAATTAGAGATAGATGCAAATCATGCATTTGATCAATACAGAGAACTCTACTTTGAAGGTGGAGTTTCTTCTGTCTATTTGTGGGATTTGGATCATGGTTTTGCAGCAGTAATATTGATTAAAAAAGCAGGTGATGGCTCAAAGAAAATTAAAGGTTGCTGGGACTCAATTCATGTAGTAGAAGTTCAAGAAAAATCCAGTGGAAGAATTGCACATTATAAATTAACTTCTACTGCAATGCTTTGGTTACAAACTAATAAACATGGTTCTGGAACAATGAATCTTGGTGGAAGCCTTACAAGACAGGTTTGATACTGTTTAATTACTTTCTAATTAAAGACGTTTTTAATTATTTTTTATATAATGCAGTAAAATTAAAATTATTTGAAGATAAAATTATTTTAAAAAATTTATTTTCTAGGTTGAACAAGATGCCCAAATAAGTGAGAGTTCTCCACATATTGCTAATATTGGTCGCATGGTTGAAGATATGGAAAATAAAATTCGAAATACTTTAAACGAAATTTACTTTGGGAAAACAAAAGATATTGTAAATGGTTTAAGGTCTGTTCAATCTCTAGCTGATCAAAGACAACAAGCTGCCCTCAGACAGGATCTCGCGGCCGCATTGCAAAGGAGAAATGCCAATAATTGATCTTGTGAGGAAGATCAGCTTTCCTTCGATTTTGAGGAATGTCATTAAAAAAAGAAAGAAATAAAAGAGAAATCGTAAATGATGAAATTAAGATTCAAATTGTTACAGTTACTGTGACGTGAATTTTGGACAGTTTCCTGTGATATGCAGGGTGCAACGGTAAAGATGAATTTTTCCTGAAATATTAAAGAATTAAAGAAAATAAATAATTGAATACCAATTATTAATTATGTCAAGATTTTGAAATATTAAGAGATATTACGAGTGTCTGAGTATATATATATATATATATATATATATATACATACATACATACACATATGCTCAAAGGTATGTAACACCCTAATGTTTTATTTAGACTTCAAAATAATTAATTTATGATAATAGAATATGTAGAATACATATTGACGTTCCAAGTATTTCATTTTTAAATATACCTATAATACTTGAATTTTATCATTCTGTGTAATCTTTCTTTTAATATTTTTACTAATTTAAATGTATTAAGCGTTAATTTATAAAGCATTTTTATAAAATTGTGATACATTTTCATAGTCTTGTATATTGTTTATTGATTTTATAAATTGCTATATTTCTCGTCATATTCATCAAAATTTGATCTATGCAAATATACAAAACTTTCACATTAATGTTTTCTATGCAGATTTTTTTATAAAATATTTTTTTATAAAAATTATTTTTCATCTAATAAGCATATAATATCTAATGCTTGTAGGCATAAGTTATAAAACAATAATTTATACTTATATAGACGTCTCATTATTACAACGAATAAATTTAAAAAAAAAAAAAAGTCAGCACAATCAAGATACATTTTCATTTTTGTGTTACATATCTTTGACGTTTTCCATTGTATACGTGTATGTAGTATATATACTGCGTTCATATAAATTCATGTCAAATATACATTTATATATATACGTAAATATATAATTATACAATGAATTATATAATTATAAATGTATATACAATACATTCATATGTATATGTGTATATGTGTGTATATAATGTACACACATCATACATATATAATGGCACTCGTAATGTTTTCTTAATTATTAATAATTATTAATAATACGAAATATAAGAGTATTAATGTTTGAAAATGTAGGAATATTAAAAAGAATATTTGCGAATAAACTTCTAACAAGTTGTTCACTAATTTTCTGCCTAAGTACTCAATTTTACTAAATAAGTTTAAAATTGCATCAAATTTAAATTTATAAAAAATGTAAATGATTTTCAACATTTAAATTTTTAATTAATTTTAACAAATGTTAATCGAATTTGGCTAAAAATTATATGTACATTTTATAAAATACCTTTTTATTTAACTGGAAGTATTTATTGAATATAAGTAAATTTAATTTGCATTTATAATCAGTATTATTGTTAGTACCTGCATCATCTTTAATGTAACAGGAGGAAACTCATGAAGAGTAATTAAAATTTTTAAACAATATGCATATGAAATTGTGAAGGAAAAAAATGATAAAAATGTCAATTTAATTTTGATAATTTTAATTATCTTAAATGAATAATATTAAGTTAGTTAATAAGGTAAAAAAATAGCAAAATCATTAAGACTCAAAATTTCAATAATGTACTATTATAAGAACAACAAAACATCATCGAAGGTTGACACAAAAGCACCGACGGCTTTCTTTTCATTTATTTATCCATTTATCTTCCATTGATTTCCGCCGTGTAAACAAATGCTCGTTGGTATCCATTTACTTATATACTTTACGTCTGTATTTTTTTTTTTTAATTTCATAATTGTGTACTTTCGTATATACTTGTGTATTTTCATATACTTTACCACTGTGTGTACTGTATATGTATCGTGTGTATACGTATTTGTTTGCCTATATACGCCAATGCTGGTTATTTTTTGAAAATATCTATATACCGACATGTATTACGATTTAATATTCTGCACATTAATTTAATACATGCACAATAGAATTAAAAAATAATATTCCAAGAATATTTTAAAATTGAAATAATTACAATAAGTTTTATTAATTTGGATTTTATTTATTGCTACATAAATACTAGTAACTATATTTATCAATTACACAATTGATAATTTAACTTAAGTATTTGAGAGTTTTTATACTAAATATACCTTTATATTCTCGAAATATTATTCCATATCTGTGCTTAAACGATTTATTTTAACTTATCATGTATTTGAAAATTAGTTTTAGTACAAATCATTAGAATTTAAAGGCTCGACCAGCAGTGGTGTATAATTAATTAAACCCAATATCGAGAAGCAGAAAAAAATGATTTCCGTCTCTCGTAGTTGAAGTACGACCAGGAGGCCGCTTTATTCGTTTTTTTTTTTCAGTTTCCTTTTATCGATTAAATTCATTTATCTAAGTAGTCTTAATCTTAAATTAGTCTGCTTAGATTACAGTAGCTTAGTTGTTTCTTATCATTCATTTTTTATATTTTCTTAAATCTTCTTATGTTTTCGTACATGGTATAGTCTGTTTTGAAATCGAGCCTTTAATGTAACTTAAATAGTTACATTGTAACTCAAACTTCAAGTCAGAAATCGAAATTAAGTGATAAACTTAAAATTTCAGAATTCAAGTTTGAAATTACCTTTAAAATTACATGTACCGAGTTTGAAGTTCAAATTGAATTCCAAAATTTTGTGTTAGGATTTAAGAGCTCAATATTTACCGAGTTTGAAGTTTCGATTCTAATTTCAGAATATCAAAGTTTTGAAAATTGTTAAATATAAAATGGTCTTTCTACAAAATGGCTTCTAAATAAAAGCTTTAACTTTCATAGAAAATTAATAAAAATCTCTCAGATCTATGAAAAAAATTCAATTTCACTATTTTGAAATATGATGCAGTAAATTTTATCGAAATTAGAAATATATTTTTTTAATTTAATGGTATTTAGTATTCAAATTATAATCAAGAACAAAAATTATAAAATTAAAAACCTTCAAGAATAAGTTATTATCAGATAAGGATATTGGATAAATAACAGATATTAAGGTTTCTAGTAAGACATGAATTTTTGTAACGCTATTTCAGTAGCATAGAATGCTAATAAAAATTAGACAGAATTATAATTATATAAAAAAAAATTCAAAACCAAAACAAGATGTTAATTCTAAATTAAGCTGGGTGTTCTAAAACATAATCTTAATAAAAAAAGATTTAACGAACTTGAATAAAGGAGAGAAAAAAAAGACAGAATCCCAAACAAATATAAGGTATTATAAGAATTAAAATTCTATACGTTCTCTATAAATTCATATAGAATTGAGATTTGACTATAACAAAAAATTTAAATGAAACTTGTAAAGGAATTGAAACTTCAATTAAAATAGAGAAAAGGGGTTAATGTAAGGGAACAAAATTTTTAAATAATTAGAATTTTAGAAATATTGAAATTTCAATAAAATCATAGTTTCAAATAAAATTATATATTACCACTGAGATGTAATTGAAATTTCAATAGAAATAAAATTCTAATTACGTTTTAGAAATCACAAATTAAGGCGAAGTAGTCCTCTTTAAAAATTTTCCACTGTCAAGACTGCCTTTTAATCTCAACATTTTAAGCCACCAAAGACATTCATTTTTTCCAGGGTCTAAGCTGATACTGTTTCTTGGTTTATTCTCTTTTTATTTGTGTTTTTTTTTTTATTTTTTTGCAAGTAATTCATTATTTGTAATCCTCTCCTCCCTCACACTTACACGCTCACGCACATTATTTTTCTCTTCCTTCCCAGTTTTTTAAATTATGTGTTTGCCTCTTTCCTTTCCCATATTATTTCTTTTCCCTTCTTTCACTCTTTTCTCAAGCCCCCCCCCCCACTCCTTTCTTCTCTATTTGCTGTTGGTAGTAGTCCTTATGTTAACCATTGATCATCTTGTATTGTATCTTAGGTTTCTCTTAATAATATATTAACTGTGTGTGTTTTGTTTTTTCTTTAATGTGATGGTGGAGTCTGGACTGAACACAATTATTTATCGATGGCAGTGTTAGTTTTAATAGCGATCACAACTTCTTCACCACATGCCTTCAAGACGGTGCACTAAAAAATAGAATATTTTTCTTTATATTTCTAATATAAAAAAATTATATAAAATACAATATACTGTAAAATAAGATATACTGTAGAAGATAAATATATATATGATATATAGTACAAAGTAATTTATTAAATAATCAATACGAAAAGCATAGAAATTTATGCAAGTTCTAAAATATGAACAAATATAACAAATAGAATAAAAATTGAACATAAATAAATACTAGTAAATATATTTTTATTAGTTTTAGCATAAATTCGCATAAAAAAATATTTTATAATTAACTTTTATTTAATTTAAGTACTCACAAGAAGTTCCTTTCCAGCTTCATGATCAGCACGTAATTGAGCACCCAGTTCACCATCAGGAATTTTTAAATCTTCACGGAGTTCACCATTATCAGCCATCAGGCATAAATAGCCATCATCAGATATGTCTGCTAGCTACAACATAAAGTCATATTTGACTAAAAAAATATATGTATAAAAAAACATTATTATTACATAAGACAAATGAAAACAGAAGTTAGTATTTTACATTTATAATGTCACATGATAAAAAGAATTTACATTATTACACAAATGATTCCAAATGGCATTATTTTATAATGATACCAAAATGATATTAATTTGATATTAGTTTGTCATATTAATGTTAATAAATAACTATTTCAACAAATAATTACTACAGAAATATAAATTTTATATAAATAATGTGTACAATATTTTTCATATGAAATATTATTTTAATGTAAAGTGAATTTACAAAAGTATTTTTTTGTACCTGATAATCTTCCCGCTTAACAAATGGCACATCCATATTGTGCGTTGACGGACAAATATCTTCATACTTTTTTGAAGTGAAAATATCAATCCCTACAAGATGTACTTTAGCATGGCCATGTTTTCCTGTTTTAGAAGTTGACATTTCTACAATTTTGCATGGCCGAGATTTCAGCATGACAAATCCGTTTTTACGCAGAGCCGAACATTGCATCGGGTATGTTACAGAAGCACCTGAGTCTCCAGTCTCAAAGTGAGTATCCTCTATGTCTGCCATTCTTGGTTTCTGTTATTCTGAAATAATTTAAAACAAATAGAGAATTAAATTCAAATAAGACATGAATATCATAATTTGAAATATTTAATCATAATAATAACTTATAGAAGAATAATTTACCACTGCTTTGTTGATTTGTTAAAAATTTAAGTAGCATACAGAAAGCATTTTTAAATATTTTGTGCCTTTAAAACAATTAATACTTTCCATTAATTTACATTTTTGCATATAAAATGTAAAATATATTATGTTTATGAGTAACATATACTTCTTTTAGAAATTAAACACTAAAAAGGAATAAATCAATACAAAAGAAGAAAACAAAATTTAATATTACACTTTATAGAAAGAATTAATAATGTAATTAATGTTTTGTGAAAAATATAAAATTATCTTATATCTTTCAATCTAATACTAAGAAATAACATTAAAATTTATAAGAAAACTAAAAAATTAAAACTCTTTCTAAATTGTTTTTTCTAACTTTAGCAAATAAAACGGTCTGGTAATATTATTACTATTATTAAATTTTACAACTGTAAAAGTTTAATTATATTAAAATTTTATGAATATTACATCTCCAATGAAATCACTGTATGGAATGTAAATTATTTTCAATAAAAAATTAAATTCCTAATGAAAAATTAATAAAAGTCAAAATTGTTATTTCCAATGCAAATGAAACCTCCAAAATAAACATAAGTAATTGATAAGCTTTTACAAAATATAATGCTATATGATCTAGTATTTGATTATATTTTGTAAAACACTAAATATATGTAAAAATTATTTATGCAAAAATATGACAAATACAAAAACCTATGTAATCTTTCACAATATGTTTTGGAATATAATATTTCAAATGTATGCTGCTGCAATTTATTTTTTTCAGAATTAAAAAGCATACCGAGACATTTAATGCTACAATCTAGGTGTACTTCAAATTATAAACAACAGATTCAGGCAAAACACATTGCATAAAAATTGCTCAGAACATGTTTCATTGCATGAAATGAGATATTTGAAATCGTAAAAAAAGCCAAGTGTTTTTGAAATATTGTAAGTAATAACGAAAAAGGGAAGACAACTGAAACATCAAGTGCGACAGTTAGTACTAGAAAACGTTTGTGGAATAAACGCAAAAAGCATCGAAAGAAACTATCGTGAAACTCGATCAGAACGAAAATGAACACGTTGTGCAAGCACAATCTAACCAAAGATTCTAACTCGGCTGACAGTTCTCCAGTTAACGAAGCCCCCCAATAAAAAATGACGTGGAAAGCCTCGCGAAAGTCGAATTACCTTCGAGGGCAAGTTTACTACGGTTTTTTCACCGTTTTCCTTAAGAAGATGGCGCGAAAAGGATTGCGTGCGGTTCGTCGTCGAAATTGCCGACTCTCGTAAAACGTTCAAGAAATTACAGATACGTTCTAGCCTCGAATATCGGCGTTCTTCGCTCACGGGATTTTTTAACAGCGTTTTGCAAACGTTTTGCAAACTTGTTCGAGTGATCACAAGCCGATCATCAAGACTCACCGTGAAAAAAGAAGAACAGACTGGAGATACTCACATGTGATCAAAATGGACACTCTAACCAGAAGAGTTGGCTGCGCTTGCGCGAACCGCTAATCGGCGACAGGGGGCCACTCGAATAGGTCCACGGATTCCGACTGGGAGTGTTTGTGGGGGTAAAGTTAGATGAGAAATTTCATGCCAGTTGGGAATTTAACGTAATGCGCATGCGCCATTTTGCATGGTGATTTGGAAACTTGGTTAAATTAGATACTAGATGCGTAATAATATCATTAAAATTTCAATCACGAAAAATAGCGTTTAATTATTTACTTGTTTAGCTCCATAACAGTAATAATAATTACGTAGCATTAGCATTTTAAAGTAATATTATGTATGTTCAAGCGTCGTGTGCTCATTTGTACGTGTACAAAATCGTTCATTCAAATCGATTCCCGCGAATATTTTCGAAATTATTAACACTGACAATGAGTAATATTTCAGACAAGTTTTTGAATTTATTAAAATTCGCAAGTTCAACGCCATTAAACCATTTCTCGCGAGAATATTCGAAAAAGGAAGATCATGAGGGACTGCTTTAAATAATTTAGAACTTACAATATTTTTTTGGTATTAAATTTCTAAGTCATAATATAGATGCAATAAATCTTTCTAATTAATTAAAAGTCTTTGGAATAATAAGTTGTGGTTGTTACATTTATATAAAATTCGTTAAAAATAGTAATTTATTACAAAGTTTGTACTGTAACATGAACAAATATAAATTACACTGAATGAATTCCTTTAATAAAAGCTGCAACTGATGTAATTGGTATATCTGGTAGAATACCATGTCCCAAATTCGCTATATATCGAGATTTACCAAACTTCATTACCATATCTCGAGCACGATCGGTTATTTCTTGCTATAGAAAAACAGATATCTTCATTAGTTCAATAAAGATAAAAGACAATTACGTATTAATGATCTTAGATGTAGTAATATTCAATATGAAATTATATAAACCTCAGAAGCATATAAAGCACATGGATCCAAATTTCCTTGTAAAGTAATTTCAGAACCAAATCTTTTTCTTGCTTCGATAGGATCAACAGTCCAATCTAAACCCAATACTTCATAAGTTTTAGACTTTGCCAACATTTCTAAGGAATTCATAGTTGCACCTTTAGGAAAAGCGATCTAAAATTCGTCATTCTTTAACAACTTAAACTGAAATAAATTACAGCATATTGCAATATTTAGTTTATTTACCATTGGTACTTTAGGGATATTTTCTTCTTTTAATCTTTGTCTCACTTTGTCGCTAATTTCCTTCAAATATTTAAATGAATAGTTTTCAAATAATTCATCATTAAGAAAATCACCATGACTTTCAAATACTTGTAACAACTGTAACAGAAAAGTTAAATTATACTTCATTAATTACCAAAATGATCTTATTTCTCTATTTTTTATAAATTTATAATGTTTACTCAATAAAATATATATATATATATATATATATATATATGTGTGTGTACCTGTGCTCCAGCTTTTACCTGCATTACAAGATAATCTATTATGACATTTGTAATTAATTGTAAAAGTTTGTGAGAATCTTCTGGATATTTATATAACCATTGTCGTGCCTTTGTCATTGTTGAACTACCACCACCTTGGATCATGTAGCTCATTAATGTCCACTATCAATTTATATATATAAATACTAGAAGTATTTGCCTTATACTATGAAGGAATTGGTTTACTTACTGGTGCACCAGTAAAACCAATTAGTGGTACTTTTCCTTCCAATTTGTGTCTTGTTAAAGTTATAGCATCTCCTACATATTTTAAATCCTTCTTTACATTTGGCTTAACTAATCTAACTAAATCTGTTGGATCCTTCAGAGGTTTAGGTAAAGTTGGTCCCTGTATTTGATTATAAAATGTTATTAAAAACTTTGTTGAATATAAAAATAGGTAAAAATTAATAATAGAGAGAAAAAAAAAACAAACCACTCCAGGAACCATTTCAACAGTTAAACCCATTGCTTGTGGAATAACTAAGATATCAGAAAAGATAATGCTAGCATCCAGATCAAATCGTTTTATAGGTTGTAAAGTAACTTCACAAGCTAAAGCTGGTGTTTGACAAACAGAAAAGAAATCATGTTTTGATCTAACTTCTTGAAACTCTGGAAGATATCTTCCAGCTTGACGCATTATCCATACTGGGACTTGTTCTATAGATTCTCCTTTTGCAGCTTTTAAGATCAAATCATTTTTTAATGGTGGAAATTCCGTTTGTGTCATTATTATTTAAAAAAGATGTTAATGTCTCAAGAAAACTGAAATTTATAGTAAAATAAAATGTTAAATAAAATTATATATATAAATACAGAATAAATATAATCTTAACTAATATATTTTATACAAATGTACACAGTTATTTTTTATAATATTTTTATAAAATTACTTGTCATGATGTACTTACAAATTCAAAAATATAAAAATGTAATAATAAATTAATACGATATAAATTACACAATTTTCTTGTACTTTTTATTGCCAACTATTTTTTTATCCATAAAATATACAAATTAAATAGTATAATATCCTAGTTTAAATTTTAAAAAATATTTTTACGTAAAATATTTTTTCTATTTCATTAAAATATATTAAAAGATACTTTGGTATGAATTGCACTTTTGCTATATACTATATATATACACATACACACACAATTTTCAACTAATAATTTGGAATGTAACTTATCTATAAGATATTTTTATCTATAAGATTATATTTTATGGTTAATTTAACCAATCAACTATTTGCAAATTTTAGGCTAATAATTTTAATTCCAATTAATTTTTAAGATTTTTCGCTATTATATATTTAACATTGAAGATTACGTATAAATTTTAACATTACATTTAGGGCTAAAAAGAAAATCAAGAACAAATATTCTTTATATATATTGTATATAAATTCTAGTATAAATTGTACCTTATGTCTTGACCAATTACGTTTGCAGAAAATATTTTGAAAGCGAGAACGTGGCGCGTTATAACACGCGAGAGGTTTGTTTTCTGCCTTACTTCAGTTTTCTATTTCAAATTGTATAAATTGGTGTGAACAAAAAGCATCTAATTTTATGGTTATGTAGTTTGTGAATTCGAAAAAGAAAGATAATAACTAAACTGATTTTAAATATCTTGAAAGATGGATTTCCTAGAATATACTGATGTAATTGCTGAAGTTAAAGGAGCTATGGTAAGAATATATTATTTTATATAATATTAAATTTGAATAGTAATAATTCAGGTTAACTTACTCTTATATTGTACTTTACAATATGATTTCAAAAAAATTGCATTTTATTTTGTAAATAGTAAAATTATTAATGAAAATGTTTGTAACAATTCATTAAATATTTTGTGTGATAACGAATCATATAAATAGAAATTTCTTTATAATTGCATTTACATGTGACATTTTTATGAACAGACACCTGGACGATTGAAACTTACGGATCAACATTTAATTTTTAAAAATCAAAAAACAGGTAAAGTGGAGCAAATTTCAGCGTCAGATATGGAAATGGTAAATTATCAGAAATTCATTGGTACCTGGGGTCTTCGAATATTTCTCAAAAACGGAACTTTACATAGATTCCGTGGATTTAAGGAAGGTGTAAGTAATAGTTTTCGATTAAAAACCATCTTTTTTAACTGTAAGTTTCATAGCGAAATAATATTTTTAGGATCAGGAAAAAATTGCAAAATTCTTTGCACAAAATTATAAAAAGGATATGCTAGAGAAAGAACTTAGTTTAAAAGGTTGGAATTGGGGTACAGCTCGGTTTAATGGTTCTGTATTAAGTTTTGATGTTGGTCATCATACTGCTTTTGAAATTCCACTGTATGATGTATCTCAATGTAACACTGGTAAAAACGAAGTCACATTGGAATTTCATCAGGTGATTATTGGTGATATAATGTGTTTAACATTAAAGTTCACAAATATCTTCATAAATTTTTCAGAATGATGATGCTCCTGTAAGTTTAATGGAAATGAGATTTCATATTCCTATCAGTGACAGTGCAGATCAAGATCCAGTAGAAGCGTTTCATCAACAAGTTATGGAAAAAGCATCTGTCATCAGTGTTAGTGGAGATGCCATTGCAATATTTAGGGAGATTCAATGTTTGACACCTCGGTATGTATTTGTATTTAAAAGAATATATATTGAAAAAATATATTAATATAATCTCTTTCAGTGGTCGTTATGATATAAAGATATTTCAATCATTTTTCCAATTACATGGTAAAACTTTTGATTATAAAATTCCAATGTCAACTGTTTTAAGACTATTCCTTTTGCCACATAAAGACAACAGACAAATGTATTTTGTGGTAAGTATTCTAAAAATTATTTTTATTTTCTTTCATTAACTATTTGATTTATTATTATCGTTAATATTTTTTATTTAGGTCAGTTTAGATCCACCAATTAAACAAGGTCAAACTCGTTATCACTATTTAGTATTATTGTTCAATCAAGAAGAAAGGACTTCAATTGAATTACCTTTTTCTGAGTATGTATTAAAACTTTCTTAATATAATAAAATATAGATATGTTATTTATTATTACAGAAAAGAGCTAAAAGAAAAATATGAGGATAAATTATCAAAAGAATTATCTGGGCCAACTTACGAAGTTTTAGGAAAAGTAATGAAAGTTATTATCAATAGAAAACTTACTGGACCTGGAAATTTCATTAGGTAAGTCTTTTTATATGGAAATATTGTATGTTTTTTATTTCTAAATTTCTAATTTTCAGTCATTCTGGGACACTTGCGATTAGTTGTTCGTTTAAAGCAGCTGCAGGTTATTTATATCCTTTAGAAAGGGGTTTTATTTACGTTCATAAACCACCAATTCACATACGTTTTGAAGAAATTGCATCGGTAAATTTTGCTCGTGGTGGCGGTTCTACCAGATCGTTTGATTTTGAAATTGAATTAACTAGTGGTGTTGTTCATACATTCAGTAGTATTGAAAAAGAAGAATATGGAAAACTTTTCGATTTTATTACTTCTAAAAAATTACGGGTTAAGAATAGAGGCAAGAGTGTAAGTATAAGTCATTAATGTAATTATAATTTTCTAAGTAATTGTATTAAAAAATTATTTATTTTCATAATAGGACAAATTGAATTATGACAATGACTTTGGAGATAGTGATCAAGAAGATGAGCCAGATGCTTATTTGGCAAGAGTTAAAGCAGAAGCAGAAGAAAGAGATGCAGAGGAAAATCAAGATTCTGAAGAAGAATCTACTGATGAAGATTTTAATCCTAATCAGGTATAATTTTATCAAAATTTTGCAAAAACAGAAATGTACATATTTTTTATACATATTATTTTAGGATGAGAGCGATGTGGCAGAAGAATATGATAGTAATCCAAACAGTTCAGAAAGTGAAAATGAATCGGATGCTTCAGGAAAAAGTCAAAAGAAAGAAAAAAAAGAAAAGAAGGAAAAAAAATCAAAATCTGCTAAAACTGTGGTAAGTATTGTATTTTACTTGTATTTTCATATATATATACACAGTATTTTTATAATTTATGAGAAAGAATTTATAGTATTAATAAGATAATTTATTAGGATATTTATAGTTTATTAACGTGTATTATCTCATTTAGTCAGAGAAGCCTAGAAAACCTAGAAAGCAAAAGAAAGAAAAGGATGCAAATAAACCTAAAAGACCACAAAGTGCGTTCATGATGTGGTTAAACAGTAATCGAGAAAAAATTAAAGCAGAAAATGCTGGTATCGCAGTTACAGAAATTGCAAAAAAAGGAGGTGAAATGTGGAGGGAATTAAAAGATAAATCTGTAAGACTTGTTGTGTATTCTTTCTTGTAAAAATTAATTTTTACCTGTTTTCATAATTATTTAATAATATACTAATTATATAGGAATGGGAACAAAAAGCAGCAAAAGCAAAAAAAGAGTATATTGCATCAATGAAAGTATACAAAGCTAGTGCTGGAGGCGGAGGAGGTGATAAAGAGAAAAAAGAAAAAGGAGAAAAGAAAAAAAAAGAGAGTAAAAAAGAATCTCCCAGTAAGCTTATGTCAGGAACTAGTTTTAAGAGCAAAGAATATATCAGCGATGACGAAAGCAGCAGCGATGAAGATAATAAGGTACATTAATAAATAATAAAAATTATAATTTGTTATTATTATATATTGTATGTTATTATTACATATTATATATTGTATTTTTTGTTTTAATATTTATTACTTTTTAAAAATATTCCTATAGAAATCAGAAAAGAAGGTCTCAGACGAAGATAGTGACGAAAATAAAGAAAAAAAAAGGGGAGACAAACGGAGTGCGGTAATTTCATTATAGCATTTATATTAAATTTAATAAATATTTTTTAAAATATATTCTAGTATATATGATTTTATTATAGGAGGATGATGACAAAAAAGTAAAGAAAGGAAAAAAAGAAGAGTCTGATGAAGGTAGTGATGAAGAACCTATTGAAAGTACTCCGCCGTCTAGTGAAGCTGAATCTAAAGACAGCGACTAATTCTAATTTAATTATTTTTTAAATTACTACTTAAAATAATATTTACCTATAAATATATGTATTACTGAGTGCTTTAAAATCATTAAAATATGTTCCAAATTTACAGTTTTTAAATTATTTTTATAATAGATTTGAATATTTATATTTGTCTAATTTTGATTTATTAAAATTTTTTTTTAATATTTTTAAGATAGTTATAAGATGTATTACTATATTTGTAGTTTAAACATTGACAACAATTTGTAATTATGATCTAGAAGAAAAAGCATTTCTCTTATAAATGTAATAATAATAAATAATGTTCTTCAAAAAAATACAAAATATTCCTTTCCTTTATAAAAGTATTAAAATTTTTATAGTAGGATTCTGTGATAAACGGATGTTATATAGCATTTCTATTATATATTTTGTCTATGCTAAAAATAGGTTAGGTTTAGTCAAAACAATACCTGTTTGTATACTCGACACGAAGTCTGTGCATACTCGAAGAAAATGTTAATTTCTATATTACATCTTGAAATAGATATTATAAATAGATAGATATATTATTTCACTGATATCTTATAAATATAATTACTAAGAAAGAGAATATTTATATATATAAATTTAATATTTTGTAAAAATGGATATCAGAGAAAGTACAGGATTTTATGATTTATGTGTGAACGTACCAGAAAACAAAATACAAAATTTATATCCTGTGTTATCAAAATTATGTGAATATGGATTTAAAACAATAGCGATAAATACTGATATAGATGAAAGTGTTCTTGGAACAAACAAAAAAAAGAAGAAGAAAAGTGGTGATAGTGAAATATCACAAGGTATTGTTTTTGAAACAATTGACATAGAAAACATAAGAAAAGAATTTGATGGAAGATTGAAGATTTTTAATCGAATTACTTTTTTCTGTTCTGATTTTGCCAAGACACATATACTGAATCATTGTTCTAGTTTGAAAAAATATGATTTATATGCTTTTGCCCCAAGGACACAAAATGCTTTACAATGTGCATGCACTCATTTGAATGCAGATATAATTACACTAAGACCAAATCTTGTGTCATTTAAACTTAATAAAAAATTATACGATCAAGCAATTGAAAGAGGAATACATTTTGAAATACAATATACAGATCTATTAAATGTTGAATTTAGAAAAACTACTATTCACTATTCTCATCTATTTCATACATATGGAAAAAGTAAGGTATTCAAATATTCATATAATATACATTTTATTCATTAAATAAAAATAATTGTTTTTAGCATTCATTTATAATTATATATCACAAAGTACCAATAAATATAAATTAATACTAATATTTAACTAGTAAATAACAATGTCATTAACATTAAAAAATTTTTTCTTTAAAATCCATTTCTAAGTAATAAAAGAATTTTTAATTAAGTATTTTATTTATTCAGAATGTAATATTATCCAGTGGTTCCAATGACATTAAAACAATACGAAATCCTTATGATCTTATAAATTTGGCATGCTTATTGGGTTTGAACGAAGTTCAAGCAAAAGCTTCAATATTACATCAATGTAAAAGACTTTTGTTACGAGCAGGTAATATACAATTGAATGTAAAAGTATAAATTTTTATAAAAATGGAAGTAATTAAACATAATTATGGAGTTATTTGTCTTTTTTTCAGAAAGAAGACATAGAGGAAAAGCTGCTTTTATCATTAAAGATTGCACACAAAATAGAAGTGTAATTGAAGAAGATTCACAATGTGTAAAAAGATTAAAAAGATTAAGTTGAATTTTAGAATGTTTTTATATTATTTTTTAAAATAATGATTATTTTGAATAAATACTTTTATATTAAAATATAGAATAAAAAGATAATTATTCACTGAAAATTGTTCAGATATAATCTTAAAATAATAGAATTCTGAATATATATTTTATAAAAAATTAACAATGATAAAAGATTAATTTTTTAAACACAAAATATTTTTAAATATTAAAATTATAACCCTATATTTTGTTATTTAATATATTTAAAATAGAAGTAATTTTTTATAGAGAAATATATTTTTCTATTAAGACAAGCAGTAAAGAAGCAAGTACGGAAAAAATAATTTTTTTAAATAATATTTTTGGCTTAAATGATTTGTTTTTTATACATTATAAAAAAGTGCAACTGTTCTTGATGAAAACCTCCTTTTTTTCACATCGATCATTTACAAATTGCAATTTTTATAGATTTTATCTTATATACAATTATGTCCTACAAATCGTTGCTGATTAAAAATTTTATGTTAATATTCTATACTAAAAATATAAGATATGTACATAGCATATCCTTTATACTGTGATTAATTTTCCGGAACACCAAGGACACGGATGAAAATTCAGTTCAAACATACAGGAATCTTTACAATCTTTTATCTCCGTCAAAACATCTAGAAGTTCCGATACATTTTTGTTTTCTTCTTGTGGATCTATGACTTCCTTTTTTCTTTTCACAACTATAGACTCATTAGAATCTATTTCCGAAAGATAATTTTTTTTATTAGATTTCGATTAGTTAACAATGTTAATTGATATAATTTTGTTAAATAAATAAAATTTAAATTTCAAATAAAGTTTCACATTATAATTTACCTGCTTCAACTCGACATTCTGTTCCATTGGAATGTATATATTCCTTGCTAAGGAAGTCACTAACCAAAACTTTTAATTTATGCAATTGCTCTTGTTGCTGATTTCTCTGTTCAAGTAATTGTCGAAATACCTGTTCTCTTTCTATTGCTCTATTTTGTAGAACTGCTCTTTGCTTTTGATATAATGTTATATATTCTCCTAAAAATAAAAAAAAGATAATTTTATCAACATAAAAATAAAGCTGAAGTGTAAACAATTATTTAAAAATCATCTATTTGTACCTATTGTCTCGGTCTCACTTTGAAGCTGTAAAACAAGATGCTCAAGTTTCTGTTTCTCTTCTGTAAGCTCTGCAACTCGTTCCATTGTTTCTTTAAATCTTTGTTCAAGTTTTTTCATAGGTTCAGAAATGGTAACATTATTTTCATTCAACATTTCTATTTGTACATTTCTTTCCAAATTTGATACATTATTATTAGTATTCATAGAATATTGATCAATTTCTGCACTCTTTTCTTTCAGTTTTTCCGTAAGAATTTGTTTTTCTTTTTCTAATTTTTCTATAGTAGCCTAAGACATAAATAATGTAAGAAAACTGTTTGAAATTAAGGAAGAAAATGTTCTTAATTTTATTAAATCATTACTAGAGCATGTTGAAGTTCTCGTTGGAAAGTATCTGCGTGATGTGATTGTGCTTGATAGTGTTGTATTTGATCTGCTATTTGAGCATTCTGAAGTTTTTCTTTCTCAACCTCTTCAAGAATAGATTCTTTTTCTCTTAATTTTTCTTTCAATTGTTCCAACTCACTTTCTACATTATTTAATTGAGCATTTAACTTTCTTCCTATAGAACGCTCTGCTTGAAGTTGTTCAGTTAAATCCAATTTAGCATTACTCTTAAAATTATGTTAAAAATTCAAATAATTTATTTATTCTGTCTTATTATATGTTTTATTAATATTTAATATTATTCTTACCAAAGAAACAAAAGCATTTTCCATATCAGTAAGTTGTTCCTTTAATTGTCTATTTTGTTGAACTGCTCTAGATGCTCCTAACTGTTCACTTTCAAGGGCAGTGACTAGTTTTGTTACTTCTGCTTGTTGATTATTCGCATCTCGTAAATCATTCAAATTTTTTGTTAACATTTCAATCTGTGAATCCTATGAAAAGAAACTTTTTAATATTATAATCAACAATATTTTACAGTTAATAATTTTTATATATTTCTTAATGTTTCTTGTATATGTTTTATATATTTTTTAATGATCTTTATTTTAAAATGTGACTTTAATTTGTAATTAGTCAGTAAATGTATGAAATTTAAAATTACTTTTAATTAAATTTGTATTGTAAAAATATTATAATTAAAAACTAATACTTTTTCAGATAGTTCAATATGAAGTTTTTCTTGTTCTAATGTAAGTTCTATAAGTTCCATATTTTTCAGCTGATCTGTTTCATCTATTTTATTTTTACGATCTTGCAAAGACGATAGATTCTCTACTTTTTCTCTTTCTTGTTGTAACTGTCGCTCAAGTTCTGAAATTCTTTGCATATAACTTTCTTCTCTTTGTTGTGCATCTTCTATAATTCTTTTTTGTGTTTTTATCTATAAATAACATTTAATTTTTAAAAAATATCATTTTTCATTGTTTATTCAAATTTTATATGAAAAATCTAAAAATACCTCTTCTGATAATTTTGCCTGCTGAGCATCTAATTGTTTAACATAATTCTGGTACTGCTTATTAGCTTCATCTTTTTCAGTACTAACAATTCTCAAAGATTCTTTAGTTTGTGCTAATTCTTGCTCTAAAAGATTTACTGCATGCTTTTCCTCTTCCGTTGTTGTAGCAACTTTCATCTACAAAGACAAGAAAATTAAAGATCTAGATCTTACTAATGATAATGTATATACATATATTACTACCTGCTGTATTCGAAGTTCACTTAATGAAAGCAATGCTGTCTTTTCTTGAAGTTCTTGTTGCATAGCAATTAATTCTGTTTTTTTCAAATTCAGTTTTTGCTTCAATTCTGATGCCTCCAGGTTCAAATCTTCTTTTTCTTTCCTCAACTCAAACATTTTATTGTTAACAGAATCATAGTCATTTTGTATTTGATGAATATTTTTCCTTAATTCTTCATTATTATTTTTTATTGCGGATATTTCTTTCTCGAATTCAGCTATGCGAAATTGTGAATTTTTTAATTTTTTGGTCATTTCTTCAGCTTCCTCTAAAAAATATTTATTTTCCATTTATTAAAAGTTTATAATCACAAGTGCATGCATATATGTTTGAAAAGTCTCATGAACTAGCAAACCTGAAGTTTGTCTGACACTTTGCTGAGCTTGATTAAGAGCAGCAGTAAGTTCTGCTTTTTCTGCTATTAGAATTCCAGTAGTCTGGGCATGAACTTGAAGTTGCTCTTTTAAAGGATTTACTTCTCGTGCTAATTGTATCTGAAATTCTGTTTCCTTTCCCTCTAATTTAGTTTCTAACTCTGAAATCCTGTTATGCTAATCAAATTATTAAAACAAGTTTGTTTTTAAAATAGTTTTTCAATATTCTTTACAAAACTTATATATATACTTACAGCATTACTAAGTTCTATATGCAATTCGTTAACAATCTTTTTCTGCTCTTCCAAATAGGAACTTAAAAATTGATTATGACATATTAAATCAGAATCAAGGGATGTTTCTGCATATTCTGATTCATTCGTTAAAACATCTGCAACTGCAGAAGCCATCTTCAAAAGATGTTCTTTTTGCACCTTTGGAAAATCATTTAAATCCACTTTCTTTTCCATCTCTGGTATGTTCAGTTCTTGTACAGTTTCTGTATTAGTAGTCTCTTCTGCAGAATAATGCACTTTATCATGATTTATAGCATTTTCTGAAGTTGCTACTAAATTAACAGATGATACTTCGTTTTTTTGAAATTCTTGAACTGCAAACGTATCATTTTCTGGAATTTCTGCTGTGGATGCATTAGGTATAACTTCTAAATGCGATGTGTCAGTTTTTACAATTTGGTACTGCAAATTCAACAAATTGATTTGAAAGATTATAAAGAGAAATACGACTGTCAAAAGAATGCCAAAAGTAATTATAATGTACAAATTTGACTCACTTGTTGAGGTAATAAATTGACAGACTGATGTTTTTGTTTTATAGAAGCATCCTGATTATTTTGCATTTTACTTAATTGAAATTCCCTGAGCTAACAAAAAGAAAAAAAGCTTCATCAGACGCATGACTAGATAATGATAATGATTGAATTAAAACGTAAATAAAATAGCATTTGACACTTGACATAACCTAAATATTTAAAGAGATAAAAATATAAAGACAGATGATTAAATTATTGCTGAAACGCACGAAGTTTTACAATATCATATGTATTAATTTTTCTACTAAAATTAAGTATTTAGAAATATTTGCGCAGCTGTCAATAATTCAAAATATTATACCTTTTTTTTAGCAGCCAACAGTTTCTCGCTTTTGCTTAAATTCATGTTGTCGTGTGACATGGGAACTAATAAGTGAAATCCTTGATTTTATTCTAGCACAAGTATTTACATTGTCATAATTAAAAATATTGTAGTATTTGCTACCGAGGTTATCTCACACTCATGCCTAATAATCGCTATCTCATCCATTGACTTAATTACAGTTAGATGGCTAACACTGGTGAAATTATACAAGTCACTGGATTACGCCATCTGTTAACAATATCTATTATAAAAAAACTTATTAGATGATATAATTTACAATTTACCATAATTTAAAATACGCACATAAGATGTAATGAAGAAAATTTACATTACATATTTATAATTTATACATATATTTTAAATATATACATATAAATAACATTCTGATATTGTCATATATTTTTAAATTGTACATATTTTCGTATTAAATTTAAAGTTTTGTACGTAAGAATATTTAAGTATTAATAATAATTTTAATAAAATTTTGTTTTGATTAAGTTTCGAAAATAAAGATAATTCATGTATGAGATTTAGAACGAAAAAGGGTAGGTAGAAAATTCATCGAGTTCTTCGCTAATGACTGTAGTTATGTGTAACTGTGAATTGGTGCGATGAAAATGTAAAATTGCACTTGTGAGAGGAATTTTCAGTTTATGTATGGAAATATAAAGTGAAGGTAAACGTGAAACGCTTGCATCACGAATTATTAGTTTCATATGTCGCGAATTTTGTATGAAAGGTTTATTTGAAAATATCTTGTGTAAAAATATCTCAATGTAATGTAACGATATAAATTATATTAAAAAGGACGTAAGAAAACTGATAATAAAGAAATTTAAGTTTGGTTATTAAATTCTTTGTTACAAAGTTTAAATCTCTTTAAATTATCGATAGATCTATATATTTGTTTTTATATTTCTTATTAACAATGAATAACTTATAAAGAATGAGTGATTTGAATATTATGAATGAAAATATACCCATATTAAAAAATATATTAAACATTAAGAATTTTTTAATATTTTTATTTAGTGTTGTATTTTTGTTGTACATAATAAAATTAGAATGTTCTTTTTGCAGAAATCTAATTTCTTATAAAAAAGCTAAGAATGGGTGTCCCTACAGCCAAAAATCCTGAAGCTATGGATGTTGAAATAATCTTTGAGGGCCAGAATGGTGATGGAGATGTTTGTGACAAAAAAGATGCTGATCTTCAAACAATATATGATATACGCGAGCATGCTCGTCAAATAGAGAAAGCTGTACAGAGCAAAGAACCTCGTTTTATTTTAAGAGCTCTACGTACATTGCCTAACACACGTCGTAGATTAAACTCAAATGTTTTACGTGGAGTAATTCTAAGCTTTTATCCTAAACCCTGTGCTGAACGTGATGCACTATTATCGTGGTTAGAAGACTCTGCTGAATTTGAAGAAACACAGAAACTTCGTACATCTACTATGACTCCATTGCCTGAAATTGACGCTTATATTCACTTACTGGTACTTGTACGTTTAATTGATGCTGGAAAACATGAAGAAGCCGTTCAATGCTCGGAGGCATTGTTGCAGAAAATAATTGCACAAAATAGACGTACAATTGATTTGATTGCTGCTAAGTGTTATTTCTATTATTCAAGGGCGTACGAACTAATTGGCAGATTAGATAAAATTCGAGGATTACTGCATTTGAGATTAAGAACGGCAACGCTTAGAAATGATTTTGAAGGCCAAGCTGTATTGATTAATTGCTTGTTGCGAAATTATTTACATTATAATTTATATGATCAAGCAGATAAACTTGTACTGAAGTCAACTTTCCCAGAATCTGCCAGCAATAACGAATGGGCTAGATTTTTATATTATTTGGGACGTATTAAAGCTGCTAGATTAGAATATTCTGCTGCGCATAAGTATCTAGTACAGGTAAATCAATATTCTTTTTAATATGTAAATTTTTAATCAAAATATCGAAAGAAATAATAAAACTGGTTTTTTTTTCCAGGCTCTTAGGAAAGCACCACAAAGTACTGCGGTAGGTTTTCGTCAAACAGTTCAAAAGCTAGCTGTAACTGTTGAGCTTCTACTTGGAGATATTCCAGAACGTCAAACTTTTAGACAAGCTGCTATGCGTCGCGCATTAGCTCCATATTTTCAGTTGACTCAAGCTGTGCGTTTAGGAAATCTTCAACGTTTTGGAGAAGTTTTAGAAAACTTTGGCCCACAATTTAGAGCGGATCATACATTTACTTTAATTCTCAGATTGAGGCACAATGTTATTAAAACGGCAATTAGATCAATTGGACTGTCCTACTCCAGAATCTCTCCTGCAGATATTGCAAAGAAACTTGGCTTGGATTCTAGTGTTGATGCAGAATTTATTGTTGCTAAAGCTATTAGAGATGGTGTAATTGAAGCTACCTTAGAACCAGAAAATGGATATATGCGAAGCAAAGAAACAACAGATATTTATTGCACTAAAGAACCGTTACTCGCGTTTCATCAAAGAATTACTTTTTGTTTAGACTTACATAATCAAAGTGTTAAAGCTATGAGATATCCTCCAAAATCATACGGTAAAGATCTTGAATCGGCTGAAGAACGTAGAGAAAGAGAACAGCAAGATTTAGAGCTCGCAAAGGAAATGGCAGAAGAAGATGATGATGGATTTCCTTAAATTATTCAGTTTTTCAATATATTTAAGTAATAAAATGATTTATCATGAAAAACTTTTCATGTATCGCTTTCTTATATTTAAAATCATGTATACAATAAAAATTTTGTTTTCATATTATTAAAAATGTAAAATTTTCAATCTACGAAAATTTTATAAAATCGTTGTATTTTTTATAAGGACAAATAAGCAATGAAAGTAAATTTCAAGAATACAAGATTGTAAATACATTTATTAAATATCTCAAATTTAGTAAGATACGAATTTACTCCTATCGTAATATCAATTAAATATTATATACTAAAATAAATACTAGGTAATATTAAATATTATATAATATTTTAACAGTCTTTAAAATATGTGAGTTCTATAGATTATATTAAACTGCAAATAATTTATATTTAATAAACTTTTTGTAGTACATACATAATTTTATATAATTTTTTTTTTATCTATTTCGGTAACTTTTTCATGTAATTAGAATACAAATTGTAGAAACTTCGAACTTCAATTGTGGTTTTATTAACAATGTATTAACAATTCTTTATTATTAAAAATTTGAGTTTATCAAATAATTAGATATAAAAACAAATATTCAAAAATATTATAAAAACACTCAGTCACACTCAAACTCACATAAATATAACAATATACCATAAAAATCCTGAAAATTTTTTTTTCTTGAAGAAAATTATTATTATTAGTTTTATTTTAATCCTTTTTTTTAGAAAATAATTTAAAAAAGATGTATTTCATTAATTTTTAAATTCTTTTATAGCAATTATTTAGCAAAATAAATGTTAGCAATTACAATTTTTCTCAAATAAGAAATTTTTTTAAAAAATATTTTTCTACAAGAAAAGAATTTTCTGAGAATATGAATCTGATAAAAAAAAAGAGAAAAAAGAAAAAACAATAATCATATCTCAATGTAGATATTTACATAGTTGTATCTTCATAAATAAAACTGATTTATAACTAAATACTTACAACCAATTATTCATACAGTTTATGATACATACAATCACTTTACAATATTTTTACTGTACAAAAGTCTTCTCTTTTCTATTCTTTCTATTTGTACAAATCTAACAATCAACTCGTGAAAATATTTTGTAGTTTATATATATTCATTATGCTGTTGTGAGAAAGTAATCCATTAATACCAGCATTAAATTTTTCAAATATTGATGATTTAAAAAATTGATAAAGATCTTTGGTCATTGGTTTCATGGAATACTGTTATTTTTTGGAGATTTTTTCTGGATTTGTTTTAATCATCAGTCTGAAACAAAATTTTTGATAAAATAAAAAAAATATCAATCTTTTATGTTTAAAAATATTACAAATTACAAATCCAAAAATACTATGTTAAATATTATCTATAAAATAAACACAATACAGTACATGATTAAAAAATGAAAAAATATAATGTAATATATAATCTTGCCTTGTTTCACTTTAAGTATGTGATAAATCAATAAAGAAAGTAAAAACAATTTTCTGTCCACTAATATTTGAACACCATCTCCTCTAAGACTCATGTTTGGTGTTAGAAATTCACTTTTCCTATCATCTTCAATATTAATGTCACGGTAACCATGATGTACTTTTCCAAAACACAAAACGTTCATATTCTTATGAATTCCTTTACAATCATATTCTTCAAAACCATCGCATTGGCACGTATTCAATTTTGCAGCCTTTTCTTGCCTTGTTAAGATATTTATCGAATTTCTACATCTAAAATATTTGCCTTAAGAAGTTATTTATATAATTTGTATAGAAATTATTTTGTAACTGAATTATTTCTTTGCATTATGATATTTTATTTTCATATTAAAAAAAATATTATTTTACCGTCTAGTACACTTTCGTCCTTGAAACATACTCTTACAATATTTATTATAATATGTAAGTGCAGTTTGGCAAAGGGCATCTGCATTACAAATCCAGGTTGCTATCCTGCAGGATACCCTTGTCCTATTCATTGCCATTGTTACAGATGATCTGCATATCTCTACTCTTTGTTTTGATTGTAAACATAATTCATTCTCACATTCACACTAAATGACAAATAAAAATAATATTCGTTAGAAATTTGTATTTTACATTTGTATATATGTATATATAGAAAATATAAAAATATAAATAGATATAATAATAGTTGAAGAAGATAAGATAGTGAAAGAAATAAATTTATTAATCTAAATTAAATTTGCTATCTTGATGATTCTACTTGCATTAAGAAACAGTGTCATAAATATCTCAATAAAAAAATTATTATTTTATAAACATTATATTATTTTATAATTTATAAATATTATTACAATATATATCATTTATAAATGATATTTATAATATTATTTATAAATATTTGTATATGCTTCCAAATTTTTATCATTAACATATTCTTGTAACAAATCTGTAACATGAAATATTAATTTAAAATATTCATTATTAGTGTCGCATCGTTGAATATTTATATTGGCATGGAACATAATAAATAATATTTTTTTCTATCAAAAGCAAAAGTAATATAATATGTACTGTCATAAGCTCTTTGCCCTCATCGGTGCTTGTAAGAGCAATAAGGGCATGTTGGCAGGTCTCAGAACAATCATTGCCTTCGAGAACGGGTGCACAACCAGTAAGATAATGTTGCAGAGCAGCGCCGCAGCCTGTTCTGAACGCGCATTTTAGTTTTGCTTCCTCGCACTTCATTATCGAACTTTTCGCTGTATTCCACATTACTGTACTAAACAATATCATACTCATCAAGAGTATGTTCGATTGATCGAACCAACGTGACATCTTTCTAAAACAGTTGTAAAATAATAGAAATTTAATCTCAAGAATCTGAAAAATCTGCGTTTCACTTTTAAATAAATTTGAATTTATATAAATAATAAATAATACAGTATAGTTCCATTTTATGATATCTGAAGATATATTAATGCAGCCTCTTTATTTTCACGAACCACTATGTACAATTCTGCTTACTAAGTAATTTGATAGCGTATATGTTTATCGGACGTTTCAAATGAATGTTTCACATACTATCTTAGTTAATATTACTCGCTTTTATTTGATAGCGAAAAATATAACAGTGATGAAATATGCAAAGAACAACATAAATAGCTCTTTGTATGATTTTTTAATCTTGTGTATGTTACGTAAGTTCAAATGAAATTGCTTATTTTTTTACCTTTGTTATCAATTAATATTATCATCATAGAATAAGTATAATAATCTATCAATAATATTTTGTAACACTAATATAATAGTATACTATACCGTACTATTGTACGTACTATATACTGATTATCTGTGTAAAAGAAATGAATAATTTTATCTTATATTATTTACAACAATGTATGCTACTGGATATAACTTACAATCTTGGCTTTATATTCAGTTACGAAGTATATATTTGTAGATTCTTGTAACAGATGCATAACACGAAGAGATACTCTATGGTGTTCTTAAAATAAATTGAATCTCTGTCATTCGAATTAATGGCAACCTTTTGCTGCTCAATTTAAAAAGCCACAAATACCACTAAGAATTGATATCCGTGATTTAAGTCTTAGAATATTAGAAATTTATTTTATTTGTCTTATGTTTTCTTATACTTCTAATGAAAAAATATCTAAATATTAAACTTTTTAATTTAATACTCACAAAATATTAAATTAACGCCATTTCTATTATATTCATTTTTTTTTCAGCATATTATTTCTCTAATAAAAATTTCTATTTCTATTTCTCGTATCAACGCATTAAGTTACTTATAACAGGCTTATAACTGCATAGCCAAGTAAATCAACGACTAAGAAATGTTTATCTGTTTATTTGAATTGTTAACAATAAATAATACAAAGTGACTTTTGAAACGATCCAGATTCTTGTTCTTAAGTGGAGAAATGTGCTTTCCATAAAATTGAAATACTTTTGTCTTATAAAGATCTATCGTGTTTTAATATATCAAACGATTCGGATATATCAGTGGAAAAAGCATAGAGCATCGTTGTTACAATTTCTACCAGAACAACATGATTGAATATTCTCTCACTTTACTTCTCTCTCTCTCTCTTTACTGCTCTCAACTGATACCAGTAAAAAAGCAGGGTACAGTGAAGGGAAGGGGTGAAAGAGAGCACGTGCGCGAGCGCGCACACATAGTGAGAGAAAGAGAGGGGGTAGATTCTACCTGTAAGCGCTTCATTGCCAGCGCTAGTGCCGATGCTGTTGCGCACCAGCCCCAAAATGGACCACCAAGACGTCGCAGACGTGGCAACGAGGGACAGATGGCCAGCCCTATAGACCTTCAGTGATCATCAACTTTACTTTACACTCAGGCTTAAATCTCGTTTCGAATGAACACTCAGCGAGAGAAAGAGATGTTGAAACAGTTATATCAGAATGCATGCTAATTTAATCGTTATTCTCGAGAATATTCAATCAATGCTTATGATCCTGTGATCTCATTCAATTAAAAGGCCTTAAGTTGGGCGCTGGAAAGAAATTTGTTTACGCGCAAGGAAATCATACTTAAACAAACACATTAATTATGAAATGCAAATATTCACACAGAGATAAGAGTGCCATTTAATGTTTGGGGAATAGGCGTTGACTCTGTTGATACTGAATCATTGGAATGAAAACGATTAACTCTTTTTTCCATAGAAAATTTATAGACTATCGAAGAAATCTCTGTGACTATTCATAAAGATAATAAACTTATTTCTTTCGTTCGTATTATATACATTTTCGTATATTTTTTAACTTACTTTCTTCAATACAAATATTTTAGTCATCAAAAGTTCTATTGATAAATAATAATTTATTGCTATTAAAAAAAGATGTATAAAGATTTTCTTATTTATTGCTATTATTATCAAGGACGGATTATTATAATTTAGGTTTTAGTTAATGAATATAACATTGCACGTGTGATGATCATTAATATATTACGCAATAAAATATCAATACAGAATTTTAATTTGTTATGCATTCTTAACTATATTATTTACTGAAAAATATTCGGCTACTAATTTGTAAATATACTTTCATTTGTTTTGCATTTAAATTTACTCACATCATACGTTGTTCACAATTATAAAAGTAAATTATACATAATTAAATAAGTAAAAGTAAATCTAGTCGATTTATATATTATGCGTAATTCATTTGCTTGATATCGCTATATAATAATAAAATAAAAAATGCTATAAAAATGTAAATCATAATGATAGTTGTTGAGTATTATCTGATTCTAACGAGACTTTTTTGTACTTGTAGATTTAAAATATTATCACCTATTGTTAACTACATATGATCAACTTTAACATAAATAAATAATATTTCAATTAATTCAATAATAATAAATTTTAACATGTTTACTCTCATTTGTAATCTATACTGTCAAAATACTTTGTCTATAATTCTAACATCAAAGACTGTGTTAAAAGCTTGTATTTAAAAACTTTAAGAAGTTCTATATATAGATGATATAAATTATTATGAATTAATCTACTGTGTATTCCTCCTTACGAATCGAATAAACAAACAAATAAATATCAATGTGTCTACGTCCCAACGATTATTAAAAAATATTTACATAGAAAACAAAACAAAAATATTTATTGAAACAAAACAAACAAATCTTAAGGTACAAACCTTACGAACAATCACATTGTTTTTTAATAACCTAGAGAAATGAAATTTAGTATCCCAGTTTAACAATCTAATCCGCCAACGAGAACTGCAATTCCGTGTCAAGAATTATAACACACTATGCGGAAAGAGAGGAAAAGAGAAACTTACAAACGCACGGTCACCGAGACACTACTTAGATTGAGTTGTGACTGTGACGGCTTGGCCCGCTGCGCCGAGAAGCTGCGCGCGCCGCTCTTTCTCCCCCCACCATTGATCACTGGCCCAGGACTGAAAGGATTACTGTTGGACTTAAGTCCCGATTAAAACTAGAACTCTGAACGTCGTCATGCATCAAAATTTACAAGTACAATTATTATAAATTTTATTTTAAATATTATTATTTATTAATAAGCTGCCTATCCTAGAATAAAAATTTATAAAAATTACATAAGAACACTTTGTTTGTTTTACATGTACCAATACGTAATTTACATTGAAATAAAAAGTAAATTAGTTTTAAATTGTTTAATAAAAGATTTCTCGAGGGAATTATGAAAAATTACAATTTTCTTTATGAATGGAAAGGAAAATATTATTTTAACACTTTGTCATATCTTTACAACGGCTTTACGCTATTTATCAAGTACGAAGTTTAATTTTACGAAAATTCGTAACTTCGAAGGCTTGTTTTTATTTCGAGAGTACTTCGTAGCCATTGCTAACTCTATCCTCCACCCACAGGGGTCCAAGATGCCCCAACCTGCTTGGCTGATTGAGACACCAGCCTGGTTCCAACACTACTCTCTTCACCCCCGCCCTCGCCCAGACCCTTCGCAGAACGACGTTGAACAGTCCGGCATTTAGATGCGTTCCGTTCTTTCTTACGTTTCTTCTTCTTCCAATGCCAACCTTCCATCGGGCTCCCTTTCAGGCCCCTTACTACTTCTATTCCCTACCACAAGCATTCACTGTGTTGCTGTGACTCTCAACTCAATTCTGCTCTTTTAAACGAGAAGTGGTGGACAGCGGAGGAGATTAGTTGTTTGAGTACAAATTGAACCGGTTAATCTATTCAAGCAAGCAAGGAAGAAACTCTGGAGGAAATAAAATCGTTTCTTCATTTCGTATATTATACATGAATTATACATGAAATTACAAAATTTTACTCATAACCTTTTTGCTGTTTTGTTTCTTTGTTTGATTTTCTCGATAGATGAGGCCAAAAAGAATCATTAATTAAGGGTCGATGAAAAACAGTTTCACGCGTTACCCTTTTAATGAATGATTAAACAAGAAGATATGTATTTGTTTCCAGATTAACGTGTTGGTAAGCGCGCGTGTCTAAGTTTACTTAGGATATCCTAAATAAATGCTTTCATCTTTGTTTACTCGGGATCAATGTTCTCTGTTAAAGACCCTGTAAGTTTTATTGAACGAGATCTTGACGGTTCTCAATCTTTTTAACAATTTGTTTGCTCGTTCTTTTTTATGAATACATGGAAGTACGTGTAAAGCAGAAGAAATTCATAACGCGTTCCGATATGAATTATGAGGATTGAAATTTCAGACTGATCAAACTGAGATAGCCATCGAAATTTGCTTCCTGTAATTCAGGAAATGCGATGAAGAGTGTAGATCAGAAAATTCTGATGCGGCACGAACAATTTATGGTACAATGAAGAAAGTAGATCGTCTAATATAAAACCGTGATACGAAAATGATAGATCACGTAGCACAGAGATACAAATCTAATTGAACGATCAAATATTAATTTATTTTGATCGATAATATTACAGAAATCTAATTAATTAATAATCTAAGCATTTTAATTCGTAATGGACAAAAGTCCAATTCAAGACAAAAATACAAAATTTGTTTCATATTTGGCGTAAAATTAAAAAATTGTATTATATAATTACACTAAAAGCGATGCAAATAATGTTATAAATAAATAAAATAATATTTATGTTTTTAATTCGATACAAGTCATTATAATTTGGTAATCCTTGGCAATCTTATTAATAAAAGGATAGACATATGAAATGTTCATTTAAAAAAAACATTCTATTTAACCTCTTTTCTTCCAACTTTCATCTATCACAATTCACTTCAGATTTTTCATTATCCTAAATTCATTTTTTGAAATTCCTAAAAAGTCTTATATAATTCTGTAATAGTCTATGATCAAACTGCGAACATTTATGTATCTACAAGAAAACATGTACTTTTAAACATTTAGAAGTAAAATAGACAAAAACAATAGACAAAATACGTACAATATAAAAAAAAATGTTCAAAGTGAAAGTTATACACAAAGTTATAATATTTTACAAATAAAACAAATCTTTATGTAGATTCGTTATGTTAATAAAAATATAGATTTGCATAAAAGTCTGCAATCTACTTATAAGAATATAATAGGATGGATATATACAGGAACTCATTGATAGTTAGAAATTAGTATTCCATATATCAAATCAAAACCTATTGAACACACGCAATATTCATGATTGATATGAAATCTAATCTAGAATATATTAAAATCTCTACAAAGAGCAAGCAATATTTCAACTTTGAGAGCAACACACGAAGAGTTAGCATGATGGTTTTTGGTCTCTGTCTGTCTTTCTTGTTTTCTGCCTCTATTTGCTTCTCTCTTTCTCTCTTTCTCTCCTTCTCTCCCTTCCTCCTTTGCTGTCAGTTTCTCTCGATGGTTTTTTTGATCTTCTCGAAGCAATTGTCCCAAGCGAGAACCCGGTTGAGGCAATAACGACCGCAGGCCCGGCCTATCCTGTACCTTCTGACGTCTTAATAAAGCAATCGTCCGATTTCTTGAAACCCTCCTTCTTTTGCTCCGAGCCACGCTCCAAAGACTTTCGAAAGAACACTCTCTACTTCGTTCAACATCACGTTTTACGGAGTACCTCTGTACATTTCGAATATCTCAAAAGTAATACAATTTCTCATTTAACAAATTAATTATATTTTTTTTACGCAAGTATAGCTGATATACTTACATTCTTATTATACTTACATTATGGTATTATTATTTGATTATTAGTAAATGAAGCTAAAATTAGAAAATCTATTATCTTTAAAAAAATCATATACTGGAGAAATATATACAGCTGATTACAAACGTAATTTTGTACATTGATTTATGTGATTTTTAAATTATAAAATAATTAATATATATATTCGAAAACCGATGAAAAATGTATTTTATCCGAGTTTTCTAAAGAGAAATTGAAAACACTAAAATTAATATTTATACTTTTATGAAATAATAAATAATATGCAACATTTCTAACTCAATTTTTGTTTTTTCTTTTTAGTTCCAACAAAATAATTAAATTATTAATATAATTCAGTATTCATAAATATTATAGTAAACTTTGCTTCTTTTTTTCTACAAATTAAAATTTCTTTTTTCTACAAATTAAAATTTTTTCAATTACTTGTTTCTTGAAAAATGTTTCAAATCTTAGCTGAAGGAAAAATAAGCTTCAAATTTTAATAAATTTTTAATTTCAATTCGATGTCGTTTTAATACTTACTTCTCAAACCTCTTGCTATTAAGAGAGAGAGAGAGAGAGAGAGAGAGAGAGAGAGANGAGAGAGAGAGAGAGAGAGAGAGAGAGAGAGAGAGAGAGAGAGAGGGAGAGAGAGAGAGAGAGAGAGAGAGGAAAGAGCAAATATATTTAGAAGAAAAAGTGAACTACATATGAGAATGAGTTGAAAATGTACAAATAAACTTTTGTTATTACTTTTCATTGTAATTATATTTTAAATAAAATTGGATTATTGTCAACTAGATTGAACTAGATTGCCAAAGTAAAAATATATAAAAATAATAATTAAATTATATTGATCAATTTCATTTTCCTTCCCTTTGTTTATATATTATCCAACCAGTTTTATCGTATAAAAAATTTTTTCAATGCAAATAAAACGACTGTATATCTTTATTCTATACATAATTTACAATATTTTTCTTTGTAAAAGAATATTTTAATACCTTTTTTATTTATTAATTATAATTACCTTGCTTTATATTGCATTATAGTTACATTGATGCAAAATAAATGGTAGAAAAAATGTGTTAATTAACATTGATATCTATTTTTAATATGGGTCTTCGAATTCTTTCCAATATCTCCATATATTTTAATCAATATCATGCAATTATATCAATTATAACATGTAACATTTTATAACTTCAAAAAAAGATAAAGCTTTAAGTAAACGTTTGAAAAAATACTCAGTTAATGTAAGATCAGTATTTTTTATCTTTTCTAGGATTGAAATAAACATAAGAAATTAATCAACTTAGTTATTTTTATTATAATCATTACAAACGTTAAATGCGAATTGCCATTTTAATTTCTTATGCACTAACACGCTGGAAAGGAAGCGAATGCCCCAATAAATAATAAATGAAACGGAGAAATAAAAAAGAAAAAAACATTCAATGTGAATTATCACCGATAGCTATCCGATAAATGGAAAATAGTATTTTTACTTTGTTACCATTTTAGTGGATGTTATCGGTGATACTGAAGAAATGAATAATTCAAACGGAATTAGTGTGATTAAAAAGAAGGAAGTGACATTTACTACATTAAACTACAAACGAAATCTAAGACTAAAGTGTAACGAAATACCTTCGTAGAGAAACTCAACAAATATGATTCGAATAAGTGCAATAAGATATCTAATACATTTGGAAAAGAGCTTACTCGATTATAATCAAATTGATAATTCTCTCTTCTTGATATATACTATTGTACAGCTTTGTTGGAAAATAGAAGTGATTACCAGTTTCTTCTTTTAATATGACGATAAAAAAAGTAATAGAAGCTGGCCTTTTCTTTCTGTCATACATCAATAATCATGCTTTCTTCATACATACATACCAATATTTTGTTTTGTATAATATAATGTAACTGTACACGAAATCACTTACACGTCTACTATATACACTAAGTTGTTTCGGTTGCTTAATTTATTGATTTTGAAAATATTTTTATAGGTAGATTCAATCGAATCGATATTAACATAATATCGAAATAATAATAATATAATACAATAATAAGCATAAGCATGATGATGATGATGATGATGATAATAATAATAATAATAATAATAATAATAATAATAATAGTAGTAGTAGTAGTAGTAGTAGTAGTAACAGTAATAATAATAATAATAGTAATAGAATATGTTAAACATAGATGGTATAAGAAATATGGTAGTATATTTTTGAAATGAATATTCAAATTCAAATGATGTTCAAATTTAATTGAACATTCGGTAAAAAATACATTTATAATTTAATTTTGAATCGTTTCATAATTTGAATAATGTTAATTGTTTATCTAATATTATCATAAACTTTTTTAATATTGCTATCTTTGTACTATTTTTTTATTTGAGAAGATTTACAAAATAAGAAAACTTTGAAGAATGTGAAATATCGATACCGATCGAATTACCTAAAATTAATTTAAAATAAACTTAAATATAATGAGAACTTAAATAAATTATTTAGGAACAGTTCATTTATTATATCATATTAACTCATAATCACTTTCAGTTCGCTTTAAATTCTTTATATTCATTTCATAAACTTTAAATTCATAATGGATTCATAAATTCTAGTATAATGAATTAAGCTCACTCTTTTTGTTTTAATTTTATTTTTCTTTATATTTGACATAATGAAAGAACCGTCCCTAATCATAAAATTTATGAAATCTACTTTTGTCACTTAATCTAACATATTTACAATTACAATATCGCGTCATTAGTATGAATTTCAAGGTACATATCGCGTAATAATTCATTTGTATTTTTTATACAGAATGAAATAATACAAACTGTGATCTTGGGAAAACGTGGACATGTTTTGAATAATATTCATTAAAATTAAAGAATAAGAAAAATTCTGTCAGAGAAGAATACATATTAATATGTTCATTCAAAAAATATATATTTGTAAAATATTTTTTTAACTTTCTAATATTTTATTTTTAATTATACTAAACGCAGTTGCAAACATGTAAATATATGAAATTTGTAGCATTTTAAATAATTTGAAAAAAATTCAAATCTCTGTCATTTCATAAAGATTATTTAATGTTAATTACTTGAAACTAGATTTTAAATTTTGTTCAGTTTAAGTTTAGCATATTTAATTTTTATTGAATTCTCTTTCATTTCCACGTATTCTTTCATTTTTCAAACAATGTTCAACAACTCTGACACACTTTTCTTCAAACTACTTAATCTCAATTTGGCACTCATTTCCTTGCATCATCACTGTCCTCCTCTGAACTGTATCTGAGCGCAGAATAAACATATTCTTGATTTAAATTTTCATTTTCGTCCTCCAATATTTCTTGTTGAATCAATATCTGATCCCCTTCAGCCACCATTAAAACAGCACCTTCTAAATCATCCAATTGCATGTTTTCCTCTCTCTCATCATTTTCATCATTTTCTTCTTCTTCGTCTGACTCATCAATACTTCCATTTCTTTCAATCTCTTCCATTTCTTCAATATCTCCATTCTCTTCATTACCGTCATTATCTTCAATCTGTTCACTATCCTCATTTCTCTCAATTTCTTCGTTCTCGTCAACTTCTTCTATCACTTCATTTAATTCCATTTCATCATTTGCTTCAATCTCTTCATTATCCTCATTTTCCTCGTCATTTTCTTCGGTAGAGTTTCCATCAAATTCATTCTTCGCGTCCTCAAAATCTTCATCGCTTTGATTCGCAAATGTTTCAGATTCAAGCTCTAAAGACTCATTATTAGGTAAGTGTTTTTCATATAGATTCACGGATTTTGGAGAGGATCCATTTCGAATCTCTGATAAATCACATATTCCCATTCCTTTCCCAGTTAGAGGCACTATAGAACTTAGTTTATGACCCATCGATTGTTCAGACATATTCTCAGAAAGCAAAGGCATCATGGGACTGAGAACTGGAGGTTCATCATCATCTGACAAATTCGCATCATGTTTCTGTTTTTCTGGAATAATGATAAAATATTTATTGATCGTTTTTTATGTCAAAGTAGTTATTAAAAATATATACTAACAAGATCATATCATTTTGTTTGTTGATTATAACAAACTGAATTAATATTAATTAATTATTCAATACCTGCATTTTTAGATTCTTGAAGGTGTTCTAAGGCATAATGTTCCATATTTTTTTCATCAATTTCTAAATTATCCAGTTCTTCTGAATCTTCACTCTCTGAGTTGTAAGTAATATCTCCAGTTACTCTAGATTCATCCTCTGACTCATGTTCCTCTTCAACCTCAGTACTACTATCACTTTCCGATTCTTCTGTTTCTGCTTCTTCTGCTTCGGATTCAAAATCTCCTTCTTCCACTTCTTCAATCATCGCGTCATCCGCTATTAGACTTCCCTTTTGATTAAAATTTATTTTTATTAATATATAAAAATATTTTCATTAATTGAAAGAAGTGTGTTATTTATTGCTTTTATAATTACTTACTTCTGCTTTTTCATTATTTTTCAATTGTTCTCCTTCTTCCGTTTTCGTATTACACGTAGTTAAATGTGCAGTTTCGTCGGTAATATTTTTCCGACATTTTGGACACCAAGTACTAGTACCTGGATGGCCGATATGAATACTCGTATGTAATAACAATTTACTACGAGCATTGTGATATCTGTCAAACATAAATTTACAATTATATTATATACAATTGTTATATTACAGTATATAAAATATGAATTATATTAGTATACATTACTATATTATATATATATATAAGCAGAAAACCGAGCATACAGTACCTGCCACAAGTTTTACATGTAAAATTGTTTCCTTCAGTAGAAAGGATTGCTTCGTGTGCAGCTTTCAAATGTTCTGCCAAATCATCATAGTCTTTGCAAAGTTTTAGACATACTCCGCAAGTTACTGCTGCTTCCGCTCGATGAAAACGAATTAGATGTTGCCATAAATGTTTTTTTGCAGGCCACTGTTTTCCACATACTTCACAAACACATTCTGTATTTGTTGATTCATCATAAACTTTTCTAGAATCCTTTCTTGAACATTTCATTGAAGATTTTGTCCTGAAATAGGGTTATATATCATTTACAGCTTAAAATTAAAAAAAAATAATTAAATTAAAAATAATTAAATTAAAAAAATATTAAAAAACAAGATTATCTTGTATTATATAGCATTTACCTCTGATTAAGTGGCATAAGATTCGGAAGAGGTCTCTGACCTGAGAGTTGAAGATTTATATCTTCAAAGAGATTGAAATCAGGAATATTCAAATTTGATGTGGGCTCCTCTTTTTTAATTTGATTATTATTTTTCAAAAATTCTTGATTATCTAACATATCATTTCGTTCTTCCTACAAAAAAATACTTAGATTAATATAAAATTAAAATGCATAAAACTTTTGCCCAGTAATGTTACTTACGCCTTTTCGTACATTTTTTCTACAAGTTGCAATATGATTCCAATATAATGTTTTAGTACAAAATTGTCTCCTACAGTTTTTACAAAAAAAATTCATTTTGCTACGCATTCTTCTCTGTTCATCTTGTTTCAATCTCTTAAATATTCTTTCTGGATCTGTATTGTGCATATTACGATAATGTTTTGAAAGTGCATCACTGTTCACAAACATTTCTGGACACATTTCACAATCATAAGTATCAGTTAAGGATCTTCTTCTTTTTGAATCACTAGAATCTTCATCACATATATCTACTTCATACTCTAAATCCTCTGGTTCTTCTTTAACTATTACATCAGGAGACTAATACAGAAATAATTATTTTATATTCAATTATATAAAACATAATTTTATCATTATTTAAATTTTATAATTATTTATTGTTAACATACCTCTATTTCGAAATCCTCATTTTTTGACCCAATATCCAATCTATGCTCGAATAATGCAAGCTGATCTTTGGGGATATTATGTATTGTTTCATAATGATCTCTAATTGCAGAATCTTCAGTGAAAACAGCCAAACACTGTTTACAAGTCCTAAATACTTTTCCATGACACTTTTTAGTATGATCAAAAGCTTTCCATTTTGAAGCATATTGTTTCCCACAAACTTGACATGTATTAGGTTTTGAAAGCACACTAGAATGAACTTCTTCTACGTGACTTTTAAGTTCTTTTGGATCTTTCATTGGAATTAAACATACTCCACAAGATACACCAATTTCATTGCGATGAAGAGACAAAACGTGCATCTTTAATTTCAATTTATTTTCAACCGTATCACCGCAGAAATCACAAACGTTTGGAGTTGTATGATATCTTCAATAGAAAAGAATTAATCACAATTGATTGTTTATAAAATAAAATATTCTTGTTTCAATAAAGATACAAATATTAATAACTATTGCTGAAGTTAAATACCTGTGATCTTTTCTATGAGATTCCAAATCTTCTTTAGTTCTGAATAATTTCCTACAAGACCCAAAATTGCAAGTTAAATCAGGATGATCCATATGTTTCACTCTGTTGTGTGTCATAATTCCTAATTTTGAAGTAATCGTCTCATTACAAAGATGACATGTGTATGTACTATGATGATTCTCAATATGCTTTTGTAAACTGGCACGATCTTTAAATATCCTTTCGCAAGCTCTGCATCTTGTTAATAATGCCCCAGGATCTTTTCTGTAATTCTGACATCCTTTCATATGTCTACGTAAAAGATACCGCTTATGAAATCCTTTATTACATTTTTCACAATAATGTAAACTAACTTCTTCGGTTTTAAATTGTCTACTATCTTTTCCATCTTTTCTAGAATCTGGTTCATATCTATGAATTTTTGAAATGTGAGTTGCTAAATGATCTTTTGAAGCACTGGTTTTCAAACAATAAGGACAAGTTACATCTTCATGGCCTTTGTGAACCCTGTTCACATGTTTCCATAAATGCGAAGTTCTGCCATAGCATTTATTACAGAGATCACAAGGAAAAAGTCCATGAACGATTCGTCTATGATTACATAATTTTTCTAAGCTAGTAAATTTCAAATCTGCACAAAGCTCACAACTTAGTTCTGTTTCTCTCATTCGTCCATCGATTTTATTCTCGAAATTTTCTGCTCCGTTGTCACAGCTTTCTTCAAAACCATGGATTTTTCTGTGTCTAGACATTTTGGATTTATTCGAATATGGTCTACCACAAATATCACAACTAAAATCACCATTCGTTAACGGCCAATGTTTTGATCTCACATGAGTACTTAATTGCAAAACATTTGAGAACACTTTTAAACAGACGCCACAAATTAATGGAACGGTATCCGAATGTACGCCCATAACATGCTTCCAATAATCAACTCTACTGCCCCAAAGTTTACCGCAGATTTCACAAGTATTTGGGGATGAACCTTGAATTGCATGATGTTGAATATGTTCATTTCTAAGAGATTTTGTAGCAAAAATTTTACCACAGTCTTCACGATCGCATTTTATGGCTGACTCATTGCTATGAGATGAGCTAACATGTAGCCAACGTTCCCATTTACTATGATGTGAACTTCCACAAAGTTCACAAACAAAAAAAAGATGATATTGAGCTCTATTTCCGCCACCATTTAAATTTGACGGATTTAAAGGATCTCCTGTTGGCATTAGTTGTTCCGACTGTGAAATTAAAAAAAATTTTTAAATAAAAAGGTAGTGAAAAAATTCTTTTTTTACTTTGCTTAATACTTTAATCATATTTTATAAATATTCTTACTCTATGTGCATTTCTTTGATGTCGTATCAAATGATCTTCATTAGGAAATGATTTATAACAAATATAACAATCCACTTTATCTCCATCTTCTTCATAGTCGAGCATTTGTTCTGCTGTTTCATTACCATTAACATTCTCTCCGTAATAATTACTATTCAATTGGACAAAGGTAGCAGGATCATAATTTGGATCTACATTATGTATGGATACATGGGCAATTAATTTTTTTCTCGAATCATGTTGTCTACCACAAATAGTACAACTGTACCTATTAACATAGTAAAAATAATTACAAATTTACTATTATTATCAAGTACTATTTACATAAAATTTCAAAAAAAAGTACCTTCTTTGTTCAGAAAGTAATAATTTTGAACCACCGTGATACATGTTTACATGGTTCAAAAGTTGGGTATTGTCTGCACAAATTTTCAAACAAACACCACATGCAAATGCTGCAAATTCTTTATGCGTAGCACGAATATGAAGCCAGAGAGATGCACGATCATTAAAATCACGAGTACAAATTTCACAAACAAATACAGTTTCAATTTCGATAAGATTTTCTTGCCCACTCTCATGGTCTTCTTCATTTTCTACATTTATCTAAAATTAAAGAAAAAGAAACAAAATAAAAATAAAATAAATATAATCTTATTCTTTTGATACACAAAAATGTTGTATTATATTTTATAAAATATACCTCTGGAGATAGTGGAAATTCAGAAGAAATTTTAGCCTCATACGAATCAATATCCATAGATTCATTCCAATTATGTGAAACAACTTTCTTTAAACACTTATCACTTTCTATTATAGGACATGGATCAACTCCATGTAAGGTTTGAATATGCCTGCTTAAGGAAGATTTAAGGAAAAAGTCTTTTTTACACAAAATACAAATAAATGGTTTATCCGTAAAATGAGTTGCTTCATGCTCTCTTAAATCCTCAACTGAAATAAAACACTGAGGGCAAGATTCGCAATACCATTTCTTAGTATTTTGAAAATCACAATGCTCTATTAAATGAAAAAAAATCCATGAAATTAAATTTTGTTCCATTTTATGAATAATATCTTATTTCGTATTTAAGTTACCTGTTTTTGGCAATTTTTTTGGTTTGCAATTTGAAGTAAATTTATCTTCAAAATCTCGCTTTAGACTATCTCCCTTTGTTAATGCTTGTTTTAAAATTGTTAACTGAGGATTTTTTGCCAATTTAGCTTCCGCACTTCTAAACAATTAAGGAATTTTAAACAATGTTTGCAATAACAAATTGTGAAGTATTTCATCCCATAATGAAATTAATCGTACCTATAATCTTTGCCATCATCATCACTTCCAATACTTGAAGCTTCGGAACTATCTACAATTTTATAATCCCTAATCTCGTTTTTCTCTGGAAGATCTAATCTTCGTCCTTCAGTACAAATTCTACCATGAAGATTCAGTTCCATGGCATCTATGCAAATCTTCCCACAAGCACTGCACTGATATTTATTTTCTGGCTGATAGGCATTATTCAATGGAATCTCTGTAGGTGCTGGAAGACCAGCGTGACGTGATTTTATATGTTCTTCCAAATTTGTTCGAGTTGAGTAAATCCGAGAACAATAACCGCATGTCACTGCTGGATGACCTCTAATACAGATATTATATTATACCATAATTACTATCATTATTATTATGGCATTGACACATATCTTATATATTTATTATTGTATATTATTACTTTATACTATTACTAAGTACTTATATACTATTACATTATCTTATATACTTATGGTATTAATATATATTCCTATAACTTTAAAATTAATGTTTTGCTTTGCCTGCTCAAAGTAACTTAGCCTTTTTAAAAATTATATATTATATATTCTTATTGATTTTAGATTTTTTCATGTTTATTTTAAAAACATGTAGAACTATTAAACAAAAATATAAAAATTACATAACACACCTATGAGTTGTAGAAACATGACCCCAACGATGTTTTGCAGTAGAATAAGATTTATGACAAAGATCACATTGATAGGGCCTTTTATATGATGTATGATCATCTGTAAGAACTTTTTCGCCAATCACGTCACCAGCACCAACGTGAATGCGTGCATGTAAAGACAAATGACCCTTTGAACTAAATGCTTTGCTGCACAAGGAACAAACATAAACTTCATGTTGTTGTTGGGATGTGTGCTGTAATAATATAAATTATCAGATTTTATTGAATACATCTAAGTTTACTTTTAATTACATTTAAATGTAATATACCTCTGGTAAGTTACTAGAAATATCCTGATGTTTCAATTCTGATTCTTCAGGTTCTTCTGTAACTATTGAAGTCATTTCCAAAAAATCACTAGGATTTGTTTCCATATCCATTTCATACTCCTCTGAATGATGATCTTCAGAATCATCCATGACTGTTGCTTAAATAAAAGAAAAAACAAAAATAAAATAACAATATTATTTTTTAACAAACTGTTTTTGTGTATTAAAATAAAAACATACCTTCATCTGTGCCACTATTATCAATTTCTTCTATCTCATGGTCAGCCTCTCCATCAGAATTTAATCTGGGTGGTGTGCCTAAAGCAGCATTTGGATTTACAATAGGAGCTTCTGGAATTAGGACTGGTATACTTTTCCTTCCTTTAAAGAACTCTGAATCATTACTACATGTCAAGATAGTAGTAACATCTCCATTCTAAATAATCAAAAGAATTTTACAACCATTTAAAATTTAAAATATTTAACAAATTTTTTAAATAATTAAGAAAAATTTTATTTTACCGGTCCTGAAGGTGATAAACATCTTTCCAAGAGAGCAACTGCATTAACACATGCTGTTCTAAAGTCATAGAAATTTTCCAAATTGTACATACACCTGTAACACAGGCATTTTGGTAGTCGATCATTTTCTGTAATCTGAAATCAAATATTAATGTTAATGTTTTTATCCTTACTTAATTAATAAATTTGATGAATTAAATGATGTCATTAAAATACATACAAGCCAACTAATATAAATAATATAAATACAAATGAAAATATATTAAGGATATCTGTAAGTATTAGTTTATAATTTTTAATAAAGCAGAGTCTAAATGTTTGTAAAAATTTAACATTTTTTATTGACAGATATTTTTTGAAGATCATACACTTATTATTGTATGCTTTTTCATTTTCATAAAGAATTTAATGCACAGATAGAACAAAGAAATTTTGTGATACTTATAGAAATGTGTTAAAAGTCAACAAAAGTCAGCATTGGTTTAGAAGATTTGCTGTTGATAATTATGCTGCCTTATCTTAAGTCTGATCCAAGGTGACTATATAAGAATTATCGAGGAATCTTAGATCTACATGGTCAACTATACAAAGACATCTATATGAAATTGGTAAGGTTTATAGACAAGAAATATGGATTTCACATGAATTATCTGAGGCCAACAAAGATCTGCAACAGATGGTTTCTACATATCTGCTAACCACATTACATAATGATCTCTTTTTAACTAAACTGTTACTAGGAAAAATAAATCATTTACGATAACATGAAATATTCTAAGGAATAGCTTTCTTTAAATCAAATAATAGAACCAACTCATAAATCAAGCTTATCCCTGAGAAAGATATTATTGTATTTGATGGAACTAATCTCCTTTTACAAAAAGGAGATTTAAAATTTATAGGTAAAATGGCAAACTATCATTGATAATGACAGAAATTATGTACTTGATGAAGAAATAAAAATTTCATTTTAATATATAATTTATTTTCTTATTAAAACATTAATAATTATATATAATTGTCATTGCTGCAATTAATATTTATTCTAGCATGAATATGAAAAAGATCCAATTAAAATGCATTAATTATATCCTTAAGAGTTATATAATTTTGTAAATATTTAGTAATTCAAATATATTTGACATACCAAATAAAAAGAATATAGTATTAATGTATACTTTAAAAAATTACTTTTGAAATACAATTAAATTTCACTGAAAAATAGATTATGTTATTAGAAAACAATCGTATGTATGAAAACATATGTATGAAAAACAATCAAAGAAATAATCAAGAAAATAAATATTGGAAGATATAGCATAAAACATAACATGGAACTTAAAGAGTTAAGGTAGTTACATTTTAAAGTGTTATACAAATATCAATTGAAAATTAATTGATATAAAAATTATTTTAGATATACATAAAAATGTCATATACTTAAGAATTTGATAAAAAAATATTAAATACATGAAAATATATATCACAAGTATTCAAATTATTTAAATATGATAATGCATCAAAACACTCAATGCAAAAACTATTATTTTCACACAATAAAATATAAAATCATATAAAAATGCATAATAAAAGTAACAAATTTTAAATAAAAATTATTAATTCTAATTCATAAATTCATAAATTAGTAAGCTAAACAACAACAAAGAAAACAAGCATTTTTCAAATAACATTTTTGACGAAAAATTTTTTAAAAACTCTATTAAAGATAATTCAATTGAGATGACAAAAATATATATCAAAATATAATTAAGGCAAAAAAATATTATTCCGAAAATAAAACGTAACTCGACGAAACAAAATTAATAACTCACTGATTTTCCAAACTTGATTTTTTTTTAACAAATAATTAAGCTACACAAATTAAAAAAAATTAACAAACACATTTAAAAGCAATTGACAAAACGAAAATTGACAAGAATCATATACAAAATGACATGTGGATCACACTTTTAGAAAATCGAAAATGCAAGAGATCCAAAGCAGTGCTATCCGATCTGGCATCATTGAAAAAAAAACACATTCTTAAGAAAATATAATACAGGAAAAATATATGCAATATATTTCCAACAAACGTGAACGGACTAGCAAAATTGAATTGCAAGTTTCTCGTTGGACGGAGAGCATTTTGAAGGCACGAAAGGAAAAGGAATTTGCACAACGAATAGCTCTAATAGACGAACCTTAAACGGCAGACAGGCTTGTATTTTGTCAACGAGCTGTCTGCTCTTGCCCTCTTGGCCGAAGATGTCCATCTTGACGGCGTCGTAGGATGCGCAAAGTCGACAGAGCTCCTGGTAGCGTTCCTTGGGTTCCATCGTCGGCATGGCCACGAAGACGATCACGATACTGGTCCGAGGAAGTTGGATAATCCGGATTCCCTCGTGGCAGTGTAGAAAAAGGCTCCTCTGGCCCGGACTCGGCCTTCTTCTTCTTCTTCCTCGGATCACATCCTTCGGAGCGGGGATCCGCGGCTCGCTGCGACACCGCGCGGCTTCCGTTTACAGGCTACTTCCTGGCGATTTTCACGACAGTTAAGGTCCCGGGCGTCGCCATCTTGTACACAGACACTTGTTCCGTCACCACTGACGAGCATGACCTCCTCCATGTCCCCACTGTTCCTAGGTGATGTTAGGCCGCCGCGGAAATATCCGCCGATTTTTCGATACTTGAGAAACGACGAATTGTATTTTGGTTTTATATAAGGTCTAGTTCATATTGAATTGATACCTCGACAAATTCAGTGCAAATTTCCAATACGCATCGCCGTCGATTGGCGAGTGATTTGATTGGTCCGCAATTATCTGGTTATCCGCGTATCCTTGAACGATGAATTTATTTTTTGGATATTAGAATCATTAGCGTTAATTTGTTGAATTCTGCTTCTTACACTGCTTACGTATAAATTATAGCGGCTATAAAAAATACTAGCATGTCATTACGTTTATTACAATGTTCGCTTATTAATTAATTCCAAATCCAAATATATTGAATTTTAGTGAAAATAAAAGTACGCGCCAATACTTTTAATAATCAATTATAGTTTAAATATTAGGATACTAATTTATATATATAACATATATATATAGAATATATAATATATATAACATATATGTATATGTGTGTAAGATATTAATCAATATTGATATAAGATATAAAATCAATAATTTGAGTAAATAAAATTTATTATATGTTTAAAAGTACATATTGTACATGTGTATTTTTACTATATTTAAATTAAAATAAAATTACTTATGTTTTACCTGTACAAATGGCTAAATTATTGTATTAGTATGTATTATATTTAAATATAAGTACATTTGAATATATATTGTTTGTATATTTGTACAATGATAGGATAAAATTTATCTGTAAATGTTTGATAGATTTACGAACACATTCTAACCTATTGTATGGTAAGAGATTATTTCAGCTTTCTTTCTTTTTTTAAGCGTAATGAATAATTTGACTAAACTGAGAAAAGAATTCAATAAATTACAATAAAATACTATCGTCAAATATTATTTCTATGTTTCTTTTTATGTTACTATGTTTGTATTATGTTTAGGTTAACATTATCAGCTTTCTATTGGCAATGATTTTTAATATAATCAACAGTATATAATTACAGAATTTATAAAATAAATAGGAATTGTACGTAGGAGTTATTTAAAGATTAAACTAGAATGTTTATTTAAGATTAAACTAGAATGTTTCATTCTACATTTATATCTATGAAAAACAATTAGATACTTACAAAAACATATGTTTATGTCCATCAAAATAAAAAATGAGTTTTTTGATTTTTAGTATTATTGAAACAATGAATGATTATTGTGATCCCTTTGGTTTTACCAAACAAACGATGTCTTTACTGCGTGGTTTGGGTGTGCCTGAATTAATACCAGAATGCAAGAAAAGAAATATATCAACAGATATATTACATGAACTCACTGTGCAAGAACTAATAATGTTAGGTATATTGAAAAATTTTTAATACAAGTAATTAATACATGTTAAGTAATAAAATCTAAGCTGGATAAGCAATTTTCATTTATATCTAATCTAAAAAAATTTAACACAGGCGTTAATCCTAAAAAAGCTGAAGAATTACAAAGTACTTTAAATATTAAGAGAAAAAGGTCTAATATTGTAATAACAAAAGTTGAAGACAGGTTGAATAAAATTTTGTTAAAATTATTTTGAAATGAATTTCGTTGATGATTAGTTTTGTCCAAGGATCATTAATTTTTTTTCAGGGTTGAACATTTTCTTGAAATAATCAAACATGGAGAGCAACAATTTTGCTTAATACAAGCACTTATAGCATATTGTCGATTAAGACTTGTTAAAGAACAAATTAATATTTTTGTTGATCCTAATCATTGTTTGACTGCTTCTAAAATATTACCTATTGCTGTTGCGGCAACATTAACAGAGTTAGAAGATGCAAAAAAGAATCTTTCTGAAGTTGAGGAATTAATTTTAGAGGTATGTCCTGAAAACTCAACATTGTAATGTTATTTCATTTTATAATACTTATATAACATTCAATTTTACAGTTAAAAATGAAACCCAAACGTAATAGTATTCTTCAAGTTTGCATTGCTACCAGTGCATTAGGATTGGTAACACTTGTATTATTTAAGAGATATATGATATAAATATATCCTGATTTAAGCACTAAAAGAACAAGAAATTATTATTTTTTACAATCTGTTTTAAAATACGAAAATTTAGTTTTGTTACAATTTTTTAAAAGAATATTGTGAATTTTCTATAAATAAATTTTTTTATTTTGAAATAATCAGTCCTTTTTTTATTATTATAATGTAATTTTTTGTTATCGCAAATCACATTAAGTAAAATACAAGTAGTATAGCAAAGATCGAATCAGACAATGAGAGACAATGAGAGACAATGAGAGACAATCGATTGTATATACCTATGAATCGAAAATATATCGAATTTTCAGTCGATACCGCATTTTCAAGTCGATTACAATGTACATATCTCCGTTAAGTGTTGGAACAATGATTTTATAAGTAATTTATTCGTGTTATTCAAATATTTATCGTTCATTATAGATTCTTGCAAATTTTATTTTTCATGTTATATAACTATCTCCATAATAGCGTGTATTATCATATTTTATCGTAGTAGTTGTTTTGAACATTGTGTGAAATCATTGGCGGTAAATAAATGAACAGGCTTTGCATAACTGCACTAACATGCTAGTTAACACATATTCGTGTTGATCGTAAATTAAACAAATAATTACACGATCGAATGAGAGAAGCATGAACGAGTGAATCGAAAAGAATCGAATTCTCGATTAATTTACGTTCCATCCACTCGAAGCGCCCTTGTAAAAGGATCCACCCTAAAAAATTTGGTGGTGGGGGTAGAAAAGAGGTATTTCTCTTTCGGCGCATGCGCGCTTCCATTAGCTTCGAGCTTTCAAATTTCAGCTCAGTCGCAATAAGATGGACGGTGGAGCGTACGGCGGAGGAAAGGCAGGAGCCCCTTTCGACCCTATTGCCTTCATCCAAAGGCCTCAAGTCATTCTAAGAGCTGTATGTTTGGTGAGTTACTTTTTTTCGAACCTTCTGATAACTTTCTCCCCCCCTTGCTATAATGACATTTCTACCGATTAAAGGATATTGTCGATTTCATGCGACGAACATTGATTCTAAAGGGTGAACCACCCCCACCAGCTTGACACGATGGGGTTCTATTGATTTTTCGCAAATTCCTGCGATACACCCCATAATAGACGGGACCCGTGCAATGTTTTTATTGATTTTTGAATACATTTCATTTCATTTCGTTTTCGTGACACAAAACGTCGAAATATAATTTAAGCGAGATGTTTGACGAGAAGTTTCTCAATCTCGTCACGAGGCAAAACTCCATTACGGTCTCGATCGTGGGAAACGATATGCGATTTTTTTTCAAGTGAGCCACGGTTCGAAACGAAACACAATACATGTAATTCGCGTAATCTTTCACCGTCCAAAATAATATCAGAACGTTTTATCCGATAAATATTCTGAAAATCCGAACGGACAAGGGGCAAGCAACGAGTGCAAGATACCCAATATACGACGAGCATAGATATGAGACACACTCGAAGCTCGCTGTGTGAACTCAGTTTCAAGAACTAAATAGTGGGGATACGAGCACCAAAGCGGGCAAAAATCTTCACGCCTATGTAACTAGTACTGTACTTAATTAAGACACGAGTATCTAAGGCGTTCAGGTCAACTTTAAGCCGATTTTCCCGAGACGGGATTTTAATGAGATTTTAATTACCATTCGATGCAGGGTGGATCACGGATTTGATAGTGTCATCAAATTCAATGTTTTCTTTTTTTGATTCTTTCCTTGAAAATATCTACAAAACACAAATATGCCTTCGTTTTGGATTGGATTGTACATCTTTTTTTGCATTGTAGATCAATTCTTACATACTAGACGCGTGAGGAATAGCAAGGTACAATAGTCAAGAAAATCGATATTGCACGAAATACTTGAAATTTTATTTAGAATTATCCGCGTTATTAGAGACGTTTGAATTCCGCCTACGTGCATACAATGAACACTATGTAGGCTGTTATCTTATGTTTTTTTAATAGAATTAATATGATCACTTTTTATGTGTTTGAACAATGTAACTTAACTCGTTGTTTCAAGTGGATTTGAGTACACTTTGCTATCAAGGGATATGAATAATAGGATTAATAAAAAGAGACGAAGAGAAATTAAATCCGAAAATTGAGATGTTGGATGGCACTTGTACTATACGCATGCAAAGAAATATAGAATTTATTGTGACGATAAATCATTAGTCAGTAACTAATTGAATGTTGTTGATCATGACATAATTTGAAGTTTGTGACTTCAGATCGAATGTTATTGTCATATGTTCGCGAGTGTTTATAGTACATTATCAATGAAACAGTCATTGTCAATTTATTTAGAAAATATTTTAAAATATCGTCAAGCTTTAGTTTCAAATTAAATGTCCCGACAGTTTTAAATTCTGCGAATAATGCAAGACACAATTTTATTTCTACGATTCTCAATCCGTGCCATAAAATAATTATTAAATTGTCTACGATTAATGAAAATATTTTATTCTTTATTTTCGTCGTTAAATATAGCGATTCATTTATTCATTTATTGTAACGAAGAGAGCAGACAATGGAAAGTTTATTTTTTTCATTAGTTCATCTGCTAAACATGCTTCTTTACTTTCAATTGTTTTCCTCGTTCTCAGAACTGTGACCTTCGTCTAACCCACTTCCATCTCGAGACGTATCTGGACCACGTCGAAACTAGATTCGATTTTATATAAATAGACACGTAGTAAAAAACAAATATTTCATGCAAAATTAAACGGAAGTCTAGTTTGAGAATGGATAGTTCAATTTCGACCCAGAAAGATAATTTCCCAACTCGACCTGTTCGGCATCTCGGATTTTCATATTGAAACTTGTTCGTCTACCTTCGCACGCTGAATTGATTATTTATAGAATTAATTTGTGTATGATATTAATTTGATTGGCTACAGTTTTAATTATAAAAACCTCGTATGCAAAAGCATACGCGTACATAAGGCGAAATAAGGTAAAGATGGAATTCAACGACAATAAGAAATTCACATCGAGTTCCGAAAATTGATTCGATTTATGAATTAATCAGTTGAACAAACGACATCGTCTGATATTTCCTTATTTATTCCCTTAACATCTACAAAATTGTATTTTTCATTGCTTATCATTTCATTCATTTCCCCGAGTTAACTGGATTATTTTGAATTTTATCAAAATTTCAATCAAGCCAACGAACTTAATACAATGTCAGCGAATTAGAAGAAAGTTACAACGAAAATAATTAATTTTTCATAAATTATCGAAGGCATTGCCGAAATGTCCATGTCAATGAAACATTGACAAATTTTTGTTCGATGAAATTTAAAAAAAAATGTTGAAACAGAGTTAGAAAAAAATTTAAGAAAAGATATATATGTTTATGTATTTATATAATAATTAGTAGCGCAGTAGTAATGTACTTCCCGTAAGGGGAAGTTGAAACGAAACATTGCAAAAAATTGTCGTTTAATCTTTTAGCTCTTTGCGATAATCGTGTTCGGATGCATAAGCAACAAAGGGTACATAAAAAAGGAAACCGGAGGAGAGGTGTGTCTTTATAACGAAGACCACAATGCTTGCAATTACGGGATAGGAATTGGAGTCCTTGCCTTCCTTGCCAGCATTGGATTCCTTGCTGGCGAATATCTTTTCGAGCAGATGTCTTCTGTTAAGACCAGGAAGCACTTTGTCCTCCTCGATTTAGGGTATATTTCCTATTCTATTTACCCTAAAATAATTTCATTTTGAAATTATCAAAAATTGAACATTCTTATCTATATACGTATGTGTATATGTTTCATTTGATTCAATTAATTTTAGAGGTCTTTATGTTCCTTTGAAAATGATTTCGATGCTTTTCCCCACAAGGCTATGCCAAACAAGCTATACTAAATTAATTAACTATGGACTAATGCATGTAAAAACAATACATATAACTTTTCTTGAAGTTTCATCTATATTATCTTATTGGCAAAAATATAGATTTGCATAAGCATTCGCAATCTATGAATCAGTAATGGCATGTATTTAGTTTGATGAATTTTTCTTTTTTTTCTGATTAGATGGAAAATATCTATACTTGACACATCTATAAATATTTTATACCGTAACAATTAAGGCACTGTATTCTGTTTAGGTTTTCCGGTTTTTGGGCATTCCTCTACTTTGTCGGATTCTGTTATTTGACTAACGCTTGGAACAAATCGCAAACACCAAAAGATAATTACGGAGTGAACAACGTTCAAAGCGCTATTGCTTTCTCCTTCTTCTCCATATTTACCTGGGTACATCAGTTAGATCACCTTTATTTAACTTAATTTCTAGATAAATTTATATCGTAATCATTTGTAAATCCGATCTAATTAAAATCTTGATTAGCCCATTTAAACGTGTAGGTACGTTGTTTAATTTTCTTTTTCACTTCTACAAAGATCTGTTTATATATAAAACGACAAGAGTAACAATGTTAATTTTTAATTTAATATACTTCTCCTCGATTTTCAAAAGGCTGGATGTGCCTGGTTCGCCTTCCAAAGATTCAAGCAAGGTACCGACGCTGCATTCGCACCGAGTTACGAAGCAGATCCTGTTGGTGGAACAGGATATACAAGTTATCCCGATGCGACTGACACTGGTTATCAAGAACCACCGTTTGGTCAACAACAACAACAACAACAACAGCAACAACGGATGCCCGATTTTCGAGCTCCGGCTTACTAACCTTCTCAAACATAATCTATCACTCTTGGTAAAATGAAATTTCTATTAATCTTCGTTATAAGAAAGTATCATACATTCGATAAAATACTAAAAATGTATTATAAATTGATATTTTAATTGTTAACTTTTAAATAATTGATACGAAAGGGTATATATAATGCTTAATAATATTTACTTTTCATACTGTTGATTCCTATTTTATTAATTTTTACAAATTAAAAGAATGTTGTTTTATTTTTAAAAGCGTAGTATTGATTGTCTATTCTGCATTACCTTTTCAGACACAACGCAAGAAAACAATAGATAAAAGAAGACAAAAGCTCTGCAAATTTTCAATGATCGAGCAATGTCGAATAGAGTAAGTTTTCATAGTAACATAACTAGTGAATGCAAGAGCAAATGAAACAAGGAAACAGGAAAAAAATATAAAGAGAAAATAATGAGAATAAGAAAGAGAATGTGCGCGTATGCGGATACGTATGTGTGTATATGTGTATGATTGAAAAAGAAGTAGAAAGAATGCGTGAATATGTACGTGCAAGACAACAAAACGTTACTTGTTAAAACTGTGCTTCTTATTGTTGACCACTTATAAGTCTTACACCTAAAAATCAGTGGCGTAAGCGATAAAGAAAAAAATATAAAAAAAACGACACATTTAAAAAATAACACATTGAAATCGAAAAGGAAGTGTGCAAAGAAACAGGAGAAAGAGAGAGAGAGAAAGAAAGAGAGAGAGAAAGCGAAAAAAAGGAAGAGAGAGAAAGGGAGAAAGCGAAAGATGGACATTTACCATCCATAGAATTATATATAAATGCATATATATATATATTTAAGATGTACCGAAAATTGAACGATACAAAGGGAAGATATAAAATTATTCACCGTAAATACGAAACAAATATAGAGCAGAAAAGTAAACTTTTCTACAAAATAATTTTCAGTTTTCTTCAAATAAGTTGCAATTAAAATTTTAAAATGTACATGTAGCTTTGTCATCTATTTCTCAAACTCGAGAACGTGCTTGAAAGCATTAATCGTTCAATGTTTCATGAACTCATAGCTGCACTTATATTGTTTAATAAACGATAGGAGAGAAAAATAGAGAAAAAGAAAGGTTATTCTTTTTCACAAATCTCTTCGATCTCAAGGCGGGGTATTTTATATTTTTCGTTTGTATTGTCGTTTTCAGAACACCGTGTGTATGTACACGTATATATGTATACATATTACATATATATGTAATTGTAAACGGATAAAGAATAGCGGCTCTGTAATAATTCTTAAGTAGTTACATGCACATATATTTTACTGTGTTATTATAACGTGTTCATAGAAAATCGCGAATACGACTGTACTACTGTTAACGACAAGACCTATATCGGACACAAAAAAAAAAAGAAAAATATTACAATTCTGTTGAAAATCGAATTATCATTTTGATTCTATCATTGCCGTATACTATCTTATATTATAGGAGGATCCTCCATTTGCAATACGTCGTGCATTAACGCATTAGCGAATTGCAAGTATATGCTATTTATATAAAAGAATACCAGAGACTTAGTGATACGTCACTATGACGTGTTGTGCACTTTTTGAGTTCATATAATTCCGTTTTAATTTCTTCAGAAAAAGAAAGAAATAAAAGAAATATCGAAGTGAGTTCGTTAAGTTTCGTTGATATTATGTTTTTTATATTGTGATATTACGTTATTGCAAATAATATAATTATTTGTATGTATTAGAGAAATTGGGAAAGCAATGTTTCAAGCAATTTAAAAAAATATTCAATTGGTACACATTGAATATTATACAAAGCATAATGAGAAAAATTGTATCTCTTGCTAGTACCAATTCATTTTTTAAATAATTAATTTTTTAATATTATTTTGTATAGACAGTATTTTGTATAAAAAAAGTAATTAAATAATCGTATTTTTTGGAAACTAAATTGTTCTTTACCCAGTTTCTCACTGTTATTAATATGAATGTCTGAAATAATTTAAAAAACATAGGTACATGTAAGATATTTGCATGATTTAAACGAAGATTACAAACACGAGTTTTTTTTATGATAGTAACTTTGTATTGCCTTAGTATTAAATTAAAATATTATTTAATTATGTAAATAGTTCCATATGATGAAATACGTTCTTGACAATGATAAATTTTTACATTCCCTTTTTAGCATTTTTAAATGCTCTTTTTTAAGTACGTTTATTAATGTTTTAGCAATATTGGAGTGATGTTGAATAAAATGTCTACAAATCTCGCGACTAATTGCATGACTGTTCTTTTTCTTGTGCCGATTATTATACTGCCTCGTTTTAAAAGCAAACAGCGGATTGCATAAGGCAGTGTCGTAAAAAGTAATAAGAAATAAAATTGTTTTTTCAATAAGTTGCGTTATTTTTTTAAAGCGATATCAGTATTGTATGTAATGACTATTTGAACTGATGATACCATAATTTTTCTGTTCATCATCGTGGCAATACTACAAGATATAATTGAGGATAAATAAAGAAAAGAATGTAATTAACTATAATCATCTAGAAAAGATAATCAATCTTTATATTTATTATTTAAAAGAAAATTTGATTGCCAAGTGAAATTAAAATTTCATCTGGTATTTATTTATTGGAGATTGCGTTACTGAAATGATAATGTAATATTGTCACTATTTTGGATAGCTTTTTCTAAAGAAAAAATATTCTCGGGCCAATATTACTACAACTCAAATTTTCACGACATTTAATTTCCACCTGAACTTTAGCTTTGTAACAAGTATTTACTACTTCACAATGTAAACATTATCCTTGCCGGGAGAAAAGAGATATTTATTAAGATATCAGTAATTAAATAGTTGTCGTATCAATGTGATTATACTAGGTGTCTCATTATAAGAAATAAGTGGATATAAAATGTTTTAATTCCTATTATAATACTGTTAATATTTTTGTGTAACATGTTATTTGATATTAGAACCTTTCAAATATTATTTCATTTTTATATTAATTTTTTAATATATGCACAAATTTTGGATTCTGTTATATTTTTTTAAATTTCTGCATGATTCTTAATCTTTAATAATGATTTTCAATAACAGATCAATAACATCTGAGACACCTTGTATATAACGTAGTTGTATTTACATTTGAAGCAGTAAGAATCTGAGTGTTTAGGAATGAAGTATAATCATGTAATTAATTATAGATGAGATACATGTGAGTAATTATTTTTATGCGATTGAATGATAGCCAAAATCAATAGCTTCGATTCATTCACTTTCCCTATTATGATAATAATCAACGTGTTTGTGAGCCAATTGAAGCTGCGTTTCGCCTAGAGGAATTCTACGAATGAAGAAGAAATATTGTTTTATTTTTAGCGTTTAATTTTTTGACTGATTTTCTTGTTGTAGAATTTACAGATACTATGAAAGTCAACGAGAAGAATAAAAATTGTTTAAATATCGTGGAAAATTTGCTGACAGAAACTCCACTGGTTTAATATTGAATAATTAAATGACAGATACATTTACAAAAGTTAAAAAAAAGAAAGAACTTCGACGGAAATTACAACACATTAAAACGTAACATAAATATTCGTCTACTACCAGTAACTTCTCGTTGCTTTTTATACATTTTAATCTGTAGTTTAAATATCTATAGTTTGACATCAATGAGATGGAAACAGTATGTCCACCCTTTGCTAGCGTTCCTCGGAATAAAAAAGAATTTCTTTTCGCTCGTGTTGCATTTTTTACATTTGTTGAAAGTATCCATTAGAATTTGTATTATTGAATCGCAGCCTTTTGTTGTTCAATAAATTTTGAGTGCCTAATCTATGGCTCCCGCATATCTTTAGATGTATACATTATTTTATTTAAATAATTTTTAGTTTCTTTGTCATTCAATTACTGTGTATTATATTTTTATTATATTTGATCATTTTTATATTTTATTATGTCTGAGAATTTCTTACTTTCCTGTTATTGATAAAACAAAAAAGAAGAAAGATGTTTTTAAGCAATTCCAAGTACCATGGAATTGTAGTATTTCCAATCCGGCTCCTTCGTCGTTGAAAACGAAAGGTAATCTTTCAATTGCAGCATCATCTCATAAAAACTATTCTACGCAGCTGTTACTGCAGTCTTCACATAATTTAAAGGTACAGTTACGCTTTCGTGTTCTTCGTCATTCAGAGTTCATTTTCCTAGATTTTCACATTGCCGTGAAAGTTGATTATTACATATGAGTTTTAACTTTTTAATCCTGTAAATCTTTTAGTAATTCTTCTCGCTTTTAAATCCTTCGCAAGTTAAAACCATTTGTTATTTATTGATTTATTTCAATTCTGTTTCTTTTTTCACGCTTGACGAGCAACGATGCGATAAACATCATCTACGTGGGAAAAACACGTCGTAATTTGGAGAATATGAAACCTATGCGTGAATCTGGGGCTTCGTTCGGTCGATAGATCGATCGTTCGTCCAACGAATTACGCTGATTCCAGCGGCTCATCTGGTATCAGCAACACCCGCCACGATAAGCTGGGTTACGAAGCCGCCCACATTTCGAATCGTCCCTCTGCTTACTTTCCGCTGTTCTTTCGTAAATTAGTATTTCGCCGCTCCTCGAACCGAATACTTTTTCCGTGCTTAATCGTTCCAAGTAAGTTTCATCGAAGTCTTCTTTAACGTACAGGCAAATCATTTGTGATTTATCCTCTCTTCTCTGTAGTGATGCGTTCTGGAAGTGAAAAGTGAAATTCAGTGATTCATGGAGCATAAAAAGAGAAGATAGATACTTTACTCTTTTTTTTTTTATGAAGACTATTCTTTGCTAAATCTGGCAATTGAAATTTATTATTCAAGTAACATTTCACCAATGTATAATACATTCTTTTGCAATTGTACTAATCAATGCTAGTTCATGCAAGTTAATAGCTAGTTGCAAATTTGTAAAGTTTCAAATAAGTTCTGAAAAGATCCTAGACGTGAAGATGAAAAATAATTCAATGTTAGTGTCGGCGACGTCATTGTTAAATTTCTATTACGCATCTAATAGAAATTAGACGTTATTAAAAACATTTTCTATTGAAAAAAATAAGAAAATTATTCATTTAAATTTAGAAAGATTTAAATGCTTAACATAAAACACATATTTTAAAATAAAACTTTACAAGAACGATATAAATATTGAACGCTATTAAAATCGCATAATTGAAGTATTAAATTAATCATGTAAACACGTATTATTTTATTTTGTAATTTTTAAACGTAGTTGCCGACAGAAGTCATTGGTGAGGAATCACCAATATTGACAATTTTAAAATGAAGATATTCGGGAAGTTATTTCATCATGGAAAGAAAAAGAAAAAACGACACGATTTAAAAAAAACGTCGCAACGAAGAAAGAATTATGTACCTCAAGACAACTTCCTCTTAGCTGGAAATCAACAAAGAAGAGACAGACGAAGGCACAAGGTAAGCGTAGTATTTTTGCAAATAAACTTAGTTAACAGTATAAAATTTTAAGCTGAAATTAAAGATAATATTTAACAATAGTAGTAGTAATAATAGTAATAGTAGTAATGTGATGATATTTATTTATACAATAAAACGATGTTGCAAGTACCATTCATACTTATGATCAATAGTTTTTGGTAGACAATTCAATTAAAATAAGCTCTCTATTATAAGAATATTATTCCCAAATCGATTTGGGACTTAAAGCCATCGCTAAGGACGCATACAAAGAAAAGCGTCAGTTTAGCTGGAATATGACACACCTCACAAGCAGCTGGAATGTGTCGTTCTGGCTCAGGTATCACTCTTTTGTGTCCCCTATTCTAACTTTCTTTTGGATTCGCAGGTAGTACATTTGATGCAACACAAAACAAATGCAGTACAGGTTGAAAGCCAAAGATACCTACTTCTCGTAAAACAATATTACTGACCCATTAAGCAATCATAAACACATATGTATATGCATGTGTATAACATCTGACATGACGTACGCTTATTTGTCTTTTAATTGACAATTAAAAACAAACGAATTAAACGCCTTGCTTTAACATCACAATACGAGGTAATGCTGAAAAGATAAGGCTGATTAAAGGGATAAAACATTAATTAGAATGAGACGAATTAGATGTACTACTTGTTTTGTTGATACGCCAATTTGGCTATTTTCAGCATCTCGTACTGGTCCACTTATAATATGTGCATTTATCGTCGTGCACGCGCACGTGCGTTAGGTCCAGATGTGACTTTCACATAACGGGTGATTCCAATTCAAATAGATCCACGTCGAATCCATTAAACATTATAAAAAGTACCTTTCATCGAACACTCTACATATTTTTGCATCATGTCATACCCATTCCGAATATTTTTCTATTTCTAATTAACGATTCTATGTACTATTATTTATTTACCACGTTTGTAATTATTTGTGAGAAATTTAAAAGCGCAGAATACAAACATGCAAAAATATCTAAAATATCTAAAATATTTAAACGCCTAGAGCGCTCGCTGTAACATTTAGTGGATGAGATAAATCTTCATTTAGATTTCATCTGTTTGCTCTAATATTCTAAAAATATGAAACTGCATGTACATGTTGCAAACCTGTTAATTATAAATGTTATAGATTATAATACTGATAAAACAACATATCAAGTACGTGCATGAACGAACGTTCATGCCTCGAGATCGGGCCCATCACTAGTGAAGCCGAAAACCGGTGCGCAGACACGCGCATGCTGTGCGCTCCCTACTATTCCCCAGTCCCCTAGTGCAGGTCCGTGAGTCCGTGGTGCCCCTACCATTTCCCCACTGTCCGCGACACGTTCACTCAAGCAGGCTTCGTACTCTTCCCCGCAGCCGCCAAGCCCGTTTCTCATCCGATTTGCGTCGACCTGCCGCCTGCTTTAGCCAAGCCACGCTCCACGAAACTACGAACCGATCTTCGGCCCAAGAATTCCTCGACTTCCTGATATGCGTACAGTCTCCTTTGAGCTGTTACAACTTCTGCTCGTGTACTTTCGTCTCCATTTCAAGTGCTTCAGTGTGAACTCTCGGTGGCCGTAGTGTTGGCGGTGAATCTTTTTTCAGTGTGCATTCTACGCGTGGAACATCGGTCGGATATAATATAAAAAGTTGTGCCAGTGCAGTTTGCAGTACCAATAGCTGGATTTTCTGTTATAAAACACACCGTGGGACCTCCGAGCTTCCTTCTTTCGGCGGACGACGATTCACTTGATCGCAACTGTGAGATGTTTCTTCTCAGATAGAGACAGAATCTCTCTCTCTCTCTCTTTTTTTTTTTTTTGTCAAAAATCATTTTTGCAGCTTTTTCTCTAACTGCAAAAAATAGAGTTCTTTAATTTCGTTTCTGGTTACGTTATTTATAAATATATAGTGAATGGAACAAGTTAATATTAACTGCAAAATGTAAACTATATTTTCAAAGATAATTAACTTCTTATTCTTTATTCAATGATTGCTTTCTACAGATATTCCGGTACTTTTTTCACAGTATACTCTGAAATGAATTTTTCACGTTTCTTTCAACGTAGATAATTAATCAATCTGTAATAAAATAACGTTTAAAGAGTAGATAAATTTTTATGTTAGACTGAATCTTTCATAAAACATTCACTCGTGAAGTGAACGGTACGGAAGTTGCGGTGCTTCCTCGTCGTTTTCTGAAAATTTTTCTCACAAGTTGTCCTTTTCATTGGCCGAGGGTGACTCGGATGATTGGAATTCGTTCTCTGCTGACAACGTGGTAGTGATTTTTTCCAGCATAGCCAGGTACCTTTTCCTTCAAGTTTCTCTTTTGCTAGGAGGCTGTATGTATGTTTATAGAGACGGTTCGAAACTTGTAGACCTGGACCGGTGTTTGGAAAATGGAAGTTTCAATGGTAGAAGTACCGGAATTCTTAATGTAGAAACCTCTAACCGTGTTTCTTGTTTTCCCGTGCAACAAGTGGTTCTTCATGCAACCTTGATCTCTCAACGAATTTTTACGAACCTGCAAGCAATTTGATATATTTTTCATGATTTACAAAGTAGATGTAGTAATTAATAATTCATTAGATAGAATATATCTTTAATCGAAAGTTGAAAGAAACGAGAAAAATAATAATTCGCAGTGACAAAATTGTTTCAACGTGAAACTCTTCGCGAAACAGGCGACATTCATGTACGAATTTTATAAATTTACAGTTCTGTGTGATGGAAGATAGCGGATGCTGATGAAAGACACAGACCTGCAACAGTCAGCGAACGTGCGAAATAAGCTAAGTAAACAGATTAGAAACACCTCGATGTAATTCACATTTTGAAAGCTGCCGAACAGAATTGTTCAAAGGAGAGGAGAATTTCTCGAAGGAAGGAAATTTCTTTCAACAAAACACACCGAGTGATTCAATAATTGAAAATTGTCGTGCGAAAAGTTTAAATAACAAAAATCGTTTTAATATGAGAAACGTTCCTAATAATTTCTAGAAATTATCGTCGAACGTATGACGAGCAAATTTAAACGCATGAAACAGAAACGAAGAAAGAGAGAGAGCGAGCGGCTAATTAATTTGTTGAAATCGAATTCGAGTTAAGATCGAAACGGGACGTTCAAGATCAACGAAGAAACTCTGGCGTGTAAAATATGGAATCAGAACGACGAAGAAAGTGAAGGTCTGGCCACTCGAAAGGAAAATGAAATTCCATAACTACGCGTTGCTTTGAATTGTCCGCGTGTTTGCGCTCGTCGTGCAGGTAGCACGATTGGGAAAAACTCATTTATTGGAAATGAGGTCGTGCGATCCTGTGGTGTAGAATATCGTAGAGTATTCGTACAGTAGAACAGAGCATCTCGTAGGATAGGAGAAAAAAAAAGAAACGAAAGAGCCATTAGATGTATCTGGGATGCACGTGGGATTGGCTGTCCTTACGCCAATGTTTCGGACGCCTATGCGCTGGAAAATTCCTCCAAGAAAACGTACGCCCCCATCGTCCGTGTAATGACCTGGAAACATTGATTGCTTTGTGGCCAATTTCTCAAAAGTAAAGTCCAAGCTGGAAGAAAGGAAAGAAACAAGAGATTAAAAATTTTAGACTTTTTTTCTTTTTCTTTTTTCGAGGAATAAAAACTCCGCGAAGTAAGATAGAGAAGATAACAAAGGACAGATTCCAAAAAATGAGAGATTGAAAGAATTAACTTCGATCTGCTAAATGCAGTATACACGTGTCGATCTCAACTGTTTATACAGATAAAGAGATTGAAGAATAAAAACGTGTCGGTGGAAAATGTTGAAATCGAAAGAAGTGTAGATTGTTGCGCGAATGTGGAATATCTTTTGCAGAAGATGCAACTGTAGTCCAGAGGAAATATACAATAGAAGAGCGTAGTCGAGATGACCGTTCAGAGGTGTTAAGGGGAAAGACGAAATTTTCAGGACGAAGTCTCCCGACACAATGGATAGAAACGATAACAACGTGGGTGTCGGAAATTCGGGAAATACCCCGAATTCATCTTCGACGACCCATGGTATTCTTCACAATACTTCCGTTGGGACCGATGCACAGGTGCGAACCAACAAAATAAACGACGAGTATTTCAAACGTATCGTTACCTTTGTTTCAGAAAGATGAATGAAAAAAAGTTTGTAAATACTTTTTGTTATAATCATTGTTGTTGTGAAAAAACTCTCTGCCGAGAGAACGAACGAAGAAGAAACGAGGAATCTCTCCGACTTTCTTTCGAAAAGTTTTTCAACAGGCCTGCCTTTGGAAATCGCTAATTCATATATTCAGTTTGAGTATCACTCGATTGAATTTATAGATCGCGATTGAAGATAAAACACGATTCTAGATTTCGTTCGAGTTAAATATGCGTTAAGTAGGGGAAGAATCTTGTTAACGTGAACCCCTAGAATTTCCATCCAATTACCTGCTGCTCCGCTTGTTTCCTCGAATTCTTACTAATTCTGCTCCGCGAGGAACTAGGATTTATATATTTATATATTAATTTTAAACAGATTTTTCAACAAATCCGCGAAATATTCTCGAAATGATATAAAACTCGTTATCGTAACATTGAAAAAAAGTATATGCGAGCACGACAATGAGTATAAATTTTTAAATGAAAATTCGTCGTAAAAATCTTGCAGTCTTGTACCTTTTTGTGAAAATCTTTCAGAACGGAGACAGAGGATGGGAGGTTCATCATGTTACTGTTACCAGAGTTCCGGGCTACGGATTCGGGATTGCTGTTTCCGGTGGTCGGGATAATCCCCATTTCACTAATGGTGACCCTGCTATTGCCATTTCTGATGTCTTGAAAGCTGGGCCAGCCGAGGGGAAATTGCAGTACGAACATTTATGGAAATAATTTTACATACACAATTGCTACTTCTTACTTTTACTTTACAGTATTTTGATATTTAATATATTTGGTATATTGATGCTTAAAATTGTGATTTGTGTAATAGAAATTAAAAATGACCATTGCCGTACTAACCTGCGGAATGATTATTTTCCAGAGTAAATGATCGCATAATATCCGCGAATGGAATATCATTGGAAGGTGCCGATTATGGGGCAGCCATTCGTGTTCTCAGGGATTCTGGATCAACAGTGCTTTTAGTCGTTAAGCGCAGAGCTTCGTCGAATAGTTCTGGAAATCTAGGAAATTCCACCCTTCAGAGTCATCGCTTGACTCTAACGAGAAATAACAAGAAAGATGGTGAATATAAACACCCTTGACATTTTAAATTTAAAACATTTCGGAATTCAAAAGTTAAATTAATTTTCCTTCAGATTTTGGTATTGTTCTTGGGTGTCGTCTTTATGTGAAAGAAGTGACACGAGATAATACGGGAGTAAAACCGGGGGACGTTTTAACACGAATTGGCAGCGTGGCTACGGACAACATGAGTTTAAAGGAAGCTAAGAAACTGATGGATCAGTGCAAAGATAGACTGTCAATTGTAGTAACCCGAGACAATTCTTGCTGCCACGTCCAGCAACAGGCAAAGAGTGAAACTGGAGAATATCTTTCTGGGACGACAAGTTATAGTAGCCAGAACTTGTATGTTCCACCCCCAACGAGGCAACCAATCGAGGACAAAAGCAATCTTGTTCCCAGAGGTCGTACCAGAGGACCATTGATGGATGTATCTCTTAGTCAGTTAGATCTCCCTGCAACTCCCACAGTAGATCCTCCTAGACCACCACCGCCTAGACCAGAAGGTACAGTACAAAATCACAATAAAAGGAACAACATAGTAAAAAGATGTCATTAAAATTAGTAAAATGAAAAAAGTATGTATATAAGACAGACTTATTTTTCTTTTTAGATTATTACAGTACAAGAAGACAGTTGTACGACGAAGATTTATCTAGGAATAAACTGCCAATGTAAGTTACATTACCATTATCATCACAACAATTATGTAAAGTTTATTGTACCATTAACTTTTAGGCCTGATCCTCGATTTATCACTTTTCAAAAAGAGGGATCAGTGGGCGTTAGATTAAGTGGAGGGAATGAAACTGGCGTTTTCGTGACGGCCGTTCAAGCAGGAAGCCCGGCATCTCTTCAGGGTTTACAACCTGGGGATAAAATTTTAAAAGTGAGATCTTTTTCATCAATCTTCTTTTTAAAACAAAAAGATCGAAATTAAAATGAGATTTTAATATGTGTTAATATAGATAAACGATATGGATATGAAAGGAGTAACAAGAGAGGAGGCTGTGCTCTTTTTACTCAGTCTCCAGGAACAGATTGACTTGATTGTTCAACATCGACGACAGGAGTACGATCAAGTGGTAGCATCTGGAAAAGGTGACTCTTTTCACATAAAGTAAGTATTATGTAAAATTTAACCGATTCAAATCATTATTCGTACGTTTAACGAAAAACTTCATGGAACATTGCAGAACTCATTTCCATTACGAGCAACCACAAAAAGGTGAAATGAGTTTCCGTAGCGGAGATGTATTTCATGTTGTAGACACACTGCACAACGGTGTTGTCGGTTCGTGGCAAGTGTTTCGTATTGGTAGAAATAATCAGGAAGTACAAAAAGGTATTATTCCAAATAAAGCACGAGCCGAGGAGCTAGCAACAGCGCAATTCAATGCAACAAAGAAGGAAATGAGTGCCAGTGAAAGCAGGGGTAGTTTCTTTAGGAGAAGAAGAAGCAGTCATAGACGTTCTAAATCTCTTAGCCGAGTATGTTTCTTTTTGTATCTATTTAACAAAACCCTTGTGTTTGATAATTTAGTTATGACAACGTTATATAATTTTTTTTGTTTGTTATTTCTGATTTTCAGGATCACTGGGATGATGTAGTATTTTCAGACAGTGTTAGCAAATTTCCAGCCTACGAGAGAGTAATTTTAAGACATCCAGGTTTTGTAAGACCTGTTGTATTGTTTGGTCCTGTTGCGGATCTAGCTAGGGAGAAGTTATTAAAAGACTTTCCTGATAAATTCACGTCTCCGCGTAATAAATAAGAAACCTTTAATTCACGATTAAAAAAAAAATAATTTAAAAGTTACCTATTCTTATGAAATTATTTATTTGTTCATAGAGATGGAAAATCAGTTGGATGACAACATTGGAAAGAATACGAAATCGTCAGGTATCATTCGACTCAGTGCTATCAGAGAAGTAATGGATCGAGGAAAACATGCTTTATTGGATATTACTCCAAACGCGGTAGATCGATTAAATTACGCGCAGTTCTATCCTATAGTTATTTTTCTGAAAGCTGAAACGAAACAGATTATCAAGGAGATGCGAGCCGGAATTCCTAAGTAAGTATTTTTCAAACAGAACTTAGGTTTTCAAATACATGAACAAGACTATCTTCAATTTTGTTTCTAGATCGGCACATAAAAGTAGTAAAAAACTTCTGGAGCAGTGTCAGAAATTGGATAAAATTTGGGGTCACATCTTCAGCGCGGTAATTACATTAACCACGCCGGAAGCTTGGTATAGAAAACTAAGAGAATTAATCGATCGACAACAACAAGGATTACTCTGGATGAGTCAAACTAAGGTAAGAATGTTTATTAATTTCTTAACTTCTTCTCCTTTTGTTTGATGCTCAACAAATAGCTCAACATGGATTTAAATAACTAATTAAAATAATCGCAAGTAAATATTACAATTTTCTCTCAAATTACTGATTTAAATCTGTAATTTAGTTTTTATATAAGTTTTATATGAAAAGTTAGATAATCATTGTTTGTATAAAAACGATAGGAATATTTCAATTCGAACATCGTACGAATGATGAAAATGCTACTAATAAGATTGAGTGGAATTATATTGATGAAATTATTTTATAATAATTTATTATAGCCGTCGTATGGTCGACAAATGACGTGGGAGCCATGTCATTCGTCCGGTGACCCTCGTGATTTACCACCTCCTCCTGTACCTCCGATTTTGAAAGAAACCGTATATCATGATGTAAACGAAAATGACACATATCACGCGGACAAGTTGTTTTCGTTACCTTCTTATCCGTCTCTAACTTCTGACGTTGTCCGTGAGCAATTTTTCGGCTATATTTGAATCCCGCTTTTCCTAGTCAGGTGTCTTGATTATCATGTTCAAAAACAACTGTGTATGCTATTCTCTTGATACTTGAAACGTTCTTTGCTACATAAATGAAAATTTTGCATTTATTTCGAATTTTTAAATAAAAAGTTTAGTTTTAATCATTAGATTAGAATTGTGATTGGAAAATACTATTCAATTCGTTTAAATTTATTACTTTAATCCATGAAAATTAGAGTCCATTCAAATTAATTCTACATTAAAATTTACTATTATTATGTTTTAAGATATTTGAGACACCTTATAGTTTATGTTCGATTTAATTTGCATGGCTGTATGTTCATAGCTTTTAGGGCAAATCATTATAAGTTCAAGACAAATAATCTCATAATATGTTATTAAAAGCTAGTCAAAATGAACAAGAGAACACTTTGTAATTTTCTATTTAAAAAAAAAAATGTATGTAAAAGTCTTTTCGAAAATAAACTAAATAGGAAAATCACGAGGAATGAACAAATTTAATTCATGATTAATCAATGATATAATTAATATAATTTTTGACTTTAGTTATAATAACAACAATGTACAAACTTGAAGTGTTAATAGAGTAATACTAATTATTTTTTTCTTTTTAATTATACATTCTTTATCAAAAAATAATTGAAAGGTTCCTCTACACACTTTAAGTTGTATATATATTAAATTTTATAATTAAAAATACAATTTAAAAGAAGAATTAAGAAGGATATATTACCGAGTAAATATATAATGTATTGAATTAATTAAATCTATTTTATAGGAAATCTTTTCATCATTCATCCTGCATTTTACAAGACTAACAGAATTTTTGTGGTATATTTTGTTTTGAGAATCATGTGAGTTCTCTTACGTAATTGTCCAACATTTTTCATTATACGCATAAATCGATCTAATTTCAATCTGCTCTATAATCTTCAAAGTAATTTAACTGTATTTCAGAATTAAACTTAACCGAATGGCAAGTATTTGTTTTTCGTTTAAATTTTAACCCTTCCAGACGTTATCATTGTGCAACATAATTATTATAATTTTTGACTTTGTTTTCATGCAAACGATCCGACTAAAATATTTGATAATTTTTTTAATGAACTATACAGTTTTTTATTTACGAATAATTCGTTGATCAGTATTCTGAATATAAATCTTATAACGCTTATAAATTTTTATAAGCGTAGAAAGTCTGAAAGGGTTGAATAGAGCATAAACCTCTGTAACGTGTTGTCCTCTATGTCCTGCGATGATAGCCAGAAGAAGCACTCTCGGATGACTTCCTATTCCCGATGACTTCTCGCCTCTCCTATGCTTCCTCTCCGGAGAGTGACTTGGAACTCAGTCCGGCACCAGCTTTACCGGGTGCCCTAGGTGTACCGTCTAGATTGAAAAGCAGTTCTGATCCAAGCATTGCCACGCAAGACGACATTGCTGCACCACCTCCATATTCGACCACTTATCAAGTAAAAAATTTAATTCTATTAATTAAATAATCATTATTACTTTTATAAAATTGAAACAAAAGAAAATTTGAGTATATAAATTCTCTTGATAAATGAATGAATGAATGAGATAATCAGTTTGTAGAATACTTACATTATTTTAATAATCATAAATTCTCAAATACCAATCTTTTTCCAGCAATCGTTCGAACAACCAAAAAGAAGATCTCAAGGAGGAATGGGAGACGGAAAATATGGTTTTTCACTATCGGGGCAAATTAGCAATCAATCAGGATCACCAGAATATTTAGGCGGTTCATTCGAGCCACGATCCTCTCATCACAGTCCTCCTGATTTACCTCCAAGAGTGGATCGCAATGCCAAGCCAAATAGTCAACAACAAAGAAATACTATAGGAAGATCGGCCCAAGAACGATTGCTAAATAAAACAGATTCAGTGTTGGACGTTGCAAATTACATAAATGCAACACCTCATAAAGCTAATGCATCGTCACTTGAAAGGACCCAACCAAAAGCGGTAAAAACAGCTTAAAGTCACTGTGTCATTAATAGGTAGCGAATGTTTATACACATATAAAAGAGAAAAAAATTCATGTAAAAGTATACAACAATTTAAGAATCCAAAGTACTTATGCACTTGTTATGATATTTAATGAAAGAAACAGAAGATGAATTTCTATAAACATCCGCCGTGATTAGAACATTAATAGTAGAAATTATTATGCTAATTTTACTATTTGTTCATAGGGAAGTTACGATAGTATGTCTTCTTATGATTCTTACAATAATACAAATGGAAATACCAGTTACGGTGCGCCAGGTTTAAATACATCAACTGGTCGCTTGGGTCCTAACGTTCCAGATGATTTAAAGAGCAGTAATGCACCAGCAAGACCACATGATCCTTATAGATTCACTAGATCGACTGCACAACCAATTCCAAATCATGATTCGCAACCACGGACTGATTACGCTAAATACAGGTGTGTACTTCTTATCAGGTGAAATCAAGATGTAATCAAATTAATAACTTGTGGTCTCTGCAGAGAGAAAAATCTATACGTGAAAATATTCAATGTTATTTTAAACTACAGTTCTTTTACTGTTTTTCTTTATATTCTAGAATGATGGCGCGAAAGCCTCGACCATTGAGGAGAGCTTGTAGAATTTATATTTCTAGCCGAGACACATTAGTTTGAATTCCATTATATTTTTTTCTTATTTCATATTTTATTAGATACACGCACATTTGTATAATTTTACTCATTATACGCTATAAAAGAGAAGTTGATGATATTCTTAAAGAATTTTATTTTGCAATTTGAATGCACTATCCTATTATTAAAGTTCATCTTATTAATTTACTTTATATTGGATTCCTAGCTTTTATTTTATAGAGTAAATATTCTTTGCTCCTATTTTCATATGCTTTATAATTCTTTATTATTATTTATTCAGTACCTATTGTTCACCTGTATGCTAGAATATTTTGCTTTGTATATTGTAGCCGCACAACTGATTACAAGTCGATAACATTACCACAAAATAAACCTGGAGGATCCTACAAGCCAATACCGCCTCCAAAGCCAAAAAATTATAGGCCACCACAAGCAAATTTGACTCAATCAGAAAATAATGGAAACGAAGTAAATAATACTCATCAACATTCAAAGAGTTATTCCATTGCTACTTCTCATGTAAGTGAAGTACTCTTACAGAAGATTATTTTCTAACATAACAAAAAAAAGTAACAGTAAGAAATTTTTACTTTCAGGTAGAAAATACTAACAACGTTCAACGAAACAGTGGACAGTATTACTACAACATTCCGCCACCAAATCGACACGATTCAAACCTCGGAAATTCCCACCACAATTTAAGTCATCTGTCTACGCCCGCGCACAATCACAGTTTGAGTCATACACATGCTCACTGTAGCCCGCCAATGTCAACCCACAGTCACAGTAACAGTGCCAGTCAGTTGAGTCTTGGTCTCTCGCATAATAGGAATAGTGTTAATCACAATGGATATGTTGTGAACAACGGACACAACGCACCTGGACAAGGTTTTCCAACGAGTCCGGGGCATAATCGAGAACCAAGTGGGCTTGATCTTGCTGGAAGCAGGGAACAAAGAGGAAGCGCTTTTGAACTTTACCGCAAACCTGTACATCATTACAATGCAAGGTAAAGCACTTACATTTGTTGTATATAATTTATTTTCTTAATTTTATTCATTTAAACAAACTAAAGGAGTGTGGATTTTCAATTTTTTTAATTAAAAACCTTTGAATCTTGTAAATAATATTAACATCTAAGTATTACAAAAATTCTATTCGAATATTTACAAAAAATATTCTTGTTATTACAGTTAACATGCGCAAGGATTTATAGTCTTTCTAATGACAAAAAAAAAAATGAAAATTATTAATCTTGCTAACTTGACATTAACAACATATAAATATTTGAACTTGGTGAAAAAGATTATATGTAAATGGATATAGACAACAGATATACATAAAAGAAGTCCCAGGGAGAATAAAAAACTAGGAAATTGAATCAATTTCATTCTTTTTTCACTTTGACTTTGTATATACGATTTTAATAAAAAAATATATATAATAATGTTTTGCAAAAAACAATTGTTAAATAAAATTTTTTAATAAAAAGTATATTAGTGAAAAAATAATCATGTTTCTTTTTTCTTGTAGACAAATCAAGTTTACTTAAATAATCTATTATTATCAAAAAATAAATTTTCTTTGGAATATTTTTGAGAAATGAGCCAACATTTTCACAGGGCAGATTTACTTTTGTACAATTATACATCAATAACATTAATATTTTTATTATATTCTCAGAATTCTCTTACTAAAATTGACAATAAATTCCCATTTGGGAAATTTCTCTAGAATCTCTCCACAAAGTTTTCTAAGGAAAGAACGGAAGAACAGTTTAACCCTTAATTGCTATGATATTTAGTAAATTTTTTAAACAGATTTGATACAAATCTATAAGTACGTCTGTAAATAAATAATTTTAAAAAATAGAAATATTATAAACAATATTTTTATATTAAAACAACTTAAGGTTTTTTAATAAGTCAAAGATAATTAATCGTTAACAAATCGTAAAACAATATATTAAATTTCAATTTAAAAAAGAACTATGTATTTTTTGTGCACATTTTATACTTGATCATACCAATTAAGAGTTATTTTGTATCATTTAATTCTTACAACTATAGTAACTTTTGACAATTGAATTAACTAGAATTCACAAATATAATTCTTACAAAATGTAAGCTCCTGTTATCACGATATACTATACCAGTGTTTCCATCATTATAATATAACAACGTAAATAATACAACGTAAATAATGTAATCAAGTTTTTTCATGATGATTTAATATTCATTAATGATATGATGTATACGAGCTTAGATATGTAATACTTTGATTATAAATTTCTGCGTCAACTTATTTGTGTTTCACAAATTGTATATAGAATAAAAATAATATTTAAAACTAATTCTTTATCTTACTTTCCAAAAATGTTAGTAACTTATCGTGGAAGTTACAAACGATAAAAATAAAGATGTTTGGAAACACTGGTTGTTGAAAAAGTAATATAGAAAGAGATAGGTAAGATAGGGGTAATAAAATCTACGATTTATGACTAGTTCGTCAATAATGAAAATAAGCGAACTTGTTCGCAAATCATGGATTTCATTCTCAATTGAATAATAATACTAATAAGAATCATCGTTATTATTTATAAACGGTGATCTAGTAGCTCAACGGAACCTTGATTATCCTTAAAAATTACAAAAATATATAGAAACAAATTAATATAATTGATCATTCGATTGTACCAAATTTTTTCTTTTTTTATTAAAATCAAATATCTCATAATTTAATTTGGTTAAACATGTGCTAAAATTAAAATCGTGTAACTACGCAATTTTTCATATTTTAGTAATATTTATGTCTTAGAGGAAGTTTAAATCCATTTTATTTACAGTAACATTTTATTTTAAACAATTTATTACGTATAACGCTACCCACGTTAATCCGATAATCAAGGTTCTCAGATAATTAAGAAAAAGAGTAACTCACTTGCTTAGCAATTAGCGAACCATATTAAGCGAAAATACATCTATAACGCGCCAGTTATTGTCAGTAATCCCAGAGTATTGAGACGGCACAGGAAAGAAGAGGGCAACGTTTAATTAAGACCCAACAGCCATTCCGCGACGCCGAGGTAGTAAACGGTTTGTGCAATCCCGAAAAGGGGTGCTATTACGATCATTCTACACGCTCCACCTTTGAAGAACGCAGTTGGACCTTCATTCTTCAATGTTTTACTATTAAAATAAATAAATAAATAAATGACAGCTATGCTGTTTTATCATTTATATAATTTACTAAAGTCATAATTGTCTGACAGTGTGAGATATTGTGACCGTTTCTCATTAATGAGAAAGATTCAATATTTAACGCGTTCAGAATATTTTGTGGTTTGATATAACAATTGAGAAAAAATAATGTGTCAATTATATCATAATTTTATATGAATATTGCACTTACGTTATGCAGTCCAGTACACCATTATATGTTGGTTCACCGGGTGCCTTTTTGATTACTTGTAATCTTGTTTTGACTACATCAAACGGATTCACTGATAACGCAGCTATAGAACCAGCGGTACAACCAGCCAAAAACGAACACCAAAATACAGCTAAAAAATAAAACGAAAAATATTAATAAAATTCTTAAATCACGAATAAAACTAATAAATCTAATTAGAGACTTACAAGAGCCATCCTCTCTCTTAGGCCCAATACTATTCAGTCTAGCGAATAATGGAAAGTAAATAACAGAAAATGTGACATCTCTAAGCGCTGTTGCACCAGTACCTTGGTAAAGACCCAAAATGCCTCTTTTTCGTAGTAAGTCTTTCGTTAGTGATAACGCCGACACCTTTGGCACAACTTTTCCTGCTGTAATAATTATTTTCATTTATATATTTAAAAAATTTTATCTTTTAAATTTTAAATATTGAAATTATGATATAATAATACAATAATTAAAATTAAAGTTATAATATATAATTTTTAACTGAAATTATATTCATTTTACGTTTAGTGTAATTTTTAAATATAATAAATAATGCAATCATTGCTATTAAAATACAGCTAGTTTTAAACACTTATTCGCTGTTTTATTTGTCGTTCTTTAAAATGCACAAAAACAAGCTACGAAAATTATGCCAGCAGTTGTATGAGCTAGTAATACTCAATGTGTTAATGAATTCTAGTCAACAGTTAGTTGACCAACTACCAATAACACACAAGAAGAACCTTCAATATGTATGGAAACGACACACTTTAATAAATCAGGCAAAAAAAAAATTTTTAATCTTAAAAATTGGATATTTGATAAGGAAAATTATCCAATTTTAATAAGGGGAAACCCGGGGAAGTCATGAGAAAATATCAGACTTTCGGAAATTAAAGAGCAAAAGATATTAATTTTTTTTCTGGAACAAATCAAAGTTTAAAAAAAAATTTTGGATTTTTGAGCTTAAAACTTAAAATAAACGGGATTCTCTTAAGCCGTTTACCGATTTATATTTGACTGTCATTACATTTGTTGCCATCCATTTGTAATAATTAAATCTTCCTGTTTCTAATTTTTATCGGATAATGCAGATGTCATGTAGCTGCAAAGAACACGAATCGAACGAAATCAAATTTCCTGAGTTCAAATTTCAATCGTAATTGATTAGAAATTCCAGTGTGATTGTTCTTAAAAAAGTTATAACACATATTGACATACATATATAAAATGTAAAATATTCTACATGTTTATGAAATAATTCCTAATTCTTGTTAATCTAATAATTTTTTGGATAATTCTTAAACTGTATTCTAATTTTTAAACTGTAAATAATTTGCAAAATTACCTTCTTTTGCTGCTGCTGCTACTCGTCCAGCATCTTGCATTTGAATTTTTAGTAGTTCCATCGGAGTTGTGACAATAATTTGACATGCTCCAGCTGAACCACCAGCAAGCATTTCACGTTCTAATGGCAGTTGCTGTCTGTGCAGAAAATTGATGCTATAACTACTATAATTGTTTCCCTTAATAATCGATTACAATTACTATATATACGTATGAAGGATATCGAGATACGGATATGAATATCAAATTAATATGGAAATTATTACTATTGCTATTAGTATTATTCTTGGCAGCATTATATTTTTATATGCTTAAGAAAATTGAAAGAATAACATACCCAGGTCCGGTAGATAAGTAATGTCGAAAGGTATCATTGGCAGTGAGTTTGATTGCTTTCTCTGGTGTGATTAAGAGAATATTCACGCCAGATCCTTTATACATGCCAAAGTAACCTTCAGCACTGTAAGTCTTCTTAAAGCAGTCAAACCTAAAGAATTTCAAATTTAATAAAAGAAATATTTTATATTTTTTTAGAAGTCGACTCAATGTTTATTGTCTCAATCTTTCAATGATATTTATGAACATTATATAAATTAAATTAATATTATTTGTTGAAAGTTGTAACTACTTACATAGATTTGTACATTCGTTCGCCATTAGGACCGACAACTTGATTCTGTAATCGTGTTTTAACCAAGTCCAATGGGAATACCACAGAGACACCGATAATACCTGCGATCCCGCCATTTATAATTTTTGGAAGAAGTCTAAAATTTATTTACAAGCTGCATATAACACTCTATTCGTAATTTCCTAATTATTAATTAATAAGTTTAATATGCTTATAATATTATACTCGAAAAATTCTAATTGACAGTGTATTTAATAACACTTAATAACAGTATATTTTTGTTAATTATAATTTTTCAGATCAAACGGATTACTTACTTAAATTGATTTGGAGCTTTTTTCACGCTGTCTTTTTCCATTGAAGCTATAATTTATAACTTCCTCCCTATTACAAAATTACATTTTCGTATTAGAATTTATACATAGTAAATACAATATGTATAATATATGCAACGTAATTGTATTACATTACATAAATTATTAAATAAATATCAAATTATTCACTATATAAAAATTTATATAGGCCAGTATACAAATATATTATATCTTATAACTTTTTAATTAATATTTAATCAATGTGCAATATAATATATTGTTCTCAATATAAATAAACATGAAACCTGTTTATCATTGGGATTTAAGAATTACAAAAAATTTTTTGTACGTGGAACTTATTTGCGTATGTATATAATAACACGTACATAGCTATGCATACAAATAGTCCTTTTTATTCTGACATATATCGCTACTACTTTCAACTACTATTTCTCGGCGAGAAACATGACCTGGACACATCATTGATTTCTTGCGAAAGCCAAAGCTTCCAACAGACGTCATAAGCATCACTTTGACTGACAACGAGAACGAGCATTTAAACATTACGAGAAATTAATAAATATATATGACAACTATTTCAAATAAGAGATATATTTTCCATTACGTCCATCATAGACTTTGTATTAGTGTACATTTTAATAATTCACTGATAAAATTAATAAAATTTTAGAATATTATAAGATAAAATTACGCTATAACACGACTTACAAATTTTTTATATAAAATATAAAATATAATCTAATATGTATAAATTATATAAAAAAGATAACTAACTTTGATATTGTAATCTAAAAAAAAAAGATCATTTAAATTCAGAATACATAAAAATATAAAAATACATCTTTTTAGATTTTTTTTTTTTGAAGCTTCAATTTTGGTTCCTGAACGAAAATGAGCAATCAGCTAAAATTCAACGTTTTCAGCGATTTTCAACACATTACAATTTAAGAGGTTTCGACATAAGTGTCGATCGATTTCTCTTCATGGAATTCTTTCACTCTGACAGACTGACTCCATCGGAACAGTTTTACTGAATAAATCGCATTCTTTTTTTTCTTTTTTTTTCTTTAATTATTTACGTAATTTGAATTGGCCAATATATTATATAACGAAAATACACAAAATGGGTAAATATGTATTAATATATTAATTTACTAATAAATGTATTAACTTTACTAATAATTTCCGCTTGTTACGTTTGCCCAAATGCGTTGGTAACTAAAGCAATAACGGTTTGATATTTCAAACTTCAAGGAAATTTAAATTTGCGTGTGAACAATTAATCTAGCAATTATTTTAAAATGTTTTATATTTTGAACGTTCATACAGAACTTACGAGTTTCATTTAATCATGCAAATTCTAATTCCTCTCACGCTGTTTTAGACATTTACATTTTCAAAAGATACACCAACACTCTGCAGCAAGTTCTCAATTTAAATTTCTACAATTTTATGAGTTATCTGATCTTGACTGTAACATAATAAAAGATAAAGGAGACATTACATAAGTTGATATCTGCATAATAAGAATTGCATTACATAGATACATATTTGCTTATTGAACTATGTACATATGTACATACATATGTACATACCTATATGAAAACATATATTACACATATATGTATAAGCATACGTATATGTTTCGCGATAAAGCTTATACATCCAAATTTTATTTCAATGTAAATTAAACAATATTAATAAATAATGCGATACACGCATAATATAATGCAGTAACTACGTCACGATTAAAAACATGTATTAAAAGTTGAATATTGATAAAAAAAAAAGAATGAGTAAACATGTTTGAAAATGTTGTAAGGAACATCTCAAGCACGGAGATAAACAATTTATCGATTAAATACGCATCAATTAGGTTTTATCAGTTAAGCATTAAATGATAATGTCTACATAAACAACACACGTTAAATATGGATGAAACAATAAAGTAGGTTAGTTAGACAACAACCGTATCACCTGAAACTATATGTTAGAAAGGTTAGATCTTAATTCGTAAAATCGAGATCTTACTTCGCGAGATTTTAATTTCAGCCACTTACATTTCATGGAAAACATTTCTCAATTAAGGAAAAGTATCCAATTAAAATCATCGACAATCAATCAATTCTTCGAACATTTCGTCAAAAGTCAATACGTTCGAATAAACAACAAAGAACGGAAAACAATGTGAATGATGGTAGACTAATTGTTATCAGCAAGTTATAGTTTCAAAGTAGTTGGTGAAATTTCGGAATGACAGCCAACCGGAAATTCAGCAGAAGACATACTCACCGATTGAAAATGGAGAGTGGTCGCTCGCAATATCCCGTTGACAAAAAGCAATTTTTATCATCGAAAGCGACAGCAGTGGCGACGTTGGAAGAAGCTCAATCTCAAACTGGCAGTATTACTAGCATTATACCCGGGAGATTTCGTTTTCACCGAGGATCTCGAGAGATAAAAGAGAACTCTCGATCACGGTCCACGGGTAGTACCGTCGTTCACTTACGTCACAAGTCACACACCAATCACAATGGCCTGTATCAACGAAAGAAAGAGAAAGATATAAATATAAATATTTCTGAGCGGCGATGTTCTTTGTTTAAACGTTTAAATGATATAAATTGAAGTAGTTATTGATATGTAATATTTGTAAATAGATTGACATGCATTGTATACAATGTCAATAGAAACAAATTTTAGCGTATGCATAAATAAAATATATCCCTGAACGTTCGAGCATTGTCAAATTAGATATTAATGGAATATTCTTAAGACTGTTAAGATATTATGAACAAATATATTTTATATATATGAACAAATGAAATCTTGATTTTAAAATTTAAAAAAACTGCTGTACCAAATTTATTCGTTTCATTCGTTTTTGAATTTTAAAAACTATGCTGGAATTGTATTGATATTGAAATGTTCTATAAACAATGGTATACTTAATGATAAAAATTTCTGAAAATCTTTTTAATTATCAAATTGACTATATTTTTTTCAGCAATTTTATAAAAGTACAATAAAGAAATCAACTAAATTTAAATCGTGTTATTCTCTAAAGATGGCAGCATAATCGCAATTTAAAATGTTCAGACTAGAAAAAAATGAGAGCAACATAAAATTTATTTTGAATAACATTTGTTTGTCTGTTTCGGTAAATGTTGTTCATTTGAGTTCTTTAAATAGCAGTGCTATTACTTATATTTTGTATCTTTTAACGTGTAAAAAATTTTCTATATTTTAAAATATTCAAGACGTGTCAAATATCTAACCCTGTTTTCTATGGAGTGAAAGAAATTTAGACCTCAAATTACTACAAATTTAGTTTTTTCTTAATATTGTTAAATTGTTAAACAAAACGTGAATAAGTAATGGAAGTTATCCAATTAGGAAGTTCGTCTGATGATGATAATGATTTGTATTTAAATTCTGTTATTAAGCTGAAAGGTACATAATACAAATATAGTAAATAATGTATCTTATTTAATTTGTGGTGTAAAACTCAAATAGATAATCTAATTGAAATATTATGTATAGCCTTGAAACAAAAGCGAATGTCCCCACAACAGAATGAACTAGAGAATGAAGAGAACGACAAAAAGAATAAAGAATTATGCACATGTGATAAGTATGAGTTCATTAAAAAAATTAATTTTTATAGAATTTTGTAATTTTAAAGTTTTATATGTCGTTAATATCCTTCTGCTGTGATCTATATTAACTAAAAATAAAATTTGCTACTATCTTACAGAATTAAGAAAGTGCAACATAACAAAACTGTACCAAAACAAAAAACAAGGAATAAAAGATCTACGCGTCGATCAGTGAGACAAAGACAAGTAAATCAACTTACAAATACCACATATATCTAAAGACAATTATTTTTTTGATTAGTAATTCTTGAAATTATTAATCTAATCAATTGAAATCATTGCAATTTGTTTTAGAGAAGAAATGCATCAGAAACAGATTCAGATCTAGAAATTGTTTCTGTAGAAGAACAATCAAAATCGCCCGAAAATGATATATTGATAATTGAAAATAATATACAGGAAGATCCATATTCTAACGAGATTGAAAATTATGAAATAAATATTAAAATTCTCTGGCGATCAAAGGACGTACATCGTTTAAATATTTGTAGAGTACGTAATCATAATATAATTATATATATTTCATAATTTATAATCATGTACATTTTAAAATTTATATACAGTATAGTTATTAAGTACTTCCAAAACCACTAATTCTATCCATTTTAAAAATTTACAATATTTTTAGAATGAAAACTTCCAACAAATTTTTGAGTATTTTGCTAATTTAGAACAAGTTTCAGTGGATGAAATTTTAATAACAAAAGGAGATAAAACTATTAAAAAGAATGATACTCCAGCTTCAATAAATTTGTCTGTAATAGACATACTCGGTACATTAATTATTATTATTTTGATTTTTTTTGTAAAATCCTAGTTTAATATTTTCTCCAAATAAAAATTAAAAATTATATTTACAGAGGGAGGTATTGTTAAGAAAAATAATACTACACTTCAAAAAACTATAAACAATGAAGACACTTGTATAATAAAAATACAAACAACAAGCAAGAAAAGTCTAATTGTTTCTGTCAAACGAAATGAACATTTCAAAAGGTTATTAGAAAAATGTGTTGAAGAATTTAATGTTGAAGAATCAAAAATTAAACTGTATTTTGATGGAGAATTAATTGAAGCTACAAATACACCTGATTCATTAGAAATAGACGATGAAGCCTGTTTTGATCTTCAATTATCTTCTTAGTTCATAGAGTTAGTCCTATTTATAAAAGATAGATTTGATAAATAATATAATTTATATCTGTTTCTAATTAATTATTTGTTCCATGTAAAAGAAATTACCAAATTGATCAATTTATAAACTTTTTTGAAAATACATAAAATATTAATTAATAGTTTCTATGTAAGAAAAGAAATACATAATACAAAAAATATAAAAATTAGTTATAATGTGTATTGAAAATGTAAACTTGATGCCTGTTAAAGTAAATATAATAAACTTGTATGTTCAACCAAAATTAATTTACGTTAAAATTAACGGATCTCCTTCAGTAGGTGGTAATTCTTCAGTTTCTTGCGCTTCCACAACACTACTACTAATTATATTTCCCTCGGCATCAGTTTCATCAATTGTTATCAAAATATTTGGTATTACTGGCATAGATTTTCCTTCGTCATCTCCTGACTTTCCTTGCTCTTCATTATCTTCATCTTCTTCGTTCTCATTTGAATCTTCAAAAACCTAATAAATTACATAACGTTTTTATCTGTATCAATTTTTTTTATACATATTTTATAAACTTTACTCCAAAGAAAGATATTACTTCAATTTTAGGCACACTGGCATCTTTATTTAATTTTATTTTGAATTTTCTATTTTGCAACTTTGACTGATTGATAGAAGGATTTGTTTCTTCTTCAACTGCTTCATATCTGACCATTTGTAATCTATAACATCCATCTTCATCATGGCTATATTGAAATCTTGTATGACCACTGGGTAATTGCAATTGATGTGTTTCAATTAAATGTTTCGTTAATCTATAACTTTTTCTATATTTTACAGGGCATTCATGACAGCAATACCATCTCACTTGCATAGTATGAACTCGTTCTATATGCCTTATCATGAAAGAAATGAAACTTTTTAAGAACAATCAAAATGAAATATCTTAATTATAAGTTTTATTAATTTAATTTCTAAATAATTTTTAAAATTTATTCAGGTACCTATCAAGAGTGTATGCGCCTTTGCATTTATATTGGCATCCTTCAAAATGACATGAAAAATTAGGTCCCTTTGTATGAACTGTCATGTGTGTATCTAGATCCTGTTGAGATTTGGCAGCATGGTTGCAAAGTTGACAAGGAAAGCTTCTAGTAGAAACATGCCGATATCTAACATGTTTAGCTAAATTGGCAGGTGATTCACAACTCATATCACAAAGAGTGCATTTGTAATTAAAAACATGCATTCGCATATGATCCTTCAAAATTCCCTCAGTTGGATAAAATTTATTGCAATGGGAGCATTGGAATCCTTGAACTAACATAAAAATTAAGAATACTATTTATTTATATACTAAATTTTTAACCAATTTTTAAATTGTGCAAATAATTCAATGATTTCCTATAATCAAAAATGCTATATATATATATATATATATTACATTTATAAACGTTAAAAGACAATATATATATATATAATATTTGAATATACTGTGATATTTATAAATAAATGAAAATTTTTTTCATCTTACCATCAATTGGAATCTGTCGTTTGCAATGTATATGAAATTTTGTATTGGAAGCAAATGTAGCACCACAATCAGGACAAGCAACAATCTTTTCCTTTGTATGATGTCGTATATGATTCCTCAATTTGTACAAATTAGGGTAAGAGTTATCACAACCTGTCCATTTACATTTTACACCTCCTTCAATTTTATTACCCCTTGGACCTTCCTCAATATGAGCAGCTACATGATATAAATATAATTGATAATTCCTAAAGTATTTCAAACATTCCTCCCAACGGCAAAGAAGTGGTGCTGGAAGATCCACAACATTTTTCCATTCGGAGTCCCTATGACATTTCTAAAATATAATTAAAATTTAAAATTTGGTAGTGTATATGTACATCAATATCCTTATTTAATTTCTAAACTATATAAAACTGAAACAATTTTTTATTAAAATACTATGATTTAAATAAAATTAATTAATATTTACAGCAATAAAATAAAGTAAATTTTTTAATTGTATTATAATTATTCTGTGAATATAGTTTATAATATAGTTTTTTCACAATTTATTGCTAATGGATAATTTCTTACAGGTAATTTAATTCTAGACCGAATATTTGATCCAATACATTTTAATTTAGTGTGATAGGCATGTAAATTAACGTGTCTAGAGATCTCGTCGGGTTCGTCACTCTCGTACAAACAATCAGTCCACTGGCATATATAAACACTGACTTCTTTCTCATTGGTCCGCGTATTTAAATCAGACACATGTGAAGCCACGTGATTTACGAATCTCTCAACGTGATTGGTTTCGTGTTTGCAGCCGGACCATTCGCAGGACAAATGAAAAACTTCACGTTTCAGCGGGAAACCAACTCTTCTCTTCGTTCCGCACTCTGACACGGAATCAAATTCAGAATCAGTATTATAACTATCATCGTCATCTATTTGCTTTCTTTTACATTGTGTCTCGTCCGTGTACGTGAAATCTTTTTGCGATTCTACCCATTCGTTACAACGTTTCTGCACGTCTTTACTACTTATTAGTTTTTTCCCAAACTCTGTCATTTTATTAATTTAAAATTTATATTTCAATACTCTTCGATCATGAATTTCCGTCGTGTAATACGTACAACTTTCATTTATTCATTACCTAAGTTAAGAATTTGTGAAAAATTTATCGTTAAGGGCTAAACATTTCCTTAATTTAAACAAACTTAATACTTTAAGGCGCAATCTTGTATTGTCAATATTTTTTTTAAAACTTAACACTTAATATTTTGATTAAAAACCGAACTGTTTCTAACTGATTATTGACTTCCATGTTACGTTTCTCTCATCAATGATCATGCTCGATACTTGTTCTTAAATACCTAACCTGAGTTTAACCTAATGCAGAACAATTGTGTAAATAAAGCATCGTGTTAGATTTATAAAAGTTATTATTGTTATATGTCGAATACACAAATGTTACGAATACTTTTAAATAAAAGTACTTGGAAGTTAACCAATAGTTCGGAGGAAATGAGATACACAGTTTTTACTCCATTAATTTTACTACGAAGGCACTTCACAGAACATGGATCTTCTACAATTTACGCACTTTCTTCTGGTTGCTATTTCTACATTTTCTTCTGTCTATATTTTTATTCATTAGTCGAATTTTTATAAAATTAACATACAATGCGTAATTTTAACTTGGTAGCTACTTTGACACTGCTTTTCACGAGACGAGACATTCAGCATTCCGCCAATTTTAACTGCGCATGCGTGTCGCAATCAAGTTTAAACATATAAGAATCATTAATTTCAATTAAATGAAATTATCAATTATGATCTAAAATATAATATAACTAAAAAGACATTAATTACAAATAAATAACATAGATTCGTTATTTTTGTTATTTATATTTATATTTTTGCTTAATTAAACAAATTATTGTTTAAAATTATATGTACAACTTACGGATATTATAAAAATAATTCTATTTCATTTTATTTATTAATTTATTTAATTTATTAAATGACAAATACTTCTTTGTATTAAAGGATATGGCAAATGTGGGGTAGCAGTAATACGTGTATCTGGACCAAAAGCATTAGTAGCTTTACAAAAAATGACAAAAATATCTAGTCTAAAACCTAGAATAGCATTCTTAAGAAAAATTTATGATCCTGAAACAAAAGAAGTTTTAGATAAAGGTCTATGTCTTTGGTTTCCAGGTAATATATTTTAGAATATAGTTTAAAAAGATGAATTATATATATAGAATGAATATAAAAAACACATAGTATTAAAAAATAAAGTTATGTATAGAGTTGTGTATTCAATGAGTAATGAATTTCAGGACCTAACTCATTTACTGGAGAAGATTCTGCAGAATTCCATGTTCATGGTGGGCCAGCAGTGGTGACGTCGGTTCTAAATGCGCTTTCAAAACTACGTTTTCAGTTAGCGCTTCCAGGAGAATTCACGAAAAGAGCATTTTTAAATGGAAAAATAGATTTGACCGAAGCAGAAGGTATAGGAGATTTAATTGAAGCAGAAACGGAAAAACAACGTAAACAGGTAAAAATGTAACTATATTATATTATTGAGAAATAATATTCTTGAATTATCTTACATTATATTATATTATTGAGAAATAATATTCTTGAATTATCTTACATTATTAGAATATACTATGTTGCAACATTTCCTCTTAAAATGCCAATAGGCCACTAATCAAGCAAATGGATCCCTTCGTCATCTTTATGATTCTTGGCGTATCGTTTTGTTGAATGTACTTGCCAATTTGGAAGCTTATGTTGATTTTTCTGAAGAGCACAGTGTAACTTCTAATATTTTAAAAGATGCTAAAACTACTGTGCAAAAATTATCTACAGAAATTCTACAACATCTGTCTGATGGTAGAAAAGGAGAAATTTTACGCACTGGAGTACATGTAACAATTCTTGGAGAACCAAATGTAGGGAAAAGCAGTCTGTTAAATCTTCTTTCAAGAAAAGATGCAGCAATTGTTACCTCTTCGCCAGGAACAACAAGAGATGTTATAGAGTTAACAACAAATATTTGTGGATATCCAATGATTCTTGCAGATACTGCAGGAATTAGAAATAATCCAGAAAATGAAATAGAAGTAGAAGGTATTAGAAAAGCGAAAAAATATTCAAAAGAAGCAGATTTTGTTATATGTGTAATTAGTGCAGAAAATAAAATAAAAATTTCTTTAGAAATATTTCTAAGACAATACAAGAATTATTTAGAAATAGACAAAAAAAGAGTTCTTACAGTATTGAATAAAGTAGATTTGCTTAAAGAAGAAGAAAAAAAAAATTGGAGAAAGCAAAATGTTATTCCTATATCATGTAAAACACAAGAAGGTTTAAAAGAACTAACAAACGCATTAGGAGAATGTTTCAGGGAAATGTGAATATTTTATTTATAATAATGAAAATCAAGAAATACTGTACAAATAAATATATATATATATATTTATTTGTACAGTTATTTATATATATATATATAACTATTATTAATCTATTGTTTTTAATTTCAGATGTGGAGATCCATGTACAGAAAACCCTGTTCTTAGTCATGCACGATATAGAAATCATTTATTACATGTTTCAGATTATCTTGAACTCTATTTACAAAAAACTACAGTACCAAATTATGATATGGCTATATCCTTACAGGATATTAGAAATGCGGCAAGAGAACTTGGCAAAATAACTGGTTCTATTAATAATGAAGAAGTTTTAGACATTATTTTTAAAAATTTTTGTATAGGAAAATAAAAATCTACTTAAAAATCAATGTTTCTAGTTGTGCTTATTATAGTAATCCAATTGCAAATTGTTTTATGATAAAAATTATTTATTTAAACATATGTAACACATCCATAGTAAAAATTAAAAGAAAATCCTATTAAAAGTATAATGGTCAATCTTCAGTTTTCTTTTCTTGTTCTGTTCCCAAATGAGCCATATTTACCTCATCTATATTTATATTTTGATCTTTCATAGCTTGCTGAAACATAATTATATGGTATAATAATATAGTATGTATTTTAAACGTGAAAATAATTGTTTTATAATGAAATATTATTTTAATGTTCCATAATCTTTCAAGGAATCTATAAAAAGCAATATATAAGACTCAAATACAATAATGTTATAGTAAGTAATAATGTTCCATAATGTTTCAAGGAATCTATAAAAAGCAATATATAAGACTCAAATACAATTTATTTCATCAAACTCCAAAAGTAAGGGATTAATGGTAACGATGTAATTTTTTAAATTATTGAGATTCCAATAAAAGTTACATTTTCAAATTTTTACGTTGACTTTAAATTAAAAGTTTATGATTCTGACATGCAAATTTCAGGTCAGTACAGAATCATAAATGTTTCAAGTGATTTCTTTTTAATTATTTAATCTTTTCATTTTCGAGGAGAAACAATAGCAAGTCAACAAAGGTTAGGTTAGAAATTTAAAAATAAAATTTTTTACATTTATTAACTTACCGCTACACATTCAGTGTAAACTTTAAGTAACGATGCGCATTCACTATCATCATAAATTCCACGCAAAAATTTCTCGGAGAACCAATTATTAAAACAACGATCGTACTTTGCTTTCAATTCTTTACAAGCCTCCATAATATATTGTTATACGTTAATTAATACATCATTCAGCAATTAATAAATCATCGCCAATTAATTATAACAATTTTCGTTTAGTTATTAATACAGAAAAAGACAGAAATTGATGTGAAATCCGTATGTTCCAGTTGCACATGCTTTAATTCATTATTACTGTGTAGAACACACACTACTTTGTCTCATACATTTTTAAAGATCTGATTTCGAAAAGAAGTAAATACACGAAAAGTAAATACAATCACGTGTTACGAACAATTATCTTGGATTTCAGTTCGTTAAATGTATGCAGAATCAAAAGTTTATTTTTCACAAAAATTTGCAAAAAAAATAATCTCCAAGAAATCGCTTTATCTCACTCATAATATTTCAATGTTATAATCTCAAAAAAGAAAAAAAAAAAATGAATTTAAGAAGGCAATTCGATTACCTGCAGACACTGATTATATAATTTGAAGTGATTTGAGCACATTGAATCGTCTAAATCACCTTTAAGGAATTTTTCGGAAAACCAAAGCTTAAAACACCCATCATATTCCCTTTTAAGATTATTACAAGTTTCTGCGATACTGTTCATTTAATTTTCCAATTTATTACTGATATTAAAATGAAACTTTGGATACGATAGTTCCTCTTGATTTTTTTTTTCAAGACTTAATAATACCTATAAAAAAATATAATTTTTAATTTATTGGTTATAAATGAAATTAACGTAAGCCAATTGAAATTGATTTATATCAACTGTTCCCAGCTTAAATTATGATATATTATCGAACTCTGTAAAATTTAATATCGATTAGAATCGATTAATCGAACTTGTTTGTTCGGAGTTATTTCGTCATATATTGAAGTATTATATTTTTAAGATTTATCAAATTTGTTGATATCAACACCATTACGATTTAATATTTTAAAATAAATCTTCTTAACTGAATAGAGTAACTTACGCCAAAGTACTTTTTAGAATTGAAAATTAGCAAACTTCAATAATCGAAAAATACGAGAACTATACATTTCGTCACGTTGTACATAATATTAGGTTAATTGGTTACTGGTTCTCAACTTGCTTTTTCATAGAATGTACCAAGTTGTTATAAATTCATAGCTCGTATAAGGAATTTATAAACAAATATTTGATACAATTTAACAATTGTTTACAATTGTATTTATTACGTTTATTATTATTTTTCATAAAATAAAATTTGTTCCTGCAATATAATAATAGTAATTATAAAGAATATATTGTATAAAAATTTAAATACAAGGGAGAATACTTTTTTTTTATTTGTTGTTTCAACAAAATTAATCAAACATTCATAGTTTTTACTGTAAAACTGATACATTATAAATTGTTAGTGCATAAAATTATACTAAAAGTAACTTTATCGGTAAAATAATATTGTTTAATATATCTTATTAAGCTACTACAATCAAATTAAATAAATGATAATTATATTAAAGTGATTTGAGACCTAAGAGAAAGAGATATTTTATAAATAATAGAAATTGAAAAATTGTATTTAATTATTTGTAAATTAACTTTGTTAATTATTTAATTATATTATAACAACAATTGTAATATGTCAATTGGAACTTGCATTGTTTGATCATCTACCAAAACAATATCAAATTTTTCCATAAATGAATCCAAACTACTTTCAATCTGTAAAAAATCAAAATTTTTATTCAATTCATAATCCTTTTCAAAAGTTCTGATATACTATAGAATATACAGCAATTGTTTGTCATAATTTATAATGCAATATATAATACTTACATTGTCATAAAGAAAACCAATTTTCAGTACAGCACATGTATTCATCATTCCATCAACCATTGACGCATCGCCTATATTATCACCCATTAAAAGGACATTTTTCCTTCCTTCAAGAAATTTAAAATAATCTTGTTCTATTGCATGTTTGTTTTTATTAAAAACATGAATTAGTCTTTCATTCTGAAAACCTGCTAGTTTTCCATCTTCATATTTGAGAAAATTTGAAATTATCTAAAATAAAAAAATTCGAAATATTATTACTATTATTATTTATACTAATAACATTATTACTATTTTTTTCATTACTATTACAAATACAAAAACAGTTAAGATTGTAAATTTAAAGAAAAATTATATGTTTAAAAAATTGTTACCTTTACATTATCAAAGAGAATACTCTGACTTTTTAAAATAGCTTCAACAATATCGCCTAAACCAGCACTAAAAACTAGAACTGGTACTTTAGCAAGATGCAATTTTTTTAAAAGTTCTTTAGTACCATCCCTTAAATACATTTCATACATGTTGCTTATTTCTGGTATTTCATTAGGATTAAAAGGTATCCCTTTCAGTATTTCCTCTGCTGCTATCATCCATTCTGTCATTGCCTCTGTTTTTATTTCAACTGATAAATTAGGATCTATTTCAATTGGCCTATATTTTTGATAAAGACGACTTGATTCCTTTGCGTATGTTTCTGGAAGTTGCTTGCACTTACTAAAGATTCCTGTTTTTTTCAAAATAACAAAGAAATAATTAAAGCTTAGTATGTGATTGCAATAAAATAATATAAGTTTACATACCAAAACTACTGAGAACCTTTTTTCCATTGACATGCTGTTTAGTTAATGTTAAATCGAAATCAGTAACTATCTGAAATTTTTTAATAATTTTAAGACTAACGGAATTTATGTTGAAGAGAGAAATTTAGGCATATAAATAAACTGTAGGCCAATAGTATTAATGAAATGAAAAAGTATTTAAAAAATTTATACCTGTAATGAATTAGACCCATCTTTCAACATTGTATTTATTGTTCTTAATAAATGTTTCTTGTCTTTAATATGGACATGCTTTAGTTTCAGTGTTGGGAACTATATTAGAAAGAAAATTTGAAGAATTACATTTAAATAGTATAATCATATCATATATATGAAATGTATAAACAAATTATTATCAGAAATATATTTTTATTCTTAAATTATTAATATTAGAATAAATTATTGTTGAAACTTATCTTACCATATTTTTATAAATATTTCTCTACAATTTACAAATTTTTTTGTTTATTTTAAAAAAGAATTGGAAAAAAATTTTGTTAATAAAGGAAAACTTCTTAAAAAATACAGTTGACATTATTTATTTCGTAATATTACATATACTTTGATATAATTGAAAAATGATATAAAGAAGTTCCAATTATTAATCATTTTGAACACATGAGTTTCATTTAACATAAATATAATGGTATAAATATAAATGGTAGAGTTAAAAAAAATGTATTACATATAAATTATAATAATAATCACTGGAATTCAATTCTATAAATGTTAAGCATACAATAAACTTAGTATTAAATAGGTTAGGTCATTAAAACTTTTAATGATTTTCGTTTTAAATTTGATTACAGTTTAATAATTTGTCAAATTTAAATATTGTTAAACTGCGAGTAAATTCATTTCTGAAAATGCATAACGTTTAATAAATTTTGTTATGTAAAAATTTAATGTTGAATATATATATATATATATATAGTACATCTACATATTTTTCAAGCTTCTTGTCTACTAATATAATTAGATACAATAAAATGACGTGTATAAATTCAAATTTAAGATTTAATTAGTTTTTATTATTTATTTATTATTTTTTAGTTTATTTTTAACACTAAAGAAATTACTAATATATAAAAATAATCAATGTTACAAAAAAATGGTGAATATATTTATTTTATTTATTAATTAAATGCATACAGAGATTAATATTTTTGCTGGTATTATATACTATTATAGAAAATATGATTTAGACGTTAATGTTGTTAGACATAAATAAAGATCGTCCGTATTTGTTAATTTCTATTGACTATTGATATATATAATTTATATTGTTTTATATATTATCGTATATTGTATATTGTTCTTATCGTATATTGTTCTTATTATATAATTTTATAATAGCACTTCAGGGTATTTTTATATTCTTTGTTTTTTAAATAAATTACAGAATTCTAAAGAATTGGAAAATTGATATTTGACATAAAATATATTACAAAAATATAAAAGCGAAATGTATATTTGCTCAATTAGATCTTCTATTACTTTTATTTTATAAATTCAAATAATCATGTAAATTAATTAACGATTACAATTAAAATATGTTGGATGACTAACAACAGAAAAAAATATTTAATTAAATTAAGGTTATGATTCAAGACAATAGGCGCCAAAATGTTTAAATAGCACAAGGTCAAATCCGATTGGCCAAAAGGAAAAACCGCGAGAAATTTAAATTACTTACATCATCCAGGTCTATTTCGGAAGTCATGCTCTTTCCTTGCGCGACGAGAACGGAGTCTTTGTGTTCAGCAACCTAACTGTTTCCGTGGCGCTGAAGAGCCGCCACGGAGCCAATCAACCAATCAGCTACAACACGTGACCAATGTATCTGTCACGTGACTATATCTTTCTTTGTTAAGCATGAGCAGCGGTGAGGACGACGGTTTTGGACGACAAATTTAGAAGATATAAATTCGAGTAATTTCATAATCTTTATTGAAACTCAAATAATGCCTATAAAAAAGGGAAATGAAGGTATAAAAGTTTACTCTTTTCTTATGAAGAAGAATATTTAATGATATCTACAGGCAATAATATCAATTTATGTATGTATTAGATTAAACACATCATACTTCGTAGTTATTCTTAAAATATTAACATTATACGAACAAATCAATATATCTTACATATATATATATTTTTTTTTTATTACATTAAACACGTGTATTTATTCAGTGTAATTGGATAATATTATTATCCTTACAACTATTACTGATATAAAATTTAACATCGAAAATAAAAAAATCTTTTACAGTTAGGGAGATTTTGAGCTACCATTGTAAAGATTTAATTGCAGAGTGATAACTTGGACTATGCTGCGAATAAAATTGGGCATACCACCTGCGATAAGCGAGTATGCTTTTATCTTCTTTGACCAAAAGTGGTCGTTTCTCGAACTTTTTTCGATTCCAAATAGCTACATCTCTTTCGAACATTAAACACTCTGCTAGGAATAACAGACTAGCGTATGGAGCAAGCAGTGGCGGAGAGTATAATATGTGGGTTACCTGGTAATATAAATAATAATTATAAAAAAAAACAAAATGTTTCTCGTTACTATACACAAATCAATGATTATCAACAACAAATATTTATTATTGAAACTTAAATTTTTTTTAGAGAATGAGAATTTTCTTCGAAGAGAAATTGATTCTTCTTACAGATCGTATGTCATTAAAAAAGAGAAAGTAACGAGGAAAAGATTCAACGAAATGTATATTTGAAACTTTAAATTAGAACCTTTTGTAAGAGGGGTTCCATTGGCGTTACTGTCTGAAAAATGCACATGGACCCTAAAGAACTGTGCATCATGAGTTCAACGTATCCCGGGCCGATTTGTTGAACGTTCACATCCAATTGCAAAACCTCAAATCTCTCGAATAGGACCAGGCGGTGTCTTAAAGTCATGTATGCTCTATGTCTTAAATTTTCATTGTCCTGTCTTTCTGATTCTGTTCGTTTGGAGTTCAAGGATTCTAAGAAAGACTTATGCGGTGTCCAATTAACATTTGTCCACGAATGACGAGCGAAAGCAGAAAAAAAGTGTGCAATTTTCGTGAATATCAGCGGACCATGCACTGCGCTGAGATGTGCCGAATCTGCACCATTCTCTGCAACTTCCTAAAAAATGTGATATTTATATTATAATGTTAGCCCTAATTCCAATTTTACACATACGGAACTAAAAGAATAGAACTAAGTTCATTAGCAGTTGAAATTTGTTTTATCCACTAACGTAACGATGTTTTGCATTTTTTTGCATATAATGCGCATTCTGTGCATTATTACGTTCTTAAATTTCTTACGAATGCTTAAAAGTCCACAGTTTAGTGATGATACATGTATAGATATATATATAGTTACGAATTTCTTACCTGTTCAAACCCAAAACACCGATCATCGTTCTTAGGATCTGTCATGGAGGCTGCAATCAAGGAGTCCAAAATCCATTTCTTATTTCAAATATCCGTCGGCTTTACTTAACACATATCTAGAAAAGGAAAAACAAAAAGCAGAGCACTAAAAGATCGCCGTCGATCTAAACGTTAATGGCCACTTGGTTTCCTTGATTTTAGTTTCCATGATCGATTTATTATATTGTCCTTATCTTGATCATTTCTAAATTATCTCTTTTTACAGAAGCATATTCAGGGCTATTCAAGCTTTAAATTTTTGAGAAGCAAAAAATTTTATCAACGTCCACTCGTCTTGTTACACGAATAAATAGAAAATGAAATTTATGTATAAATTGATTAAATTTACCTGTATATGACAATTGATAAGAAATTCATTTCGACCTTGATAACGCCATGTTCGATTTGAGACATGACTGTTTGTTTGTGGCTGCCAATGTGGTTCTAATTCCTCAGCATGGTACCAAACAAAAATAATTTCGTTTGCCTCGCAACTTTTCCAAGTTTTCGTTCTGGCAACGTGTGGCACTGAAATCAGGTAAACAGTATAATTAATTATTAAAAAGCAATTGTATATCATTAATATTAATGGACATTCGTTAAAATATTTATTGCATTTATAAACAGGCAACAATTAATCGAATAAAGCTGTAAATTGAGTCACCTTTGTCAGCATATGGAATGTAATCGCACTGTCCATCGGAACCACGAAATTGCCAACCATGAAAGGGACATTCTAAACAATCACCCTTTACACGACCACCTTCTGCCATATTTGCACCCAAATGAGGGCAGTAAGCATCCAAAATTCTTACCGTTCCGTTATTTGTTCTTTAAATGAATTATTAAATATTTTTACTATAAATATTCGTAATGAATATAAATATCAACAGATTAAGCTTTTGATAATTTTTTCAAATCTGTTTTAATATATAGATTAATTTATTAAAATACCTAAAAACAGCAAAATTTTGTCCAAGAGCAGCCACATGTTTTACTTGACCTTTTCCTAATTGGGAACTTTCTAACAGGGCAAACCATCCGTTTGGATAAACTGGAGGAAGTTTCCCCAATTTGCGTTTCTTAGATTCCAAATGATTCGCTAAAACTGTTTTGTTGTCACCTTCTAGTCTTAAATCCTAAAAGAAAAATCAATTATTTTTGAAGCCTTCAAAATAAAAATAATAAAAAGTAATAGTATGCAAATTGTAGTAATAATAATTTTTTATAATAAAATAATAATGAAATAGTAATAAATTTTTAACAAATGAAAATTCGATAAAAAATAATTATTTTTAAAATTCCAGATTAAGAAATGCATAGACATATATTTCATTTTGAAATGAAAACTTTGAATTGAAACATATCACGTTTCCCTTTTAAGAATGGAAAGAATCGCTGATACGATGAAAAAGAATTCTTCTAGTTTTACAACGTCACACGCAAAGAGAAATCTGCCTCCTCATTTGTAAACATAATGTCACCGTGATGGCTCTGTTCGCACCCGTAAGTTGCTTTATCATTATTTATGCACCCGTCAAAGCTTTATGAATTAGTCCAATAGAAATAGAAAAAAGTATGAGCATCGATAAATTTGTATAAATCTTTTTTGCTATTTTTACATTTTTGAGGACTAAATATTAATATGTTAACATATTATTTATAAGTATTTTTTCTTTAATATATAGGTAATATTTAATAATATCTATCTCTTTTATTTTTTTTTTTAAATTATAGAGAGAAAAATATTTAATAATAGCTAAAACATTATGGTACTATATAACTTTAAAGTCTCAATTCAAATTTAATAAAAAATGCAATTCAAAGTTACGAGTTATTTCTTCCTGCGCAGTCAAAAAATTTTTCTTTTCTTACATTGCTATAGGTGTATAAAATATAACTATACCAGTTGCTATTATTTAATATCAAATGAATATTAATTATATTTTATAAATAATTATCATAGATTAATGATATTTTATTTCAATAATTTAACAAATTACTATAATTGCATTTACTTTCAAATTTCTTCTATAAGTAGAAAATATTGATCAGTTTGAATTTGAAGAATCGCGAAGAGGAAAGTAAAAGATACGATATAAGTAGGTAAACCGGGCAATGGTATCGAAGAAGACTCACCTTGATCCAGTTGATCTTGTACAAATAGGAAACAAGGATACCAAAAAGTAAAAGAAAAGCACCACCGAAGCTCCACCATCCGGCCATCGTTGTCTTCTTCACCCTCTGCCCCCGAACGAAGAAAAGCAAGTGCACTCTAAAAACTTGTCCCTCTGGAACACCTTCGAACCACCTCTCTTATTCCTCTTTGGTCTCACTCCTCCTCTTTCTCTCTATCTTTTCTCCTTTCCTTTTCCGATCACTCTCGACCTCTTCTCTTTTTCCTCCTTTCCTTCTTCCTCTTCTCTTGCCTTCTTTCTCAGCACTTCGTTTCCCTCTTCTTTTCCTTCTTTCTTCCCTCACCACTCTTTCTTCCTTCTTTTATCACTCTCCCTTTATCTTTCTTCTTCCTTCCTTCCTTTTTCCCTCTTGCTCTACCTTTTCTCCCTTCTTTCTTTTCTTCCTCTTCCACTATTCCTGCTCTTCCTTATGTTGCTCTTTTTTGCCCCCTCTTTTAATATTTTTCTACACCTGTTCCATATACTTGTCTTTCAAACTTTATTATTTTTTCGATCCCTCGCTCCTGCATTTGTAATTTCTTTCGTCCAGAGCTACTCGATTTTGGTGGAACTGATAGGAACAAGATATCACTTCTGTTGATTCTATTACACTTGATTTTCTCGTTGTTTGTTATCTTTAATTCTTCTTATTTATGCAAATTTTATTTCTTCCTTTCCATGTATTTCTTTCGTTAACAGTTTTTTAACTCTTTTTTCTACAGCTTGTTACTCGTTGCGTTCTCTTAGTCAAACACGCCAGTATAGTTAGCTTTATTTGATCCAAATTGTTATCCTTCGATCTTAAAGTATAGTAGCTATAACAGATAATTTTGAAAGATATTCACGATAGATCGTTAGAATCAGAGATAGAGAAGCGTAAAGAAAGGTCTAACCAAACGGATTCCGAACCCTTGATCGTTTTTCGAACGACTGAGCCACATCATCCTTAGACAGAGCCTTTTATACCTTTCCAAGGTGTACTAAGATCCTCAACCGTGTCTATTGCGGAGGATCCATCAATGTTTAATTACCATACACACACATTCACACTTCCAATAGAAAGTCTTTCTTCAAAAAATATTGTTTTATTCATTAATGATTAGTTTTATAAGAACTGTTGAGCATTTATACTATCTATTCTTTAAAATTTGTGTTTCAGAATATCTTGCTCCAATCATTTGCAAATATTGCTCATTTATTATGTCTCTTTTCTTTCTTTCTAATACAAACGTTTGTTTACAAATTCTGTCTATAATAAAAGCGTGCATTTTGCAATTAACAAATCTTCAAATTATATAACTATTAGCAGTAATTTTTAAAATGCTTTGATTGGTAAATTCCCTGGTTTAATAAATTGATATTTACAAAAAAAGATTATTACAAGGCACTTATGAAATGTAATACCCCAATGTATCGTGGCTATTTTTTATTTAAATCTTGAAGAACATTTAACAAAATAAATTGTAATATCTAAAAAAAAAAAAATTCAACGAATGTCGATCGAACGGTCACGTCGGTTACCACATTTTTCCGCTTAGAATTGTGTACAGTCACGACCGATTTCCAAGTCCTTGTTGCATATCTTTTCTTCTATCGTGAATCGTTTTGTTTCTGCTTACCCTCCTTGTCTTTTCTTTTTATTTTATCAATCCTGCCGATCGATTTCCGACTGTTTCTATCTTCGGGCCTACCTTTTTATTTTATCAATCCTACCGATCGATTCCCGACCGTTTCTACCTTTGGTCCTACGCTTTTCCGTATTTATTTCCTTCTCTCGATTCTTTCTCAATTTTTTAGTTTTCTTCCCAATTTTTTAAATTCTTTAATTCTTAATTTTTTAATTCTTTTCAAGTTTTTTAATTTTCTTTGTATCTTTTAGACACTTACGGCCAAGTCACACCGTCACCAGAATTTTCGATAAATCTTCAACTTGAAAAATATTCAGAAACATCATCTGAATTTTAAATTCAGCCATGGAGGATCTAGAATAAATACAAAATTTTATATCGCAGAGAGTTCAAGGACAAATTCATATACAGGGTGTTTCGTAACTTGTGGGACCCACTTCGGCAGCTGATTGTACGCCTAAAAATAATGAAAAAAAGCCATATAAATATATGTCCTATCTGTTTTCGTTTATGAGATACAATGAATTTTATATACAGAGGGAATATACTCTCTGTCCAGCCTCTCTTTCCATAGATCGCAATAGTTCGTAAGCAAAAATTCGCACTATTTACAAATAATACTTACTTGATATCTTTCGTGTGACTATTTAAAGATTCAGCAAATTTCGCAATACTCTCTAAATCAGTTCAATTCTAATAATCGTATACATATCGTGCTTGAAGTAATAATGTAGCGTTATTCTAATTTAGAAATGACAGATATGCATCTGATGTATGGGCTCGCTATGTGTAATGCAAGTAAAGCAAGACGTTTGTACTTGGAATATTTTCCCAATCGGCGTATACCAAACAAGAAAACATTTCAAAGAATACACGAACGTCTACGAGAGACTAGTTGCTTCCAGAGAAGAAGTTCATACACTGGTAGACCGATTGATAAAAATTCTAGATTTGAAGAACGGGTCCTCCATCATGTTGAAAGGAATACTGAAGACAGTACTCAAAGAATAGCAAGAACGGAAAATGCGGCACATGTGACAGTGTGGAGAATTTTGCGAAAATAGCAATTATACCCGTACCATTTTCAGCGAGTACAAGGACTTACTGAAACTGATTTTCAACTTAGGGTGGTTTTTTGTACTTGGTTCCTGCAAATGTGTGAACGTGAAGAGAGTTTTGTATCTACCATACTTTTCACTGATAAAGCTAGTTTTACCAGGGATGGTATGTTCAATTTTCATAATAATCATAATTGGGATGAAAAATCCCACATGTTATTGTGCATTCAAGNACATCAACACCAGTTTAGTTTAAACGTATGGGCAGGAATAATTGATAAATTTTTAATTGGACCTTTTTTTCTTGATGGAAATTAACAGGCACAAAGTACGTTGATTTTTTGAGCACGCGTTTACACGAAATATTCGAGGAAGTTCCAGTCGATATTAGATTATTCGTATGCGGTTTATGCACGATGGAGCTCCGCCGCATTTTAGCCGAGTGGCTAGGCAATTTTTAAATCAACACTTTGCAAATAAATGGATTGGTCGTGGAGGTCCTGTTGCATGGCCTGCTCGTTCTCCGGATTTGAATCCATTAGATTTCCATTTGTGGGGACATTTAAAATCTACTGTATACGCAACATCGATTGAAAATGCTGAAATACTACGAAATAGAATAGATCAAGGCTTCCGACAAATTCGAGAAACATCAGGAATGATAGAGAGAGTAACTAGATCAATGACAAGACGAGTGCAGGCTTGTCTTCAAATACAAGGTGGTCATTTTGAGCATCTTTTGTAAAAGTAATTAAAACAGAAAAGTCATTATATCTCATAAACGAAGACAGATAGAACATATATTTATATGACTTTTTTTCATTATTATGTACAATCAGCTCCCGAAGTGGGTCCCACGAGTTACGAAACACCTGTATAATACAACCAAGCTGCTTTAAACAGTTGTTTCTAACGGAAGAAGTAAATATCAACTCGTGGAATACATTAATACATTATTACAAGATTGTAGGTAAAAATTGTATATTTATAAATATTGATTACATTTTGCATTTTCAATTTGCTGTTATAACATGGAAAAATTTGAATAAGACTGATACATATCCAATGAAATATTTAAAAAAATGTGATTGGTCGTGGCATAATTTTTCAACAAAATTTATAAAAATATATTCTGCAAAAATCATCTGGTCTCTAGGATTGTAGATCAAAGATTCTTATATAAACTTATAAAAAAACTCTTGTCATTAGTTTCTACACATTAACTTTATTTGAAAAATTTTAATGAAATTTTTTTAATCATTGGTTTATGTCAGTACAAATCGAATAAAATCATTACGAGTAGTAATATATTTACTTAAGGTACAATTTGCATGAGTAATAAAAAAAAAAAGATCGAGTAAAGTTAATTGTACAAGTAACTTTTTTTCGTAGGATACATAAGTATATTAAATACTTTACAGAACGTTGAAAGTATTTAATTACATGGATCATACACACTTAATCATACTTAGTCAATTCTTCTCTCGTTGTTCATTAATGTTCGCAAGCAAGGTTTACATCAAGATCGAAAAATCAAATTAATGATAGAGGTAAAAAATTCACTCGTACACACACTCTATTTGAAAATATTAATTACAAATTACATCGATTAATCACACGAATTTACAGATAAGTAATCCCGCAATTGCTTCACTGGATACAATTTCTTCAGATTCTTAGATTAGCATTTTATTGAGTACATATGGTTAAAAACATAATTGTTCGAGAAACTGACACACAATTAAAAATTAGATAATCAATCATCGAACAAATGAATCAATTAATTTTTATAATTCAATCGTTCGGTAATTGTGGACGAGTACAGTTAAATAAACAAATAATGATATCTTAATCTTAAAATTACAATTTGTTAATTTATGAATCAAATAAATAAATAAATGAATTAAACAGATGATTAATTCATTTATATATCGTATCGCGTGACATAATATTTATATATTTACTGTAAGTATACTGTAAGTCATTCGTTGGGAAATTTATAGTACCATGAATAAATTATTAATGTTATTGAAGGCACAATGGTGAAAACCAAAAAGCAGAGAATCAAAGACAAAAAAGTGAAATAAAGAACTAAATATCTTTTTTTTTCAGATTTTGTTTTTTCTTCGTTAAAGTTAAACAAATTCTTCTCTTTTTTTTCTTCTTTTTTTTTTAAGTCAATGATTAACTTAATTTTTAATAAAACTCAACAGTAAAAAAAATTTGTTTTCTACGAAACAATGAACAATGGGGAAAACAGATTTTTTTTAATTAATCATAAAAGAAAATAGAATGTCCGTGTGAAACTTCGTTCAAACATGCATATTTCACGCGAAAAGTACATATAAACCATTTTTACGCACAATTCATTCTTTGATGTCTCATGTGTAAAAATGGAATACTTTTAACATAAAATATGTCCTCTTTTTTTTTTAATCATTCAAACATAAAACAAAAACACAACTCGGATCAACATTAACTTCAATTTTTCAAGCCTGGGTGATTAACATCAACTCAACAGCTGGCAGGTTAACATTAACGAAAACAAGAGAGGACAGAAAACTTAACAAGAACAAAGAGAAACTAAACGACTAAATTTTTTAACAAACAACTAGGAATTTTTATAACGTCGTTTGAAAATCAACAATTGACCAACAAACGAAGAGCAAACATAACGAATCAATTATTTAACAAGAACAATTACTTAATCACTAATTCGCTCATTGATCATAAAACATTACAACATTAAAACAACTTTTTACTCTACTTATTTTTCCAATTATTAATTTTTATTATTATCATTTACTTAACTGAAAATGAAAAATTGTATCTACTGTTATATCTTTTTACAAAATAATATTTTTTGGAAAATCAATTTTTATAAGTTTTTGGAAGTCAATAAAAGTCAGGATTTCATATGGCCAGAATAATCTCTAAACTGATTAAATTTTTCTTATTCTGTTTGATGTACAGAATGTTGTATGAAAAGTTGATTATTTTAGAAGGCAACTAAATCATTATTTTTGAACTTTGAACTTTTTTTGGTACAATTTAGAAAAGTAAATGATAACAAATCAATTATTTTCTTTTTTTTTTTTTGGCAGTTTCAGCTGATAATTTTAAATAATTTTGTAATTTTACTTGAGGTATCTGGAAGTTTTAATTTAAATGTAACTTATTCGTTTTTGGATTCTGTTCTGACATTAATATTTCAATATGTAAGTTTTGAGTTTTATTAATTTTGAGATATTTTTTCAAATTTTCGGAATATTTTTGTTTTCATTCCAAAAGTTTATAAAGTTCAAAAAACTATTTTTTATTTTTTAATTCGCATCTTTAAAATGCAGTAATTTGCTGAGATTATAAATTTAAACATTCAAAAAGACCTAACAACATGATTTCCTATTTCTGTTTTTGAGTTTTCTTCAATTTTCTGATATTATTCAGTTGTGGGGTCATTTTTATTTTTTTTTTCTTTTCTTTTTTTCTTTTTTTTTAATCAATTTTCTTCTTTCTTCTTCTTTCAACAACTGTTTTGTATTAAATATTCTCAAAATATTTTGTGCTTTGAATCCTGTAGATTCCTTGACATGTTCTTTGATTCTTCCATACTTCAGTCATAATAATTAGCACAATAAATAGCATATTTTTCTTCTTCTTTTCTTTTTTCTCTTCCACATTTGGCCATATTTGATTTTGTTCATTTTTGATCTTTCTATTTCTTCATTTTAAAACACTTCTTAATTCTTTTTTATTATTCTTCTTCTATTTCAGAGAATGATGTTGGAAATGATGTTCCTTGATGATATTCCCATCTTTAGCTGGTCCTCAAGATCTGGAAGGGTGTGAGCGTTAGCAAAAACGGAAAGCCAAATTGAACATTAGAAGTAAAATTTGGAAAATTTGGAAAATTTGGAAATTTAGAAATTTAGAAATAGTAAGAAAAATAAAGAATAAAAAAACGAAAAGTAATTTTAAAAATAACAAAGTAAGCAACAATAAAATATATAATGTGTTATTTTTGCATTATTATTTTGACTCAGTTTCGATGGTTTCCCGGCATCTTTTTATTATAAAAAAAATTTTAATATAACGTTTTCAGATGATAATAAGAAACTAAATCTAAATCAATCATGCAGCTTTGGAAGAAACGCTAAAATTTTGTTTATTTCTGCATTTTTCAGTATGATCTAAATTTTTTTATGCCTCTTCACTGCTGATAAAAATTTCTGGTTGTAATGGTGATTCATGCTTCTTAATATTTTGAATTTTTAAAAATTTTATGTAAAAAGAAATCATGAAAATGAAAAGTACGTATTCTTTTCAGTATCTTTACGTGTTTTGCATTCTTTTTCTTTGAGACACCGTTAAATTATGCAAACAATGCGGAAAATTTTAATTTCTGTTTTTTCCATATGAGGTATATATTCTGTTGTAATTACGCTTCTTTTTATTCTATTTTATATATCATTTATTTTGGATTACCTTGTACTATTGTGTATATATATATCTTTCGAGATAACATTTGGAAATAATGTATATAATACATGTCTATAAAAATCATTTATATTCCATCTGTATTATTACAAAATTTTTAATACATTTTTAGTACAATAAATCACTAATTTAGATTGGCGTAATATTAAATCTCAGTAACAAAATATTAACAAAATTTCAACAAAGTTATTGCTTTTCTTTATTTCATTGAACTGCAGTAGATAGTATTAATATTTTGAAATTTTAAATTAGTTATTAATATTAGCTTGAAGTGATTTTAATTATACGTGATATTTTCTGTTATATTGATCTGATAAATATTTTCAGATTTTGAGATTGTGGAAACATGGATCTATAAAAAAATTTTAAATGACCAGTTTATCTCATTAATTTTAATTCGTAAACAGAAAAAATGGATAATTCTGGTAAAAATGAATTATTCCAGATAATGTATTGAGGAAATTTCGTTTTCTTCATTTTTATATTTTTATTTAATTTTATTTGTAAAACTATGCACAAATCATAATTTTAAAATTAATTTGAACAAATTTAATTAGATTATCATGGAGATTGTTATTATTTAACATTTATTTCAATGTCATCTATTGTAAGTATACTAGAATTTGAATTTTACAGTAATATAATTTCTGTACTATAATATATCATTTCATTGTTATCCACTGTTGCAAATTTAAAAAAATTGATAGTATTAATACTTCTTTACTATTTTTGTTGCTTTGCATTAATTCAGATAAAAATTTGTTAAGTTATCTATTAAAAATTAAAAATTTTATTTTTTATTAAATATTTTACTGTTTTCTGATTAGAAAGAATCATTGAGAATTATACAATATAACACTAAAACCAGCAAAATCTTTAACAAATTTTAATGTAATTTGCAGAATATAAGCTTCGATTATCTCATAATTGCATACCATTCATTATCTGTTATTTTGGAGTGCAAATGTTTTATTGTAGAATGTTATATTATACAGGATATATCTTGGTTATTATCATTAGTATTCCGTGTATACTCTTTCCGTTCCAATTAAAACAAGGCTATCAGTTTGACATAAAAAGTATCTGTTTCATTGTTATTCTCTTCGACTTAAATGCATAACATTCAATTATTTATCTTGTCGTACTATTTTCGCAATATTTGTCTCTTCTAATGAATATTTTGAATTTTGTACGAAATGTACATCAGTTGGTCATTAAGTTGTTATTTTATATTTCTCTTATTTAAACAAATGAATTGTAACTTGAAGATCAATCTGAATTTATTTAATTTAATCAAATTTATAAATACATGTAATACAACAAGAGATTTGGTCATTTTTGCTACAAAAATAATGAATGCATTTCTGGTTTATAATAATTTTACTGCCTCATAAGTGATAAATTTTCTACTTGATCTGAAATTGTATGATCGAAACAAAAAATAAACATCTCGTTGATGTAGAATTAGAATCATTTTATAGTATTGGATTATCATAATTATTTAAATTTTAGTTTCTCCAGTGCACAGCCAATAAAAATTTGGATATTCTTCAAACAGAAAAAATTTTAGATGGATCTGAATTTGTGACAAAATTTGAGGATTTGTGGCAAAGTTTGAAATCCAATTTCAATTCTACACATAGTGATTTCGTTGAACCAAAAAAGAATTGTAAGCTAAATTTTTGACGATATTTGGAAATATGAACTGCACGATTGATTGTATTGATTTGTGATTATATTAATTTAAAATCTGTAATGGAACTGTTTGAGAAGTAGTAACGAATATTAATAAAATATTAACTTGTTTTGTTGACAGAATTGAATAAAATGATTAAGATTGAATAAGAAATTTGGAAATTTTGAATTTTCAAAATTCTTGATTGAATCTGATGGTTGATAAATGGAGCGGTTTGAAATTTGGAAAAAATTTTAATCGGATCTTAGTGCCTGGATAGAGTAGGGCCGAGCGAAAGTAATATTTTAGATAAACAAAAACAAAATGAAGAAATAAAACGTCTCGTCTTGTAGAAATAATTTTTTTAGTTTCATGCAGTTATAACAACTGATACGAAAAAGTAGTTTGAAATAATAAAAACGGATTGTGGTGGTTGCAATTGAGTGATTACAGATGAGGTCCAAATTGAACACATTTATTAATAAAATTATTTTGCTTTTTAGGTATCAGAAAATACAAAAATGGAACTATTTGTATTGCAGTATTTTAGAGAGATTTAAATTCAGAAATTTTGTTGGATAGAATTTTTATTAATTTCTAGATGGAACCTTATCGAGAGTGCTCATATTATATTAAATAGGTAAATATCCATATGAAACATATTCTACAGACTTTAAAGAATATTATAGATGCGTTGTATAATAAACATTTATTGGAATAGAATTTGATTTAAAAATTTCATCGCAAAAACTACAATTCTGTACTATAAGTCGTTTTCTACGATTGCAAAAGTTTTTCCAATTTGCATTTTGTTTTTGGTGATTATACTGCAGATTTTTATGCATTCACGGGAAAACTAATATGTAAGAATATATAGAATATACAAAATATAACACTTGTAAGATATTTTTAAAACAAATTTTAGATTTCATAAATATTTACAATCTATTAATAACACTTTATCAATATCTTTTCTTTTCAATACCGATTCTTATTGTTATAAAGATTTATTTACTTTTTTAATAAGTGATTTCAATGTTTCAGTAATTTTCAGTTCACGTTAAAAGAAGCATTGAAGTATATATTGAAAAATGAAATCAGTTATTGAGTCATTTTTTTTGTTATTTTCAATATTTCTATAAAATTATATGCACAAGTTGTAAATGTTTCGTAAGTGCATGCTTTTCTTTCTTTATACTTTGCAGAGTCATGCTCTGATGCAAATGTTAAAAATCGTATATGTATAATACGAACTGGAATGATTTCAATAATGAAAGTACCACTACAATAGAAATTGGTTTACTGATTTTTAATAGTGCGATTCCTATCGTATCATATAATATAAACTGAAAGAAGCTACAGCAGAGAAGAAACTTGGAACATCTGGTGAGCGATATTAAGTTCTGAGAATGGAGGGTAGATCTGTTGTTGCACATGTACCATAAACTAATGACTAAACAATACTTGGAATGATTTTAAATATTAATATGAGGAATATAAATTTTTAGTACACGGATAATTCAATAATAGTAGTTCAATAAGAATTTTATTAGATTGCATTTAAATGAATTATTATATAATTTTTTTATTCTAATATAATAATTTTGTAGTCTATTCTATTCAATTCAGTTCACAGAGTTTACATACTTCTAGTGTCTTAAGGAACATGAATCTATTTTTTTATACGACCTTCTATCAAATGTGTGAGATTCAATAAATCTGTGCAATATACAGAAAAATAAATGATTCCGCAAATTCCGATCCAATGCTATTGTTTAGAATGCACACTACATGGAAACATGGAAACATGAACAACATCAAGTCCAATATTATCTTTTAAATTTTCGTGATCTTTCCTTTTTGTTATTAGTAGATATTCCAAAATATTTCAAAGAATTATTGAATTATATGAGAGAAGATGATGAATAAAATATTTTCTACAATCTTTTACTTCATACCTTTCTCAAAGACAGAACCGAATCATTAAATCGTAATTCGTTCAGCCCTTGACTTTTTTCTTGAAATATTTTGAAAACATCTTATCATTATTATAAGTCTCGCTGTTATAATTAAAACGATTTATGACCGATTATTTATTTACATCAAATGACAGGAATCTTTTCTTTATTTCCAAGCGTATTGTTCTATTTCAAAGTATATCTCAGATTGGATCATTTGTATTATTTACTTATATTAAATTTTACTCAGAAATTAGTCTTAAACATTTATGTTTAATTGGTTGTGCACTTCCAAACTATAAAGTACAATATGGTGAATTTATTATTCATAGAGTTTTACAGAGCAACTAATCTAAAATGCAAATCTTAAAAAGTTTACATTTATTCAGTGAAATCGTTATATGCTATAATGTATGATATAAGAATTATCAGTATAAGAATTAAATTGGGTTTGATTTGAATTTTATTTATCTATGAGAGGATTCATAGTTACGTAAAGGAAATGTATGAAACAGATCCACTAAATGATTACTATTTTATTTCTAGTATCAAATAGAATATTTTATGTGCTATAATGTTCTGCAAGAGCTGTCCAAAATATGAGCACAAATTTTATAGATATTGTTTATTTATTCAGAAATAAAATGTTCTTTGACTTAAATTTTTCCAAAATTAATCTAAAATACTGCAAGTTTTTTTGAAACAGCAATTTTTATTTCGTTCACTGGTCATACGAAGTTGATATAAAATTTAAGCTGATGAATAGAATTTTCATCACTAATTTTGTAAAATATTTGGAAGGTACTCTGTGACAATTTTCTTTATTCAATCTTTTGAAAGAACCGTAAATCTCAAATTATCCTTAACAATCTATTCAAGTTTCCGAGATGCAAGAGTACAAGCAGACAAATTGGAATTTCCAGACTCATTCAAGAGGGAACGTTCACAAATTTTATCATTTCTTCTAATCTGTTATAATTTCATCGTCTAACAACGAAAACGATTAAATGCTGACGAGAATCAAAATAAAAACGTAAGAACATAAAAATAAATTAAAGAATAAATTAAAGAGAAAAAAAAACAGAACAAAAGAATGATCCGAAATCGTGAAATTTTTGCGTAGTCTATCGAAACACCAAGACCGTATATAAAATTGCCAGAAACAGAACTCACCATTGCTGGAAGATGGGACCTTCCTCTAGGACACTGTAATCTCTCCTGCTTGAGTTACGAGACACTTCTACGATGATCGGTACTAGCAGCAGCCCTTAAATAGTCGTTTCGACGGCTGCATACGTTACGATGTCCTTCCTTTCTCCTCATGCGTGAGAAAATTTCTCAGCACAATACACCCTATTTCTTTGATCCCACGGGGTCGAAGGTTGCGCGAACCGAGATTTTTACCTGTTTCCGGGCTGGCAAAAAGGGGATGCTCGGGTATTCGGATACGCTACAGCCTGAGGGATGATGACTACGAAGAGGGGAAAGATGGTAACGGTCGTTTTCTTTCAGGTTCTATAGACAAGGGTGCAGGTTTCAGTTCGTGAGAATCAAATCTAGCAGGGCAAGAAAATTCAAATTACAACATTAAAAAGATGATTCACTTTTGATCTACGAAGGCTGAAATTGTTGCAACAGTAACATTATATTTTTGTCATTGATTTAAGAAGCAAAATATATGTTAGATAAGATGATTAAAAAACAACAGATCTGTCGTTACTGTGGACCTTTGCATCTTTTATTTGAAATTGAAACCTCAGAGCTACAAAAATTGCATAGGACGGGCATACAATGTGCAAAAATATATGAAATATTTAACGTAGAACACGTGTTACAGTATTTAATAGGCGAAACGCATATGCATAAGCATTATGTATTGTAATTACTACCGTTTATGTAAACAGCAGATGTAACAGAATTAAAAATCATCTATCTGAGGAATTATTATAGAAAATATTCATACAGATTATATAGAAAATTTATTTTTCTTTTAATAACGATTATAAATAAAACTAATGACCATATGATTTATTGTTATAATTTTAATATAATGTTTTTATGTATTGCTGTAATTACAAAAGAAAGAATGTACTCCATGGAATTTAATATACAGAATGTAACAGAATATGCATCCACTTCGGGAGCTGATTGTTGGAGTTGATATATTTAAAAGCAATGAAAAAAGTTCATATAAATATAAATTCTCTCTGCCTTTGTTTACGAGATATAATTTAATTTCAACAGAGCAAATTCCTTAAACTGTAGTAGAGACATCAAAGACAATATTATCATAATACTTTTCTATACTATGATGAGAATATACAATACATAATAACAATATCAAAATTAATTTTGTTATAGCATTCTGTATTAATCAATCAGTCATCAATATTTCGAGATATTTCAAAAAAAATTAGCATTCTGAAGAGAAATGCAGTAGTATGCAAAATATATTATGTAATCTACAATTTCATGTCTTTCTTGCTTATCCTGTTATAGCACAAATTTTTTAGAATATCATATATCATAATTTAGATAATTTCATAATTTCATATAATTTTCAGATAATTACATAATTTCAATTCTCTTTTAAGCATGAATTTTCCGTTTAAAGATGGAAAGAATTAAAAGATTATTACTAGAGCAGTAATAATAATAATAATAATTATTATTATTATTAAAGTAGCTATAATTTGTTTAATATTAACAAAATTCATATAAGAAATACTTGCGTTTCAATCAGTTGATCATGTGAACGTACATGTTTATTTTTCATCTTATTTTTCTTTTTCCCTCTCCTATTGTTCAGACGGTTGAAAGTGGTTCAACGGTAGAAAGATCCAGTTTTATTCCTTGTAACCGTTGAGCATTTAGGAATAAAGATAAATTAAAATATCAATTAATCAGAATATTGTAAGACTTGAAATATTTGTTAAAATATATATAAGTTGATTATAAGATGCATTGCAAATGCGTTTTTAAAATGATTTTATTATACTATATATGTACATATAGATTATTACTTACAAAATCTTACTAATTATAGAATTTTCATAAATCAATTTTCCTAATTGTAGAATATTCAGAACTTCATAAATTAATAATAAGTATATTAATTATATACTAATTATGTAATATAATAATATATTATATTATTAATTCATAAATTAATAATAAGTATAATAAATTAATAAGTTCATAAATTAATTTGATATAACGTGAATCACGAATAAGTTCATCAAATATGTTTTGTGTAAAAGCGTAATAGTGAGACATGTAGTTGTTGATTAAATAAATAATGATTAAATGGAAATTCATGTTAAAAACTGTGAAACTTATTTTATATACTTTTAACGATATTTTCGATTCAAATTCCACACATACTTGCCGAAAAAATAAATACATACGTATACATACATATTATTTGAACGAGTGTTTCGATCTTTCAAGTAAAAATTTTAAATCTTTATTTCTGCATTTTATGGATGAAATGAAGGATTAACAGGATTAAAGTTTAGAATATAAACACAAAAGATATACTGCAAAAGTTCATAAATTAATTCTTTCAATTAATATTTTTGCAAATGAAAACTTTACCGTTTTATGGATATTGAAATAGTGCCGCATAGAGATGAACAATAAGTTTAAAATCTCTTTGTCACACTAGTGCGCTTTTTGCTCATCAAGCAATGTAAGTCTCTCCTTGTCATATACCATTGCCCTCCTTTTTCAGATAGATGCCATCTATCAGCAACAACTAGAACTATCTGCACAGACGCAGACGACGTATATTATCAACCGATAGTAACTCTTCTTTACCATCTTTCAAAACGTGTGTGTGTGTGTCTAATCTAGCTGCAATATATATGATAAACGCCATATTTGTTTCTTTAAACGTATATATTTCAATCGCAAAATAGATCCAGATAAGTTATCGTTTGAATATATATTTATAAAAAATCCAATTTTGACAACGTTTCATTAAAATACTTCTTTTTGTAAGAAGTATGTCAAAGATTTGACTAAAATAGACGAATAGTAGCAACGGTTGTCAGCTGGGAGTGTGGCGGCTCCTGTAATCCGGCTACTCGGAGGCTAGTTATGATGGAGGGTCTGAGAGCGGGGGTTCCTGTTGGTGCGGGACTCACGTCGACTGGGCGTCCGCGCTAAGCTCGCCATCAATATGGGCATCCTGGAGGAGTTCGGGATGGCCAGGTTGGCTAGGGAGAGGCGAACCGGGCCAGAGGGGAAACCCAGCAGCCAAAAGTCTCCGTGGCGGGCAGTAGTGGGATCGCGCCCGGGAGTGGGACCGCAGTGACAGCCTGGTCAATATGACTCGACTCATAACTTTTTTTTTATTTTTTTTTAACTTTTTCATCTTATTTTAGATAACAAATACCATGTACAATGTTTAAACACATCTATTAATTTTTTACAATGCAAATTTCTTTGAACTCTTAAAGCATGACAGAAGTCTTTAATTGCTATATGAAATTTTCATTGTTTTTCATATTTATTATAAAAAAATATATTTATTTTTCATAAATATTTTGTTGTTACTTTATAAAGTTGAAAAAGTCGCTTAAAGATTGCAACTATCACATATTTTGACCTGCTTTTCTGTTTTATAATTATACATTTGTTCCTTCTTATAGATTCTTGATATTACTATTTTGATAGTTAATAAAGTTGTTTTATATTATAAATTGTTTAAAATTTTTTTAGACAAATAATTGAATAATTTAAATTGAGGATAAAATAGAAACTTAGTAAAAAAGCTTTGGTCAAGTAATGTGTGTTATTAATAATCAAATATTTTAATAAAGATGTTTCATTTTTTATATCCAAACATAAATTTGTGTATCAAAAGGATTTCAAGTCAGCTACACAATACTCAGTATATATTATTAAATTGTATATTTAATATTTTAAAACTAATGCCTTTATTTGTTAATATCATGTAAATGAAATATTTCAAAGTTTGAAAAATAAGAAATATTAATAAAAGAAATATAAATAAAAGAATACATACGCTTTTATAAGTTAGTTAAAATATAACTCAGTTAATCTACTGATTTAAAAAAAAATATATCAAACTGATGAATTAATACTACAATACTACATATAGAAAATCTATTTATTCTTACATTATTATTCAGCATTTTCTTTTTTCTGTTCTTTACTTTCTTTTCAATGGTATAAAAGGACATTGACATTATACTTAATATATGGGTTGGAAATTGTATAAAAAAAAATTCATAGAATTTCAGAACACTATTATTAAACAAGAAAATATGTGAAAAAATGCAAGCTATACAATGTAATTGTTTTTATAATTTCTGTTTCTCTTTCTTAGCTTGTTCAGCAAGTGCTTCTAGACGATCATGTTCTGCAATTAAAGCATCAACTTCACTCATGGGAAGAATTCTTGTAATAGTTTTATTATTTTCTCTTGTTAAAGTAACCATTTCCACTGAAATAGGATATAATAAAAATAGTTAAAAAACTAGAAAATTTCACATTTATAAAATTATATTTAAATTATATTACCTTTGTCTCCTGACAATTTATTAAGATCTAATGTCTTAGATAGCACTTTTATAGCCAGTGCTTTTGCTTCCTCTAATGTAATATTGTTGTTATCATATTCCTGCTTCAATGATGATACTGCAGCGGCAGAATTATGTCCAATACAAGTTGCTTTCCAACCACCGTAATTTCCACTTGGATCTGACTGATATAATTGGTAACCATAATGTTTATCCCATCCCATATATAAAATGGAAACACCAAAAGGCCTTTTTCCACCATACTGTGTGTATGCTTGTTTTACATCGCAAAGCCAAGAAACAAGTTGTTCGCAAGGAATAGGTTCTCCATATTGTAACAAATAACGTTGTGCAATTAAACGTAGTTCATTTGTTAATACATTAGCATCAGAAGTAATGCCAGCAACAGAACACACAATATCATCATTGAGTTTGTAGATCTTTTCAGAATAATACACTTCATCCAGTAGCTTATTTATATTCCGTCTTTCTGCTACAAGTAAAATACCATCAGTTGCTAAAATGCCAAGACAAGTACCTGCATGGCTTATAGCTTCCATTGCATATTCCACTTGATATAGACGACCTTCAGGAGAAAAAATCGTGGTGCGCGTATCATATCTACGAGCCTGTTGGCATAAAAAAGAATAACATATATTTCATTTAAACTTTTAACAAATTTTACATATTATATAAGATAAGTCTTATTGAACTTTATTTCAATATAAAAATATACTTTCCATGTAAAATACTAATTACAAAAACTCAATTTAATAACAAGATTGTAAAATAAATGGTAAAAGCTAAAATAAATGGCACTAGCTTCTTATATAAACAATAGTAAGCAATAAATTTCCAAACAGAATATTAGTAAATATTTAAACATTTTATTGTTTAAAAAATTCTGTTAGTGAATGACAATGCAATTTATGTAACCTCTCAGTTTTAGTCAAAGATAGCTGAAAGATTAATTGCAAAATAATATTAAATTAATACTTCTTTATATTTACCATTATATAAAGTTTTTATTACGACAGTTATAATATTATGACGAGTGAAATTGAAAAATTGACACTAGCAATCACAACTGATTTGTATAAGTCGGCTTTTTGAAGAACTTCAGAACACACTAGGTGAGTTTGTTCCGAAAGTTGACAAGATTTTGTGTCAATTTAATGCACAGGTATGTTCTACAATAAAATTATATAGGAACACACAAATAAATGTTTTATTTTCTGGGTTAAATGTTTGTAGAATAAATAAAATGAATAATAATAAATAATAATAAATAAAATTAATTAAATTATATACATATATATATATATATAATAATAAATTTTAATATATATAATAAATATAATATTTATAAGTACCTCATTATAAATATTGCATTTTTCTATTCTAAATCGATAACCGATATTAATGTAAACGTTAACACGAAACATACATATGATATCGGAAACTTCGTTTTCTTGAAAAATAATTCCTACTTTCGACTTTAACGATCCAAAATATTCCTGTGTGAATATATATATATATCATTTCAGTATATGTACCAAAGTATCTAATTAATACTAATCCAAATCTAATGTTTATTATAGCTTGTAGTTGCTTTTTTCATTATGTCGTAATAAAATAGTTAAAAAATGTCCTAATGCAATTTCTGAAAAGAAGAAACTTGTCGACAAATCATATCCTATTTTTTTTTCCAAAATCGTTACGATTCGATCGACTTTTTAAAATTTTTTAATTATTTGTTTTCGATTATAGCAATGCGAAAAAATCTTCAATCCAAATCAAATTTTTTTAATTAACATTCATGTCTTATTTTATTTATAACTGTTATTATATTTATTATTTATTAATTAAAAGGAATATAATAATGAAGAAACAAGATATTTAATATGATAATTCTCACATATATTAATCATGTTAGATGATTAAATATATAGTCATATATTTCGATATTTAAAAAGAAACAAAAATTACATTACAAAATTCTATGAATAAACTGAAACTGAAATAAACTGAAACTTGTATATATTATAAAAAGAAACGTATATATATAATAAATAATATGTATACGTTATAAAGAAAGAAATCACAATGTTTATTTTCTACTCCTGTTCATAACCATAGAGAGAACTTAGATTTTTTGTATTTTTAGGTTTCTCCAATTCTTCTTCCTTCATACTGGAATTCAAATATTGATAAACTCTAGTGAATCCTCTTCCAGTAGTAATTTTTTTTGCTTCCCCATAAAATTTTGGTGTCATTCTTAGATTTAATCCTTTTGCTTCTCCATAGAATTTTGTTGCCATTTTTGGATTTGACCCAATAACATTCTGAGATTTAGAACTATTTCCCTTATTTAAATTTGGTTGAAAATTATTTTCTTGAATATTATTGTTTTGTGCTTTAGAAGTACTTCCTTGAGAAACATACGCATTCATTTTAAAATCATTCTTTGTATCTAAAATGTTTTGTTTGACTTCAAAAATGTCTTTAGTTAACATAGCAGCATTGTCTTCTTCATTGGAAATATTCTTTTCGTCATTTTTATTAAAACTATTTTTCGAAATATTATTTGTGTCAAAAGTATTATTTCTCAAAGAATTTCCTTCAAACTCTGCTACTTTATAACTATTGTTTATAACGAGAATATTTTCTTGTTTTGATGAATTACTGTTGTCCTTCATATTGATTTTATCTAACTTAGATACCAGGCCATTAAACTCTTTGTCACATAATATTGCTTTAGAAGGTTGTTTAGGTGCTTGCAATGGCTCTTCAGGGTCTATTTTCTTTCTTGCAATATTTTCTTGCAATGCATCATTGGTTTCCTTGTTCTTTCTAAGAGCTTCCAGTCTAGCTCTTTCATATTGTCTGAATTGTTTCTTCTGCGATTTCGTCAATCCAATTGGAATTCTCAGTATATCTCTGTCTTCTGTTGCAGCCATTGGATCATATCTAAATGTTTCACCACTACTGGTGCACTCTTCTTCAGTCTGTATAATGCTTTCAGACTTATATGTATCTTCTTCTGTTAAAACTGTTCTAACGTTTTCCTCTGAGTCAAATGAGATATATTGACTTCTTATGTGCCCACTTGATGGACATTCTGCCACATGATCCTTTACAAATAAACACCAAAATTGAAAACTGAAAGCTTACTTTACTTATTAAACCTTAAATTTATTTATAGAGTAATACAGCTAAAATATTAATAATAACATAAAGAAAATATTTAAGAAGTATATAAAAAATTATGTAAAAATGCTTTTTAATTCACCTCAAATTGTTCTGGATTAACCCTATGTGATGAATCAAAGATACAAATACTTTTGGCATTTTTAGGATAATTTCTGGCACATTTCATTAAATGAAGTTGGAATCTGGACTTTCTAATACGATGTGTTTTGTCATATGGGCAAGTAAGATAGTCATCCATATTATTGATGTTTCTCTAAAAAAAATAAAAATAAAAATTATGAACACAAAATTTACATATATATTTACATATTAATATAAGCTAAGTTATGTTAGTCTAAAAAGTTAATCTACAAATACTGAATTAGATGAAAATTCTTTTTTTCTTTTTGTTATTAAACTAGGCAAAAGTTAAAAATTTATAAAAAAAAATATAACACTTATTATTATATTATAAAATTTATTATATCATCATTATCATTATTATTATATTACTATATTATTATTATAATAAAATTGACTGTATTATTATTATTACATTATTATGAAAATACTTATTTATAGGAAAGAGAATTAATTTCAAATACGACGATAATAGCTAACGGAAACGATAACAGAGAGAAAACGAAGTACTATTTCTTCATTGTTTACCTTTACGCAGTTTTGTGATTATTTTGTATTGGGTTTATCAGAAAGATAACTGATGGGGACTGCTCTCTTTGTTTAAGGACATCTTATATCACATAATTATACCTTATTTCAAGCAATTTTTAGTATATTTTAAAGTTTACTACACAGAGTGTAGGCGTTCCAGTATTTTGTGATTGCCACAAATTGTTTATAGTTATTTAACCAATAGTATTCACGATTTATAACTCGTCAAGGTCAAATTGGACCTGCCCTTTTTTTTTCTTTTATCATCGCCCAATGGCTTTCACCGAATTGAATTCAAACATACAAAGTGAGTAACCCACTGATTCAAAAGTTATACATGTATGAAAGTGTGGCATCACTTGTAAAATTACTCAAAATTACATTTACAATAATTGTATTACAAGTGTAGTTTTAGTAATTAGTAATACTAGGTAATTTTATAATTGGCGCCATAATATGTGTGTATATATATGGAGGGAAATAGATATTTGTATATATATCACATATTATTTATATCTAAATGCTTAGTCAAAATTATATGTAATAATTCGATTGTTGTTATATATATGTAATTTTTAACAGAAACGAAATTGTCCAAAGTGATACAAGTTTATACAAGAATATCTTACCAAAGATTATGAGAAAACTTCATAAATTGTTCGTATAGATAAAAAGATAAAACACTTTTTTTTTTATTAAACTTTGTTTAATTTCAGTCAAATACCGAATCGCACGATATACACAAATAACTTATTTTATTTTAATTATCAATTGTAACCATCAGTTTCTAATTAAATCTCGAACATCCTACACTAAGTCCAGTTCAAAGGAAAGTTCTATTATAACAGAATATTAAAGCTGTACAGTCATCGATAATGAAACAGTTAGTTAGTTTTGCGAATTGGGGAGGTTTTTAATCTTTAAATAAATTGAGAAATGAACGAACACAAGTACAACAAATTTTACGAATTGTTAATTCTCGTTGCGGGAATTGTTGAAATGATAATGGCCGTACGACGTTCTTTTTCAATACAGAGTGTCGAATCTGTAATGTATGTGATTTAAGCTCTACCACCACTATCTCGCAAGAAAGGCACACGCTTTCCTCGCGCAGTATGGCTCGCTTGATTCCAGTCGTGATCTGTTCGACCACGTTAGTTCGAGGAGGTTTTGTTTCATTTACAAACGAAATCGTGCGCAAATAATCCAAGATTCACATCATGGACGACGAGTGGGGTACGTATAAATCGATCCTCAAGCATTGAATTGTCACGCAATTGTATGTTCGGTCAAAACGGTGTAACCATTTTAACCTTCAACTTCGCAGATGTCGAAAACGCTGAGGCGAAATTCGACCTCGCTATCAGATCCAACAAGTGGGAGGGCGAAGACGAAGACGAAGACGTCAAGGTTCTACGTTACTAACTTTCCTATTTTAATATTAAGCATACTGATTTTTCAAAATCTCCCGTTCAGAAAATAGGCTATAAGTTATGGTTAACCTTTCTATAGATCCAGTCAATATAACTTAAATGCGCGACAATTGGTTATCCTCTCAGCAGATTTGTCTCAAATTTGAATTAGGTAAAAGTCAAAATGACGGGGATGTATTTAAATCGATGTTTAAAGTGATTAGAAATGTGCGATTGTTAGCTAAACGTGTTATATACATTGTTAAATTTAATTCTATATGGAGATGAGTTAATTCTTAATTTGTCGAAAATTTTAAGGCAGTATCATGTATATAGTTGTATAATATTCGAATATCTTTATTTACGTCTTAACAAAATTGAATTCGTCAATTTGATAACTAACAGAAATTATCGGAATGTATTCAAGTATTCATGGATTCATATAAATTATAAATTGGTGATACAAACTTGATATAAAAGTGATACGAACTTAATATAGGTTTAACATATATTAAAAAATTAAATACTTGTACAATGATTTTAAAAAGAATCAATCAACAGGATAGTTGGGAAGATGTCGAGGAGGAGAAGAAAGATGTAGAGAAACCTGCAGAAGTGCCTAAGGCTAAACCAAAGCCAAGAAAAGCTTTGGCAGAAAGAATTGAAGAACGTGAGGTATAATTAAATTTTTAAATTTTCTCATTTAATTAAATTGTTTAATTAGTGATTTAAAAATTTAATTAGAAATTTAAAATTTTAATCTTATCAATTATTTTATGTGAGATAACTATAATTATAAAACATTTCACAAATTAGAGAAAACAAAATTTCATTTATTCTGTACTTCTTCATGAACTCCTTTTTCTCAGTTTTAGCACCTGTATATAATTGAAACTTTATAATTTTGGAATTTAATTCTCTTTCATTACTAACTTGTATTGTTCTTGTGTATATTCACTTATGTTATTTTCTTATTACTGTATGTATTCACACATTTCAAGTGTTTATTTTTCAAAAATATTTTAAATCTTTTTAATTATAGAAAAAAGCAAGAGCAGAGGCAGAAAGGAAAGCTAAAGAGAAAGAGGAGGCATTAACACCAGAAGAGAGGAGAGCAGAACAATTAAGACGTCAAAGGCTCCAAGAAGAAGCTGACTTACGCCTTGCCATGGAGACTTTCGGTTTGTCCAACCTTGTTGATTTTTCTCACCGCAAGCCGCACAAAACTGAGAAGAAATGACTTCACTAAAAAGTTTTACTTATTAACTCTTTGCACTCCTCTTTTTTATTTAATAATACATATTTTAAATAATGAAATTATGTGGTCATTTTGCCAATATTTGATATAAAAATGTTATCTTTTTTAAAAGTATTAAAAAAATTATACCCTTTCCGGTCAAAACGCTCAGAGGTAGATGTAGCTTGTTAGTCGTAGCTTACTCAGTGTAGCGGAATGTAATAATAAGATGATTGAAATTACACAAAATTAACTAAAGGACAATGAAATATATGAAATTATAGCGAAATCGACCTACTTCCACGAGAATCTTTTCAGTGACTGTTGCTTCTAACTAAAGAAATTTTCGACTGATTGATCCAAAAAGAAGTAAGGATTTTTTCTATTTAAGAACTTTATTCGTTGTTTATATTTCAAAAGTAACTTCACTGTATATTATTCACGTATAAATGTCTCAAGAGTGCAAGGATAGATGTGAAAACAGAGCCGTCCGAGCGATAACAGTTGAAAACTCTCTATATTTGGAGATATCCAGACTTCGATCGGAAAGGGTTAAAATATCTTATTTTCAAACAATTAGAATATATGTATGATTGTATTTTTAAAATTTTTGATTTTGCTACTGCAAAGGTGTAAATTATTTTGTAATTTTACATAAAATTGACATAAAACAGATCTAAATTATAAAATAGAAAGTACAGTAGCTTATTAGCATAAATATTGAAGTATATATTTATCAACATTGTTATTTGTTTTATAATCTTGTTTAATTTTAAGTTTGGCTTCAACGTTTGAAACATATTTTCAATATGTCTTTCTTTATCTTTGAATCTCCAGTTTTCAAATGATATTAAGTTCAAATGATAAACAGTTGAGTTAACTAATGTAAAAGTTTAAAAAACTCTTACATTTAGATCTTAAAATCTTAAATTTAAGTTTTTAAATTAAGATGCTCAATTATTTCTTGACATGAATTTTATATTTTTGAGATGTATTTTATTTTAGTTTAGTTTAAAAAAAAATCAATTGAAATCATTCCAAAGATTGTATTTATTCAAGATTTGATAATTGGATCGCAAAGAGTTGATTCCACATTCATGGCTTAATGCAAATTTTTAATGGCTTAATTATATTTTAAAGCTTTATCTTTCATAAACTAATATATAGTATGTTTGCCAGTATTAAACGTTATTGATGTGAAAATTAAAATGATTATTATGTAATTTTTAAATACATTCCATTTAGTAAAATAACTGTATATGAAGTGACATAACATAAAATTAATAACAGTTTTTGGTTGGACATTTTTTTAAAAGAATAATATGAAATATTTTTTATATAAATTAGAATTAGAGTAAAATAGTCATGAAAAAATTCTGAATAACTTTTATATATTCAAAGTATTCTGTTTTCATGTTATTGCTATAAAAACTAAATAGATTTATATTTAAACTCTTGAATACTATATTTACTATTGCAATTACAATAGTGAAGTGTTAATTATTGGACATTCTAACATTTTTAAATTTAATTCAAGTAAAAAAATTAAGTTAATGTCAGGAACTGTACCAGAGATGTAAATCATGTATCTCAATGAGTTAGTATAATTTTTCAGGAATATACAAAATTGTTATTGTATAAAAAATAAACATTTCTATTTCATAAAAAAATTATGCAGACGTGTCTTATTTATCAACATTGATCTCCTGTACCGTTCCTGATAAATATTTAATTTTAACAACAAAATATTATATATTATACAAATATAAAACAAAATTACTTGCCTATTAAAGTAAAGTCTTGTGCAATTAAAATTATAAATAATATTTTATTTAGGAAATATATTTCAAAATGTCATACATATAATTTTACATATTGAGCAAACGAAGATTATTATAAATCCAATTTGTAAGACGTAGATAAATATATGTTTATACATAATTAACATGTATGTAATACATGCATTATTTGACCATTTTTATAATAAGAAATTTTATAGAAATAATTATTTTGTGATTAGATGACTAGAAATTATGATTTAATATTTCTTTCTTAGGTGTAACCGAAGAACTTGCATTGAGCCTGGATACGACAGTACCTAACACAAAAGAAGAATTCGAGCAGTATGGAAGTGTACTTACACAGAAATTAAATCAGGTTGCTAAACATGCAGAATTTCCTCCATTTGGAGAAGAACTTATTAAATCTGTTGCTCTTAATCGTAAGTACATTATATTAAAAGACTATGTACGCATAGTAATAATATTTTAAAAGTTTTTCAAAAAAAAAATAATTTTTAAAAAATTTTATTACAGTAGTATAAATTTATTTCTTCTTTATTGCAAGCTCATATTAAATAAATTAATATACTTTAATAATACATTTTCTCACGTATTTATTTTTATATATTTTGAATATTAATAATAGATATGGAATTATATTAATTTTGTTTACAGTATCCTCGTCACATTTGAAAAAAGTCAAAACATTGATCGATAATTTGTTGATCGAAAAACAAAGAATCGAGAAAGGAGAGAAGGCGAAAAAGAACAAAGGCAAGGGGAAAGCGAAACTGAAAATTGAGGGTGACAACACTCTTTTAAGCGAATACGGCGACTATGTTTATGATGACTACGACGATTTTATGTAGCGACCTTTTCACTCCATATTCTTATTATTCCCTAATTCCTTTTCTAGTCGCCTAAATACACGCAGATGGTTATTAACATTTTTGCAAATTTTATATCCTTTATTCTCTCTATTCGTATTTTCAGTCTTTTAATTTTTAAATATCAGTTCGAGAATGGTTACAATCTTAAATACTTCATTTCTTAAATATTCATATTTTATATATATAATATATATTATATATTTTGTTTACGTGTGTGCTGATGCGCGTGCGTATATTTTGTGTGTAAAATATATATTATATATATAAAACACTAAAAATATAGTACATCTGACAGATGTAAAGCAAGTTTAACACAGAGTGTTAATGTGTTTTAAATATAATTGGTAAAAACTATATTAATATTTTCCCTAATTAATTTAAGTTATTAGTAATATCAAGAAATTGATAATTTTATAAATATATATACTAATAATGAAGATTCGGATAGCGAATAGTATGAAAACAGCAGTAACAATGTTCATAGCAGCGTTGCGCAAGAAGTGAATGAGTTGGTGAAAAATATAACTTGTTGATCATGGGCATGAAGATCTTCAAAATGAATTTTATGCGCATGTCTCAATAATCTTCCCATACAAGAAACTATATATGTATATGTATGTATATATACACAGTTTCTTATAGTTTTATATTAACAAATATGCATGTATAGTTTTATGGCTATTATTTTCATTATATATGATATTGTTTAAATGACACTTTATAAAAAGAAACATACTTTATTTGAAAAGAATTTATGAAAATCTTCGTCGCAAAATATGAGGAAAATTAAAGTTAAATTGAGTTAGTACTTTTTATTAAGCTTTTTATTACATAGATAGAAGATATGCATAGTGAAATGAAAAAGTTACATATATATTTATTAATCGAAAATTTTGCTCGAACATGGACGAAATCTTGACGCTTACAACTATCTCATAGAACTCTTTACATTTACCGCAGTAAAACTAAGAGAATACCGTTTATTTTACGATAAACTAAGTATATTGTTTTTTGTTTTATTCTCTTCGTAATAAATTTTAATTGTTAATAAACTTGTTCTATTTTTTTTACGAGTACAAGCTGCATTCTTTTCTTTGCTCCGTTAGATCTGCTAGGTTTTGGTTATAGCAATAACTAATTTTCATTACGCCACAACTTATTTTTCTTAGTTTTATTGCAATAATTTTTAACAATATACTTTTTATTATTAATATTAAATAAATAACATGGTAGTTGTTATTTTCATTCTAATAGACAACTTCATCACAATCTGACAATATATATATATATACAATAAATATTTTTAAATTTAACATAAAACTATTTCTTTAAATTTACGGTACTATGGCACATTTTTCTAGTTTGATTAATTCGAAAAAAAGTAAGAAAAATCGTTTCTATATTTTTAAAATAAATAATATAGTTCAAATTATTTCTTTACTTTTGTTGAAATTAAAAATACGTTGCATTAATATAAATATAACATTTCGCGCAATAACATTATTTTTTAAAAGTTTTGACAAATATTTAAAATATTAATTTTAAAAATTTCGTATTTTTGCTTATTGTAGTACTTATTATTAAGTACTATATTATAAATTAATATTAAATCCCTCCAAAATTATTAGCTCATAATGCTTTACAATTTTTAAAATAATATTTAACATTTAATTTTTTATATTATTTTAATTTCTTTAATTCTCTTTTTTAAGACGACTTTTTAGATTAATATATCTGTATATGCAAAATAGAAAACAAGTTTATATTTTAAATTAAAATATATTTCAATCAAAAGAAGTGAAATAAAATGGAACAACAATGGAAATAAATAAATATAATAATTATTGTTAACTATAATTAATAATATTTGGTAACAATTTGTATAAGAGGAAATATTTTTTCTTAATATTTCTTGTATCCATATGAATACAATATGTATGTGACGATATATTGATAGCGAGGATCGTTGAAAGCAATTAGCTCGATGCCATTTTTACTTTATTTATGAACGATTTATGGTAAGGACTCAATTTAATCTGCGTATAGTTAATAAGACCGCAAGTGGCAAAGCTATCCAGATATCCAGTAGTTAGTTATCGGATATTAAAGCATTGTTTGGAAAAAAGAGTAAGTGAGGATAATTTCTTCTAATAATATCCATATTTATATCTACATTTATGTACTTTAGAATTTCATAACAAAAGCGCAATCTGTTATACGTGACCATCAAAAATTTCTAAGGAGATTTGATTTAGACGTAACTATTACTCTCGCTAATAAATTTTCTATTATTTATCTTTAATTTTTTCCTATATGTTTATAAATTATATTTTAATAATAAGAAATAAAATATGACAGAAATAAATAATTAAATATATGATTAATAATATTTGATTTAATAGCTTTAATTTAAAATTATAATTGTACTTTATGGCATGAACATTTTTTAAAGAATAAACAATATTTTTTAATACTGTAAGAAGTTTAAAAAAAGTAATTACAAATAGTAATTAATCAAATATTATTCAAGGAATGCAACTTTTCTTGTTTGGAATGTGAATCATTATAAAAAAAGACAAATGAAAATGCATTAATCTTCTTGATACCTGAGGATCTTGCTAATAGTACGAGTTAAAGGAAAACTTTCATTGAATTTACATGTATTATTCCAATCGTCAACATTTAAAGACAATATCATTGCACCTCCAAAATTGTTTGCACGAATCCATTCAGCCTAAAACATAATTAAAATATTTTGTTGTCTCTAAGTTTGGAAAGTAAAAGTAAAAATAGTGTATGTAATACCTTATAGTAAACGCTTGTAATATCGTCGTAAGAGATCCATTCTCTATCTTTGTAAGCATAGGGAACTTTACTTTCTCGTTCAAAAACGCTTTTTGCACCATTTTGAAGGAACTCACAAATTATGGGATACGAAACAAAACCTACATTTCCCAATTGTCCAAAGCCATTTGCTGGTGCGAGTAAATCATGATTCAACGGATTGTCCAGGCTATAGGTATGACCGTAGGTAGGAATACCCACAATTAATTTTTCTCTTGGCATCCCTTTTGAAAGCCAATAATGAACTGAGAAATTAACATTTAAGGTAGAAAGATAGCCAGATTCAGCAGCGCGTGAGAAAAGCGGTGCATTCAGTCCAGTAATTGGATAGTACCACACATAAAAATGATAGTCATATGACATCAAGTTCACAAAATCTACATACCTACGTAATAAAAGAAAATTTTGATAAATTTTGTATAAATATTTACAAAGTGAAAAAAAATAATTTTATTTCATTTAAAAGAATATTTTTTTATAAATAGTCTTAATAGCTCCAATTGCTAATCATTATTTGCGATTATTCAATATTACTTATATTGCAAAAATAACATGTAGCATTTGCTTACTTTGCCATTTCTGCGACTATATAACTTTGATCAACAATAGCTTGGGGAGCAGCTACCGCAACAGATAAAATCAACATTTCTTTGGCGCGGTAAAATTCTCTTCGCAATTCCTCTAATAATTGTACGAAACGAATCTTTTCACGTTCATCGGCTCCGAGCCATGCAGGGAATTCCCAATCTAAGTCTAATCCATCAAACCCAAATGTCTTTGTCACATTTAAAACAGACTTTATAAATCTATATAAAAAAAAAGAATATGGTGTTTTCAATGCATCTTATACGCGAACAATTAAAATAAAAAATAATGGAAATTACCTTTTCCTATTTGCATGATTTTTTACCATTTCTGAAAAACCTAAATGGAGCTCATTACTACCGCCAGCACTAATCATGACCCTTAATTGAGGTTGTAGCTTCTTCAAAGCAATGACTTCTTTGTAGATCAATGAATTGCTGCCCAAATCAAGGCTGCAATTCACCACGCCCGCAAAACCCACGATAATATGCGTACAAAGATAAGGGTCAATGTGCGACGGACTGAGCTCCCAGAACGTGTTCAGGTCGCTCGATATGGTGTAATAACAGACAATGATCTGCCTATGGAAAAAAGATTTTATTTTAAATAACATGAAATTCTTTTCATATCTGAAATTCTTAACAATAATATTTATAAGCATTTTCTTGAAACATGTATCCTTTAAACAACAAACTATTTATATTTAAATACCCTGAGGAATTGGTGTAGTAGTGTTGTGGCGAACTGATGCTGTTGTTCCTGTCCGCATTCTGGTTCTCCTTCGTCGACTCGGCGTACATCCGAGCCCGACGTAACCACGTAGCAATCTTGGCATTGTCCGCTGATGTTTCTGTATCAAATGTTTTCGCTCTTGGAGAGCGAAGGATAATAATCCCTAACCACGCACGTGTCACGAAAAGAGCTCCAAGTACCAAAGATACTAATACCAAGCAAACAATTTGTGTTCTCCAACGTGGTCTAAAACAAGATATGAAAATTTATATTAATTTCTAAATCTGAATCACTGATAAGTCTATGTTTCATATAGTGCAAAGCAAACAAATGTATGCAATAAATATAATTAATAATTTAATATAAAAAAATATATTTCTTAGTTCTATATACTTGAAGCTTTATGTAAAACATAAACTTGCAATTTATTTTATGTGCACTTATATGCAATATAACCCATGAAGGTTTCTTGTATCATAGTAAATATAGAATAATCAATAACCACACCTGTAACATTTGACATACACTTATATGTTCACATATATGGCTCATTATACAGAAAGAAAAATACAAAGGTAAATCTTATGAAAAAATGTAATATTACGTGATACAATTTAAATATGAAGATAAAGATAACTATATTATTTGATAAACGAAGTTTATATTTCCCATAACATTGTAAATATATCTTATAAATGTTTAGTTTCAAGAAAATTAATAAAGAAGTCGTTTCTTTCAACTGGGATGAAAATCTCAATTATAAAATATCTCAATTTATAAAACTTAGAAAATCAAGAATAACAGAAAATGCAACTCACTGGCGAACGTCTGTTAACAATTCATATTTGGCCTGCGGCACAGGAATTTGGTTAACCATTGAACGCACAATGTTCGTCGAGATTGACGCTTGAGGACGCTAGCCCTCTAAGGGTGGTTTGCCACTTTTATTACTACGCCCAATGCGTTATAATATACTGGAATACATATGGATATGAAACCTAGAAGTATAGAAATCTCTGGGAGAGTAGGGTCATACTGCGCGTAATAGATCTATTCGAATAGACAACAAGCGGGAATATTTAAAATTTTCTATCTTTTTTTATTAATTAAATTAACTACACTTGATTTCTAACTACTTCGTCACTAAAATTGGAATTAAATAATAATATTATTAATTGTAATTACTAAGTACAAGTCTCAATTATTTAATATAATTATCATTATATTAAAAATATCCATATTTTGACATTGACTCTGACATTTTTCACAAATGATAAAACTTAAATTATTTTCTTGTTTTATTTGGTTATAAATTTGATGGAAAATGAAAGTGAAAATCATAAATATGCTTGGAAGATATATATTCTTTATACATATATAGATATATATTTGAATAAGTATATTTTTGGCAAATAACATAATGTGTGCTATTATATAATGAGTACAAGTTCAATATTATACATATATACGCATTCACATACATATATTCACATATATATATTAAAATAATATTGCTTTTTCATTATTTTTAAAAAATATTACATTCTATACATATTCAACATTAAAAAACATTGTAAACATATTTTACATAAAAGAATTGAGATTAGATTTTATAAAATATAATATTAAATATAATATTAAAAAAAATCATCTTAGAATTTCAATCTATTTGAGTCTTACTATCCATCATTTCTTATTTTAAATGAAACTTAAATCACAGATCATTAGTAACAAAAGCACAGAGATGGAAAAATCTTAAGTTTTTAAGAATATTATTATGTAACATATATAAAGTTCAAATCTTGTTAATTATATATAATTGAACAAAATTTAATTATATATAACTAAATTATATATAATCAATAAAAACTATATAAAAAACATAAAGATAATACAAGATACCCAATCATGTAAGCAATGTAGAAAGATAAAAAAGTAAAAGATAACTAGCACCTTTATTCTTAGTTAAATATTATGAAAATCTATCATAGAAATAAGATATGTAAACGAATTGGAATACCTTGAAAATTGATGTTATTTGCTTACATGTTAGGAAATCAAATAAGTTTATACCATAATCATTTATTGAGTTCTGCTACCAACTAATGCTTCATCTTCTGGTTTAGGAAAACGTTTATAATGTTCTCGTGTCACCAAATAAACTGCTAATCCACCAAAAAGGATTAAGAGAAGTCCAATTACATTAATTAACACTGCTTCACCAACAAGTTGTGAATAATCATTTCTGAAATTATAATAATTATAAATTAAACAATAAGTTATTATAATGAATAAAATGTGTGTTAATACAGAATTATATTGATAACAATACAAAAAATATTATTATAATCAAGGTATTTACTTACCCTAGAGCAAAAATTGCTTTTTCATTAAGCCCTAAGAGACAAGAAGCAATTACACCAACAAATCCTGTAATTCCAAAGTACACATGAATTGGCATGTAAGCGGATCGTAATGAAACTTGTAATCCCGGAAACAGGAAAGACAGAAAGCCAGCAAGCCACTAAAATATTAAAATAGTTATTTAATTTTTAAACAATTATATATAAGTGAAAAATGAATAAAGAGTTACCTGACAGCAAAATAAAATTACACTAGTGATCCCAATCCAACTGTGAAGACTATACATGTTTGGAATTGGTACTGGATTCAAGTTGTGGCTGTCAAACACAGCCACAAGAGAAATTACAACTAATGCTATAGTTAATAACATTATGCCTGCATGGATCAGTTTCAGTCTTCGTTTTCGAGTATTTCTTTGTGTTCTATATATTAACATACCTAAAAAAAATTGAAGATAATATTGAATAAAAAACATAATTCAGTGTTTTCAAAACTTTTCTTAAATTGTTAAATTATTGCTGTACCATTGGCATATAAAAAAACGAATCCAATAACCATTAAAAGAGGATGCCAATTGAATTCTAATGCTGGATTAGAACTCCAAGTAAAGCCATGTCTATATTTACCACACCAAATTACAACCAAAATTATTAGTATTGCTCCAATGATTTCCATTAAAATAGTGAGTGGTTTAAAACCCACAAGATTTGTATGTGATTCTCCAATTTGTTCCATATCTGAAAATAATTATGCAAATTATGTAAGTTAAAGTTTTGGAACATTATAAAAGCCAAAAGCAAAAAAAAATTAAAAAATATGATACTATAAATATGATACTATATTATAAAAAAATTAATTAAATATGATACTATACATAAATAATTAAATTTAACATGAAAAAAAGTTTCTAAAATAAATATACCCAAACATACCCAAACATATTTGGTATACGTATGGATAATTTGTTGACATAATTTAATTAAAAAATGAACCGTATCCTTTTTCATATGATCTTATATAATATATTATGGATTTTATTATGTTATTATCTTATTATTTTTATTATCTCATTTTGTCTTTCTCGTTTCTTTTAGTAATATTCTATAATAATTAAAAATTTTTCTCATATTTTACTATTATAAATTAAAAAATTTTTATTTAAAATTTGTATAAAATACACATTAAATTTTCCATTTAATTATATACTATATATATATATATACAATATTTAAATTATATATGTACTAAATTTATTTCATTAACATATGGTAACAATTTTTTCAACTTTCTTTTTATTTTAGAGATCTGAAAATGTGTACATAAATATTTGTTGACATAAATATGTTATATACATATAAGCATTTATAAACGTAATAACATTTGATACATTAATAATTTTCTTCTACGAAGTTGATTGTTTCTTTTATGTTAGATCTTATCTAAAAGTTATGAAATTTATGTCTTGTCATCATTCTGCAATATATTCTGTGATAATTGTTTAAAAATAGCATCTATAAATCAACAAGTGTTAAGTCGATATATGAATATAACTGAATGTATTAAGTTATTAGTATTTAACATTATTGAATTGGAAGACTCGAATTATATGTAAATGAAAATAAAAAAGAACGAAATGCAATGCTCGATTAATAATAGTTCTATATGAAATTGGCCACTATACCTGACACTTTCTACAGGAAGATTTCGAGAAAAAATCAACAGGTACTACGCAGGTTCTCCAACGACGTAAAATGAACTATCGATTAGAAATTAGGAATGTGTTATTTAAATTTATCGCATTTCTAGTCAATATAAAAACTAATTGTAAACAAATAGTCTGATTTAAAATAAAATTACTTAATTCATTTGTAACTATAATTTAATTTTTCATACAAATTAATTTTAATTTCAAATAATAGAGATAAGTAAAGAAAATAGAGATATAGTAAATTATTGAAAACGAAATACATACGCTTAATTAAAATAAAAAAACAATTGCCACGAATGGCAATTTAAAAATAAAATACAGTTTATAAATAAAGTAAATTTATATTTTAGAATCACGTGATACAACAATAATATACATGTAATATGATACAACGTGTTATTTATCAAAAATTATGTTTGGAAATTAATTTTTACTTTTATTTATACGATAAAAAAAAATTTAAGACATATTTTTTCAAATATTAATTTTTACTTTGAATTGTAAATAAAAGAATTCAAGTGAATGTCTTCAAAAATATTATACAAATTTATTATTTTTAACTTACTTTTAAGATTAAAATCTAAGATAAGATAAAAGCAACGTTTATCATTTCTCTTAGTAGACAAATTACATTAAAAAACTATAAAACCAATTTTTATTATTCTATAAGTGCAATTTGATGACAATTTATTATGTGGAAATTTTAGTAAATTCATTCCACAATGCAATTACAATACATAAATGAAGATAACCTTAAAAGATTTTAAGAAAAATAATTTACTTCTTAATTAATGGCATGTACATATATTGTTAGTATTAAAATATTGCAAAATGATGAGAAAACAAAGATTCTTTTTAAATTTAACAAAAAATAAGAAGATTACTGTCTTTTTTGAGAAATGTTTCTCAGATGCTACTGCACCTAATAACAATGAGAAAACAACACATTTCGGATATAAAACCGTCAAAGAAGATGATAAAGTAAAAGAAGGTATGTTTTATAATTTATCTGGACAATTTTTTCATTTTCCTTTGCTATATATTATAGTCAACTATATATAACAATATTGTATGTAAACATACAAAGATTCAAAATATAATAAAGTTTGTATAATTTTAGTTTCATAAAATATAGTCTTATAACTAATAAATGAAATAACAGTGTATGTAAATTTTAAAATATTTCATATCATTTTTAATCTTATTTTTATGATGTAAAATTTATCATTTTTTAGTATATACAGTTTTTGAGAAAGTAGCGAACTCTTATGATAAAATGAATGATGCTATGAGTTTCGGAATTCATCGTATTTGGAAAGATATATTCATTCAAAGGCTTGGACCAACTCATGGTAGCAAATTATTAGACTCAGCCGGTGGCACAGGTGATATTACATTTCGATATTTAAATTATTTAAAGAATATTCCTAATCACCAAGGTGTAAAGAGTTCTGTGACAGTTTGTGATATAAATGAGAATATGTTAGAAGTTGGTAAAGTAAGAGCAAAAAAATTAGGATGGGTAGATCAAAATGATTTTGATATTGAATGGATGCAATGTGATGCAGAAAAACTTCCCTTTGAAGATGATTCATATGATGCTTATACAATAGCTTTTGGAATAAGAAATGTAACACATATTGAAAAGGTAAATCAATCTTATAAAATTTTAATTAAATTAATATTGAATTTGAAAAATATATTCTTCTTCAAGTGCAGTTTGTATTAGTGCTAAATTTGAAAATGAAAATCTCAAGCATAAATGCATTAATTAAATTCCTATAAAAGCTTATTTTTTATGATGGAAAAATAATATTATAGGTACTTTCTGAAGCATATAGGGTACTTACACCAGGTGGTTGTTTCATGTGTTTAGAATTCAGTCATGTAGATAATAATATTCTGAAATGGTAACTAGTTAATCTTGAGATAAAGTAAAGATTATTTGAACTGGATAGTTATACATTACAAAATAAAATGTTTAGGTTCTATGATCAATATTCATTTCAAATAATACCTGTGTTGGGTACACTCATAGCAGGAGAATGGCAACCCTATCAATATCTTGTTGAGAGTATTAGAAAATTCCCAAAACAAGAAGAATTTAAAGTAAGTAATACAATGTGATAATAATGTGGTATTTACATTTTTAAGTTAGATATATATTTAATTTTTAAATATTATTTTAGCAACTGATTGAAGCAGCAGGTTTCAGAAATGTAACACATGAAAATTTAACTTGTGGAGTAGTAGCTATTCATTCAGGTTTTAAATTGTAATAAATAGTGTTATTTAATTGTATTAAATAATAAATTTCTTATATTCTTTATTGTATCAAAAAATTTAGTATAGATAAAATAAATTATTATATTGTTACATTTATTACTTGTAAGATAAATCATTTATTAAATATAACAATTTATTGAAATACTACTACTAAAAATAAATCATAATTTAGATGTTATTTCGAAATAAAAAATTTTTTATTTGTTTATCAATTACTTCTTTCTGTTCTTGAGTTAAATCAGTGATTTCAATTACTGTTGGCTTTTTATTTGCATTTAATTCTAATTTCAGGAGTGCATCCAAAGTTTTTACCTTTTGTTCTGCACTACGAAAATTCTGAAATATTTACACATTTTTTATGAAATATAAAATGCAATGAAAATATAATAAATATAAATAATATAAATATTCAAAAATATCAAATAATAATTCAAAATACCATTCTAAGTTCATGCTCAATTTCTGGGTTTTTTCTTAACTTCTTTTTTAATGAGAATTCTTGGACACTAAAACCTATTAAATTTTCTAGAACCTAAAATCATAAAAACTGTAGTTATTCAAAACATATTGAATTTTCTAATAAATTCTTTATTTTAAATAAATTATAATTCAACACCTTATTTGAGAAAGAAACTTCTATTATTCCGGTACCATCTGCTACTACAGCTTCCAAAATCCACAATGAATCTTTTTTTGTTAATTTTCCAACAACTTCAACATGACCTCGAATTGTTCTAAAAATAGTTTCGGTGACTGTTTCATTATTTATATCGCGTATAAATTCGCAAATTTTTGGTTCTCCTGGAGTATTTATTACTTTTGTAAATTCTGTAATTCGTCTATTTATTTTACTCTTTTTCAAAGGTACTATTTCGGGAGGAGAACTTGGAACCTGAAATTGAAAAGATTATCATATAACTAAAATGTTAATTTGCAAAATAAAAAGTTGTAGTTTGTATTTCTTAACAAAATATATAAATTATGCTGAAATATTAAAATAAAATCCATTACACTTCTTTTTTCGCCAGTTAATAAAGATTTTGGTTTTTCTTTTAATTTTGAACGAGAAACTGATGAATCTGATTTGATAGTAAACAACTTAGAATTTAAATGTGAAGAATTTTTTTTCTCAATTTTTCTAGAAACATCATATTTTACATCTGTTACTTCCTCGTCATTTATTATAATAATATCATCATTTCCTTCTTTTGGCAAAGTTCTAAAAGGTGTAATATTTTTCTGTTCTACTTGTGTTTCTATGAGTTGTCTTTCATCAATCTATAATAAAATTTTTTTGTTAAAACATTGATTAAATTTAAATTTTATATTAATTAATTTTGTAATAATTTCAGTTCTTAATAAAATAAAATATTGAAATAACCATTTCTAAAAGACAATCGTCATCGTCTAAGATTTTTTCAGTTTCATAATTAACTATTTTAATTTCAGTGTTAGTGTTTTCAATTTCTGTTTGAAAACAATCATCATCAATAAATACTTTTTCATTTTTATGATCTTGATCTGTTTTAATTTCAGTGTTAATTTTTGTCTTAATTTCTGTTTCAGCAGAATATTTGTTACATTTTTTATTGTCTTTTTTATGGGAATCTTCAATTTTAGAAACATCTTCAAAATTTATCTCAAAATCTTCTTCAAAAAAGCTATCATCTATTTGTGGTTCTTCATGTTTAATGGCATTTGATTTAGTGTCATTATCATTATAGGGGTCAGGATTTTCTGGAAGATTTCTGGAAATAATAAATATACATGTATAGAAATCAATATCAAGATTTTTCAAAAATATAATTTAATATTTAATTTATTCCAATTGGTTTATTTCATAACTTGCTTTTAGTTTTTTTATTGCTTTTTTTGAATTTTTAATAGTAATTAAAACTCACAGAGCTCTGGCTAAAACATTTTCCAATGCATTGGGTATTAATAAACTATCTACTTCACCACCAATTCCTTTTAATTTCCCTTCTTCTAATAACAGTACACCTTTGCGACATTTCACTGGACCCATTATCATAACTTTATATCCTGGTAGTAACATATCCTTAAAAAGAATGTTACAGTACCTTACACCATTATCATCTTTTTAAAATATCTTTTAATTTATGTTTTTAATAAAGAAAAAACTAATAGTGTTATTTTAACCCAATCAGATGTTTATTATTGAAAAAATGTAATTAACATCAACATACATTTAGTTGAGATATATAACTATATTCAATTCCAATTACATCTTGCAATCCATCTGTTAATCGTAATTGCATCATTCTTTTTTTAGGAGGTTCCCATTTTTCCATTTTTTCTGCTTCAGATAATTCTACTTCTGAGATATGAGTATTTCTAATTTGTTCTAATTGTTTATACTTTGACATTGCAATATCATACATTTGTTCTACCTAGATTATTATAATAAAAATAAATAATTTTTTTATCTACATAAATATACTACATATGTTGTATACCTGGAGAATGTAGTTCTCATTTAATACAATAAATTTTTGTTCTGAAAGATTGTGTGGTAAACTTCCATTCTCATTATTAATTTCACGTAAATCACTAAGTTGCCACTGTACCTTTACAAATTGTAAAATTTCTTGTGGGCTTGACTGGAAATAGAATTAATTCTAATAAAATGTATCATAAAAACTTATAATTTGGCGATTTAATATTTATTCAAGTTTGATTTTAATAATTGTACTTTAAAATTTAAAATATGCTTTAAATACATTACAGAGTTTTACAAATATTTGAAGTCAAATATATATATATATATATATTTAAAATTAATATTTACATTTTTATGCTGGTCTACATAAAACTCTATACAGTCTCTCAACCATTCATTATTCATTGAATAAAATTCTGATTTTAATTTGCTTTTTATTTGTCTAAATATGTTTTCATTCATATTTAACACTGTATTTATATAAAATTATAATACAATCTAAATCTTTGATGAATGACCAATAGAATATTTTAATTCCGATTCTTTTTTAACATTTATTTTGACACTTTTATCACATTATGTAAACAATTTCCTTTGTTGTTTGAATATATACACAATACATATCTATAGAAATTAAGCAATGAGTAATAAAAGAAATTTTATTGTTCTTGTAATATAAATTTTATAATTTTAATAAACCAAGCTTTAAATAGAGACACATGTCAAATGTGAGGTTATGTTTTAAAAGCGTTAGTTCCTGTCAAAGTATTCAAATTATTTAAGTGATATAAGAGGAAACAATATTTTATTTATTTATATATGTACTTGTATGTCAAATGGCATTTTTTATCTAATAAATAAAATATATATTTATTAATATATCTTTAGTCTAATAGTTTTATATATGATATTATATAATATATATGAAATAATTATGACAATCTTCTCAATTTATAAAAATCTTATAATGATTAATTTTTTTTTAAGATTCATAAAAAAATAAAAAATATTTCTGTTTATAAAAAAAATTATATTACTTGTTCAATATCACTTTATAGATGTACCAATAATAAATTACTTTATGATTTAAAGAACCATATAAATTCAAATTTATTAATTACTTATATTGTACAAAGTATTAATTTTAATGTCAATTTAAATTTGTGCAAATATAATGCATTTCAGTGAAAATATTTTTCATTAACACAGTAACTGCTTAGTCTTTAACTGTTTCTTTATTAATGCAATAATAATAAAAAAAACATGTAATGAGAATTCCCCAAAGATACATTGTTTCAGATAATATGTATGTTATATATTATATATCTTTTAAATCATAGTGATAATTATTTATAACCATTATAACTATAATAATTACTTTTAGTTATATTCAGTCATTGATATAGATATATACATATATAATTAATTTTTTTATTTATTTTGTCACAAGTAACGTTGTTATGGTCAACATTATCATCACAATTTTATTATTTCACAATAATTTCCATCCCTACAAACCAGTTCACTCAAGCCTATTTTTGGTCTTTCAAACATACATTTCTGCTAACAACCCTAGTGGGGGTGAGTTACCCTCAGTGGGGGGATCGAATTTAGAGGGGGAAGCCAGCCGTCAGGGCAACGCATGCCTTCTGATGTTTCAGTAGGCCGCGCGAGCTGATGCCGTGAATGTGTTGTTGTAAGGAGGTTATTCCTCCTTTTTTTCTCTTTTTATATCATCCGGTCTGTTTCTTTTTCACACAATATTCTCGTGCGTGATTCTATCCACAATTGTGCGACACATTGTTACGGATGAATACATGTCGATATAAATGTGTATCTTAAGGTACGTATGTACATGTAAAACGATAAAATGTATATATGTGTGTAACGTATGTATATCGGGTATATTAGTTAACGTGCAATCATAAATGGAAGATAGTTGTTTAATACTGCAGAACATATCGAATTTAAAATTCACCCACTTTTAACAAAAGGTTAGAAGTCCCACTTGAGAGAAGAGGAATGTGATAGGTTCCCATTCGTTGCATTTAATATTATAGTATGTATTTGCCTGTTTGATTAATTCAATATTTTAACAAATAATTATTTATTCAACAAAATGTAAATATCGAATATGTGCTAAAGTAACTACCGTTGTATAAGATCATTATTGCTTAAATTGAACAGCTCAAATAAATTTACATGAATTGATAGAAATAATTGATTGATATTTTCCATTATTGGTATGTTTCGAATGTATCGGTTACATAAAAATCGAACACAGTCAACTAGTCAATTTATCGTTTGGTTTTCAATTGATTTTATTTATCACTTAAATCATTTCTCCATACACTTTCTATACGTTTCAATGAAAATGAGTATATATGTATATAGACGCACGTATGATACATACGTAAAGGCAACATGCATATAGATAGATAGATAGATGGAACGTACATAATGTAATATTGTACATAGGTAACAAATAGCTTTTTTAAAAGCATCTAGCCGCCAAAATTGAGATTATAGTCGAGGTTGGAAATCGGTTGATTCATGATACTGTCTGACATACGGTCGTGATTTTTTTGAGTTATTGATTATCGAATACCCGTGTAACAAACTAAGCGTTTCTGGAATATTGTATGCTACCGTTTCTCTGTTATCCTCTTTCTTTCTTTCTTTTTTTTTTCTTCTTCTGCCTCGCTTACTGTTTTTGCCTTCTCTACGTGTACATTTTGCAAAAGCTTTGTGAACGGCAATTATTTAAAGGGGGAAGAAAAAAAAGGTCGTGTCTTCCGTTCCTTTTTCTTTTTTTTTCCATCATCCTCTTTTGTCCTTTTAACTGCCACGAACCAGGAAGACAATTTTTTCATGACATTTCCAAAGCACGAAATGTCAAAAGATGAGGTTATATTGGACATTGGAAGACGCGAATTTGATTAACGTATTGAAAGCATGAAATCCCATTATCCTCATTCGAAACAATATGTTCTGTTATTCCTTCGGATGTAAAACCGTATGTAAAATCGTGTTTGACAAGTATCAGCTAAAATGACGTGATATTGCTTTTCAAATTTTCTCTCTGTCTCTCTGCGTACATTTATTTACATATTTGTTTCATCGCGGACATAATGTAATATGGGCTCAGGCAGTGCGCGGTATGCACATGAAAGAAATAAAATTTATGACGTACATGGCAACACGTTGAAAAGACACAGATAGTTGCTCTAATGGTATTTTAATATTTACTCGCTATTGGAAATCGTTTCTTAAGTATTCGCGCGTGATGACATTTTAAGTCATCGGGAGCATTGCACTTTGGGAAATTTGAAATTTCGACGTCTTATGTGATAGAAAATATAGATGATAAATTTTAGTGAAAAAAATATTCTACTTTTTAAATAGTGTATTTTTTTGGAATCCTAAATTTTCACATTTTATGCGCTCTAACATGTATCAAATTTCAGTGAGAAAGAGTGGAATGGCTTGAATAAATTACACCAAATTCTAGTGAGAGAAGTAGATATCTTGAACATTGTACTCTCTGAAATTCGAAATTTCAATAGTAATGTATATTAAATTTCAATGAGAAAAGTAGGATATTTTGAAATGAAATAAATTCTAAGTTGTGAGGTATATTATGTTCTAGTGTTATTCAAATTTGCTAAAGTATTTATTTTCAATTGCAATAATTCTTAAGGTAACTATGCTTCAGACAATAACGTTCTTGAACGAATATATTATAGAGCAAGTTGCAAAATGTTGAATATTGTTAAATATTTTCCAAGTTCGACAATAAGGCGTTAAAAATAAAAGTGATTTAAACGGTAAAGAATTTCATTAGAAATAATACTTGTCAAATGTGTCATTATTGTAATTTGTAATGTTGAAAATATTAATACATAAATATTAATTAATATATCTAATTGGAAAACAAGAACTATCCCAAGAAAATATAAAAGAATTTAGGCTTCATTTTATTTTAGAGAAACAGGGAGAACGCTACCTCGAGCTTACAGGAATAAAAGAGGAATTTGGTTGGTATCTTGAATAATTCCCGACCAAATGGCTTGTAACACTTCACACGACCCATTTTAAAAATACAAGAATGCAGTTTATCACTATGTAAAATTACCAATTGATTCAATTTCCTATGTTACTGAAATACTCAAGTACGTTCTAAATAAACTTAATATTTTCAATCATCATAATTTATTATTAGTAAATTATGAAATTCTATTCTAAACTGATTTTTGACTAGTCATTTCATTGGCAATTTCATCATTAATTACATTATTACACCATGAGGAACTTTTTATTTTTAATAGTATAAACAGTAAATTCTCACATTTGATAATTAATTAAGTTTCTTCTCTTGTTCAAGTTTTAATTAATGATATTGATGTTGATTGTGTTAGACGAAAAAAATAAGGAAATTCTGTTGTCGAAATTACCAAACGTAGTTCATTACAAGCATTCTAATTGAGACAGGGTTTTCAGGGTTTCCTTTTTAAACTCTTAGTGTGCGGTATTTCAATTTAATTCAAGTGCTCTTTATGCGTGTGCGTGCGTACACATGTGAGTGCCTGTATTTGTCGTGTAAATATCTGAAGTGTTTCTAAATTTATATACGTATAGTTCAAATTTTTGAGATAACATGAAATGATGCAAACTAGCTATAAATAGACAATCAATGATTTCAAAGAAATTATTAACGTTCAATAAATATATATTGAAAACATTTTTATGATATTAGTTAAGAAATTTATATACCACTGCTGAAAAGATTCGAAATCATAAAACTGATTTTTTTAAATGATTTAATTAGAGCTATCATTTTTTACAAACTAATTGAAAATAAAACATTCTAACGCGAATGTCGAAATATCTCAACAAAAAAACATATATTTTCTAGATTTAAATCATTTTCGTAGTGTATATCCTAATGTACATATCCGTCAGTATTACAGGATTAACAGAAATGACGATAAAAAAAAAAAATAGAAAACAAAACAAAATATAATAATTTGAGGAATAAATACTATTTTATCAGCGTAATGGTAAAAGTTTAGAATTCTCATTCGTTAATGCATCTTACTTACAGAGTTACTACCTTGAAAGCTTTGAATAATTTTCGTCTAACTTAATCCACGGTTTTAAAAATCGTAATCACTAAAAATATCATAAATTATTTCATTCGCTTAAATATTAGTCGAACTGTACGTTATACGTTCCTAGATAGAAATTTAATATTTGTAAATTTGATAATTCGTCGTGTTCACTGTAATTTAACATCTGCAACTACACCAGCTGTTTAGAATCTGCACGTTGCTCGTTGTATCCATGAACAACTGCTTCCAAATTTATGGCATACGTACGACTGTGTCGGGTGATATTTAATACAGTTGACACTGCGAAATTAGAAATTTAGGAAAGGCATAAGTGAACGACGATGAAGAGTAAGGACGCAAATCGTAGAGGAATCGAGTGCACAGGAAGGGAATATTACGAAAGAAACTAATTTTATTATAAAAAGTGAACTCTGAATTGATCCGGTGGTTCGAATAGTGACAATTGAAATGTGATAGAGAGAAGGGGAGGCAACAGCACACAGTTCAGGAGAAGAATAATATGCGCATAAAAACGTCGCGAAAATGTTCGTCAAAGAAGGCTCCTAGAGAGGAAAAGTTACAAACGAAGAAGAGATACCTTCTGGAGATGGTCGCCTCCTCAGTGATGAAGACAAGAGGCAATCGTGAAACTTGAGGTGAGTTTTTAAAATATCTAACAGTCCCACAACTGAACGATGGTCTAGATTTCGGACTGCAAAAGCTTGTTGGGCACTAAGGTACGAAGTTTTGAAATTACAAATCCTCAAAATCTGCTATTTCGCTTTTCAAATACAAATCTTCGAGTACCCCTTTATTCTCGAAGTTGCTCGCTATCCTTCGCGAATAATTTTGAACTTTTAAGACAAACTTTGTCTTTTTTCTTTCTTTTTTTTTTTTTAAATTATCTTCGCGACAACCTTGGGAACATTTTAAACGAACGAAACGAGAGGATCGGCATTATTTTTCAAATAACACACTCCAAAACACTAGGGCCGGTAATCGGATTAGTTTAAACGAAGAGTGACTCAAGTTGTGACGAAGCATCATGATATTCGCGTTAGACCAAGACCGAGACCGAGACCCCGAAATGGGTGTTCCAGCAGGGAACATTATCAACATCAGAGAGAAAGCAGAGAGCCTCAGTGAACCGAGGACATGTTTCTCTTTAAAAGAAATTAGCAGTGATATCTTTCAGGGCTCTTGGCCTCCTCTCGAGTGCTCTAGAGTACAGAGTGCAGAGTGCAGAGTGCAGAGTGCAGAGTGCAGAGCATGAGGTATTCAGTTCTCGTCGTACTGCTGGCGTCCTTATTAACGATACAGTGGTGCGAACTACGTCTTTGTCACGGTCGAAAATTCTAAAATATGTGGAAAAATTAGAAATAAAGAGACCGATATTTCACATTGCGAAAGATTCTTCATATGGAGCACGATTCCGTTTTTTCGGGAGTCGCATGAAATGGAATAGATATTAATTGAACGATATATGTACATTTTGATTATTTGTTTGTTTCTTGTCATCCTTTTCATTGGAAGTTTATTCAATTTTATTATTTACTTTTTCATTGGAAGTTTATTCAATTTTATTATTTACTTTTTATCTCCGTTTTGTTTCTTTGTGTCTGCATATTTTTATTCGCACGAAATTATACGCAAGATTTTCGTAATTATACAGCGGAGCTTTAAATGGAACAAAATTCAATGGGATGAGAGGCCGCATTAAAATCAGTCTGAATCGGACGACCGGATAATATTCGATCATTGAAAAATGAAATTTTCACGTTTAAATTTAATGCCGGAACGTAAAAAAAACGATCTAAATACAAATGTGGCAAATGCAACATTTAAAGGGTTTAAAGTGCATTATTGAAATAACATTATTGAAATAACAGTTGAGTTAAAGCGAAAGCGAGGTTCAAATATATAATGTGTTGTTTTTTCATTGAAATCAAATTACTGGCTGGTAATTTACACGATGGTAACTTTATACACGCACGTATAAAAATATTCGATTGTAATCTGTATACTTGCTGAAAATGCTCTACAAAGTAATTATTGTCTCTAATATCATCGGTAGAAAAATCTTTACTTTTGAGTCATTTTTGCATGTCGAATCACTCCCTGACCAATCGTGTTACAATTGCAGGTACTTAAATTGTACATAGCTACGAATATATTTCAACTGTTTCGTTGTAATAGTTATATCTTGTTGAAATTTTGATTGTAACAAATATGTTTTTCTTTTTTTTTTTTTTTTTTTTTTTTTACAAATGCATGGGAGGAACACGCAATATATATCGAATGTATCGAAATAACAAGTGATACGATAAGTGTTAAAAGTACAGGAAGGAAGTGCGTATATCCCGCAAAGAGTGCTCCATAAATATCGGAACCTGTCGATTGGTTATTATCAATTATCCACTCCAGCTCTTCATCAAACAACCACCGGAACCCCCTATCTTTACACCTTTTATACGCAGACTGCTCGTGTTCCGTTTAGTAAAAAAATGTTATCAGTTATCAGTTAGTTGTTATAATGGAAGATCAGATAAAAACAGCACTGCCAAGAAACCGGGGAAAAATTTAAATTCACCGAAATTCATAATTTCATTTCACCCGGGGAGAAACTAGGTTTTTCCGTTTTACTTTTTAAAGAGTGACGTTTGAATTTCTATACTACTAATATTGGATATATTGTTGTATCAATATCAATTCAAAGTTTTTTTTTCAGGATATTGTTTCTAAAATATAATAAATCTATTTGGCAGAAAATAGATAGTTTTGCACGTCATTGTAAATTAAAAGGCTATCTGTTATTTAAATAAGTATAATTTCTAGACTTTCTGTATTTCATTTGTCATTTGTCAAATAATCATATTATATATTACGAGCAATTGAACGAAATTTTCATCGAGATCATGAAGTATCTCAAGGTACAATGGATTTTCATTAAAACGCCGTCCGCTTTGCACTTGATTCACTCAATCAACATCTATTTTATATATTAGATTAGGCGATCAAGTTTAGCGTGCGGTTATTTATATTTATTTCACAATCGTGCCGAGTTTAACAAACACAAACAAGCTGCACTGTGCTTATTTGCATGGATGAAATTTCTTAGAAATCTAGATTCTGTTTAAAAGAGAAATGCAACGATAAACAACGACTCCAAGGTTGAATGGCTCCGAGGAGGCTCCTAGATTCTTACAATTAAAGAATTACTCAACTTACACTATCGTTGACCATCGTGTCTCTTCGATCGATCTTTCCAACTTCGCCGGCGTCGAGACGAATTTCGAAATCACTTTCTGCGATTTTCCCTCTGCGTGGCGATGCAGCGCATTCGTCTGAAATTTTTCGAACTTGCGGAGAGAATGATTCCTATCGACAAGGAATTTCGAAATGTAAACACAGGCATTGGCGAGGATGCAATCCACTAGAATTTCTAGAAATCTATAAATTGCAAGAGCTTCGTTCTCGGAATTTTTTCGGTCTTTCGTTCGTTTGGATTGTTTGTCATGATCGATCACGAATTGCTGTGTCAATGGATATGTTGAAAAGATGCGTTTTACCCGTTTGTTTTCGAGAGGGTAGGTGATATCGGGTGCAGCAAGGATGAACTCGCGGCCGTGGGTAAGACGGAGATGACCACTAGATCCGTGCCTCGTCCTGAAGACGAAGACGAGGAGGACGAGGAAGAAGAGGAAGAAGAAGAGGAGGAAGAGGAGGAGGAAGTCGACAAGGAGGCTCGTTCGAGTCTACGATATCACTGCCACTGATATCCTCTCTCTCGTCGCATCGATGCCGACTCCTGCGTTCATTGATAAAGGTAAATTTTCCAGGTCAATCGTCGTTTCAATCTTTTAGAGACCTTCTTTTTTTCCTTAGAAAAAAAAAGAAAAAAAGAGAAAAGAAAATGCTTGCATCACGTATATCATATGGTATTTCAACGAATACTCTGATCTACAAAATTTAATGTGATCATTTTTGATCATTCTAATTCTTGGAGAATTAACGTAGATTTTATATTTGTTTTCCTTTATACAAAAACCAAGGTGAAATTAGAATTTTATGATTTGCAAATACTAATAAGAAAATCTACAATTGATGTCTATCTCGATTTACCAAATGTTCGAATTGTTGAAAGTGTGAAGGGGGAGAGGGCAACGATACAACGAACGTGGAAGTGATATGGAAAATAATTGTTCATAATTTGAACATAATGCTTTCTGTATAGGATAGAGGGGATTCCTTTCGCTCGGTAAAATCGGTCAAACGAATCTTAACCTAATCGAATTGTTTACGCTCGAGGCCTTGATGCTCGCCAGATCACCAAAGAAATTTCGGAAACGAGCTGTGGGATATATGCCCCGGTTACGAAACTTGTTTTCTTACAAGCTTGCTCGTTTTTCTGCGCCGCTTTCATCGCGGCGATTATTTTTCACAGGGGAATTCCTCCAATTTCCTACTGGTGTTTATCCTTTGAGACAATAGAGATGCTCTTCCCATAATGAACAAATAAAAATTGATCTCGGAAAAACAATAGAGATTTCATTTGGCTTAAGCGAATTTCCTTTCATTCTGTTGGGATACTTGGAAAAAAGGGGGAAAAAAAAGTCATTATCCGTGGAAGTAACCGACGATTTGAAATGACGAATAAAATAGAAATTACCGTGGAAGGTACGAGATTAAATTCTGTTGGAGCAGATCCATCTGTATAATGAAATCAATCTTGTATAATTTAATTAACATCGGTTTCGAAGTATACATACCACCGAATGTACACGTGCAAGTCGCTGGCATTCTCGCTTCGATGAAAAACGCGATTAAAATAATAGTTTCGAAGAATCGAACGTTCGGCTGATCGAACATCTACGGCCACATTGAAGTGAATGCGAGCCGAAGGCCGCGGTCTAAATTCGTCTCTCGTTGAATTTCAGTTCTTATTCTTCCTCTCATGGATTCTACATGGTGACCTTGGATCATTGACACTACAAATTGATCGTTTATCTCTAAGACGACGATTTCTCACCTACGATTTCCTCCCACGTAACAATTTTTATCACTCCAATAGTGAATTCAACGCGATAATTAACGAGGATGAAGAAGTTGCACGAGATTTCGCAATCATTTCTCTTTCGGGACAGATTTCGAATGACAGAAAACGTGGAACAACGATCCATCAATCGAATTGAATCTTCACGACGGTGGGAAATCATATTCCCCGTGGAACTCATTTCGGGCGTTTACTTCCGCGAAAATAAAATTTCTCGCTCAAGACGTCCCGGTAGAAACTCCAAGAGAACGATGCATGCCCGTAGTACGTGCAAACTACCCAAGTACCTACCTTTCTGTCGTTTTTCTTACTCATTTTTTTTCCCCCCTCCTGCTTCTCCTCTGTTTCCTTGGAGTTTCGCCAGACTATTATTCTCGAGGAATCTTCTCTCTAAAACTCGCCGGGTCAACTTTCGACTCGAAATAATTTGTTTTCCTTTTTTTTTCGTCTTCCGTAAATGGTTTAGCTATAACATGGCACTGCGGTCTCAACACGCGAACCTTGAGCTACTTTAAAGCGGCACCGGGCTCAATTTGGGCGACTATCTCCCTCAAGTAAGAAAAAATGCAGGAAGCATTGAAAATCTTTCGCAAAAGGGGTCCGTTCATAGGTCGGCCTATATCAAGCTTGACCTTTATCCTATCCAGTATGCTGAACATTTTTTCTCTCTCTCTCCTCAATTTCATCGTCCCCGATAGGTGATCCATCGAATGCCGATTGTCCAATTATGATTTAATTAACAACGCGTGTTCTTCCTCGAGAAACGATTTCTGATCGTGTGTCGTTGATCGTATTGTTGATATTCTACTATTGGATTGGATTGGATTGGATTATGCGATTAATTAATCAGTCCTTATGATACGTTGAATTTCACGGGATTAAAAGTTACGTTGGATTTTAATTGAATTTCCGGGATGTCGTTGGAAACACGGTAAAGAGGAAGAGAAAAATTCATTCACTTGTAGAAAATTTATGCAGCATGTGCATGTACATACGTAATGTATGTAATATACAAAAGTATATAAAATAGACGAAATATTCAGTAGACGAAACGAATTTGTATTCTTTTTGGTTGTTTTCACGAAGAATATCTTATATATCTTCACATTCAGTCCATGTTCATTTGGTCTACAATGTAGAGCAACAAATTCGAATTTTTATGTGATATCAATCAGAAATGTTGACCGAACCGATAGATCGAATCCGATGATGAACAAGGTTGATTGCAGCTGATTATTTTGATGACCCCCAGCGTACAATGGCTCTCGTGGCAAGCGAATGGACACGTTTTTTAATAGGTCAAGTGTGAACTACTAATTACACCGGATTCCATCCTTCGCAAGACCCTCTTTACTGGGTACGTTGATATCAAACGTATTATAGAAATCTTTTCTTCTATCTCGTTGGTAGAAATAATTACAAATGAATTAAAGACGTTCTCTGACATTTTAGAGCGTGTTCGATTTTTTTGAGAGAAAAAAAAAAAAAAAAAAAAAGTAATCTTGAGTTTCTGGATCTACGTTAAAGTCGAGTCCAATTTAGTAACGTTTCCACGATTTTATTGGCAGTGTTCATTGTCTATTGTATATCTTACTATAAAAAGTAAAACGATACTTTCACACGGGTTGAAATGCGCGTTGATCTCCGCTCGTGTCACCATCATTCTAAGCCGGTTAATTCATAATTCCTTTCATCCATTGGAGCTACGTCATGCGTGTTAGAGCTGATGCAAAATTAATGCCTTGGAGAAAGCATTTCTAAATAACCGATATCAACACGGTCTCAATAAAGAATTCATCAACGCCTTTTTAAACGGAGAAGGAGACGGTGAAAAAAAGATTAAGGGGAAACGAATGGAAAGGCGATCGTTTGATCGTCTCGTTTTAAACCGCACCTTTGGTGTCTAGAACACGAGGAGCACGGCAAGGCAGATGGTTAATTTCGATAAGGCGGTGAGCTTATTATCGAGTGGGTGGAGAGCGGAAGGCAGCCGATGTAAGCACGTATCGTAGCTTTTGTGGCTGGCAGAATGGATTCCATAATGAGATGCCGTGTAAACTGGGACATCTAATTATACTCGAGTGCACACCACTCCAGAAACGTTCGGTCGTCCCTGGAGCTCGAGCCTGGCTCCTGTCGAAATGATAACGAATATTCAAGGATCACCCGACAACGAGGCTTTACAATACCTGATGATCGTAATTTACTCGCTTTTATGGCCTTTCGGTAACGTTTGCCTCCGATGGGATCGTATCGGCGAACGAAAAATTTTACGACGCGCAATTTCGATTCAATTGAACATGTAATTTCGATTTATCAGGCTGTGAGAGAAAGATATCATCCTGAATCACCATTCGATTCCGCTTGGTTAAAGGTTTGCGAGATGGCCAGATGTATTTCATAACATGGGAAACTGGGTGAGCCCGCATTGCTCGATACGAAGACTTCATAACTCTTGATAATATATGGATGAGAATTGTCCGGTTTTCGATGTAGCGGGATGAAAATATCAGGGCAGCCAGAGAATTTCAAGTGCGGCCGTGTTACATTGGCACGAGGTAGTGTGGAGCTTTGTGTATTTATTGCTGAGAGAACCACAAATTGTGCCTGTAGGTCTTTAGAAAATTAGAGGTCTACAGGTCTAATTAGAAAATTAGAGTTTAACGATGAAATTTGTGAGAACGTCATCGTTTCGTGTGATCGTTGCAAAAATGTTCGACATTGACCCTCGGCAGCTAGGGGGAACTAGTGACCCAACCAACTGCCAGTTCCTCCCGATTGCGGTAGATTGGAAACGTTCCTGGAAATATCAGTTATCGAGCATTCCAAATGGTAAAGAGAAAGAATGAGGTTGGAGGGTGAGCAATGAGAGCAACGGGGAGGATGAACGATACCGAGAAAGAAGCAATCACCAGAAGAACAATCAGTCCTAAGTATGAGCTTTTCAAGCATCATTCGTATCTCTCCCTCTCTCTCTTTCTCTCTTTCTCTCTCAAACCATAACGATTCCTATTTTCTCTCATTCATTCGTTATTCTTCATCTTTTTACACTAATTCAAAGGCCTCTCTCAGAAGATCCCTCCTTCAAACGCCAAGGAAAATTAATTTCTTTGTTACTCCTGCGCGAAATGCGTCGAGGCATTAGACTCGCAGTAAATTAATCTCTTTGCTACCGAGAGAAATATAGAAACCCGATTAACAATTGAATGCACAAACACGTCACACGTTAATGGATTAGAAACCTGAGGAAAAGAAAGAAAGGAAAACAAAAACTGTCTATGTAACTCTCGTTAAAGCAACATGCGAATATATTTGTCTCTGCGACGTTCGACCGATAAGGTCTCTCTCGTCTACTAATCGAAAAGGAGATCAAGCGACAGTCCATTAAGTAATTAGATCTAACTAGACGTGTGTATCTACGAATATTCGCTATATACCGAAACGTACACAGAGACTCAACGTAGACGCAGATATATATATATATATACATGGAACAGCGTTGCTCGAGTTCCTTTTTACGATCTTAACTGAACACCATGGCGCGAGTTCTTTTTATTTCCTCTGAGATGCATGAGGGGGAACATTGTACTATCAAAACAGTGACAAGAAAAGGCAGAAGCAACAGTGAGCCGGCCGTGAGCTTTGACCCGGTGACCTGTAGTGCGTGGGCTGGAAAGAGGGCATGGAGCAACGGGAGGGGTTCTTTCTCCTCTTGCAGCCTGGAATCGATACCTGGCTCCCCTGCCAGCTCAACCACCCCGACGAGTCCTCCGTCTACCCTCTCTCCACCCCAAGTTGAAATGCCTTCGACCGCCTACCTGCCCCATATCGATTTCCATCCGACACGACCCCTTTTGTCCATCATGAAGAAAAGGACGATTTCTTTCTTGATTGCTTTACAAATTGCTCGGTCTTTGCCACCGGTTAAGGGGCGCGATGTATCGCCACTGTATGAGAACGTAGCGTGGTCATAAACCACGATGCTTATCTAAAATAATGGTAACAATTGACGTTACAGGGCACACAGGGCCGTAGGTACGGATCTTCTTCTCGTATGTACAATCGAATGCTTAAACGTCTTTCGTTTTTTTTTTTTTTTTTTTTTTTTCATTTTAATTTCTTGGTGTCAGATCGATGGCAAGTGGCAAAAGATTAATATAACGACAAAATGGTCAAATTTACGAATCCTTTTGTTGATGAATAAGAAAGAAGGAAATTTTTGTAAACATGACGATTAGAAAGATGAGAAAAAAAAAAATTTTGCTTCTATATATCGTTTAATTCATCCATACAAGGAAATTATTCACGTAGAATTCTCTGCCTCTTCAATATATTCAATCTGTATTTAAAACACTTTCTTGGTGTTCGAGAGCTTCGAAGACAATTAAAACATACATCAACCATGATGCATTTGTAGCAAACGATATTTAAATTGTATCTACGTCACAACGATGGAACGAACTTAATGTCGAGATATGTGTATATATAAAATACTTGAACGAAATCTTGAACTCCTTCTGAGCCTCGTAAATCTGTCGAATCTTTTATTTCAATGAACGTAAGTACTTGAACGGCCCTGTTGATTTTACAACACAACCGATAATCTGTATATTCCCGTTCCATTGACTATAGTTCGACACCACGAGTACTCCCACGTCTTAGGTGGTTTCACAGTGGTTAGTTTCTCGGTGCAGCTCGATTTCATAAATTGAGTTTGCCAGAATTGTCGGTATATGTGTATTGTCAGTTATCAATTTGGCTCTGCCAGATAGACGCAAATTTCATTTGTATATGTATACGTATCTGCAATTGAAAAGCGAGATGTTTCGATGGTTGTTTCACAGAAGCTGCTGCTCTTGATGCATTACGTTCGCAGAGAAATATAATATGAAATACGTGGGATTGATTTACGAGATGCTTCCTTGGCTCCGATGAGATCCATTAATCAAAAAAGACAATTTATCTGTCGTGGACACTTATTTATCAGAAAGTAAAAACGCTGTTTGGCGGGAGACTTAATTTTGGACGATTGGCGACTGGAGATGATTTCAGTTACATATGCGGCACGTTATGTTTGGTCTTTTTCACAGGTCTACGTTTAGTAGATCGCTTTGAGAATTACTGATCATTCTTTGCCAATCAAATTGTTTGCTCTACGGAATGAATCGGTAACAAAAATTTATTGATCCGATTTGAATGGACAATTAAAAAAATGTCCCCATCGATTATGTAATGATTCGGAAGTACAGAATTCCAATTAGACAGCATGTTTCACGATCTTTCTGTTATTCAGCTAAAATTAAATAATTTCAGGAGACGAGTAAATAATATAAATTACATAGATATTGAAATAATTAAACTTGAAGTTTAGGTTGGTAATATAGTGCATTTATAGTGTAGATCCTTCATTGAATCATTAAGCGTACAATAAGTGTATTTGCCTTATACTTGTACCTTATACTTTATTACTTTACACTTTATACTCGTGGACTTTTGAACACTTTATATTCGATCGTAACAATTATAAAATTATTTAACGCTGAACTTTTGCGTTGCATAATGATAAAAATCCACGTGGAAATAACAGACATCGATTTCGTAATAAAAAATACTGTGTTGTACATTTAATGAAAGACGAGTTCGAGTCTCTCCTCAAAGGAAACGAAGAACAGTGATGAAAAGCGACCGAACGAATTCTTCGTCGCTAGTGAAACTTCGGAGTTTAGCTTCCCCTTTGGCTGCTCTCGCGACTCATTTTTGATGATAAGAAAGAAGTTCTCGATAGAGGATAGAAATTCAAGGAATTTTCCGTAACACTCTCTTTACGGGAACGAAAGTAATTACTTCCAACTGATAATGTGACAGGCAACTCGTCACAAAAAAAAAAAAAAAAACAAAGATTAAAGAAACGTTAATTGCTGTAGAAAAAGCGATACGGAAAACTAGAATTTGATTCTTATATTTAGGACGAAAGTTTATGAGGTACGTGTACATGCGTGCGATATCCCATAAAATGTGATAGTTAAATGAATGACAATTGGCAGAGACTTCGCTCCTCGTTCCACTGAAATTTATGCGGCGATCATTTTATGGAAGCTTGCTTGTTATCAATGCTATTGGCAAATAGCTTTAAAGCTCTCGGAGGATTTCGTAAGATAGAATCCTTGAGGGTTACCGCACACCAGCCACAGGTTGTCGTCCTCGTTCGCTTAAATCGACCTATTAACCCCCTTATTCAGTGCTTCCTAAGCGAAATCTCGGAATTTCGACTGAGTTCACCAGGAATTCCGTTTCGTTGAACATCTAAAGAACGGTGTCTATTCATTTCTTCCCCCCCCCCCCCCCCCCCCCTCTCTCTCTCTTTCAATCACTCGAATTTTTCAGCTCTCCAAACTGCAATCTTCGTCGAAATTTTACCTCTTTGATTATTAGACATCTCCCTCTTCAATTTTTTTTCTCCTCTTTGCAAACGATCGTTTAATTTTACGCAACCTGCCTTAGAAGGGCGGAAGGTAGAATTTTTAGCGTTACATTTTCGATTCCTATTTCAAACGTTTCGTAACAATAGCTAAAAAGGGAATATGACGAATTTATGGACAGGAATAAATAACAAATTGTTCTTGGACGATGTCGAGTTGTTTGCGGATTAAATCTTTACCAGATGTTTCATCTTTGTTTTCGCACGTTTTATACAGCGTTTAGTGTAGTTTGTTGTACTATCGATAACTATGCGCTGGCAGAGCCGTTTTTCGAAATCGGTGTCTCATGGAAAATGAGGTGGGTCAAATAGGAATTTTGTTCGGAGAATGGCGAAGCGTTATCAGTGACAGGAGACTTATCGAGACGTTCGTAAGACAGGCTCCATTGATTCTCTAGCTTGGAATCAATATCCAGAACCTTCGCGGTATGACTACAACGCTTATGTATGGGCTGAGCCGAGCTGGACCACTTGCTTATTTGCTAAAATCATCACGCTATCGGGAACTTCTCTATTTATATCTGAAATATATTATATCCCGGTAATTTTGATGTAAAATTTTTTTACTCTTTATTTATAAACGACATAATAAACCGCGAACGTTCCAGCAATAGGACGTGACGTTCTTTTTATTATTCGTCGTCAATTAAAAAGTAATTAGCGCGAAACCATGGCCGAGGGCTTTCGTAGGATCGGGACCCCTTAAAAAAAAAATATATCTCTGTCCTTTGTTCCTATTGTTTCGCCGGCCTTTTTCATTTTATCTTTGTTTTCAAAGTGTTCTTCGTTCTCGAGGTAGCGGCTCTCGATTGAGTGCCACTCTATAGGACACCCCTTCAAAGTTCCGCGCTATTGATTATCACTGGAATTCGATAGCCACGCTATGACTTTTCCGAACCAGTACCACCACGTGGATCCAATACTTTTGCACCGATTCAACAATAAGATATCTTCAATAGATAAAAATTTATATGTTCTTACGACCTCAATGGCCCATCACTGTTTTAACAGTTAATTTCCTTCTACGATAGTTTATTTATTAATTGATTAGTCAAAAACGAAGTTAGACATTCAATTGCTTAATCAAGCCAACGTATGAAAATCTTTAGAACAATCTCTTTGCACCTTTTGAATCAACTGATTGTTAAAGGGACAAAATAGTTAATTTACAAAGGGACAAAATAGTTAATTTAAAATAGTTAATTTACAAAGATTTGACAAATTGTCTTTCCTTCTCTTCTTATAGTCTTCCAAGTCTTCTTATAGTTTTTTATAAGTTTCAAGTCAGACTATTGTCTGTCGTGCTTTTCGATTGATGTGAAAACGAATCTAAAGTCGTGACACAGTCTCTGTACGAATTATAATTTTCTTTACTAAACTTTTGTGCCAGAATCAATTCAAATACTTTTGTTACTCTTTTGTGAAAAACAACAGATTTGCACCAGCAGTAGGAAATATTCTAAAACTTATAGTCGGTTTTTCTTTTTTTTCTCTTTCATCAAGATTTATTTGTGAGCAAGCATGTCCATATACTTCCATACCAAATTTTTCATTAATTAATTAAGAGTATGTTTGTTTGCGTAGATATGGGGAGTGTCGTAGGCAGCAACGTGAACGTAAGCAACGTAACGACGAGGAGGATGGACTCGACGACATTCCTGCCGGAAGCGACGTCGACACTCAGCGAGCGGGAGCAACTCAAAATTGAATTTTACAAAACTTACGATGTTATGACCGGGATCAGAATCGCAGCGACTCTCGGTGGTTTTTTCGGTCTTATGATCCTTCTGCTTGTTTATAAAAGCAGGTAAACTCTCTTTCTCCCCGCGGCTCACCTCTTGTTCCTCTTTTTTCTTTTTTTTNTTTTTTTTTAATAACAGACTACATTTTCGGAATTAAATGTAATTGTTGCATCTCGAAGTAGTACGATTCTGTTGTCGAGTATCTGGGGAAAGTTGTTTTTATATGGCCAGAAAGGATATAAATATGAGGGAGAGGGTAAAAGAAGGATATGTGGGATAGGTGTAAATCGAGCAAGCAGTTAGAGGATCCAAGACTGACCGCAGCTGCAGCCGCAGCGGTAGCTGAAGCAGAAGCCGAGGAAAGAGCCCTCGCAGCCGCCCTCGAAGCCATTGCCAGATTACCACCGAGACCAGATCAGGGACCTAGAAGATCTCTTTGCGTCGAGGTCGGTCTATTCATTCGTTAAATTAAACTAAAATATATTTCTATGCCTGATTGTCCTCTCTCTCTCTCTCTCTTTTTTTTTTTTTATTGACACTCGTAACCATAAAACCTCTACAAATTCATAAAGTAGATTTTACAAGTTATCTTGTATGAAAATTGTAAAATTGTGAAGGAGAGCTCAGTAATCTTCACTAATCAATTATTAACTGGTAAATCAGTAAGAAGCTACTGGCTGTTTATTAGATTTCGCTATAAAATAGTTTTACTCGATGAATATAAGCATAGGATTTCCTAAAAGAAACTTATACTTTGGTTAAAGATGACTCAATCTCATTTGCCAAGAATTGGTCCACGTTTCGCGTCGGTTGGGGGTGGCTACGAGGCTCTATTGACAGCGCCAACAAAGCAACCGAATCTGGTACCTCCTGAAGAGCAAAGAAGATGCAGTTCAGTGACGTGTAGCAGCACAGGGAGTAGTTACCTCGAGAGAAGAGGCTCTGCGATGCCGGTGCCATGTTTGCCGCTTCACCCTACGTTTTCGACGAAATACGCTGCCCACGACGAACCCTGGGATCTTTATTATCCTATTGATATTCAGGTGAATGGTCAAAATCATTTCTTTTGTTCAATCTCAAAATTTGTTACTCTTTAGACAATACAGATTTTATCTTATACTTTGTTATTCGTTTCGCTGCTGTTAGAAACAAATAGATGGATCATTTATTTAATTTATTTAGGTAATTCAACCAACCCCAGAGCTTTCTCCATGCACAAGCGAAGCAGGTCTTTACGCGAACGAAATGATGGTCACAGGAACTAGCGGCAAAAGAGCACCATTAGCTTCCATGGGTAGTGTCGATCCTCCGGAACCAGACTCGAGGTTAGTCGTCTAGAAATTTCAATAGAAACTTCATTTTTATCAGTAACCTCGTTTCAAATTGATCGTTATCAATTTTAATGTATCTCGCGTGTTTATTTTGTAGTTTTAACAACTCGAGGTCTCTTGGTTCCGACTCGGTCTTCCTAACAAACGACGAGCAAGAAGAGTGTCTCGATACAGAGGATGAAGTGTCTGGGTTCTCGACCGACTCCGAAGCACCCGGGCCAAGTTGTCGACGGTTTCTTCGGGTACCCTCGAAGAAGAAGAAAACGGTCGAGAAATGGGATGGTTGTGCTGGATGTGTCCCTAGACGGCGGCCTGGAGGCAAACCTTGTCAAGCTTGTCGTAGTATTAGTGCAGCTGTTGAAACATCTAGGTATATATCGTTATTGAGGATTGTTCGTTGTTGAGGATTTTCAATATTTTTCACGTATACGTGCCATGAAACTAAAATCAAAAAATCACTATATTACATGTCTGTAACAGATATTTTCTTTTTTTTTTTTATATATATATATAGAAATTTGAGATTACACGTTTAATTAAATCAGTTGTTATTATATTCGATTTACAGAGACGACCATGTTAATATCGAAAATAAACTTTTGGATAATAAAATTCTTACAGTATATACATATTACACAAATGTGTAATATGTAAATGTCCAGCATACCACTGGTTGAGAACCGCTGGTTTGTTTTTTTTATTTAAAAACAAATAATTTTATTTTTAAATCCTTTCTATATCATTATTATTTATAATTGTAATACTTTCTTCTAATTTGCCTTTGTCTTATTTCAAAATTATTTATATATTTGTAGAATGATTTTAAGAAACTGTTGCTATGAATACATTAACAGGTCTCAGGCAGTCTCTACAAGCACCAGTAGCCAGAGCAGCCTCGGTTCTCCACCATGTTCTCCAGCCATCGAGCTCAGACACAGGCCACCACCGGCACCGTTACCATCGAATCCACCGGTCTGGTCGCAAGAAACACTCTTTTAGTTCTTTAAAGATTGTTTTCACAAATGGTCAGTAATCGCACAAAAATAGGGAGACAAAGAATGAAGAAAACGAAGAAAAACAGTGACTTCCGGTGGACTGACTTTTGAGAAGTTTTGGAGTTGGAATTTCTGACACGATCATTCGAATGAAATTGAACGGAACTAGAAAAGTTATTTAAGAAGAAACGATCTGAAAAAAGGTGGAGAAAAGGTAAAGAATGAAAAAGGGAAAACGGTGAAGAGTCTTGAAGTTTGGGGAAAAAGTAGAAAATTTTGAAAAAACATAAGGCTGTAAGAAGTAACAAAGACTTAATGTGAAGAATAAATTATAAATATTAAAGAAAAGAAGATACAGACGAGTCTAAAAAAAAAAAAAATGTAATTAGGTGTAGGGAAAAAATAGAGAAAACGTAAATATCGAAACTTTATTGAAGCAAATAAGTAGACGGAATAGGATGAGCAAAAAATTGAGTCCAGTTCTTGTTTAAGATAAAAACGAACAAAAATCAAGCTTTTATGGAAGAAAGAACAAAAACAAAGAACAGAGTTAATCAAGATATGGCATAAAAAAATTAAGAGGGATACCAAGACATTTGTATAGTAACATTTAAGATATAAAGAAGAAACAGAAACAAATACTAACAGACTAATTAACCGTTAAACGAACTGTTGTAAAAAGAAGAAAATAGTAGCGTATTATATATATATATATATATGTATATATACGTATATATATTATATATTATATATATATATATATTGTAAATAACAAACAGAAAAAAAGAAAACGAAGGAAAAACCTCGAATTCGTTTTTTTTTCTTATTCAAAAAAAAAAAATAAATAAATAAATAAACGAAGAATCATGTTTGTATTACGTTAGAGAGAAAAAAATCAAAACTTTTAAAAAGACGTTGATCTAGTTGTGCGTATAAAACAAAAAAATAATAAAAAAGTACTTCTATTTCTCGTTGATCATTTTTTGTTTTATTTTTTAATATTTATCTGTGTATGTACGTATGATATGCGTAATTAAAGGTAAAAATTAGACTAATCGGAAACCTGAAGGCGAAGCTATAAAATTCATCGATCTATTATTTTCAAAGTTGAAGACTATAGTTTATTTTTCTTTTTTAAATTAAATAATTTTCCTGATGATCTCACATAAACATTTTGCAGAAATAAAATTGATACGACGCAAACAATTATTTAATTGAAATTAATTTACATGACCAGTTAATATGTATTTGTTTTCTTAATCAAAAACGGGGAAGGATCGTGTCGTCAAATGGTATTTTCGATTGAAATAAAAAATTGTTTCATTTTTAATGTCTTTATTTTTTATACGTGCTTAATTAATTAATTAATGACGCTTTGATGACTGCCAATTCAGAAGCAGAAATCCTTCGCGTATATGTGTTTGTGATGCGTGTGAATGTTTTCGGATGTCATGAATGTGCACATACAGTCATATACCTACCTATAGAAAACTAGAAAGATCAGAGCCAAACATTAACAATATTGTAAATTTTTCCATCAATCGGGACGCGTTTATAATGTTTTGGTTTATCATTCTAAATGCAAATACAGTATTTTATTAGATACTCGTTTCTCGTTACTAGATCGTTACTTATTGTTATTTATTGAGCTGTTCTTTGATTCTGTTCAAGTCATAGTCCACCCGTATTATTTATTAATTACTTGTTTCATGATTTATTAATATTACTTATTATTTATTACTTTATATTATTTTATTATTATTTAATATTAACAATTAATAAAGCATTTTATATAAGGAAGATATTATATAAACGTGAACCCGATTATACGTTTGATAATTACGTTACAACTCGAAACTTCTGTTGGTGCCTTTTCGTCGGATATTCTTCCATTATCATTTAGATAGCATCATCGCGCAAAAGATACTCTCGATGAATCAAAAGAAAAAGGATAACGTAATTAACGAAATTTGGTTCAATAAATAGCTATATATAGTGATGACAATCATAATCATAGCTGTGGTTATCCTTGTCACTCTAATTATAACAAGGAAGGGAAATTATTGAATGCAACAAAAAAGAAAAAAAAAGGATTAACGTCTAGAAGAAGAAGAAGAAGAAAAAAACAGAGAACAATTATAACGATAGCATTTAATGATTCCGTGATGAAAGAATAAATAAGAAATAAAAGCAATAGAAAAACTGTAAAAATTAGAAAAGAAAATGAGAGAAGGAAAGATGCGAACGATGACGGGGTTAAAATAGAAAATAATGATGTAAAATGATTATGACAATGATCATGATCACTGAGAAAGATTATTCTTCAGATACCATTTAGATATATCACTCTTTCGTAATATTTTGAAAGATCCTTCCTGATATACGAACAATAAATCTTTCAACGTTTCCTACTATCATTTTCTTTTATCATATCTTCCCGTCAACATTTACAATTTTTTCTTTCCTATTATCGATCATCGGATATTTTCTACAGAAGATGTCGATTTATTAAGACATTTGTTACATCTAAATTTATGTTGGTTAAGATATTCTCATCGAATTTATTTCTCTTTTTATATAAATTTTCTTCTTTACTCGCTAGATCTACGATGTGGCGACGAAACGGGAAATATTGTAACAAAAAAAAAAAAAAACAAAAAAAAAACGTGAAATCATTTAATTACGTTAGAAACCATGTCTGTTGCGATTATTTATTCGACGTAAATATTCTTCGTTGAGTATTTGAATAGTTTGAGCATGGTTATTGAGATACGAGCGAGTAACGATAATATAATGAAAGTAATTCTTTCTATCCGTGTCCCTACAAAACTTACATGAACATTTTACAATGAGAATGTACTCGACTTACGCTGTTTATAACAATAATCTTTCCGATCCCTACTCAACAACCTTTTTGCAATGGATGAATAGTAGAATACTCATTTTCTTTACCGTGTCTCTATTTTTTCAGATACGAAATAAAATGTACATGTTGAACATAAAACTGTTGAAGTGATATCTCCTACAACACGTTATCTTTTTATCATCAATGCTAGTCGATATTGCTGTTTGTGACTATTAAAAAGCAACAGTTTTATTTATTTATTTCCTCTTTTCAAGCGACTATTATGTTATATGTTAACATATTGAAAATTACCATTTATCTTTTCTTTATTCATACTTTGTAATATTTTCTTTACACATATCTATGTTTATCACTATTATTTTGTCATGTTTGAAGTTATAACGAGTTGCTGGTATATTGTTGTTCGGGTGATTTCCCATAATTCATCAATCATTCGAATTATGCGTGCAAAAGACGTTAAGACGTCTCCTTGTCCACGTAAAATAATTTATTATTTTATTTTTAGAGAAGAACAACGACTCATCCATTTTTTATGCTGGCAAGTTGTTGTCTTTTCCTATCGCTGATTCGCGTGCCTATTACGTTTGGTGTCTTCGAACGGTTCGCATCGTTGTTTAATAATTTTTCATACATTTTTAAAGGAATTACGTTAAAATAATCTAACGGCTCACCAAAGTGACCCGCACTCGCCATCAGTTTTCTATAAAACAGGCTCGCCGTCAGCGGAGAAGACAGTGAGACCTTCAATACAGTGTAACATTAAATTCATTGCGGTGCAATACATACAATACGGTGCGTCAATGCGTTGTCACACAATTCGCATAAAAATTTTATACTTTGTTGATGAAATATTTAATCCTTATTTTTCTATTAAAGAAACTGATCATATGAATATCCAGAATTTAGTAATTTTGAAATTAATTGTTACATAAATGTTTAGATTTAAATCAATTCGGAACTATAGTTATCATCACCGCTGTGGGTAATCGTTATCACTGTGAGCTGTAGTCAGTAACACATCATCACTCATTTGTTATACAGTCCATTTCTCGCGATCTCCGATCATCTATCGGAATCGTATGATTCTTCTCTCTTCACAATACTTCGCAGACCAACGCGGGAATCACTATCATATCGCTTGATGCATCGTGCTTCCAAATTGATAACACGTAGATTTTTACGTTCTACTCTCTAAAATTACTTTGTCGTTACCCTTCGGTATATTCACCCGAGATTCATGATATGTTCGGTATATTCACCCGAGATTCATGATTGCACATTTCATGTTAATATCAATTTGCCAATTCCAATTAACACGATAGAATTAACAAAAGTTATTTGAAAGATTAGCTATTATTTGACAAAAATTAATTGAATAAAATTGAATATTAATCAGGTGAACTAGAGGTATTACTTAACGAAAAAATCATCGACAATGGATTTTACACCATTTATAACAAAAAAGGCGGACAGACGACAGCCAAGTGTCACTTGGTTGTATTGTAAGAATACTTAATTTTTGTACTTAGCTTGTTATTAATATTCTTTTTATCGCTGTCATACAAACACTATTTATAATTCCCCTTTCATAAAACCATATACGTTTCTATATTTTTTACAAGTACCAAATACAATTTTTATGAATAACTTCAGCAGAAAAATTTGCGGAACAGAAAAATGCTCTAAATCTAGCCAAGGCAATGCCAGATCCGTCGACATTGCCTTTCGTAGAGATTTCTGTAACATGTACAGGTGGAAAAGAAATAAAATTAATTGGAAAAGAGCTGGCTTGGTCTCTTCAATATGCTCCTTCTCAAGGGTAATTTTTGAAAAAAAATATATAAAAAGGAACAACACTTTGCTGTACTAACATTTTGAATTTTATAGAAATGAATTTGCAACTAATTTTATATTTTACTTGTTACATAATTTTTTTATTAACAAATACTATATACTACCGTATATTTCGTATGTGATTATGTACTTTCCTTATTTTTCGATTTAAGATATTTACCATTACTGAAGAAAATACGAGAATTTCAAGAACATTGGCACAAGCCGATATACAATGACTGGGATACAGTTCTTACTTGTGGATCGATGGAAGGATGTAGCAAAGTTTTTGAAATGGTTTTAGAAAACGGTGATCCCATGATGGCTCAAGTACCGACATACGATGGAGTTCTAGGCGTGGTAAATTCTATTTTATTCGTACACCCCTAATAAAAGTTTTTTTTTCTTTTCTTAACTAACTGTATACTTTAATTCATAAAGAATTTTAACAAATTCGTTAATCTCTCTAATATTTTTTATATATTTACTTTAAGCTCATACCTTTAGAACCTGAATTCATCGGAATTGAACAGGATGAAGATGGTATAATTCCGGCGAACATAGCGAAAGTTTGTGAGGAAAGGCGACGCAGTGGTAAACCAATGCCGAAAGTAAGTTGTAAAGAAAATAAAAAATTCAAGGAATACTTTCGTCCGATTAATTACATACGATAATGTTTACACTAATTGAATATAAAGAAAGAACAGATCTGTTTCGCAGATTCTCTACGTGAATCCTACGGGAGGTAATCCAACGGGAACGGTTTTAACAGACTCTCGCAAAAGACAAATTTACGAATTAGCTGAAACCTACAACTTCTTAATCCTTGAGGACGATCCCTACAGTTTCGTTCATTTTCTGGATAAAGCACCCGCGACTTTTCTTGAATTAGATACCAAGGGACGTGTAATACGTTTGGATTCTATCAGCAAAGTCATCAGCCCTGGACTTCGTCTAGGTGTTGTCACAGGTCACAAAGAAATTATTAAAAGACTAACCGCCCATATGGAAACAACAAGTATTCATCCTTCTTCTCTATCGCAAGTAATTCAAA